ACTGGTATATCCGGTGACTTGAATCTTTCCATCATCCATGGTGATAACCTCTGCCTGGGGTCCGTCAGCACAGCAAAGTGCTCGGTTGGTTGGCATAGGTGTCTGTGACCTTGGTTTGACCTTGTTGGCTTTCTTGGACGGTCGCTTAGGGTAGTAGCAATAGTCCTTGTCAGCTTTGTGCGTGAGGCACTCGTCATGGTAACATCCTGACCAGTGAAGGGTCGAATGTTCCGGGTGTTCTGGGTCAGATGCTGTATCTGCCCAGGTCACAGATCTTTCAGGGGTCGCTGCTTCTGCCATTCCGAACTGCCTGGGTTTCCCTTTCTGGAAAGGTTTCTTGGTTTTTGCGTGGCAGTCGTTAGCTACATGTCCAGGTTTCCCGCAGTAAAGACACAGGTTGTTCTTCATTCGTCGGTCTTTCTCTGCTTGGCTCAGTGGTCCTTTGGTGTAGTTTCGTTTCTTGCTGGCGGCGTCGAGGTCCATGGGCATTGGACCTCCGTAGAAGCGCGATTTCGAGACATTAGCGGGGTGAGACTTCTTTGGTGCGAAGCTGCCCCGAGGAGGAAAGTTCCGTTGAACCTTCTCCTGCTTGAATTCCATAATGCGATTGTCGAGTTTAGTCGCGTCGGTGATAAGCTGTTCTAGACCCGTAGGTCTCTCGCGGTTGATGTATTGCTCGCGGACCTCCTCGCGGAGTCCCCGATAGAAGACCGATGCTAGCGCTGCATCGTCCCAGTTGAGATAGATAGCAATACTTCGGAACTGAGCTGCATAGTGGGATACCGAGGTGACTTGTTTGATGGTGTGAATCTTTCGTTCCGCTTCCTTCTGCTGGTCCTGAATCCCGCAGAAGGACGACAGTTCCTCCTTAAATCGTTCCAAGGATCCAAAGATCCTTCGGATTCGCTGATCTGCCTGATCTCCATGCACGAAGTGCGCATTGAGGAAAGGTTCAAACCACACAAGAGCTTTACCCTGAAGCAAGTTCGATGCATACAGGACCTTGGTGGTTTCATCAGGAAAGCTGTGCGGTTGGAGGCGTGTAACGAGTTGAAGTTGTACCCAGAAGCTCTTGAACTTCTCGGGTGATCCATCAAACCTTTCGGGGTCCTTGGCCTTGAAGCCGTGGCCCTGAGTGGTGACAAGAGTAGTAGCCATAGTTGCAGTGTTGGATGACTCGGGCGTGACTATGATCGGTTGACTGGCTGATGAGTTGGGTGAAGGTGATTCGTGTTCACTGGAATCTGAGTCGGAATCAGATCCTTCCTGAACGGGTGCCGGTCGTGTTGATGCTTCGGTGAGCGATAGTCGTGATGTATTTGCAACGAGTCCTGAGAGAGAACTAGAGGTACTAGTTCTTCGAACACTGGCTTGACTTGAGGGTCTCTGTGGAGATGGCTTAGGTGGCATATGGTATTGTCTCGAAGATTGTTGTCATGTCCTGAAGCCTTGTTACCAGAGGCGGTAATCAATGTATCACGCAAGCTCCTCGTCCAAGGGTAAGTCAGACGATGATCAAGAGTGGTTGGTATGTTGGCTTGTTAGTAACTAGGGTCAGGGCACAGACACAGGTCAAGTATCGTAAGATGGGCATCAAACAATACAGGTGAGTTGGTGAGGGAGATTGATTACAGAGTAACTATGAAATGTCAGTTGCGCCTGACCTACGTCGTATATATGGTCTATGTATTTCATGGTATGTTCGGCATGCTGCAATGTTGGTCCTAAGTCCAACATTGCTAACATTTCAACATTGCACTTCGTTCGGCCCGTTCTCCGCACGTGATGTCGCGGAACCTTCTCGATTGGTGCATCTTGTGCCGTGGTCGCATTTTGGTCGTGACATTCACCGTGCAATCGCTATATATCTTTATACACTTCCGCCTATCAGTTCTGCTCGTGTCTATAAGCCCGATAGTTGCTCATAAGCCGAATCACGATAGCATAACAACGAGACGCACTGCTCCGCTCGCTGCTTTAGTAGGTCATCTAGGGATACGGTCTTGGTTAGTGGGTAACGGCGATCAGGTTATAGACTTCTCACGAATACTCCGATTTAAGGATCTTCTATTAAGATAAGGTTTTTCACCTACACAAGGCCGTTGTTTATTCTCGATCCAAGTACTTTACCATTGCTTGTAAGTAGGGAAAGGTGAGTTAAACCTATTACCTCGAACGCGAATTGACCTCCGTCAGGATGGCAACCCGAAGAACGAAGTCGAGCTGAAGGACGACGACTCAAAGCTGGTTGGTCTGATGGTGGATTATTTATACCAGCTCAACTACGACGACCTATTACCGAGTAAACCGCCTACCGAGCTGAACCAAGAGACATCTACACAACCTGAATCTGCGGTAGCACATCACATCTAGTGTTACGAAAACCTTAGTTATAAAGCACCTATTGACGAGCCTATTCTCAAGCCGGAAACCATCGCGGCGTCGGAGATCCACATATATAAAGAAGATAAGTGGTCTTTTAGAACAGGCAAGAAGAGCAAGAAGGACAAGAAGAAGAAGAAAGGACAACTGTTAAAACTCCGCCTTAGAGATCACGATTAAGATGTGAGCATAGCACGACTTATAATAAACACGCTCATATACGCACTGGCTGATAAGTATAAGATAGACGACTTAAAGGCTCTGGCGAAATAGAAGTTCGAGGAAGCGGTAGTCTAGGACTAGAACAGTTAAGCATTCGCGTACGCAGCTAAGCTAGTCTTCAGTACAACTCCGAGCTCCGATCAAGGTCTGCGAACGGTTATGACCAGGACAATTAATACGTACCGTGAATTAGTGAACTACGAAGAAGTATAACGACTTCTTAATTCTAGAAACGGGATGGCTTAGGCACTTATATAGGTTCTTCTGGGTGACCACATCGACGGCTGGTAACCGTTTAACCTCAGGCTAATAGTCAGACGGGTTTGACTCGTGTTGCGACGACAACCACGTACATAAGCTTTAGTATAACCATCAATGTCTGCCTGTTCTCCGTAACCCAGCTGGCTGAATCTTATGATGCATGACTTGAAAGTGTGTCTGGAACAGACGCGATGTCGTGTCGGTGGCGGCTATGTGCATATCGTATGTTCATAAGCAGAGAGGCTGGCGTTCTCTGACTTAGCAGGCTCCTGTTTCAAAGGATGTCTCGACGACCAGACGAGCACGAGAACATATTAAAGGAAGTGATGGCCAGGCTCAGATGCTATCACGACGAAGACTGTTAGTACTCTTTAGGCAACGACTGAGTGAGCGAGTGAGTATAGCTGAATGCACTGCTGTAAGCAAAGAAGCACTTGGCCATAAAATTGTTCCCAATAATGTGTCAGATCCGAATGTGAGGGAAGAATAGCCAATTTAAGAGTTTAGAGTCGAGTATAGCCCTACAGAAACATTCACGTCGACAACTTAACCATATAGTAATGAATGGCCCTTCACGTTTGTTCGATGTCACCCGTAAATTCGTTCTGTTTAGCCTTATGAACATAGGATGCAGAGAGTTCCTCCAACTATAGTGCCTATAATACCGAGTAGTATAGCCACTGCACCTGTAGCGCCCAGCTAGTGGCAGCAGCGAACCAGCTCCCCATAGGTACCGTGGCTCCATAGACAATAGACTGGATGCCAGCGGCAACCGTTTCTACAGAGTTAAAATTTAGTACAGACCCTGCCAGATAGAGGGTATTCATACCGGCTTGAACGCCTGCAGCTCCAAATCCAATACCCGAGAGGACATTGACGCCGATAAAACCTCCTGTAGCAGCACCAATCACTGCGATACAGCAGCTGTTAGCGCACAACTCTTGTAGTCGTGAATATTGCTAGCACACCTGGTCCGACCACACTTCTCGATAAAGCGATCTTAATGAAAAACATTGAATACTATATCAAATTCGGTGGCCTTCGTGCTTAAGGTAATAAGTTGTGGATAGCAAATGTTGCGTTCTGCGTGGCCTTTTGAAGGAGGAGACTGGCGGAGCAAGTTGCCCTGTAGCACGCATGACTAGGCACCCACGATAAGCACCCTAATGTGGATCGGTTCAATGATAACTGCAATCATCATTGACAGCGATTATCAAGCCACTTACTATGACGATCGAAAAGACGCTCTAGAGTACTGCAAAACTTCCTTTCTCAGACTCTTAGAGCTTTGAAGGGAAACAGGTTACTCCTTATAAACAAGAATGCAGAAAGCACAGGATATTACAACAGTGATACCGTGCGTTTAGTTATTTATGATAGATTTACAAAATCAATAGATCGAGTCTAGGCACACGAAGACATCCGCTGATTAGTGCAAAACTTAAGACTTCGTTCGCTCTAACTCACCAACGGATCAAGTATCGCGCACTACTGAATGAGCCATCACAGCTATTGATTTCACTTGCGATATCGCTGGAGGCTGAACAAGGGCGATCGAAATCCAACCTGGTCGGACACTCAGCCAAATCGGTTTCTGGCGAGCAGGACCCTTTGCAAGACACCCGTGTCTGTCAACCAGTTATTGAATGAGCTTGTTGCCCGAGGCTTCGAGAGAGGACATCGTGTGCTTGCAGCCGTTTCACCTCTAAGACTGGGAATGCGGCAGAGCTACATATGACGAAACACAGTCGTACAAGGTTTGGTTGTCCATAAGGCGAGAAGACACAAACGTGGCACATATAGTAGAATCGCAGCAATGCAATGCCTGGGTCATTCAGATTGTCCGAGATCACTCTCGAGAGATTTAACTATAGCCAAGTTCTTCTACGACTTCAGTCTTCACCACTGCCTAGTGCATGCAGCATACATATGTCCACCGCCTCAAGTCTTGCTTAAGAAATATGGACGGGAGTGCTTTGCACCCGACAGAAAGTGGCGAAAAAGTATGCGTTCTGGACGGCTTGCGTTGCTCAACTACGAGGACAAAGTTGAGTGTTATGCTGATTAAGTGAGGATACGCTTAGCATTAGGTTCGTATTTGTAGTCGGAATCTACTAAGCACTATCGTATGTTTTCTAGCCTAGCTTCCGCCGCTTCTTGACCTGATTTTTGTGGTGAGGATGTCGTGCCTGGTCGCTAATAGCAGCCGCTGGAGGATCACGATCATGTATCCGTCTCTTCTGTGCTTCCAACGAGGCCGAACGCTCACCAACTACCAGCTTGATTCGTGGAAACAGACATGAAAAGGTGCAGGAGGTTTCCACCGTCGCAGGAAGAGCCTGTTGAACTGTAGCGATGCTTGAAAGTTGGGAGCATGAGACGTACTGCTCTGTAGGTCGCTTGTGATCTTGATTTTGTCCCACATACCGACCATCGCTCGAAGTCGGAAGGGCGACTTCAAGGCTAGATGTATGCGTTGGTACAGACTTGTCAGACTTACCGGTACTGATTGTCAAAAGATCAGTGTCTGACACCAGCTCCCGTCGTTGGTCACCAGAGGGCTGACCAAACACTTCCAGTGAAGTGAACGTCGACTGCTGACTCACTTGTAAGTCTCGGAGGTGGGCCATCGTAGATAGCCCTTGCCTATACGAGTCGTGCTGGGCTGCACCTGAAAAGGATTTCTTCGACGTGTTCTCTGTAAAGTGGTTGAAGATAGACTGCAGGTCGTAGCATTGAGCAGGAGACAGATACGAAACAGAAGACGAGCTCGATGCAGAAACAAAAGATTGACAGGCCACACCAACGTCGATGCGGGCGTCTGCAGGAAGTTCGGTATGAAAAACGTCGGCAGAGGCTTTGTGAATGTTGCTGCTGCCCATGGAGCGCTTTGGTGCGAGCTTCATGCCGTGAAAATCCACAAAATGGTCCGAGAGTGACACCTCATCGTCGACATCGATTGAGCATAATGGATGCGGGCACCGCACCGGAAAGGCGAGATTAGCCATGTGCAACCTCATATGCTCGCGTAGACGATGTTCCTGCGCATAGCTGTGCATTCGCTTCGTTGGCAGTAGCGTGGCGTCTCCAAGACAGAATGGACAAAACGCTTCCTGAAGGACAAGGCCAGAATATACAAGCCTGCCGCAGCACAACGACCGAAGCGATCGCAGCTCTTTAGCACAGTGCGTCTGCCAGCTATCCTGCCCAAGCACCCATTCGAAACACAGGAAGCAGAATTAGACGTTCGACGGCAGCAACTGGTGCCTCCGAGCCAGATATGTTCTGTGGCATTTCAAGAGGTGGCTTTGCTGCTTGTGAAGGGTATCCAAGCTGTTTGAAATTAGCGGGACCACAAGCTCTTCCCCAGGCCGATCTTACCTCGACAGACTTTTGGAACATCCCGGACACTCTCGAACCATGTGGTACCCAGGAATCCCAGTCGTACAGGTCGTTGTGCAGAGAGTGTGCAATGCGGTGAGGATGCCCTTGCGCTGCTCGCCCGTCATCAGACTGTCTGAGTGCATTGTGTGCGACATCAATCGTAGAGAGGGTGATAGGTGCAAAAGTTTCTGCATGCGAAGGTTAGTGGGCGGATCTGTTGCCGCTTCCAGGCCACTAGTCTTTTCAAGCCACACACGTCGTTCAGAAATCCAGGTTTGGCGGTACTTCCTAAGGGCTGATCTCTTTTCGGTGTCAGTTGCCGCAAGTCCAAGTTGACGTTGTATCCGCGCCGGCAGAGTGGCAGGCAGGCCTGGTTCACGGAATTGCTCAAAGGACTGCCAGTGTTTGATAGCAGATGCATCCTCAGGCTGACAAAAGAAGCATCTGGCACCGTTCACACTTGAAGTTTGGGCAACGTTTGATTGGCCGAAAACTCTTTTGTCGCTTTGCGTGAGATGCTGAGCACGCTGAACCTCGGTATGCCGCTCTACATCATAATGTTAATATCTCTGTCGCTTTGCTTCACCAGTCATAACCCACCGTCTATCCTAGCACCAACCTCCCGACGAATGCTGTGAATGTTGATGGAACAAGAGTAGCCCGCTGATGAGGCAACATGTTGGAGAATCGTGGAGAAGTCGTACCTTGACCAGTGTCGTTCAGACACTTGCGGACACCCCTTCTTGAGTACCTGTCGCACAATCGGAAGCTCGCGCTTGTCCTTTTTTATCTGCAAAGCGAGTGCATCCTTGCCATCCGGAACTCGATGCTGCAGTAGCTTGTCGACGCTTGAAGTGCCCTGGAAAATACCATCCACGATTCCCATCGTAAGGAGACAGAGGCATGCATCTCGCTTGAGAACCTGGTCTTCCTCGTTGACGTAACCAAAACTACCTTTCATTAGCATCGGGCCATCTACCTGCGTGCTAAACTGAAACTTGCGTGATTGTGTCCGGGTGCTTGTTGTTTTTGACGAACCGCTGATCGAGTTTGAAGGTCCACAGTTGCTGGCCGTCTGGGCGTCGGAGAAGCACAACCTGAACATCCTGTAACAATAGTCAGAACACGCACGCTGACGAGCAGTGTTGTCTTACCTTCCATCTGAGGCCTTTGGTCTCATTCTTGTCGTTCGGAAAGAATGCCCCGATCCGTGCTCCGGTACTTGCGAACAGCTGTATGATGAATGTGAACTGTATACGAGACCTCTCGTCGAATATGTTGACATGGTCGTTGGTCCAGACAGTGGAAAGCAGGTGGTAGACATCCTTATCAGTACAATTGTACTTGATCATTTTGCCAACCTGAACCACGCCTTCCTGAACGAGCAAGCTTCTGACCCACTGTGAACCGTCAGCAAAAGCCGATCGAGGATTGCAAGCATGGACTCGTACATTGTAGACCTCACTGCGATCCTCCTCAGACACAATGTTGCCCGTATACCGTTGAAAGCCAGCAAAGAAGGCTTCAGCGAAGGTATTGAGAGAATCTGTGGTCATCTTATCCGTGATCCTGCCCTTTGCAATACTTGCCTTGTACCGTAGAAAGTCTTTGAGTTCCGCAAGACTGAGGTTCTCACAGCCGTGGTACAAGTATCTGGCCGCAAGGTCATTCTCAGTCACTGCATCGCCCGGACAAGAATCCTGACCCAGGCGCCACCTGCAACTGTGTTAACCAAGTTCGGACTCGGGTCAAAGCTCTTGCAATTGGTAGCATTCAAGACTCGCCTCTTGCAGCGCGCGTGTGTTGCCCTTGTAGATCGTCTTGTACAGTCCCCTTGTCGCATCCTTCTCCGCGTGAGCACCGGCAGTGTATCCGTTCAACTGGGACTGGCGTAGGAGTTCTGCAGCTCTTTGGAGCAGGCCGACTTGCGTAGTGTTCTTGGGCATTCTGCTCGATGATTTTGTGGTGCTCGCATGTTGTGAAAATGGGCATAGTTATACCGTAACCTGCTCGCTCGACCATGCGGTTGCCGACACATGCGCGTGCGTTCATTGGACATGTTCAAGGCTGACACAGTGTGATACATGTGTGATTCAAGTCGTCGTAAGTCTATGGTGGCAGCGATGTGCATGATGGAGGGGTGCTATATTGACAGCTATCCTGGTGAAGGGGGGCTGAAAGTGCGTATGTTCACGAGTCAGGTGAGCCAATGAAACGCTGCTGGTGAGCTCCAGCGCGAGCTTGGTGAGCCACGGGCGAGCCGGGTTAATTCTACTCTGCTATTGACCTGCCATCACGTGCTTATCTAGGTGAGTCGAGCAGAGATAGATCGAGCCTGCAAAAGGGCCAAACAGGCTAGTGATATACGAGTCCCTTCATCAGCAGCATTGGCCTTGACGAGCAGCTCGTCGAGAATCGGCAGCGCGGCTCATGTAAACATTCGGTCTAGAACCACTAACTACATAGGCTTGGAACAAGCACATCAGACGATGTCAACGCTCCTTCCTCCTCTGAGCCTCAACAGTAACATCACCATCAGCCAATTGCTCAAACCCAAACGCCTTCCATTCAACTCGTCCCTTCTTCCCAACGGCGCTCTCAAGCTGCTTCGGATCTATCCTCAGATCATACTCCATCAATATCTTCACCAACACAACCTTGATCTCAGCTGCCACAAAGAAGCGACCAGGACATATAAAGCGACCCATTCCGAACGCGTAATGTTTATCATTGCTAGATACTAAGCTCATCTTCTCATCAATTCTCATGTAGCGGTAAGGATTCCACTTGTCCGCTTCCGCACCCCATTGATCCTCGGACCACATGGGCGAGCTTGGTAATGCAACCTGGGTGCCTCTAGGAATGACCTGACCACTCGGTAATTTGACATCCTTAATTGCGACACGTTCGAGATTATTGAGTGTCTGCGGCTTGAGTCTCTGCGTCTCCTTGATGCACGCGTCAAGGAAAGTAAGCTTTGCCACGGACGAAGGCACAAGCTTGCCATTTGAATCTCCCAAAACGCTCTCAATCTCACCTCTGAGGTCATCTATCACTTTCGGCTGCTGAGTCGAGGCAAGTGCGAGGTCGAGCACAGTCTGCTGTAGAAGCTGCGAACTTGTATGAATTGCGCCTGCTGCGAGCGCGAGCTGGATCACTGCTGCATCAGGTGATTTATGGTCTTTGGTCCATGCTAACACACTGTTCTGGTCGTTGTCTCGAAGCTCGTAAGAGGCTAGCTTCCGGCGGGCTTGTGCCAGTTGCGCTCGTGAGGCTCTGCAGTCAGGTAGGAACCAATGCACGATGAATCGAAGATAGGGTGGCCATGATCGTAGGGCCCGAGCGGCATCGAACAGGCTCCTGGTGTGGGAAGTGATCAGCGTCTGCCATTCCGCATCGTGTGCTAGTGTTGGTCCTGAGAAGACAGCTGATGCGACGGATGCTGTCATGTTGAAACAAAGAGTGCCCCACGAGATTTCATGGAACGTGGTGTCACCACCTATTTTGTCCTTCAGAATCCTGTCCGTTTGGCTTTCAAATGTATCAAGCATGGGCTGCGTGATCTGAGACATCCGCTTCTTAACAAGGTCGATGACAAAATGGTTGGGGTCGTTAAATGCTCCAATTGCCTCGAAGCCCGGATAGTCGCCGAAGAAATCCTGTGCGACTGCGGCTTGGTGATCGAGGTCTGGGTGCTTGCGAAGCCAGTCGATCCAGGTGTATGGAAGGAAGACCCTATCACTGAGTGCAGTTATGATTCTAAAGGGCTGGTCGGGGTAATTCTTGGTGCCCTCCTCTAGAAGACCTTGCGCATTGGAGATGAATCGATGCTTCGCTCTGGCGCGGTTGATGTCGTTCGGGTACTCGTTGATGATCGGAATGTTGCTTTTCGACCGTCTTGTCCAAGCTCTAGTCCACACGATGCTGACAGTTAGGAGTGCCAAGACTGTCAAGATCTCGCTATCTTTGACACCAGCCAAGCCGCTTCCAATGAGTTTGTTTATCATTTCCCCGTTCCTGGTATTTACCTTGCTTATTGTTCAAGGATTCACAATGCCAATTGTTCAAGACAAGAGTTGCTCGAAGTCTACATATATTCCATAGCCCAAAGCATTGTCCGGCTAAACGGCCTAAAGTTCGGGCAGATCATTTTCCTAAAAAGGCATGCTGGACTGAGGGCCGATACAAGCTAGGGCTAGCGTTGCGCATGGCTTCCCACTAAACGAGGACTTTTGCGCAATCAACGAGCAGCTTGATTCGCCACCATAGAAGCAAACGCGGCAGTAACAGTTGGTAGTAATCTTAGTAAGGGGTGGAAACACCAAACTTGGTTGCTGGGGGTGTGCGCTACCTGGTCTTCACAAACTTTGTGTTGAGACAAGCGTACTCATAAGGAAGCGCCACTTCCGTCGTAGGCAATTGCACTTTTTAACACTTCGATATTGGAACACTTCTGAAAGCAGTGCTCCCAGTAGGTCAGATCGCATCTTGTGAAGAATACAGGCAGTGTTAGCCTAGAGTAGAGTGGAAGGGTAAGCAAGTGGTAGAAGCAGCGGGACGAGGGTGAGTTGGTGGATGAGCGCGATGCAGATTTTATTTTCCTTGTACTGGCATGTCACGTTTCAGGATCTGGCCAGGCACCAGCTATCCCTTCGGTTCATCTTTCATTTCCCTTTTCACGAGCTACAGAAGTGCATTACGACGCAAGGTGTTGTTTCTCGATCAGAGAGCGTCGAAGGTGACGATTCTTGCCTATAATGTCTCAAGGAAGGATAAAATGCTTGACGCTTCAAGAATAGCAGAATACTATGCCCGCCTCGCGGCTACTCTTCTACGGGTTTGACTACCTCTGCAACGACAGTCGTAGAACAACCATCCTAGAGCATTGTAAACCAATGCGAGCGACCACATCACCAAGCCTTGTCGTATCGAGCGCTCGAAACATGGTCATCGGTACACGTGTATCTGATCCGCGCGCAGATTAGTGTCTTTGATTGCCCTTGCTTGAGGTCGTACTCCCCTACCTCGAAAGCGTGAGCAGTCTGATGCGACTCGCCTTACTGCACAGTGGTTTCGGATTCGGATACGGATGAATCTTGTGATGTGAGGACGATCTCGCTGCTGACCTACACTACACAGCCAAGCGCAAGTCACGTGGGCTCGGACACGAATGAGAAATCTCCATCGCGTGATGTAATCCTGGATGGCCGACGCTTACTTCTATGTGTCAATAAACTGTTTATTTGAGCTTAAGAGAGTAAGACATTCCTCTCGCTAGGCCCCACCATAAAAGTCGCTATAATGTTTTCGTTCTGCTCTACGCAGTTCCCGGGCTTTAGTCCGTCACAAATATGGCTAGAGTCACCTGTAGTACCATTTTTAAGACGATAACGAGAAGACAAGAGTAAGGCAAACGTTATAAACGTCTTGAGCGTTTCGGGTACCTTACTATAGCGAAGCGCACCGAGGGATAAACCCTGTATTAAGCCTTTCTTAAGGGACTTTACGAAACTACTCTACTGCTTTACTATACGTTCACGCGTGTCACGACTTATCATGCGGCCAGGTCTACGGCCACACACAGGACTAGGCCACGTCATAAGTGACCTGAACCAAAATCAGCCAGGACTGAACCAAAACAGGACTAGACTGAAACATAACGACCAAGGGCCAAGCCGGGACGGGATTGGTCTAGACCAAAGCATACGACAAGGAAAGTTTAGCGAGACTAAACTATAAAGGTCGCCATACTCAGTAGGATCAGTCTAATTAGTGGTGCTTAGCACTAAGTATACTAATTAAGGTGAGTAACACTGAGCAAGTTATTACGACTTATAAGTATATAGATTCTAGCACACTCCCTAGCTACTTAGATAGATTCTCTGCAATTAATCTCCCTCACCAATTCCACTGGTACCTTCCAAGTACCTTCCCCGTCGTATTCACACTTCTTGTTACTAACCAGCCAACATACCACCCCACTACCTGTGATCAGCCCTACTCACCCTAGGCCTGGGAACTTGCGTGATACTACGGAGTAACTTTTTATAAGCAGAGATACAGCAGAGATACAGCAGAGATACAATAGGTAAGCGCTATTGTGACGCTGCTAGATAGCACCGAGAAAGGCATTAATAATCCTATAAGAGAGTATACCCCACGACATTAGTATAGAGGCCACGAGGTCGGCCGCAGTAATAGTGAAATACAATATCTCTGCACCCTATGTCTATAGCTCTAAGCGCGGTAATGGTAAACCTTAGGCCTCATTAACCACCTATATAGACATCCCTTTAACCCTGACTGGTGTCCACAATTCTATACGGGTGTATAGCGTAGGATAACGATATCCTGATCTTATTTTACCGAGACGAGCGCCGTACCACGAAGAATAAAGGTATCTAAGATCCACGGCCTACCTGCCAGCCTCCGCTCTATAAGGAAGTGGCATTACTTCCTCGACGACGATATTACGAATGCTTTAATAACTCTATAGGGGAAGTATATCGTGAGAACATCTACTATTTCCCAGCGAAGAAGCACAAACCAGGAGTGCAGCTTTCCTTACGCCTAAGCATTCCAAATGTACTCGCGCTGCTCGTGCTCGGCCACAACGAGAGGCGTAAACCGGTATGCAGGCCCCGATTCGGGTGGTGATTTTGGTGTGAGGCCACCTCGAGAACGAGAGGAAGTCCCCCATCCACAAACCAGTGGAGCATGCCACCAATTCAAATGCCACCTAGCTGCTCGCAGCCTAGACTTCTGGTGGTGGTCTCGAGTGTCAACTCGTTCTTGTGAGGCACGCTTGTTCGCAAAGGAAACGGCGGAGCACATCGGGTGGTAAAGCGGCATACAGCCTCGTGAACCAGTGGCAGATTGGGCGTCCATCCTCTGCATCAACAACATCCCGTGGACGAGCGGGTCGAAAGAACGACGATGAAGGTGGATATTGCATGCATGGACCGCGCTGGTGTGTTTCATCCTTGCTGCGACCATTGTGGCGGCCGTGGTGCTGACACCGTGGGCACGACCACCAACTGTCGAGGCCATTCCACGACGATCGAGATACCCGCATTGGTTTCATCTCTCGACCTTCCTTTCTATCCCAGCGCCTCTGGAACCCGACGCCCTCACGCTTCGGAAGAATCTAGCCGCTGGCCTCGGTCGTTGCCCTACTGCTGCTCTGAGGACGTCCCCTCCATCCGCTTCCTGCAGCCTTCTCGAGCCCGTTCTCACACTCAGCCACTCAACCACTCAGCCTGCCGGCCACTCCGCCGCTGTCCCTGCCCTTGTGTCTTCTCAGACCGTCCTACAAATGTGTCTGACTTGAGCAGAGCATGTGTGTATCGGAGGACTCTGCAATCTCTACCGGCGCTGATAATGCGGCGGAGAGTCGTCAGCGACACCCAAAGTGGGAAGCCACCGGTGCAGTAGGGCTGCGGTTTGGACCGTGGTCGCAACCCACCACCAGTACAGAGACCCCAGGTGGAGATACTTCAGATACTGCGCCCTCTTCTTGTGCACCGGCATTTATCACATGCATATTTGCGTCGACAAGCGATGTAGCCAAAATTGTAGGTTGGCACTGAATTGGATGACATCGTGCATCGTGCATGGCGGCACTTATGGTTTTTTCTGTCCAGTCCGGATGTTCTGACGCTGTAGGAACCAACAAGGCTACCGATCATCTGTTGCTTCGCTTCTGTGACACTGGGCTTGCGATAGACGGAGTTGGTGGTTCAAGTATTTTGAGGTAGCCACTGGCACTGCTGGTATCTCACTCTGCACAATCATCATGTGACTTGGCTTACCAGGAAAGCGGTAAATCACGTGCTTTTCATCTTTGGGTCGGTTCAGAGTCAACGATCTTGTCTACTGGTGATGACGACTGTGGCAGCAGCGGCAGTGACGACACGCGAAACAGATTCGCCTCGTCGCAACTTCAGTTGTAGGCACCAGCGCTAGTATGATGGCGCAGTAAGAAGCTATCGTGCCGGCACGAGGGTGGAGGACTTAGTATGGAACAAATACTGCATACGCGTGAAGTCAGTTGGATTACTTGCTTCTACTATGATTCGATCAACACCTAGTGCCCTGCACTTTTACCCTTTGATTCCAGCTTTGACGTCGTTGTGAATCTCCGACGTGGGTTCTACTGACACCAATTCTTCGAGAACAGACACCTCGCGAGGAGAGGTGATCTCTGCCAATGCGACCAGTGGGATGAGATCAGGTTGCACCCGAAGAACAACCGTGCATCGCTCACGGGAAGTACTTCTGCTATCCTCACGAAATCGTGGCACGTCTAATCGTAGTGTCCTGCAGTATTCGGGACAACTCTGCCGTCTCGTGACAAGAAGTCGCTTCCACGAGACAACATGGACGCGTGGATGGTGTTGCCCCCATTGACAGCGGTGGGTATCCTGGCGGGATGGTTAGACACACTGTGGTCAAAGCACTCGTTATCGTGTTCGAGGTTTTATGGAGGGTGCAAAGGCACGTCAAACTGCCCCGGTTCGTGGTGGGAAACATCCCACGTGGTATCGAGTTTCGATACATTCGACCGATCTCAGCTGTTGACCTACCTCGACTCTCGACCATAAGTTTCTGTGCGTGGCTGATTACTCACTGAACCAGCTTGCTGTCATACCTCGGACTTTCATGTCCTACACGACTACGGTTCGCTGGAGGCAATTGTCAGAAATAACAGAACGACGGCGAATCCTGATAGTAGAGCAAGCCACCAACTCAAACGCCACCTGGCTGTCCGAAACCTCGAATTCTGGTGGTCTTCGGTCTTCTTATCGAGTGTCGACTCGGTTTTGTGAGGCACACCAGTTCGCAATGGAACGACGGGGATTGCAGACCGGGTTGTGAAGCGGTATATGGCCTCGTGGACCAGTGGTAGACTGAGTGTCCATCCTCTCTGTGAACCTCTTGTTGCAGTGGCAGCAGTACCTGTGACATTGTGGCCCGTTTCACGTTCCGCACTAGGCGCTCGCGGGAGGCTCTACCATCGTCATTGGTATGTGTCTAGCTTGGGCATGGGGTTCGATAATCATGAAGGCTGCTCTTGCGACAAGACCGGCAGCAGACCCGGCGGCGCGATATGCACAATTGCAGCAGGCGGCCACGCAGAACACAACCAATGCCCAACAGGCTTCCGGTCAATCCGCTTTTACACAGGTGGCTATATTCAATGGGTTCATGCTTGATGCTCGCGTATCCATCACTTGTTTCTGTATGATGGGGATATTCATTTATTTCATGGTAAGTATTCCTTTCCGAAAATCCATTGGAAATGTTAAGTATCAGTAGGCACGCCTGCGAGTCAAAGCACCTAAAATGGCGCTGTTGTCGATCTTCGCTATCGTCATCTCAGATGTATACATCACCTCCGCACCTTTGATCCCTCAATTCGTGGGCACACTCCCACAGTCACTTCTAATACCTACTGGTGTGGCAATCGGAGCAGGAGTCGCCTGCAACATTCTGTTCTTCCCACGGTCCACATCACATCTGGCACTTGACGGCATGCAGGATCTTCTTTTGCTCATGAGATCATTCCTCGAGGCGTGTCAGCTGAATTTCCAGTATCCGTACCTGCGCATGGATTTGGACCGTCTACATCAGACCAAGGCACAAATCCTCGAGATATATGGCGCGCTCGAAGGAAACGTGGGCTTTCTCAAGCTGGACGCTTCCATGGGTAGATGGAGTGCGGATGATATCACGGCGCTGCAGGCCCCTCTACGGCAAGTGCTGGTAGCATGTGCAGCATTGCTTCATGTCCAGATGGCACACCACGAACCTCAGTCAGAAAATGAAAGGCTGGAGACGCTGGCGAAAACTACTAGTGACAGTATTTCCAAGGAGACTAGATCCAACTTTCGACACCCTCAAGACACACAGGTTTTCGATTTCCGACAGCGTTTTGTGCACCCAGACACCGACCATCTTATGGAAATGAGTCTACTGGCACTTTCTTCTTCTGGAGAAGACCTTATCAATACATAACTGGACAGTTTTACTGCCATCAAAGACGCCTTACGACTCTGCAACACCAGAAGATGGTTTAATCGGCCTTCAACGCAAGCACGCGAAGATCAGCTGAAAATTTATGTGGACACTCTGGCGCGCCTCCGCCGGCACAACAGAGTGTTTGCAGCTCGAACAGCAGAATCTCTGTGTAAGTTGCATGCTAACTCCTTCGATCATCAGGGCCATACTCAACATCAAACATCGCAAGGCTTGCCACCATCAGCAGCAGGCCTAGTCCTGACGCTGGTGCTCGAGGAGAAATTGCCTAACTTTGCAAAAGCTCTAGAAGCCCTACTGTCACGAATTGTCAAGCTCGAAGAGCTGCGTACAGTGACTCGACTATGGTTTCCTGGTAGTAGCCTGCATAAATTACCGGCCTGGGCGACCAACGACGAACCACTATCTCGAGGCAACATCTCAACATCTACAAATGCCGCAAGCAATGTAACTACGAACGAAAAGCGAGGCCTGAAGAGTCGGAGAAAGCACAAGAAAACGGATGAAAGCAAAGCGGAACCAAAAGTGACGACCGCCGCTTCACAACTAGCATCCATACAAGCACACGAGGGCCGCAAAAGAAACAAAGGTGGACTAGCGCTCGCCGGGCTCTCTGAGAGGGTCCGCAGCATCGAAGGATTGTATGCTTTGCGCATAGTCATTCTTACCATTGCACTCGGAGTTCCCGCTGTCATCCCATCATCAGCAGGCTTTTTCTATCGCGAGAAAGGCCTCTGGGCGCTGATCATGGCCCAGACCGGCACTGCCCCATACACCTCGGACTTTGTTGTTGGGTTAATCCTTAGATGCGGTGCCACCGTGCTTGGTGGCGTGATTGGTATGGTAGCCTGGTATGTTGGTGCTGGGGATGGGCCCGGCAATCCTTACGGCATTGCGGCGATCATGGCACCCATCCTTGTCGTTCTGATGTGGCTTCGCCTCCACTTACCGCCTGTGGCCACACAGGCTGTTCTGATCGGAACAGCAACTTGCTATCTTGTGGTCAGCTACTCCTGGGTCGACACGCACAGCCCGAGTTATGGCGACCCAGGTGTCGGCTATACTGTCTTCTGGCGACGGACGCTACTGGTCCTCGTCGGTTTCACTGCATCAGCAATCCTAACACTCTTCCCTACGCCACCATCCGCAAATCGCCAACATCGTTTACTCCTCGCCGAGGGTCTTGCAACATCCAAGAACCAGTACAGTCTCCTCACAGCTAATTGTAGGACACCGCTACCAGACCTGAGAAAAGTCGTGGAGAGAGTCGCGATTGATAATGCCAAGATGCTCCAGGAAGCTGAACCAAGCATCAAAATGAGTCGATTCGCATACTCGTCGTCAAGCTTTGACGCGAAATCTTTGGCCCTCATATGCCGACTCTGCCAAACTCTCGATCACTCAATCACACAGCTTCTCATATATGCACCTATGCTGCCAGAAGACCTGACAGCTCGCTTTATCAGTGCGACCAGCATTTTGAATGAAAAGCTTGTCGCGGATGTGATGGCGGCGCTCAGCCTGATGCAGCTAACACTCGAGACTAGGGCTCCTCTTCCGGCAACCATGCCTTTCCCACTACACTTACGCTCCTTGGAGTCTGTACAGGCTCGATACGCAGGTGACATGGATGCTGCTGTGAGCCTCAACAGGGATTTGCTCGCTCAGGAAGGCGCGCGAAAATATTGCTCCGCCATGACTGCTTGGGTCCAGTTCTTGCGCACGATTGATGAGTTGGTCATGGTGGCGAAGGCTGCTGTAGGAGAGACTGGCCTTTATACTCATAGTCAAGTTGAGAATATGGCAGTGTGACCTGACCAATGAGGGAAAGTTACGGCCACAAGATTACTAGCACAAGATTACTAGCACAAGATTAACAGCGCATTTGCGGATGTTGCAAAGCTCAGGGAGTTCAAATGCGTGCAAATTCCTAAGTGATCGATGCGATCTCGCTCGATGACAGTCAAGCGAAGAACATTCATTTACTCCGTGTGCCTTGACGATACGTGTAACGTAAGGATTTTCGACCATGTGATTCGTAGATGAGGTACAGTCGTGTCACGTGAACGTTGTCTCTCTCTAGGAACTAGTCCAGCATACTGATCAGCTCCTGACTATGGCTGACGTACTCACGTGAGTTATCGGCTGGCTCGGATACTTGAAAGTTAGTTGTCAACATTTAAACAACAAAATATAAACTTACTCGACGAGCACTTTCTCCTCGGCCGAGCTGAGAAATACTCTGGGAGACAGTCGGGTACACTGCAATGACAGCTACTGCATGATCTGATGGTCAGGAGAGCTAGCTGGAGATTCAGCTCTTCCGCTAGATTCCACCAATTTTGATAATGTGGTCGTCTGCGAGAAAGGCTCAGAGGCGACAAGCCACTGTTCTTCTACAAATCGTGCTATGGGAGTAAGCTACAGACCCTGTGACGGGTGCCTGTTCGTAGTATCTTATGATGTGAATAGTATATTTGTACTCAGGCTGCGTAACATGTAGTGTAATTGAAACTCGTGTGCATGATAAAATTAAAGCAGTCAAGCACTGATGTTGACTTCCACACAAGTCATCTCGTTACTATTAGGTCTCATATACTAGTAGGTCCCATATAGCATATGTCTGATGGATCCTTGCTTGAAATTTAGTCTCAGCGGACGAATTTCCCAGAGGAATCGACACAGTTTACAGGAACCTCCGGAACCAGTCTACAGCCTGATTTGTAGACTCTTGAACAGCCTTCTTTACTTCTTCGTCCTGCAAATCGCCCCTCACAGCAAAACCGTGAGCTTGACCTTCGTATATGCGGAGCTCGTACTCTATTCGCTCCGGATCCTCAGCTTGCAGCTTATTCAGAGTAGCCACTGCCTCATCGACAGCCTTTCGAGACAATGCCAAATCGTTATTTGGGTATGCAATGCTACAAGGAACTGCATGAGTCGCCACGGCGTCAACAAGCATACTCGATCCCGAAAGAGCAGAAGGATGAGCTGTAAATTGCGCGTCCACTAGGCGGCCACTATCTGGATCGGTTGTATTCGTCTGGGTGCAGAGATTGACGGCATGGTAGCCACCCCAACAGAACCCCGCGACGCCAAGTTTCCCATCGGACCCGGCCATATCAGACTTTATCTTGCGCACAAATTCCACAACATCAGGGAATACAGAGGCGGGTTTGTTGTTCAGGAGGAACGGTACCATTGCACCCACGGTCAGAAATACGTTGTAGGCTCGCCTCAATTGCCCTCCAATGTCAGTCATACCGACGGTTCCCATCGCGACGTCCATTGCAGCCAACGTTGCCGGCGCGGCTGGCTTAGTCGGAAATGGAGGCGCGTAAACCCGTATACCGGTGCCTTTAGCATACTCGTCGGCCAGCAATTTGTTGTTGACAAGTGGCAGGCCGATGGCATCGCACATGTAGACTATGCGACTGTCGCTCTTGAGTATTTCAGAGAGCGGCGGTGTTACATAGCATTCAAGTCCATGGACCATGGTCATTTCGCCCTTAGGCTCGCCATGGGTATGTTGAGACCCTGTGAAGCAAGCGGGACAAGACATGGCTAATGTTCGTCATATTCAGGGTACATCAGGGTTGCTAAATCTGGGCGTACACCATTTCTTCTATCTACTTATTGTGAGCCGCGCGTCATCAATGATCTACACGATTTCGCCTTTTGGTCACGTGAAGATGTCGGCCTCTCGGCCGATAGCACTCAGCATTCCTTTAACGACCGCGCCGTGCCAAATATGTATGGCATTGGGCTCCCACAATTTATCAGTGTAATAGCACCTTCATCGACATGAGCCGCTAGGCCAAACAAATATGCGAGGCCACACGAACCGACATCAAGCACAGAGGAGTGCAATCAGACATCCAGAGTTCTACTGACGCTCCGTTGCATCACTTCGAAATAACCCAATTTCACGGTTAGGACGCATGATATCTGACAAGAGCAGGTTTGACAGTCAGTGAGCTACTCCATACAAGTACTGTACATCAGCTCGCGATCCGACTTTCTATTCCAGCCCAATCCACTAAGTGGCCGAGACAAGCACTAATCTGCTGTCTACTGTAGACCGCGACAAGGAACGAGCCGATCCGAGACAGTGAGGTCAAATTCCATACACTCTGCAATCAATCTTCAATCCGAAGAGTTCCTACTGTATGGTGTGGCAGCGTGAACGAGCACCTCAAAACTTCGTCTACAGTATCATTTTATTTTGTCCGCATTCTATGCCATGAATCATCTCATCAGTTTTTATAGTAATGCCCATTTATCTAAACTTTTTGCTGCTCGTCAATCTGCGCGCTTGTCTTACGCTCCATAGGCCTCAGTGATCAGAGCTTTGACAGTCTTGGGCTTTATTTCAGGGAAGTCCTGGTTCAAGGTGTGACTAGGTTTCAGATCGAAGACTCCATTCTCGAACATGTTGCCAAAAGCCGCAAACATTCCTTGAAGCATCTGTTTGGGAAAGTATGGGTAGAAAGGAGGGTGCGATGGTAGTTCCGTGATCTGACCAGTCTTCAACTTCTCAATCGGATCGTGCTCAATGGTGAACTTGGTCTTCTTAACCTCCTCTCCAAGTTTGACGAATTCGTTCAATGTTACTTTATCGCCAATAATGTATGACTCTTTCTCCCATTTATCCTTGGTCAGTAGGGCAGCCGTAAAGTGGCCAACATCAAAGGTGTGCGTGAAGACAACTGGCACGTCTCCGGAGCCGGGGATCGCTGCGAAGTTGTTGGCCAAATCAACAACAAGCGCCATAGGGGGCATGTACGTCTTCACTTTGGGTGCACCATAGTAATCGAGGAAATATCCATTGTACACAGCCGTCCAATCGAGCGAGGTAGCTTGCAACGCACTGAGAAAACTCAGCTTGGTGGCAGCAGGAGGGAAGTACGAAGCAATCCTGGAAGTCATTAGTCTCAGTCTATGAAGAAGTTCAGAGAACACATCGTGTTGGGCTCACTCTTCAGTGTAACGGATGCCCCAAATACTTGGGATATATCTCTTGGTCACCGATGACTTGTCCGCTCCCTTGAGCAGATTGAATTCTTGCTCAGGCGGAGACTGGCTACTCAAAGCCGACACGACAACATGGACGTTGTTTTTTTCGAGGACAGCCGCAATAGCATCAGGGCTGCTATAGTCCGTTTCGACAATTCGAGCACCTATCTGCTTTGATTTTTCTTCATCGGCCTATCGAGGTTCGAAGTTAGCTATCAATCCTCAAAGTGTATCTTTTGTTTACTTGCCTTGCGTGCGAGAACGAGGACTTCGAAGTTGCCAGCGGCCTTGATGCCATCGACAATAGCACGACCGAGCTTGCCGCTTCCTCCTGCAACTGCAACAATGGCCATTTCAGAACAAGTATCCGAAATGTTGTATCTTTACAATTAAACAGTTGTGTTCTTGAATCAGAAGTAATTGAGGGATAATAAGTAATCTTTCACCAATCTGTGTCTACTTACGCACATATAACAGTGAGCGGATACAAAATCGTTCCGATGCGGGGACTCGTAACGGATTCAAATGGATCCGAGGGTCCTCCAGATTTGTGAGGACTAATTGAAGTCTGCATGTTTGGAGCGTGTGAGGGAAATGGCGATCAAGTCGGGCTACCAATTTCCGTCAGCCCGATGTACGGTCTGAGTCTACTCTTTTAGTAAGCTTATGTAAACGGAGCTTTCCGTTGTTGGGGAAAGATGGATAGCCTTCACAATAAGAAGCTAGGTCCTGCTGATTGCTGGGAGCAAAGATTTTCTCAGGAGATACCTACCAATAAAACCACTGTGGCACGGCAACGCCAGGAGCTGACCCAACCTGAGGCCAAACGGCTCTGGCAAGATCGGGACTACTCGTGGTAGTTTGTATGATCTACGCCAAGCTATTTCACGAGTCCGACCTGCAGTTCACCGTACCTAGATATGTCTGCAATCCATACAAGAGTAAATGAGGACGCTTCACGGAGAAGGGGTAACTCGTACGGATAAAGAGATGTCCTCGTCCATGAGTGAGTTGCACAATAGGGCACTGCCCAAGTATCCCATAGAAGACACTACCGTAGATTGCAGAACGCTCTCGACGTAAAAATATTGATTTTAAGCCACGAGGGGTGCACGTTCCATGATGTAAGTTAAAAACTGTGCCTCCTAGCTTTGCACATGTTCGTCGACTGCACTTTCGTTACAGTGTTGAATCACATCGAAATGCCAAAGACCAACCGCACTCCTCCTATTCGCCTCAAAACATCAGAATTGTACAACAGTAAATCAAAAAGCTGTAAGCGTCACTCCTCGTTGTTCAGCAATGTTCTTGGTCGTTTTCCATAGCTTCTCCGCTTTGTCCTTTGGGAATGCCGGCTCAGTGATCTTTGTCTTTTTCGGATCCCACATGATACCAAACCTATCAGCTTGTGGAATTGTAGTTGCAGTCATGATGTTCACAACATTCCTTGCTGAAATGTCAGGCGTTGTGCCGAAGTAACCCATTACTCTCATCAAAAATGGCATTTTTGGATCCGCCATAGCTTTTGTTTTGGTGGACCCAACACAAACAGCAGTAATGGAGATGGGTCGGTTCCCCCACTTCTGACGAGCCTCTTGAATAAACATAAAGCCTAAGTTGTGCGTTCCAAGAATAGCTTTCCAGAAGCTAAACTTTGATTTCTCGAATTGTAAGTCATCAAGATCCGGCATCATAGAAGCAGGAACAGCTCCTGCAATATGCACGATTCTTCCATCTCTGGACGCCGCGAGATTATCTAAAAGTAGCGCGTCGATTATAACTCGTGCCTCGTACTGTAACGCAAATGCGAATTCCAGTCCATCAGATGTGATTTCCTTTCCACTGAAAGCACTCATAGCAGAGTGCACTATACCGTCCAGTATGCCACTCCATTGCTGGACTTTGGCGGCGGTGTCGCTTGCTCCCTTCGCAGTGGCCAGATCGCCCTGAATAAAGATAGCTGAAGCTGCGCCCTTGCTCTGAAGGGTTTGAACCGTAGCATCACCTGCTTCCTTACTGCGACCAACAACGGCAATGTTTGCGCCCCGTCCAGCCAATACTTCTGCGGCAGCCTGTCCGATACCAGCTGTTCCTCCAAAGAAGGCGAAATGCTTTCCAGCGAGATCACGTTTACCATCAAGTGCCATGTCTGTGATGGATTCAACTTTGCTGTTTGTATGTGAAAGCGACCGAGGAACAATCTTCTATTAGCGATAAGTGAGAGTGGTGTTGAACGCAAAGAATAGATGCGAGAACGGACCTTTTTATGTACGATCGGTACTTAGTGTGCTGCTATGCGACTTGCATGGCTGTGGCTCAATGCGCCTTTTGGGGAAAAGCGGTCAGCCACTTCGAATGTTGGCAAATGAACTTTGGTCAATCACAGACATACGTGTCAATCCGGCTTCTGTGATGGTGGCGGTGCGAATCGTAGTCCACTTTAATCGACATGTATCAATAATCATGCACGTTGAACAACCTATTCTGGAACTAGGTGGAATTTTCTGACTGAAAGTGCTGACTAAAGTTAGCGTAGGCGAGTCATCTGGGTGGATCGACGGATGCAAACTATATCCGTGCACGTCTTGGCGCATGAGAGGGGAGACGTTGGAGAATGCAAATGTCATCGCACGGGCCAAATTCTTCTCGAAGAGGTTAGTACCACTCGTCGACTACAACAGGCCTTGAGGATCTTATCTAGTTCTAAATAGCAAGCACGATTTACGCGTCAAGCCACAAGTACGCCGCGAGATGATCATACATCTTGTTGTCTATGAAATTAGCTCAAGACCGTCTCCGGAGTCATGAGATGACTGCCGATGGTCCTGAGCAATCGAGCTCTCAGGACACGAGCACCAAACGGACCTTCAATGTGAGCAGAGGTATGGTGATGTCCATGAAGCTTCACTGACCGTGCGTCGCCAGGCCTGCCTTCGGTGCAGGCATCGAAGGGCCCGATGCGACGGTGCAGTGCCAAGTTGTCACAATTGTCAACAACGAAACCAAGCATGTCAATACACTCGACGTAAGTCTAGGGGAGCCGGCCGAAGGTAAGCGTTGTATTTGGAGGTTTCAGCTAAGGTTCGCTGCTGAATCTATTACTTCACAAGCAAACAGCATATTGAGCTGCTTGAAGAACGGCTGAAAAGTGTTGAATCAGTCCTACGAGAAAATAGTGCCCACAACGCTCATGAGGAAGCTGTGGGAGATGACGCCGGCGTGAGCTCTACTTACGTAGCACTTAGTGCTAGTCGTTTCACTGAAGTTGTGTGACTAATCGGAGGCAGCCGCAGGAGTTCAACGTCTGTGACTCAGTCGTGGTCACAAAACCTCATGACGAGCATCAGCGCACATACATAGAAGCTCAAAGACCCAGCTCGGTCTCCAATCCGTATTACGCAGATATCGAAAACCACAACGGGTATGGTCCGCATGCTCCCCGAGCTTGGATAGGAACCATGTTCCCTAACCAAGCCTTGTTCTCAGTTCTCAGGGCTCAGCAAGACCAAAGATGCTTCCCACAAGCAGTCTTCAGTCCGCTCCCTCCAGAGGTCTTCGCCAGGCAGTTTGTCGAAAATGCGCTCGATGAGATTGGCAAGTTTTGGCCACTATTGGATACTACATCAATGCTTGAGATGATGGACGAACAATATGCCGCTGGATTGGACAACTGTCACCAGAACCAAGCTCGTTGGGCTTTGGTAAACGCTCTTCTCGCGATGAGCGTGCAGTGGAAGGCTGCGAGCAGCGCCACCAATGGTCTTTTCCCAATGTCGTGGACCTACTTCAAAAATGCCTTTTCCGTTTTCCCACAACTCGTCATCCAGGGGAGGGACCTGGTTGCATGCCAAGCGGTCCTTATCATGGCTATGTTCATGCAAGGGACTGGAGATGCACGAGCTACTTCTAGCTTGATCGCCACAGCTGCTCATCTGGCCCAGATAATCGGCTTGCACAATCGTGATTCATATCCTAACATGAACATTGCAGAGGCTGAAAGGCACAGACGAGTGTTCTGGTCGGTCCATGTTGTCAGTAACAATGTAGCTATGAAATGTGGAGTTTCTGTGCCGTTGGACGACGATGAAATCGAAATTGAGCTTCCAAGCGAAATTCCTTCAGTTGGTGTGGGCCACATAGGCTCAACTAACCAAAATCTTTTCAGATATATGGCCCAACTCTCCATCATTCAATCGAAGATTCTTACGTTAGTACGGCGGCGCGTGAAGATGTTGGGACAGAACCCTGCTGAGTTCTTCAAGAGAATAGCACGATTAGATCATCAGCTCGAAGATTGGAAGTCTGGGCTGCCTATCGTCCTTCGACCGATGACAAACATTGTCCTGTCCGAATCCGATCTCGACTCGTCGACAGTACATCTACATCTTGCTTACTATGCAACAGCATACAAACTCCATGCATCGATAGCACACTGCGACAGTCGTGCCGACATGCGTTCAGAAATCGCGAAGTCTCTTTATTCTACACGCGATGTTTTGACCATGTCATGGTCATCGCCAACTCCGGTGAATGGCGCTCGTGCTGCGATTTTTCTGATGCAGCATGTAACCTCTCTGGCACTCCCACAGCTCTGGTAAGCGGCCTCAGGGTTTAAAGTTAATCTATGCTGATGTGACTAGGCAATTGCTTCAATACACATTACCAGCGTATCTGGTTCTTGTTGCATCAGTACTTGATTGCCCAACAAGTCCGGACGCGCAGTCGAATGTTGACGTACTTGGTCAATTTGTGTCATATTTGAAAGATCTACATTCCCAAGGATATGATCTACACAATGTCCTATTCGGATGTGTAAGAATTTTGGATTTGGTATCGCATACAACGAGTGCCTCAAGGGATATTCTACTTCCTGAGGAAGTAGGACGCGGCAGCAACAGCACTGTAGGATTGACTGAGCGATTAAGGGTAAGTTCAGATCAGAATTCGAAGTATATTGCTGAAGATGAATAGCATATTCGAGCCGGGCTAAACGAGGCTCTTGATCTCATGCATATTTCGCTGGGGCTGACAGGTAATATGCCGATCCCGAATGCCCAAGCCACAAACATGTTCTCTGGGATTCTTGAGATGTCTCCCAATCCTATGAACGAATTCGGACCCTTTGTTCCTACGGCTCTAAAACCCTCACATTATCACTTTGCGTTTAGACCCTGTTGAGGATGATGCGGAATCACGAGAAAGGAAACAAGCCGCCTTAAGAACATTCTACGTCTTTATTGATGGAGCACGTAATGATTCTGGCGGTGATTCTGACGGCGACAGAGAGAGAGAGAGAGAGAGAGAGAGGTGATGTGACGTGAACTAAACGTAAGTTTGAGAGCATAGTCGTCTAAGTGTACCCCGATAAGTTTTCAGAAGGTACAGGTATAAGCAGTGGGAGTAATACATCGCTTTCAAGATCGCTCTCATATCCAGTTTAGGTACTATCTGTCACGACCTGAGATGCGGCCGGACCAACAGGAGGAAGGTAGGCCGGGCCCCAGCAGACGACACAAGGACACCACACGCCGCCAAGGCAACCAATCAGGAAAGATCAATGTGGGCCATGTTGATACAATGCAGCATTGTTCAACATTGGGGAACATTGAATCTATGGCACAGATATACAAGTCATTTCATAGCACCGTCAGTCTGGTTACTGACTCCGTAATCAATCTCAATCACCTTACTCAACCCCCTTGAGCATTCCACCTTGCTCATCCTGCTGACTGTCCCCAAACACGTACTAACTGCTAAACCAACGCCTTGCATTCTGACCTCCTTAGGTTCTGCCCTAAGAGTGAAGGAGCATCGTGACACTATATACCTATAGCTTTACCCTCATTACCCCTTTTTACCTCTGTATTCCCCTGAGGGATAAGGGATTAATTTCCGTATTAGGTAAAGGAAGATCTATAAGAGGAGATCTAGGTGTTAGTACTTTAGGCCCAGGTCTTTATAGGCCTACTGGATAATTACTAGTTGGTACCGGTTATCTCCGGTAATCTTAGCAATAAGTATATATACCGAAATATAAAGCGTACGAGCTGAAAATAGATACAAACCGCAGCGGTCGTCTTCGCGTTAATGTTAGATATCTCCTTTGAACTTGACTCGTATGGGGACGAGAAGGCTGAGTGGATCTCTAATGGTTAGTACTGTTAGTAGTATAACAAGGAATCTGATAACTGGCATATACTGAGGCTGGACACTAGTGGTGACTAGTGGGGGTGAGTATATAACTTAGGTTGACTACGGAGAGTCTTATCAGAGAGTGGCTATCTAGAGTCGTATATATAATCGTAATGCTCTGTAATGACTGGTGGCCCTGTGCGCTCTGTGGGACAGAGCCAGCAGGGCACGCAGAGCTCACAGGGCATAGTCTAACCAGATTAGGATATGCCCGCTGTGATTGGTCTGAATGCGGTCAGTGCCGGGAAGCCTGGAATGACAGGCTGTAACAAGGCTAGATTCGTAACAGTTAATCACCCCGTTCTTCGTCTTAGGCGTCCCACCATGCTCGGCGGGAAAGGGATATCCCTAGACTGACTCGATCATCGTCTCGTAAGCAGCCGCTTTATCCGTCTTACGCACCACGCTAACCTTCTTACCGGACTCCTTATATCTTAGGTTATATACCTACGCCAGTCAGGCCAAGGCTAATCGTCGTTAGTAGCAGTTAAGGATACCTAAGGTCTCGGCTAGCTCTACGACGCCGATTAGGGTTTTAGGGTCGTCCTTACAGAGATTATAGTAGGCGTAATAGCCCTATTAAGGTAACGCGAGTAAGACATCTTTTAATACCAGGGTTCGACATACCTCAAGGGCAATTAGAGGAACAGGCTGCATCGTCCAGCTTTACCTGCCACGAACATGTCCATAAGCTGTATATCCACCGTATCGTGTTTGATACCATTGACTTGTGCTTTCATGCATAGCAGATAAGCCCATCGATGGTCCCAGCATGGAGACCACCTGTTTTCACTTGTAGAGCTTTACTGCCTCCACGAGTCTTGCTTGCAACCCACAACTCCGTGTGGTGCTTTACAAGACCTTCTCAAACATGACACGGGGATCTTGTAGGACTGTGGGTAATGATGATCTTATATTTTCACATCCGATGGTCACAGTCTATAATAGTGTTGTACGGCAAGAGAACGATAAGTCGCCGAAACATTCCCACACTAGCAGTACTAGCCGATGCCTCTCCTGAAAGTACCTGTTGTTTCAGCACCCTATATTCTCAATGAATTAGGCGATATTTATATTTCATGGTCGACGAAACCATTATCGAAACCAAGTTTTGCCTGCCTACGCTTTACTTATACCTGGTTCGAACGTCCTCCAACGTACTTTTGGCTCGTGACTCTCTGATCGTCGAAGCTCGAAGCCGTCCCGCATGTGCACACTCAGTCGTACAGGTCAAGCGGCTCGTCAGCGCTTTGGGGCAAACGCAGACCCGTGGCTTCCAGGGCGTGGTCGATGTGGAGATAGGACAGTTCTTCCTCGTCCTCTCCGGGAAAGCGTATGGGCGATGGACACAATGTTCTTGATCTAGCACCGTTAGGGTATTCAGCACATTGACGTTGTTCAGCGCACCTACCTGACGACCATTAACATTCATACAAGCAAATCGGTCCAGATAGTCTGCACCAAAGTTGAATAACCCATCTTCCCCACAAAGGCTTGTGAGAAAGCCGGTGAGGACTTCTTTTTTGGCGGCTCTGCCGAGCGGGTGGTATTGCATCTGCAAGTGCATGCGATCGAGGATAGCACCGTCAAAATGATCGACCAGATTGGTGGTCAAGATCAGAATGCCATCGAAGTGTTCCAACTTTCGGAGGAAGACTGCCACCAGTCGGTTCCGTTCCAGAGTCAGCTCAGCACGTCTCTGGAGAAAGACGTCCGCTTCGTCTATCAAGAGAATGGCATTCCACGCGCTCGCCACCCGGAAGATATTGGTGAGTTGGGGATCTAGTTCTCCCGCGTCCGAACTGAGTTCTCCAGCAGAGACCTGGATCGTCAGCCTCACTTGGCAAGAGCGGTAGCACGATCACTCACCGAGTAGAGAGGTCGTCGGTGGATTTCGGACAGAGCCTCGGCGGTGAGAGTCTTTCCCACGCCTGGTGGTCCACTACTATCGTCAGCGTGCACGGTGGCGAACCCCAAGAGTCGTGGAATCTCACTGGAGCAATATCCTTGTACCACTTCCTGCAACACTCATGCTCGAGCCTGACCATTTTCCACCCTTGACTGGGCTCAGATGACCACGAGTCAGAGATCTGATGGTGTTCTTCATGCTGATGGGGATGGACAAGTGGTCAAAGAGTGCCGGAGACGGTTCGATACTCTGAACATGATCGATCGCGTACTCGCCTATGGCAAAGTGTCAACATCTAGCAATGCGCAACCAGCGTCGGGGTACACTCACCCCAAAACTTGTCATTGAGATTGAAACCCAGTGCCGTGGGAGGACACAGGACAAGCTTGTCCTCCGGCAGGTTGGCTAGATCCATCTCCCATTTCGTCACGCGTTGCTGCGTCGTAACGATGTCAGAAAAGAGGCCTTCTTCCGTTTTCTTGGTGATGATACGTGCATAGCCTGGGATCGTCTTGCGAAATTGGTCCGCGTCGATCATGATCTTAGACTGAACTGACTTTCGGGCCAGACCGTCCTTTACCCGTCGAAAAGCGATTCCGTCGTATGTTCGGTGGTGCGACCCTATCAGAGAGATGAATTCTCGGCCTCGTCCGATCAAAGACTGCAAGATCTGGTTCGGTGTTCTGCTGTAAGGTTGCACGCAGCTCGTACCACATCCAGGGAGCACCATGCAGAGGCACCGACTAGTAATGTAGCGCCATCACTGGTCAACACACAGCACACTCAGTAGCCTTCACATCCCCTCGCGTAGGTGGGATCTGGTGAAGAAGCGTCCGATATGAGCGAGGACACTCAGGTTATACCCGTTGGGATTGCTTCGAGCACTAACAGAATTCGTAGGTCTTAGCTCAAGTAGATCAGGTATATAGATCGGTAGCCGGTAGATCAAGGAGAAAGATCTTCATTGCCATCTTTCCAGCCAACATGAAACTCAGCGTCGTTCTCTCCAGCTTTTGTGCCTCTGTGGCTATCGCAGGTACCTGCGATAGTGGCATTTATGCTGTGCTTGCTCCTCTTAGTGCTTATGCCCCAGCACAAAGCTATTGTGCATCCAAGTATCCACCATCAAGCGTCCCTACGGAGAAAAAGAAACGTGAAGCATTGCCTCAAATAGACGCATCATCAGGCGCAGCAAGAGTAGCTGTCATAACAACCACGACCAGAAGTACGACACGATCGATAGTATCGACGACAACGACACGAAGGTCATTCACAACCACTACACGACCTTCAACAACTACTACAACTCGGTCAACCAGCACGACGAAGACTACGACAAGCAGGACTACTACTGCTGACCCGAAGGCCTTGTTGTTCTCGAGCCTTGTGTCAGCAGCCAATTCCGTTGCATCCACCTTCTGCTCCTGCATTGGATCACGTACCACCAGCACCGTATAGATAACCTGACAAGTCTTTGCTTTGTGAATGCACGCTAAGGAACTCTCAGACAACCAGAACTACAACCACTACCCCGGCCACCACTGTCAGCCCTCAAACGAACCAGCTACACCTTCTTTGTGCTAACTGTAGATAGACTACCACGATTCCAACAACGACGACGACGACCACTCAGTCTGTACCCATAACGGATGATGGAAATGCATTCGACTGGTCTCGATGAACTCCTTGAAAGTGCGTGAAATCATTGAGAGCCCGTAAGACGAGCACTGAACGCATGCATTAATGCCAATCAAAAAGTACAGGCTTGGCTGGGGATCACACGAGTGGGCTGTCCGTGTTGTTGAGCGGTGGTGTAGGATCCAGACGACGCGATACTCTCGACAAAGTACCAATATCGAGTGAATCCCAACTCGATGTGCGATTTCTAGGACCAGGGATAGATACTTATCTCACCTGGATAGTCAGGTCACCTGACGGCGCTCTCCATACCGTACCACCAAATTGTCGCTCTATGAAGTCACCCTGTGCCGGGTTGCAAACTGTGTCCCGACAATCGCAACGGAAGCCAGGCTCCTTTCTTGTCACTCTCCACTTCCGACTTGGACGATCCAGACTCACTGTAGACACTTCATCCAATAATTCGACCAGATCGACCAGAAGGTGCTGAAGACGTCGAACCCGGTAATCTGGAATCACTCTACCATTCCCTGACCTTAATTTCTCATCCTCTATAATTCTTCGGTCTTCTCTTTTATTGCGCTCTGAATTGACGAGGGTTGCCCATATCTGTACTGGATTCCTTTGAGGATTTCGGGATGTTTTAAATTCTGTCGAATAGAGATGCTCGAATCGGCGAAAGATGATCCGTTGGAACTCGTCCTCGTACCAGGAGAAGATAGTTTTTAGCCTCGACCAATTGCTGGTATCCTCCTCTTCCTCCTGATGCTCTTGCTCAACGGTTTCCTCCTTGTCTTCCTGCTCGACTGGTACTTTCTCCTCGTACTTCTTCTGAAACTCAACCCAACCGATTACCCGGACATTCTCTTTCTTTTCATCGCCAGCACTATATGCCTCCGTCATCTCTTCCTGCACAGCTAACATGTCATTCTCGGCCCAGCGCATTTCTATGCTGGCTCGATCCGCATATTGCATAGTTGCGAACTCGTCCTGTATCTTCCAAAGCATCTTCTTCAACAAACGTGCGTTTTCACCCCTGATATTGGCAAGAAACTGCGTGTTTATCCTAAGTACATGGACGCCAGCGAAATACTGGCCAAGCAGATATGATGTAAACGTGCTACTCCATCCATTGCCGTACGCTTCACATCGTTCGGGAGAATAATTATCCTCATTGAGTATATCATTGAACCAATTAGCCAAATCCCAAGCCGCAATGAGGAGAGGCGCTGAGTATTGAGCAAGGGCCTTTTTATTCTCGCGCTCCTGGGTTCGCTGTGCATTCCATGAGGACATGTAAGCAGTAGCAAGCGCGCCTATCAAGGCGAGAATGCCTGTTAGAATAGCTGCGATAGAGCTTCCCTCAAGCATCTTCGCTGTTCTCCGAAATCAGGGGTTTTGCGTCGAAGTACGATTCTTCGTGAAGGTTCGGGACAAGAAAATATTGAGTATCAGTCAATGAGGCGGTGGATTGACTTGGATGACAGAGTGTTTGTCGATTCGCCGTACAACAGGACTCAACAATGGCCTTGGTCGACATTGTTCCACTCTGGTGCTGCTGCTGCGATAGTTATATCAACAACTGACTCCGCTTCTGTCCACAACATTTCAGGTTCAGCCACAACAACATCGACCCTCGCCTAAAATCTTGGCGCGCTGATGAATTTCCACATTTGGCGAACACTACACTTCAGCTAATGATTGACCGCAGTTGCAGAAGCTAGATTTGATTCGATCGACCAGATAACAACGAACAAACCATTCTTGTTGTTCATTATCACGTAGAGTTTGCTGCATTCCGGGATAAGAACCCTGTTTCAGCTACGACTGCACCCATCACTATTCCATGCAAGTATCTGGAATCGATGAATAAAAGCAAGACGTACCACGTTTTTGGCACAAGCGGACGAGACAAAGTGTCATCGCGTGTGCATGATTCGCGTGTGTATTGCGAACTTTATTCCGCGTCTGACGATAAGCTAAAGCGGCTTGACGCCGTACCATGAGCAGGTGACGCGGAATCTCACCGAGCCAAGAAACTTTAATCAATCTAGGCCTACCTAAAATAAGTACCTAGGTAGGCAGGTATTTAGCGTAACGTCCTTCTCGAGCCCAGCCCTTAAGTGGACGGCCCCTCTCAGCTGAAGCTATTTAATTTTGAACCAGCGTCTCTTTTCGTAGTGACTGAATTCTGGAAACTCTTTTTCAGCTCGCCGCAACTCGGTCGCTTCAACGAGAACATCCTACCTGCATTCTGCTTATCGATTTTGAGACTTGCAACGGAGATCTGGTAGATCCTCTCTCGGTCTGAAATGGCCCATCTTCTAAATCGTGCTTGCCAACTGCTTCATGTATAAGGAATCAATACAGTGTAGTTAGTACCAAATGTCGTTACACAAACCTTCACTAGCTTCTGCCGACTTGCTGCCTGGTATTTTTTCGATATCCTTGACCAGGTTGACTGCGTAAGTCCTAACTCTGCGGAAGCCGAATTCGATGCACCGGTTGGTAATGTCTTCTTGGACCTTCGCCGCTTCCTCTTCAGTTGTCTCGTAAAGCCTAATCAGCTGAGACAAGATCCATCTCACGTGAACTTTCGCACGTGTTTGTGCATCAGAGTTTGATGCCAGTCAAAAGATGGTTCCTACTGCTGTGTGTTCAGCCGCAATGGCAGTCACTGTATCTCCACCCTTTTCTGCGTCGCAGAGAAACGACAATTGATCCAGGAAATTGCGCCAGAGTTTATCTCGTGTCTGGAGACCACGTTCGATCACGAAGTCAGGTTGCCGCCTTCCGCGAAAGGAATCAAGGACGTTCAAGAGAAGCAGGGGCTCGTAAAAGCGGCGAAGGAGCTTGTCGTTCTTACTCAGACTGTAATTTCGAGGCATATAGATGCAGAGGTGGTCGCTCAGTTACACAATCTTGTCGCATAGTCCATTGATACCTTGCCCCATGTTATGGCTGTTCTACATCTTTGATATCGTTCCCTATACGATCTTCAGGGCCTTGGATATCAAGTCGCATTTCATCAATACCGTAGCTGGTGTGGAAGCGTGGCGCGGCCGAGATATATGGAGGAATGAACCATGGCAGATTCTGATAGCACAGCAACCCGCCATTGACCTGGACCCGCCAACGGTGCAGATTTACGTGACTGGAGGTTCTGGATGAAGGTAACGACCCTTGGTGTTCGTGGAGAATGGCTGATTCGGCATGCAATTGTGCGCCTGCATTGGCGCCCAAACACGGTTTGCCGCCAACCTAGACTCTAGCTCGATCGGCAGTGAAACAAAACTCGTGTAACAACGAAAGAGAAAAATCACCATCTCGATGGTTACTTACTGTATTGATATAGCTAATGTAGCCATACAACTTGTTATTCATCGAAGCACACGGAACCATTCGCAGTCTTCGTCTCTCAATCGCTTGTTTACTTCTTCCCATTATCCTTGTGCATGCTATAGTATCGCGCGCCCGGCCTTCTTCCCCCATCTATCTTTACTTCACGAGTTTTCAAAATGTCCCACGACTTTAATACCATTAACAACAGTGCTACTAAGGATACCCTCGAACAGCATCGCTCAACTATATTGCGAAACGACCCTATTGAACGTCTATACAGGGTCGACCTTGAGATGATCACCGCCGCAGAAGACGTGCTGCAGGTCATAGTATGCTCGACAGATCACGCAACCACGCAAGAGAAAGGCATATCCGTCGGCATTGCGAGTCTACAGAAGCGCTCAGGTGAGCCCTTTCAAGGTTACTATGTCATATTCTGACACCACCATGGTGATAAAATATAGTCCTTTGAAACGTGTTAGTCCCGAAATTCGACTTCTTGAGCTCCTGGGCTATGGCCAAAAACATCGGCACGAAAACTGCCACCACACATGGTGGGATGCATGTTACCGTCAGCTGGACAGTCAGTATTCCAACCTTCAGTCTCTAGTGAAACTTGTTCATCCAAAGTCTATGCTTTTCCAGCCTTTATGTTATGAGGCAAGCCTCTAGTGGAGAACTAGTATCCAATGACACGTAAGTGTACAAGTTAAATCCTTAAAGGGGTTTATACTCGTTAAGACTTGGATGGCAATAGCGATAAATGAGTATTCAATACAGAGCGAGTCGATACATAGGTAGGGGTGTGTGTATAACTTAGGTTGACTACGAAGCTACAGGAACTACATAGGAGATACGTATCTATGTAGAAGTCAGCCATTACATCTTGATCAGTATGATTGTCTCTGATCAGTGTGATCAGTACTGATCCTACTGATCACGTCTGATCACGCTGAGCACTCTGCAGCTCACGTGACCTGTGACCCTTATTTCCACGTGCTAGGCTTCCTCGCCTAACCTGCCTATATCTTCAGACATCGCCACCATGTGGTCATGTTCGTAACACTTTAACTAGGTACAACGTTGTACTGAGTGGAGGTTCGATTACTTCCCTTAGTTTGTCTTCTGTTTACTTAGCCGAACATAATCGCTGATATCTCTTCAGTCGACAAACTGTACTGTTCTTCAATTGCGAGTAGGTTTCCAGAACAGAATATGTAATCACGAACGCACCTGATTAGAGCGGTAGCGATCGATTATGGACCGTCCTTAAATCGGTCGCTTGTCCCCTCTCTGGCTTCTTCAATTGACTGTGCGATCCACGATCACAGGTGAACGGGAGGTTACTGTACGAAATCGTCCCCCCATTGCTGATGTCTGTAGGAGTCGCTAGAAGGGAAAAATGTTCTGCAGGAAGTCGATCCCATTGTACTCGACCGAGTCCTCCAGTTCATGAACGCGGGACAGAGCACAACACAACGTAACTTCCCAGACGACGTGCAGTTCGTCTGTCCTAAATGTGTCTTGAGAATTCGACATACGTACATGACCTCGCCAAGGCAAGCGAATGCTGTGCCAAGAATCTGACATCACAAGTCCATGCTTTGTAGTCTGATTGGGCAACTAGTCAGCAAACTCGAGCATAGGAGATTAACCACGTGCTCAACACGCTCTCGCTGTACCGGTGAAGCAGCCAGTGCGGCGTCTGACCCAGAAGTTGTCCTCGGCGTGGTTGGAATTCGGTCAGGTAGAGACTCAGGTTCGACGATATCAACGATCCATCGAAGTGAAGGAAACAAAAAAGAGAGAAAGACTCACTGCAGCAAAATGTGAATACCACAGCGGACTGTGCCTGTCTCTTGAGTTGCAGCTGGCCCACCTCGAGGCGAAGTGAAGTACTGTTGAGTCATGCTCATCAAAGTGGTCTTGATACCGTGTGGATGGCAACTTGTCCAAGCGAATCAGAAGGCCACTGAACAGGATGAATGTGGTTGACGACAAACCCGCCTGGATACCAAATGGTCAGCATTTGTCAGGTACTCACGCAATCAGGGCTGACCAACCCTAAAAATTGAGTCCTAGACCACATCCGAGCACTGTCGGTGGACACCCCATGAGCTCGTCGTCAGTCAAGGCTGTGGGATCAAGACTGCGATCTATGACCCGATGAGACTGGGTGACCTGGGGGAATATGTATTCCGCTTCCACCCGTCGGGTCATGAGGCGAGCATAGCCGGGGTAGACCTTGCTAAACTCGTTGGCATCGACCATGATCTCGGACTGAATGGCCAGGCGTTTGTACTCGTCCTTGACCTGTAGAAATGCGGATGTGCAAACATCCTGGTTGGCTGCGACCTAGTTACCCGCGTTTCCTACAGGCGACAAAATGCAGCTAACCGTGCAAGATCAAAATCAATGCAGTGTCCGCTACGAACAGGTGAAAGGAAGTCAGCTAAAAGTGGGCGCGCGTGTGCTCACCCGGGCGATCCAGTGAAGCTTTACCACTAGTCCACTTCGCAGTCGATTTGGAGAGCGTCCTGCCACATTAGACCTTAACGAAACCGGGCTAGCAATTAATACGAAAAGCGACAGTCGAGGTTTCTATGATTCATGAAAGTTTCTCCGACAACACATACTGGTTGTCCTTGTAAACACGTTGCTACGCTGTCCGGCACTGCAAGCCTCCAAACAATGTGTTCAGTGGTGTCGATGCAAGCGCACAAGCAGGTGCCGTATCCTTACTAACCCGTTCTTTCACAGCCACAGTATAAATGCACAGGTTCATGTATATCAGTGATGGTTGACATTCTACGGGACTGTGCGAATCCATGGCAGAACCAACTAACAAAACCTGCCTCCGTCGTACGATCAGGCTTGCCAAAAAACCCAAACTGCCCAACCAGCCATCTTTCAGCTACAACGAAACATGTACCTGTGGTCAAAAGATGGACCTGGGAGATACACTGTGGATTGAGGAACAGGTGTTCTGTCACCAAACTTGTGTACCTAGCCAGCGATATTGCACGGAATGCAGGACTTCTACGAGATCTGTGCCTAAAACGTCCTCGGGCGATCTTTGTTGGTGAGTGGTGACATATTGTGGCTGACCTGTACTAATTTTAATTGTGAGCAGCTTGTATTGTGCAAATTGCGATTCAGCATACAAGAGCTTCAGAATCGGAGCGTCGAGTGACGTTGCCCTGCCTAAGAAGATGAGGAATCCTTCTGCTCTTTGTTAGCAGCAGTACTGAGCAAGTTTTGCCCTTCAGCTAGTTTTGAAGATCGCCGCAAAGCGAATAAATAACTTTTCTCAGCTATGTATTCGGCCTTTACTGCTCCCTCCCTACCTCTTCGCTCTCGAAAAGGCTGGAATAAGCCTTTCGCTTCTTACTAAGAAACGTGCCCGACTCTTGAAACTCAAAGCAATTCCTGTTTTAACAGCTTGCAACGTCGTGCTTGCCTGTGTATCTTTGCTTCCATCTCCTGACTAACAGCATAGTAGATTTTCAGTGACCTCTGTATGTGGCAGGCGTTTGTGCCTTTTTTTCCGCCTCTTTCGAATGTTTGACTCATCGCTGACTGCTTTTCTCTTGTGACCAAGCAATGGCTCGGAATCGTGGTGGACGGTCGAGGTAGGCTCGTGCTTGGTTTCTTTACCGCTTCTCACAGGTCAGTCAAAACGCTCCTCATGGTTTATATCTGTCTCACCCGTCGAGAGCTTGAATTGCGTTCTCAAAAGCTGCAATGATGGGCTTGTAGAGGGTCTCGGGGTCAGTCGGTGCTTTGGTGTATAACGCGCCTTTTCCAAATAAGGTATTGCGCAACGTCCTGGCCAATTCTTTAGCACCATCGAAGGTGGGCGAGAAATTGCTAAGCAAGGAAACCTCAAAACCATCAACGTCCATGTCTCCGCGCTTTGTTCGAGCGATCAGGCCGTAGCTGGCATCGTACCAGTTTCGCAACACATCTCGCTCGGGTTTGGTCCCTTCTTTCCACCCATACCGGATACAAAGGGCGAGAAAGACGTAGAAGAACGACTCGAGGTCGTGGCGATAGGTGTGGTCGATGCCAGCCGTCTCCTTGCGTACAGCGCCTTCCAAAATCTCGATGGCCATATATTCCAGTGTGCCGGTCATGTTTTTCTCCCCGCTTGTCTCGTTCCTGCCATCTGCGCCAATCTGTACCGCGAGATCATAATCGATTAGCATGCCCGAGCAGCCATCGTTCTGGTCAGGATCGGTCAAGATGATGTTGCCATACGACACATCTCGGTGCAGGATCTTCCGTTTGTACAGTTCCCTATGTGCATTTATCGCGTCTCGAAAGGCTTTCAACACTTCGCGTACGTTAGCAAAGTCTTGCAGCGGACGCCCAGCTGGAGCAATAGCAAGACAGGTCAACACTCGATTGTGCTGTGGTGAATGAGGTGGTGGCATGGTCGACACCCGTGGCTGTTCAAGTTGGTTAGGCTGGACTTCTCGACCTAAGTTGGATCGCAGACTGTTGGAGCGTGATCTTTTGGGAGGACTTCCGCCCTGTTGGCTGGTCTTGCGTTTGGTGCCACTGACGCTGAGACTCTCCAACTGTTGGGCAGATTGACTGGTAAAGGACAATTGTGATGCACCCACAGATTTCTCGTACACTGTATGTCCCAGATCGCGAAGCTTTCTGATCTTGAGACCGCTGCGTAATTCATTGATTGTCGTGATTGTAGTCGCTCCTGCCAACGTAGGGACGCCTCTAATGCCTTGAGCCTTTCTCAGGTGATCGACCTCCGATTGCTGCTTGTCGGCTCTCCACGAGAACTTGACGACATGTTTGCCGTCCGTAGTGCGGAAACACGTTGTCCCTCGACACGCGATGGCCGGTTGTTTGAAGAACGGGTCATCTTCCAACTGGAACTCGCAATCCTTGCCTGTCACAGGATCTGACAACGTGACCGAAGGGTACAGACGATCACGTCGCACGAATGTGTCGAGACCCAGCTCTTCTGCGGTCATCAAGGCGTACCCTGCCAGCACCCGAACGAATTGCTGTGGCTCCTGGCGAATATTAAACTTGGGGGAGCCATACGCCCCAGATCGGTCGAACACCCAGAGTTGCATTTGCACGCCGAAGACCAGAAACCCGTGGACGAAACGTCGTGTTGGTTGGGCAGAAAACACGTCCCGCATGTAGGTGGCCAACTGAGCAAACTTGGATTTCCACACATTTGTATCGGACGTGGTGAGTTCACCCACCATCGAACAGTCCGCAAGATGATGTACCTTCCCAGAAGGAGCGGCTCGGGGTTTGAGGAGAACGTCGAGCTGGCGTTCGCCTGTGGCACCAGCGATCTCACTCTTGCTCATTGCTCGGTAGAATCTGTTAGGTGCGTCTCCCAGGTATTGTTCTTGGAACGCATCCAACCACGCCCAGAAGTCGACCTCATCCGGTTTCAATGTATCGGGAAACCCTTGCAGTGGGTCGTCTCGAGGAAGCTTTTCTAGGATCTTTTCCACCTGCTCTGACCATGTCTTGTTCTCGAAGTATTTGGTGATGAATTCTGGCACGTCGATGTAGGTCGGCCCACTCAGTTCGATCTCGATGTCTCTGCGCAGTTCTTTTCGTTTCTGATTCGAGTCTCGAAAGGAGGCTGATGATCGTCGGAGGGGTGTCCCTGAGAACGATGGAGGAATGCTACTTCTTGGAGGTGTGACTCGAGAGAGGTCGGCAATGAGTTGCAAAACCACACGCCAGATCTCGAGGTCGCTGGCTTTGGTGGCTGCGAGTTTCGTGAGAGGGGTAAAAGGAGAGAGGTCGGAGGTCTCAGACTGCGTTTGTGCATAGATCGTCGCGAGTTTGGCATTCACAGGCTGCTGTAGACATTTGAGACGTCGTGCCACTGGATGTGTTAAGAGGGTCGCCAGGAGGTTCGATATGGCATCTCGGCGGCTTAGCAGGGCCGTGTGCTCCGGCAACGCATGACGTGCTGCTGTACTGCTGTCTTCGAATGCAGCACTGAAGACATCGTGATCAATCTTGAGAGGGTATCTCTTGATGAAGTCCTCATCTTCTTTCGTGAGAAAGGCCATCGTTGCAGCGTGGGTTGGCTGAGGCCTTGTCTGCATCAAAGGAAGGGTCGAAAACAACACGACCCAGCCAGGGCAAAGGCTAAACCAATTTTGACCTAGTGCAAGATATTCCGTCACCACGCGCTTTGCGCGGAGCATATGAAGATCTGCATTGCCAGCTGGGGGGCTTGGTGTTATGTACTAACTTACGATCCCCTACTCTACTCCGATGTCGTCTTCAGCGAAAAGTCCACTACCTGAATCTTGCACTACTCCTTTACACGCTGCGTATGTCGTCTGCATACACTGTTTCTAACACGCGATGTCACAGATCCAGGAATGTGGCCGTGGGTATCTACGGGCTCACCAACACAACCCCGATTTCAAGCCGCCAGAAGAATTTAGCGCAATATCACAGCAGAAACCAACTCTCTGTGACCCACCGATGGTTGTGAGAAATACTTTGGCATCCAGCACCGTTGACCGAGTTTAGTAGAAAAGGAGGAAGTTGGAAAGAGTCGAAGATCTCGACTATCATACGTATAGAAAGATATGGGTATAATAAACTCCTTGCTTTTTGAAGATTACCACTACAGTCGTTGCTTGTGTCTATTGCAAGAAGCAGATCACCTTGAAAGTCGCAGGTCAAAAAGCACTTGGATAGCTCCAGACAGAGCCAGTCTTTTTGAGTTCATGTGCTCCACCAATCCGAATTTCGAAGACGTCCTGTGTCCCCACGAAGTTGGCATCGAACTTGTTACTTTCCTGTCCCGAACTAAGCTCTGTAGGGGCGAGTGACAAACTCTATCGATCCTCGGTATTGATAGTCAACCCTACTCATTGGCGAATTTTCGGGGATTGTGGATCACATTGGTCGTACTGCGGAAACTGATGCTACCCGCGACGTTCTTCGACTGGACGACGCACCTGCAGAACAGCAAAGAGTAGTAGCACTTGGAGGGATCTGAGGGATCGGAAAGACGCAGCTCGCCATTACTTACGCCCGGCACCATTAACGTCACTCTTAAGTGCGGCAATGAAGCACTCCGATAGATGTATCGACTGCCCTGGCTCTCAAGGCACCGAAAGCTGTCCGTATGGTTCTAGAATGGGATGACTTCAGCCAAATTTGAGATTGAACTGGCTGCGGCTGTCTGGTCATCCTGTTTCTTTGTCCTCGTGTCCTTCAGAAATTCAGTCACGACCAGCTTGTGGCTGTCCGTCTATTCCTCGTTTTTGATATAATGCTTTATCTGAAACACGACGCCCGAGTCCATTATGGAACCTAGCAACGGATAAGGTGGCGCTGTCAGTATCGGTGACGTACAACACACCAACCTGCAACAATGAAACACCAGTGGTAGGGTCATAATAACGCTGGCAGATGAGAGTGAAACATGTCTCTTTCAGACTCCATCTAGAGAAGGAACTCAATTCATCATTGTGGAAGTCAGCGAGGTGTCGTTAGATGTGATGATACATCCTACGCAGTTGAGAGCTCTTGCGTAACTTGTTGCACGTTGACAACTTCGACTGGCTGTAATACACAACCTTTAAGATTACGCAATACTCATGAACACAGCCATGGATCTTTAAGTAGTTCTCTGGCTGTTGGACGGTTTTCCGGCAACCATTGAAGCATTCTCGTGACAAAATCAAGGAAGAGTTCTTTGTCCTCACCGAAAAGCGTGGTAATGGTAGATTCTAGACCTGTACCACGAGCTTCTTGGGTTTCTCTGTTAACCGGATTGCCTTTGACCATATTAGTAACATTGGTCATGCCTAGAAGCGTGAACCCTACCATCTGAAGTGAAATAGGAAGTCGCTGACCCTCCTCGGAGAAGAAGCTGCTTTGGTGGCGGGCCAAATAATGATATCATCTCGTCGAGATGCAACCCGGCTGAGTATGTATTCGTTTCTGGATCTGACGCACCAAAGAGCGATCGACCTTCCAATAGGTCCCAAATCTGTCATCTGTTAGTTGGCAAGACAGGCATAGCCCATGTTGAGCAGCACATACCATTACACCAAGATTCCATATATCAGCGCTGTATGACCAGCCCGCGCGTAAAATCACTTCTGGGGCTTGTAGGAGGTCAGGCTGGATCGGGTGATTATACGTGCCATCATCGGGTGACCTAACGGCAAGTCCGAAGTCTGCGATCTTAGGACGCCCTGGAGGGCCTCTTAGATTTCCAAAATTACGATGAGCATAGATGCATCGGTTGTCGTAAAGTTTCGCTGGTGTGGGATCCTTTTCTTCCTCCTTGATAAGCTCGCTTATTATTTCCTCGTCTTCAATTCCAAGTAAAATGTTGTCAGGCTTGAGATCTGGACGTCTTAGCACAATTTCAGTCCAATAAATTCTACGTTAAAATACCCGTATGGATGATATGACACACAGTGTGCAAATAATCGAGTCCAGTCAACAGAAACTTAAGCAAGGGCTTCATGAGATTGCCGGGTATGCATTCGTTTTTCATACGGCGTTGGAAGGTTGACAGGGTTTCTCGCATGGGCACATATACGAGACATAGATGTGCTCCAAACTGGCTTTGAGCTTCGAACGACTCCAGAACAGTCCTTACATAACGCAACCCTTCATGCTTCGGATCTGCTTTGGCAATCCATTCCGAAAGTGCTAACTCAGAGGATGCAGAGTGGCGGTCAAGCGCACCCCTCGTCAGGATCTTGATGGTGACAAATCGGTTTTTCTGGATTTTCCACCTAAGAAATTGTTAAAACTGCAGGGTGACATTTTGAATTGGCGGTACCTCGTTATATCCTGCGCAAGCCAAGTAGTAGATCCTCCACCGAATCCTAGTTTCGCTAATACCTTGTACCTGTCGCTCAATACTTGGCCAATGGACACAGGATAGTAGTTCTCTGGACGGTATCTGGGAAGCGTCTCTTCTTCTATGAGTTCAGCAACTGTCGTTGTTGCTCTTTGTTGTCTTGTTGCCAGATTTGAATGTAGCCTGTTAGTATAGTGATAGGTGGACCATTGCGAAGAGCCTCTCCGAGCTCCGAGCATTTTCGGATCTAAAAGGGTCCTCAGGCGAAGGTTACAGATCCAAGGGCGAGATGTAGGAATTGTTTTGCCCAATATGCAATCATGTGCTCGAAGGTGACTAATTGACACGCCTATGCTGATTTGCCGGAACTAGAACTCGTTCACACGTGCGTTCCATGCATTAAGTAGGAGTGGCTGAAATGGCAAGCGCGCGCATGAGGTCGCTATTTTTAAGTACCTGACTATCACATACGCGTTTCAGCACTGAGAGCGATAGATGAACGATACCTCGTACTACATGGCCCATCTAAAATATTGAGATGGCTACAAGTACGTCTGTCATACTAGTACGTCTTAGTACATCTGAGAATCTCCATCATTTGACCTGATCGAGAATGTCTCGCCAATTTTCGTCCGCTGCACGAGCTCTAATTACGTTTTTGTGGGACGGCACAAGCAAAGACACAGCCTGGGAGACAGCTGCTAGACAGTGCATCGAGAACAACACTAAGCTTCCCACAATCGAGGTCGCAAAAGTCAAGTAAGTGGCGGATCTTGTCACAATTCACCAGTGATTAATATGCTCATCTAGAGGTGAACCCCACAAATCCAAAGATCCAAAAGAACACGTTTCAATGGTTCTTTATGATAACAACGATGTCAGAGTGACTTCGGTCCATGTGTACAAGGATGGCACAGGAAAATTCTCCAAGGGCAAGTTCAACTAAAAGAGCTGCGTCGATGCCGCGCCAGCGAGGAAGGTATCAAGCATATCAGGACCGGATGATACCAAGACAGATGAACTCTATACATGAGCACGTCAAGGACGTCACGGTCACTCTAGCTATAGTGTTTAATCAAACTTGGCAGCCGTGCTTCCAATTTGAGGCTGCCACACTCGACCCGGACGGCATCATCTAGCTCTTGACATCCCTTGCCTTCTTGCGCGTGGAGGCTGAATCTGCCGCGGAATTTGGGAATTTAGGTGCTACTGCTACATTAGTGGATAAGGCAGGCATATTACCAGTACAGATTGTGCTACAGATGTCCACGTCCCTAAGGTAAATGTCGCGAATCTGCCGCATCTCGTGTCTGGCACTTAGATTATCCATTGGCCTTCGACGAACGAAGCCATTACCATTGTTCTATTGTCCCGCTGGACTTCTCGCTTGTGCCCATGAGCGTTTTGACGAAAAACTTGTAACCGATCCATTCGTAACGTTCCATGTTGGGCATTGTCATTGCTTCCGGACGTTTCCTCATCGGCGGGTAAAGTGCCGACCGATGTGAATGTGCTGCAGGTCTGAGGCCAACGCCCGGAAGGAGTGTGGCTGCCGGCCACAACTTGAGTCCTGCGATCAGGACACTGCATAAAGCATGCACATATGAGCTATCGCAAGAAGGAGATGTGATCGGAAAGCGCGGTGGTCCTAGTTACTACCCGAGTGTCTGCTCCTCCGGCTGTTTCTTTGTTCACTCATCCTTTGCATGCAAGACTCTTTGTTTGACGCGTCTCTACAGAATGACGTAGGATCTACCATGTGACAAATGCCGGCAACAGCTTCGCATGATTTGCAGCTGAGGAATCCGAGTTTTGTCTCTTCGTGGAAGCAATCTGCAGGCGAACAATACTACAAAATTTGACAAGCTAATCCGTGGCATATCTGTCTACAGTATAGTATTACCGTACAACGTGCTTGTCTCAATTGCCTTATCCTCAGAACTGGTCCTCGTCCTCAGAATTGACCCTATTCTCCTAGAACGAAACCTTCCTCCCAAAACGTTCCTGTCAGAAAGCGACCTTTCAGAAATCGACCGTCTGCAAGATAATCCCACTTCTGAGTCCCAATTCCCCCTGCCACAAAGGTCGAAACATGCGGCCAAAGATATATAAAAGACGCAGGATCCCTGGACGAAGAGGTGGAATTCACACAACCTGTTGACGTGTCGTTGCATCGCTGTTGCAAGCCCTGGCCCTGAGTCATACCCTCACTTACTATCCTTTGCTGCACAAATACAATGGCTTCAACAACGAAAGCTGAAGGCCATCGTCGAGATACAAGTCACCGTGAGCACGGCTTGTTCACGCCAGGGCCTGAGCAAGCTCGTCTGGACGCCGACAAAGAACGTCAGTTGCAGGAGTCAGCCCAGTCGTCTTCCATCGCCGAGGATGGTTCACAAGACAGCGCTCTATCCACTCAATCGAAGCCCGAAGCAGATGTGGAATCAACCGCGTCTACGGAAGCAGAAGATGACCAAGGCAAGCGATCTGCGCCGACGCCAGCCCAGATTGAAGCGATGAACAGGGTGCTGGCCTGTCAGCCGCGCCAGTACAGAAAGATTCTCGATCTTGGCTCTCGCGATCCGAACTCTCAAGCAGACAGGGAGAAGATCGTCAACAGCTTCAGGAGGCAAGGCTGTCTGACCCATCCCGATTACAACCTGGCTCCACAGGCAGAGAAGGCGTTCAAGAGTATGTACTATTGCCACTGTGAAGTCCTCCGATGAGCTTGGCTTCGGCTGACATAGGCCTGGGAACTTGCGTGATAATACAGCCAGCACTCGTGTGCGAGGGTACACCAATAGATTTTCCCACGTAATGCCACGGAAGGTTTCATAGTCGAACAGCTGGAAGTGATGCACCAAGAATCCTTCTAAGTCCGCGATCCATGCATCTCTTCCAGTCTGCAACTCGAATTTGTAGTCCTTGCTGCTGCTCCAAATGTCGATACGATATTGATCAGCGCCGTCTGCATTGGGTGCCACAGGCTGGAGAGTCTGCGTCTCGATGACTGCATCTGGTCCAACAGTCATCGGTAAAGTTCTTGGGGACACACAAGTTTCTGAAGGCTGAACAAGGTGGCAGCTCAAAGACTACAGGGTGGACGGATTGCGCCATAGGATAGACTGTTCACCACACAGGGCATGTGCGAGCAGAACAACTGTTGAAGGTATAATATTGTCCGATCATTAGCAACTCTCTTTGCCGAGCACCATCAACAATCTACAAGGTATATCTGAATCCTTCGAGACCCTCAATTACCTTTCCACCAGCAGCGGCTCTCTTGTTAGCTCGTGAGAATTTCAGGTCCAGGAGCAGCGTAACAATAACGATTACTGCAGCAGCCACCATACAAGCAGTAATGCCCGGTATATACTCTGGGCTGTCCTGCGTCCTAAAGACTGTAGAGCCGATGATACCACCGATACCGCCAGCACCAACAAGGGTGGCAGAGCAGAGAGCTCGCTTCCACTGACCACGGATGTTATTCGCTTGCCACGTCAGGACGCAAGGGATATTTGCGTTAGCAGCAGTGGTAGCAAGAAAGACGCCAAAGTATCGAGCTCCAACGTTCTCGACGAAACCCATTAGTGGCAGGCCGACAAGCGCAAGAACACCATTTGCGAGTATAAAAGGAGATCTGATATGCCACTTATCGCCATACCAGGCGAAAGCAAACATGACGATGGCGGCGAGGACGTATGGTGGTGCGATTAAGCACTGTGACGCAGCGCGACCGAATCCCATTCCCTCGTTGAGGATAATGGGGAGGAAGAAAGCAATGGCGTATGAAATGGTCGTGGAACACATAAAGAGCGTGGCGAAACCCCATACTTTGAGGTCGAGGGCATGCTTTAGGTATTTCCCCACAGCAAATGCCTCGGGAATCGCATCGTGGCGATCCTTCTCGATCCTTGCAACGACGAATGCAGCTTCTCGCTCGTTAAGGAAGTTCGCGCCAAAGAAGCTCTTTTTGGCGGCGAGCTCTGGGAAGTCGACGATGAAATACCAGCCAATCATTCCAACAAAAATTGTAAGAGCACCCTGTAAAATAAAGATCCACCGCCAACCGGAAAGACCAGGACCAAAATATCTCGGGGCCGTAGGGTTCGCTCGGGTCGGACCAAAGTGGTAGCCCATCCAGTCAGCGCCTACACCCTTGCCCGCGAGTTCAGAGAAGCCGTAAGCGAGGATACCAGAGAACGCTGACGACATGCTACCAATGAGATAGAACACAGCATTTCGCTTTTGAAGTTCATAGCGTGGGTACCAGCAGGAGAGCAAGTAGGCACAACCTGGGAAGAATCCAGCCTCAAAGACACCGAGGAGGAGTCGAAGTGGGAGGAGGTCAGTCCATACCCTGACGAAACCAATGCCGATCGTGGTGAGACCCCAGAGGATGACGATGAGGGGTAGGAATATTCGGGGACCGACTTTTCGCAGGATGACAGTAGCTGGAGGTTGGAGGAACACATAGGTAAGGAAGAAGACCAAGACCATGATACTGTATCTGGAACCAATGAACACTAAGTCCACACCCATACCTGCGACGACTGCAACACCCGTATTTGTCCGATCCATCAATGACACGCAGTACATGAAGCCGAGTGTTAAGACGAGTCGCTTATCGATTCTTCGAATAAGTTTCTTCTTCTCCTCCAAAGAGAATTCATCGATGACAGCATTGTTGTGGCGGTCGGAAATGCCAGAGGAGGGTCTCTCCAGTTGTCCTGCGTCATGGACCTTCTCGTCGTAGGACGCCATCCTGGATAAGATGTGGTAGGCTCGTGACTGATTGAACCGTATGAAAAGACTTATGGGTGTCGCTCGTGTTAAGATGAGGATGCGACTTGGAGGATGAAAGAATGTTAGGAGATGCTTAACATATACCAAGGGGTCGTGTCCTCCCAAATCTCTCCACACCCCAGGTTCAGACTCCATTTCAAAATCGAGGTCTCTAGCGTCGCTAGCTTGGCAGATTATGCAAACCAAGGTTCTAGAACCGGCGCAGGGGATCGAGCTTAGTGTGAGCTCGATGGTTGCCCCGGACTTGAGTGGGAACGAATAAGAAGCTTGTGCCCTGAGAGTGAACCGAGGTGAATTTGGTCGATCTCGCGTTCGACCAACGTCATTCGCGACCTCGAAAGATCTGCAGCGTAATACTCTGCGAGACTCAAATTAAGTCACGCTACACGGATGAGTGCTTGAGGTGCCCCGCGTCGTGGCAAAGTCACGTCTTCACATGAGCATTGAACTAGCTGTTGTCGTTTGTTCCAAGGATAAGCGATCGAGCCTCCCGTCGCATGTTGTTTTCAGTGGTAAAGGTATACATGGCGCAGGTCGCTCAACCGTGCTTGACGTGTCTTGTCGTGCATGTATCGAGCTTGTATCTTTTAGCATCTCCGGCACTTCAGTTGGTCAAGACGAGGAAGGGGCGAATCTATGTGCTCAGTGATACTGGCGCTTAACCGTGATGCTTGCTCTTGGCTCGGACTATGTCCGTTCGGAACCGTTCGTGTCCTTCATCCAGGCCGTAAGCGCGGATCAGGCTCATCTCAAAATCATGAGCCGCGGTTGAAACAAAGCACATCGTATGCTTATTGGAGTGATGACCACTTGCCAAGCACGCTAGTAGCGACAGAGTCTAAGATCAAATGTCTTGGCATAGGCTGAAAACGAGCAGTTCTCCGTGGTAGCTCAGGCTCTACTGCGGAGGTACCAAAGAGTTTAACAAGCTTCGGCTGGGGGTCTAGCGTCTCGATTCCTAATTGGGAAGTTACGCTGATTGATCTACCATCATTACAGAAGTGGGAGGTGTGGCAGGACTGCCACTGGTTGTGTGGTTGTTCAATTTCCGGGTCTTGTTATTAATGACATTATTCCCTGGAGCTTCAGACACCACCCTCTACCCGCAATTGCTAGTACCACAATCAGGAATATCAACCACTTGTGATGCTTGTTAAGCACTTCAGGAAACAGGAAGACTTATCACGCAAGCTCCTCGTCCGAGGGTAAGTCAGACGATGATCAAGAGTGGTTGGTATGTTGGCTTGTTAGTAACTAGGGTCAGGGCGCAGACACAGGTCAAGTATCGTAAGATGGGCATCAAACAATACAGGTGAGTTGGTGAGGGAGATTGATTACAGAGTAACTATCAAACGTCAGTTGCGCCTGACCTACGTCGTATATATGCTTCATGATTCCGGTTGCTCTTGTGCTCTTGTGCTCTTGTGCCAAGTGACAAGATCGAAAGAGCATAAGATCAGGCTGAGTGGTATCCAAGGCTTTCGCCAAACCTTCCTTCCCTGGAACTCGGTCTCAGTTCTTGCCTTGGCTCTTCTGCACATCCAGTCATACGCCTGGCCCTAGTCCTGGCCGCATGATAAGTCGTGACATGCCTCCACCAGCCTTCATAATTATAGAGGCTATATCTCGTAACTGGACGTGGTTGTACGCGTGTCCCGCTTTCTCTGATTGTAATAGGAACGTAACAAGCATGCTTTCTTGTAGAGGGGATAGGTTTTGCTGATTTGAGTGACTAGCGACGCGACTTTGGTGACCTCGTCGGCGTCGACCTAAAACCGTATGATCGAGCTGGTACCACTTTGCGCAGGCTCGGAGAGAGGAGAAACGACCATCGTTAAGATCCTGGAGTGCTTGTGCAATAGTCTGTTCTTTATCCATTGCTATTGAGTTGTTTTGGTTGCGTGGGAGTGGTTTGAAGGAAGGGTGGTACGAAGTAAAAAAGTGGTGCAAATCTAGGTGCGTGGAGTTACGGTTCACCGTAGGTGACGATTATTTCTTGTGGTCTTCTAGCATGAAGGCTTGCCTCGTTGGACCACCACCATTATCTGTGGTTTCAGGAACCATTGTTGAATGCTCGCTTGGCATTTTCAGGGTCAATCGCATGCCCACGTCCGATCTGCTTTTCTACCTCAACATGCAAAGCATTCACGACAACCGGCCGCACACCTGACCGCCTCGTGCGTGTGCGTCCGAGATGGAGGGTGCAGATAACGTGTGATCAGTCTCACCAGCGTTTCATCGATGCACACAGTATTTCACTCATTGGTTCACCAGTATGAGGAACCCTCTTGACGACAAATGCGCTTTCCTAAGCTGTGAGAGGACGTTAGCGTGGAAGAGGCTGCAACAAAATTATCACTGTGCCGGAGTCGATGCGCAGATCTTCCCGTATCGCTGATTACAACCGGATCATTGCTCCTTGCAGGTGCGAACTGCAATGACGAGGCCTAAAGCACCTAAATCTCGATACATTTTCGGACATCAAACGTTTTTTGACCTGGAAACGGTTGCAACACTGTCTGAGTGCTGAGTGTTTGTTGTCGAGTGTTAGACCTTTGCCGTACCAGAATAAAGCCCAGCAACTTCTTGAAAAGGGGAATTTTTGTCCGACTCTCTGAAGATTCTTTCTTCAAACTCTCTGCTTCCTTCTCGCAGCGATTTCGACCAAGATCATACCCCCTCTGATTGCTTATTATCTGTACCTGTCCTCGACAAAACTCGGTTGAAAAGTGTGTATGCCCAAATATCCAGTAGGTGACGGCTTGTAGTGGATTGGCTTCTTGGTTTTCACTGTCATCAAGGAGTTCTGTAGCAAACGCATCGGTCCACGGATTCTGCTCGTGTTCAGGTTTGGAGCTTCCCCTACGAACAGGCGCATGATGAGTGATAACAAGAATCCGATGGGTGCTCTGTGGTGCATTTGCTCTAATCTGCTTAATGTTTGCTTTCAGCCAATTCAAGTCAGTTTTGTGCTCGTTGTTGTGGTCAGCTATCGTCCAATCCACGATTCGGCGAAAATCTTGGATCTTTGACTGAACAATCTGCTCGCATCCGGGCGTAATGAAGGACTGGAGCGTACATCCTAGGAGCGTTACGTTTTCCGCCAATTCAATTCGCGTCCGATTCAAGATTCTCAAGCGTTTGTTGAAGCGTGGCTCATTCTCAAGTTGTGCGGCCAGCTTCAAGCCATTGGCCCTGCTGATGCCATAAAATTCGTGGTTGCCGAGAACAAGAAAGACCTGGCTGAAGTTTGTGCACTGAGCTTCAAGAAAGTCGGCAAAGAGGTCGTAGTCAGAAAGCCTGCCGATGTCCCCAGCAAGGATGAGATTAGGCGCGCAAGAGAGGATTTTGAAAGTTGAGTACTGTAAGCCAACCTCTAGGTGGAGATCTGACATTACTTGAAACCGCATCTCGTCAAAGACATCACACAAGTTACCAGTTCTCGCCTGAAAGGTATGATGCGAGCGAAAGGCCAGCAGCTTGTAGGCATGACAGGCGCTAAGCTTAGGAGTCCGCGTTTAGTGGCGCTGCTAACTTAAAAACTTGTAGGGGACTACCGTAAAAGCATTCGTACAGCTGGCTTCAAACTCCTGCAAAATGCCATGGCGACGCAGAAATCAGGCATTGCAGAGCTTTTGAAGAAATTGGTCAGTCTTCTCCAGGGAGAGAATGTATTATGTTGTCTCGTTGGTGAAATTGCCTTGAACTACTACAACGTACCTCGGGTTATACATGTAAGCCAACTCTCAGGACATAGATTGTTGACTGATAGAAAGCAGGACATTGAGATTTGCGTGCCTGCTGGACAATTTGCTAGGGCTGTTGGGGTCTTTGCACGACTAGATACCGGCCTTCAAAAACTCGAACCTCCGGAGACAGACGTGTTTATCCAATACAAGCGACTTTGTCCACGATTTAGGGATTACAGTTTCGCGGACATCGATGTCGTCCTTCTTGAAGATGATGACTATGGGTTTGCGTTGAACCACACAGCTCTCACGACCCAGGTATCAAGCTCCACGTACAGCAAAGAGATTCTGAATGTATTGCCGGCAGCGGACATAGCAGATTTGCCCTTTCCAAAACTTCGGTGTTTCTTTAGCGGAGTCTGTCAGAGGTATAAGGCCTCTGGTGAGGCTTTTTTTGGTATTGCCTCGGAGCAGCTGGTGGATGGCATGGACATCAGCGAAGATGATTGCCGTGATTGTCTGCCTGAGACATCAGCAGTAGCGAGAGAATATGCAGTCGAGCTCGCCAAAACGAAACGGGACAGGATTGACTACTTTTCAGATAACACTATCACATGCTACGTGGCAGACGAGGATGAAGCAGCATTGCTGTTTTATATCCCTGGTCATATACACAATCCGGTCGTGAAGCATAAATAAAAACCCGGCGGCTAAAGAATTGGAAAGCCATTGGGGGAGCATTAGAGCCAGCTTTAGTTGCAGATTTACCACCATCTCAACATCAATTCCGTACATTTAATAGTTACTCTGTTTCCTGAAGTATCACTGTTCTCATAGTTTCTCGAAGACAAGTTTCAGTAAATACTTTCCTAGCATGCTTCAAGACCGCCTCAGCGAGGCTGCAATCGCCTTCCACCGCATCCTGGAAGCTAACAATATTCCCTATGGTATTTTTGGTGGCTTTGCTATCGCCTGTCTGGGAGGCGCACGAGAAAGTAAAGATGTAGACTGTATTGCTAAGGTCAACAAAGAACGACTCATCAACATCGTCGACGGTCGCTCCGGCTTTGTTTTTGTCAATCAGACTCGTCAAGACTATGTCGCATTCCTTTGGTCTGATACACCTGACAGGAGAAACGCCGTTCTTCTTGAGGTTTTCGTGGATCAATTTCCCGGCTCATGCTATCCCTTGACCAATGTGCCCATGGGGAAGGTGCAGGTGAAGGGTCAAAATTCCGGACAACAAACGATTTCACTTCTTGATCCAGTCCTTATCTTCAAGGGCAAGCTCCGTGCGGCTGCTCTCCGCTCGAAATTCCACGATTCTGCTGATCTTCGATGGTTGGAAACACGGTTCAGTGCACAATTGGCGACTACAGTGGCGCAATTTGATCCAGTCTATGTTGGTCTGGCTCTGCGTCGCTACCCCGAGCTCAACAATACCTTCCTACGACTCGGATTGGATCTTCAAAAGGCCGAGGCAGCAGTGCAGTCCTACAGTCTTGACAAATTACCGGCTCCACAGCCAGGAGATGTACAGAAGGGCTTGTTGAGGATACCCAGCAATGGCCCCTGAATTGAAGTTGGAATGTACAGCGAATTTCAGTCAAGGTCTGCATCGTCCATGACTATGAGTGCGTTCCAGTGGGTTTTTTTACTGTCAGGGAAGGTGGCGTCACTGCTCGTCAAGATCGACCAGAGGAAGAGAGGGGTCACCAGTTGTGCGGGTACAGCTGCTACCCGAGCTGAGGCTTGGCTGCCAACAGGAACTCCCACATATGCAAAGTCGACCTGCACACATGAAGCATCGTGACGGGAAGAGCTTGCTCTGAGAACAGGAACTAGATTGTACTTAATTGACCCGAGCATGCCCTCCAACGGATGTAGCGTATGGAAAATGTTCCTAAACAAACACTTTTTGCCAACTCCTGTGTAACGTCATCGCTCAACTAGGCGATGCCGAGTGTCGATTGTGGTGTAGCCTTTAACCCTTTTGGTATGGCTGATGCTCTGGTGGAGGAGTTGTTGCGTTGGCATTCCGTTATCGTCGTTTGTGCAAAAGTACGTGCAGCAGGGCTTAGCTAGACGGATTAACAATTCCCCGACTTCCGGCAACAGTATTCAGGTGCCAACGTGAAGTTAGAAGATTGAAAACGAAGAGGAAGTCCATTTGACCCTGAAAAGAGCCTTGTGTATACGTTAGAGGTTTCGTTCTATTGGTCATCTTGAGCACACCTCCCATTTTGTGAGGTTTGGTATCTACGCCAAGCACTCTGCAGGGGCATGGAACTGGCGTTTGAGATGGTGCCTTCAAGCGCCTATGCATGAACCCTGGGGCGGCCAGGAGCCATTGAGCATCCTGGGACGCAAAGTTGTGGCGACTGGAATGCAGGCCAAGCAGGCTCAGGCGCTAATGGAAGAGCCGGGGAGTATCAAAGTCGCATCCTGGGCGCTCGACTGGAGAAAATTGAAAACCACGACATTTGCCTGGTTACTGTAGGCTGTGACACATGGCTGATTGCTTACAGCAACTTCGTCCTCTGTCGTACGTTTCGCTAGTCATGGAGGTGGTTTACACAAGGATCGTCCGCATCATTTACCTTTGTGCTCGCGAAAGAACGTTATACTGGAGGCTCTCGCTCGCACGCGTGTTACTGTAGTCTCGGACGTTCGGCGAGTACATACGTATCACTGCATATCATATTTGATGCCTTAAAGCACGATTTACATGAGTTCCACTCAAAATCTTGTTTGCAACGTCATGGTGTTTGCGTGCGTGTAATGTGTTAGCCCTCGTATTGATTGAGATTCAAGTTGAATCTTGCATTATGCGGGTTGTTAAGTCTCCTAAAGTCTGGCGACTACTTACGCTATTGACGTTCTGCGTGCTGGTGTTGTACCTGCTTTCTTTCGTCCTTCCTTCTCCGTTAGTCGAAAGGACTCTGCTTGATTAGCTATCCTGCTTTAAAGATACAAACTTCGGGAGCGCGTCTCGGCGACTCGGTGCCATTAGTCACTACGACACTCGGTTTACCCTACTAACCGCACTCGACGAGGACGAGCTACGTGATAGCTTGAGGCTGTTACAGGCCAGCTTTTGGACCACCGTTCAGCAATTACAGATCGAAGTATGGATCGCCCACGGAACACTACTCGGCTGGTACTGGAATCAACGCGCTTTGCCGTGGGACACGGACGCCGATGTACAAATGTCTTTTGATACTCTGAAAGCTTTATCGTCTACATATAACGGAACGACGTTCGATTACACTCTGCCAGCCACGAATTATACCCGGACCTATCTACTCGACATCAATCCATCCTTCTCCCGGCAATCACAGATAAACAGAGCTAATACAATTGACGCCAGGTGGATTGATATCACGAATGGCAAATTCATTGATATCACCACTTTGTATGGTGAGGAAAAAGCGGGCGCAATATTACATTGTAACGATGGTCATAGCTATCTCGTACGATTGATAAACAAGGCTAAAACACCATTACTGACACCTCTAGCGTGAGCATATTTGGCCATTACGACCATCGCTTTTCGAGAACGTCCTCGTCCAGGTACCCTCACAACCGAAAGTCCTACTCAAACAAGAGTATGGACGAAAATCGCTCACGAAAGACCGCTTTCACTGGTATTTGTATATAACATTGCGTGAAATTATCTAACTAACTTAATGTAAGGTATCGGTTCAACTATGAAGCGATGGAGTGGCAGTGGGAAGGATAGTCGCCTTTGCATCGGCGGGGGTGCCCTCGGCTTCGCCACGCGCTTACCTCGCGCCGAGGCCTCAGTCAACCTAGTACTTTGTCTTATTAGCATAGCTAATGCCATATCCTTATACGCGGAATCGGATCTACAGCTGTACAAGCTAAGCCCCTGCTGACGACCAATCGAAACACTGCGGGGTCGGAACAGGAGGAAAGGAAGAAATATGAGATTCAGAGTATGGCGGTCTTTCAGGAGTATACCTCCGGAAAGACGAACTGGGCAGGCTCAGACTGATGCAGCCGTCTCCGCTCCTGGCTGTGACACGTGCACAGGCAGTTGCGCGTGTAGATGGTCCACGTATCGGTAGCAATCCATGGTTGCTCAGGCTTTGTCCCTCCGCCGCGCCAGCTTGCATGTTCCACAAAGTTATGGAAGGTCACCCAAGCAGCTACACTAGCCAGAGGTAGACGCGAGGTAGACGGGCCAGATCAGTCACGATTCATAGTCTCGTAAACACCAGGCGCGATATCATTCCGGTTGCGGTGATCTCTCATCCCTTACGTGAGCCCTGCAGTGTCTGCTAGTCCCAAAGTCTTAATCCCGCGAGCCATGTCGCTCCTCAGGCGCACGAACGGGACGCACACCCTCCCCTCCTTCACATTGTTCCATGCCTTTTCATTACTCCCTCTCGCCAGTAATGTGTCGAGGGGCCCTTCTACCATACAACCAGGTCGTACCGTCAACGCACGTCTCTTTACCCACGTTCATTGTCACCACATGCCACAGTGCCATCTCAGTTTTGCATCGATTGAATACGCCCTGGTGTCAGAGCGCGCCAAGGGGAGATTGCTCAGCTCCTTGCATGACCCGCGGTCCGCCAACGGCGAAGTTGTACACCAAGTACCACTTCTGTGAAACATTTGGTTGTCGTCCGTCGAACAGACAATCATGTGTAACCAGCCCGTCAAAGCTCCTCGCACTGGTCACCTTCAGCTGATAGATATGGCCGTCCGTCTTTTTGCATCTGGTTCCTCTGTATGCTCGGCTTACACCGTAATCACACACCCCGAAGACGTCTGACAGTGGTTCTGCTCAAGCCATGTCGTTATCGCTCGAGACGGTTCTCACCATTGTCGGCCTGGTAGTGAGCGTCGCTCCGATCGTGAGGTTCGTGGTGGACAGGATGTTGAGGCGACGACGATCACATCCTTCGCTGACCTCTGTCAGTATAGGCACGTGCCCCAATCGACTGCGCCTGCAGCATCAGTAGCTTCGGACTAGATCAGCTGACGATGGAGTGAATTGGATATAACCCCGTCGAGAACGTAGAAGCCGATCTCTAGGCCGGCGACGACAGACCAATCACGTCAGTACAGAGTGGTGCCCCAGACAGTACAAGGACAGCTGGGCGGCAAGGTCTAGTGACCAAGGCATGACGGTGCTCAAACATCTGGTTGAACGACAATTGCAAGAGCGCAGACAAATTCCCGAGGCTGAAGCTTTGTCGACAAGGCTCTACTAAAGTGTTCTGAAGACATCACCAGCGCTTAACTGGATTGAGTGGCGTAAGCCACAACCAAGCCCGGCTTGAAAAAAATACTCAATACTCGAATAGCTCGGCGACCCTCTACAGTAACAAACGCATGAATTCAGTCGTTCAGTTCAGGTCTCTCACTTCGCTGCACACCATCTCATCCACTCGTTCGCCCACTTATCGTCCTTCCCCTACCATTTCCCTGCTCTGCTAACCACCTTGCCCTCAACGCTTCATCCGCTGCCTCCGCTTCACTCCTCGTTACTCGCTCGATCCTGTTGTTCCTAGCCTTCTCATTGGCATCCGCCATTCGCAGTCCTTTTTCTGTGACCCATATAGCAGCATATCTAATCCACGTCGAGGATGTGCTCAAATCGGTTACGTTTTCCAGGACGTGGTACCACCATGATGGTGTGTCAGGAAGCTTTCGCGCGAGAAGAGACGTGAGGTACCGAGATACACGGGAGTATCCCGAAGGTTATCACATTCCAACTTGGTCATAAAAGTATAATATATAAGCACCATCTCATTTCTTCGAACCTCTTATTTGAATATTAGCTTAGCGCTCTGAATGAAGTAAGTCATTATATTACACAAGATGTGGTTTATTAACAGTCTTAGATACACCGTATATGCCCCATACAGCGCTTCAGCAGTAATACTCAATAACACACTTCTACATAATTACAATAGATTCTGTCGCTATACACCACAGTTCAGAGCTACATTTTTCATCGTAGAATTAATTGTGCCTGATCCTACCTTACACCCTGATCCGCGTCTGTTCCGCGTCTAACAAAAACACGTAACGAGAGTCAATGAATGATCCGCTTCTATGGCACAGTATGACTAGGGTCTTAGATATAAACTAATCAGTAGCCTAGCAGGAGAATGAATGTATGCTTGAATCCGTACACACCAGAAGCATAAGCATTTCAGCTAAAAAAGGAAATGACGAAACAAGGGTGAGGATTGCAACATTGGCAGGAAAGAAGGCCTTGTTACTCGTGCAACAACGCGGATGGAACTAGGAGGAACAACCAGGAAACACGTCGTGTTGACAGTATATCGTTGATATGTACAGAGAGCCCGTTTGTAAAGGCTGCGCTTCGCTTCTTCTGAAACCTGCAAATAGACGTTCTTGTTAGCCTGTGTTCTCTTCCTCATCACAGAGCAACATAGTTATTGGCAATCCTCTAGATGCTTGTGGAGGATTTTGATGTTTTGCTGATGTGGACGGTTTTCCGACGTACTCAAGACTTTTGTCACTTGAGTCGAAGAGATCCTGACCTAGTGAGTTCTGCTGTAAAGAAACACTTACCGATTTTGGAAATCGATCAACGTTCATGTATCCAGTATGAGCAGTCTGCTCGAGCTGGGTTGCAATAGACAGTTCGGTGTCGGCGAGAACAGTCATGGTCTGGTCGATTACCGCCTGTTCACCAACCTTCCAGACCGAGACAGCCCGATCGAGCAGCTCTTTATAGTCACTTATCGTGCTCAACGAGTCTTCCCTATACGTTCTGCTTCGTTTGTCGAGTTGGTCAAATGTGCAGATAAGGTTACCTCTGTGGCACGAATCGCACGGTCGTGAATCTTCAAGCTTTATACACTGTGGTAAATTACTGTCAGTTATTACTGCCTTCCTCTCATCTTCATTGTGCATGCGACTGCTACGTACCTTTACTCGTTTCTGCCTACACTCGCGACACGCTCGAGTTGCATGTTCACGTCGCCGGCGCGATGGTATAATTTCGTCTGGGTGGATGTTATTGCTTAGATCTGATGGCCTTAGTGGTGGTGTGGAAGCTGCCATTTCGTATCACAGATCATACTCGGGAATCACAATTGTAACTCATAACGTACGGCACAAGTAAAGCTGAACGGTCCATGGAGAAGATCCATGTTGAGCCTCAGAGTAGACTATCGTCATGAAGTCTCGGGAAAAGATTCCGTTAGTCTCTGTGTCGGTTAAGTTTTTGGGAACAACGCTGATCTGACACAATTGCGGCGATGGTGTTCCCATTGTATATCCGATACCTTCCTGATGAGAGAACGATTCTTTTAAGCATCATCAATCTTAGCGACCAGTCACATGCCATAAAGAGCATTCTCTGGCGGTGATCAATACAAACTTACAGCGAGTACTACCGTGCCGAAAGCTATATCCCTGCCAGATCCCATCTTCTGGCTGATCTTGTTCTCCTACCGCTGATCCTTTACGGCAATTGTATCTGACCAAGAAAAAGGTACCCAGTGGAAACTCTACTGCCCAATGAGGACACCATTAGTGACGTTCTGTATACATACAGAAAGTTCAGCATAATATACATTGATGATCAATTATAGGAACACCGATTTACTGGGAGCAATCCACCACCATCAGGGTGCGGAAACAAGAAGAATCTTGGGTGCTCATTAGTCTCAGCCACGTGCGGAAGCGGCGCGGAGTATGCGGTCTTCGGCTAATCTGTCTTTGAATAGCGCAAAGGCCGTCTTTAAAATCCCGTCTACTACGACAACCGTCTTACCGGCGCTTCCAGCACCCAGTGCTCCTGCACTGAAGCTGGTACAATGACATAGCAATAAACGATGATGACGACGTGTCGTCTAGAGAACCTAGGCAAGATGTATCTTCTAGAAGATATTCATAGGTATCTTGGATCATCAATGCATACTTAGCCATCGGCACTGACTGACAGCCATTATAAGCTTAGTATTGTTGTAATCAAGGTGACCATGTCCACATTTATATGGAGTTCAACTTGTCTAAACCTTTGCTAGACACTCCGAGGCTCGCAAATGGTGCCGCGCTTATAGCAAGGTCTTGTCTTGTGCAAATCCTCCTCCGAGCATTGAGTTATTTCCCTCTTTTGTAGTGAGCCTGGTAACTTTCACCTTCGCACTTTCTCTATAAGCTTGCCATCTTTGTCATCCACGGCAGGCTCTTCCTCCTTGACAACATATCCACGACCATAGCAGTGATCTGCTAGGTCTTACTTCGCTCGCTCGATTCTACGTCCGTCCAGCTCAGTTCTTGTGTAGGGTGCTGTTAGTAGTAGGGTTTCTGGCGGATGCGATTGCCGAAAGGCTTCGACGTGGCGGTAAAACGCAACGTAAGCAATGATGTTTGATCTCTAGTCCTTTTTGAGATCTGGAAGTGACCTTACATTGGAATGTGCTAGATGTTCGTCGCGAACGCGCTCGCAAATCCGGCGATAGCACTCCGGGCCGATCCTAAGGTCTACCTTGAGATCTGCTTCGCAGGTAGGACATGACTCACTGAGTTATACGGTGATTAGAGCCTGCATGTCACGTGAACGAGTCGCAAGAGAGGATGCTCCTGGACAATCATCGGTAAGGCTTCCGGCTGTTGCTGCGCCAATACTTGATATCGAGTTGGTCCTCGGTGCAAAGTGCCAAACAGAACTGGTGAACGAATCCAAAGAAGCTCATGCATATGATCAACGAACTCAGCATGCACATACGCTGCTTGCAGTAGATCGTCCTCGAGATCATCGTGCTTATGTTCGGTGTATGCTGGAGGTTGCCCTAAGTACGAGGGCACGTCGGAAGCCTGCTTGGTGATGGTCTGGAGCACGTTTCGTTCCGCAGGTGAAATCTGATAGATGAACTCTTTCCTGTCGATAACTCCCAGGACAATTTACAGTGGCAGAGGCAGACTCATAAATTTGGATCAGGTATTGTGCTCCTGCTGGGCGAGATGTGCTGCGCAGATATCGAGCACATCCAGAGCTGGTAAGTTGCCCTTCGTGAGATGTATGCCAGGGTCTATTCCGTCAAATTCAGAAACTCAGCTCTTTAGCTGCCAAAACCATTCGAGGAGACAAAAACTGACAGCTAAGTGACCTGTTGTGGCATAGGAGCTCGTGCTAGAGCTATGAAGGGCTGACAGGGCGTCTCGGAAGATCGAAGAACGTTGAATCTAAGTAGCGCTGTGCTGCTTCAAACATCAAGTGCTGAGCTGTTATGTAACATCTTATTTATGAGGGGCGAATGGCTCAGTAGCTTTGGAAAGACGGCTAGATAGGCTCATGCTCATCAGTACTGCTATAGAAAAGTGGAATGGTTTAGGTCAGTGTCAACGGAGTAATATCATTGACGACAAAAATTCATGTTCACCTCGCAGCTTGCAGGCTTCTTTAATCACGAGGCGGTTCCCGTGATGTTTGCACATACGGCCCTACCTACTAATTGGCCTGGTCTCTGTCTGCGCTGCTTCAAAAGTGGCGGTCCTCAACTCCCACCAGTCCGGATCCTCCACGCCACATGTTCTTGACAACATGTTCGGACCCGGTTTTGTACCATGACCGAACGGGTTTCTGAGGACGCTGGCAACATCTCTAGTCAATTGTTTTGCCGAATCTTTCTTGTCAGGTGCCATCGGTGTTGTGGTAGGGTTATTATTGAATTTCCACCCCGTAGCCGTTGTCGAAGAGGAGTGGCTTGAGACTCTCAATAAAGACAGCCTCTCGTAGAGGGCATGCAGTGTCTCGTGCAGTTTCCTGCTGACAGCATCAACTTCAGCACTAGCTCTTAACATTTGCAAACACCTTGATGCTCTCTTGAGATCTTCTGTGGTTGTCGTGTCGTCTGAGCTGGTCAGACACTTCACAGCTACGTCACAGAGAAGTATAGTCGTCGCCATGAAGATCTCAAAGACAGATAGCCAGCACCGCAAGTGCAACGGCGAAGTGCCGCCTCCGAAGCCCAGCAGATCAAAAATCCGAGCGATGCATCGTGCACCGTCAATACAACGAGTGATGTGGCTGTGTGCGCGCTCAGAAGATCGCTCCCATGGCAGTGGACTATTGATGACCTTCGCATGAACAGCGTCCCCTAAGATGCGGTGATGTAGTAAGATGACCGAACCAAGGTACATCGCGTGGGCGAGCATGAGCGCACCGCTCTCACATGCGGTCAGAGGTTCGCACTTCCCAGCCATGAGATTTGATAGCGTCATGAAGGGAGGAAGGGTCGAATGCCAGCCCTCGAGCTCTTTCATTCGTTCTTCAATTTCGTCAGCAGTAGGTGCTTGGGGTCGGTAAACTTCTTGGAGAACTCTGAGCTTGAGGAGCCCCACTTCAGTCACCTTTACTTGACTGCTATTGTTCAAGTTTTGCTCTGCTTTACGATAAACGTTGGTCATTACGGAGCTGACTTCCGCCTCAGTCAGAGCAGGTTGATAGCCGAGAGAAGTCGCAAGCCAACTGGAGAAGTCAGTACATGCCTGAACGAAAGGGGAAGGAGGAGGGCATACCACTCTAGGAATATGATGCTTCGATATAGCTTGATCCGAATCGATGAGACATTACTGAAGCCATTGCTATGAGGGTCTTCAACCCCCCAACGACACAACTTCAGTGCGTGCTCGACGACAATGCGTGTAGTACGTCTTTTCTCTATGATACCGTACATGCATATGCATACCAGTATTCGAATCCCTCTGATAGTACTACTCTCGATGACGTTATTTATATGCCCAACGCAAGTTCTTAACAAAGCATCCTTGAATGCGTTCGGCACTCGATCAACCCTATCCAGATATTGAGAGCCCAATGCAGAAATTGCGCACAGTTCGGTAACATCAATCATATCGCTGTTGTGAGCGACATACACTTTGTCACATATAACGTCAAATTCGTCGGGAGTAATGACGTAGCATAAGCCTTCAATCACATCAAAAAAGAACTTTGCACCATTCTTTACCACATCCTGAGGAGGTAGATGAAAAGTCGTGTAGGTCTCCGGAACTCTGTAATTCTGGTCGTCAGGTTGGCTGTCTTGAACCAATCTTGCGTTGAGGTCCGTCTGGATCTGGGATATCTGCTCCGCCGGTAATAATAGAGGGTGTGCCGACGATGTTGTTGCTACACCTTTGGCTGGCAACAAGTCACCAGGACTGCCCGCACTTTTAGCACTCAGAACTCCTGTATCTTGTGCATTGTGACCAGATTCATAAATATCACATGCGGCTTGAAGCTCGGCTATTCGATGGCATAGTCCCTTGATTTCTACCTTCCTACTCCTCCGCCCGTCTGCTAAGGTGTAGTCACAATTAGTATTGAAATGGACACACTTCGCACAAGGCTGTGCACCGTTACACTGCCCACATTAGCCGTTCCGCGCTCGAAAAGCCCAATCTTGACGCGCAGCCACCAGCCATGGTGCAAGCGTTTTACAGCAGCATTAGAAAGCGCCAGAGCCAGCTTGACTGAGAAGGGATTAAGTGCAAAGAACTTACTTTAGCGCGCTTGCGTCTGTACTCCCGACAAGCATGCGTGGTGTGCGATCGCTTTCGGCCATCAGCGAAAGCGTTTCTGTCGCGATCAGATAATGAAATATTTCCAGACCATCCTTTGCCGGAGACAGCCTTTGCTGGGCCGGTCAGTGACATGTCTTCGCGGAAACGGGTCCAATGTATCGAAGGACACGAACGAGTTGTAAGCTGGTGCCAATGAACGAGTCGGTCTGGTAGAACATTTCGGGAGCACCGAGCAAGGAAATCAATCACGGTTTGTTTGTTAGATACTACTGTTGTTTCGATAATTACTTGTCATTTCAGCAATTATGGGGTGAATTATTTCAAGGTTTCGCCGAAAGGCAACATTCCACCCCCTGATCACTAGGTCGAGCCATGGGCATATATTGCCGTATTGACGCGCAACCCAGCAGCATTTCAAACGATTAACGGATAACTGAGTGGGCACGTCATTTCGAACACGGTAAGAGTTTTTGTTTGCGGAATCCATCTCCGAGTCACCTAATGACAGAATGTCCTCGAAGCCCTCGACACAGACTACGGATTAGTTATTCCAACTAATCGTATCGCCAGTACTACCACTAGTATATTGTGCTTCCATGATCATTGTGGCTGCGAGGTTCTCGGCTGTCGACACTAATGCTCTATTCAGCCTGCAGGCATTACTTGTATTGTACGACGTGGCAGAGCATAATCTTAGGCCCGTGCTTCTTCATGGCCAACTCTAGGGCGCTCTTAATACAAAGTGTCGCGTTGATGCGTTTATGAACGGTAATTGCGACACGCTAGCTAAGAAGAAGCCGTATCCTGTCTGTCGAGCTATTTCGTGCCTGGTCTTTCTGTCGGTCTGGCATTACAGACACTGTGCTAAACCTGTAGGGCAAGATGCGACAATGGCGAACACGACGTTCAGGTAGGCGGTCACCCCCTCAGACACGCCTGTGTCGTGTAGCAACTGTGTATTACCAGAGAACTCTTTACTTGAAATCTTTGCCCCTTAGACCGTCGGTGACATGTCTTCGTTGACCACCGAGCGAAAACCTTCATAGGTAACATCGTCGATGGATATAGGGAGTCTTGTAGGACATACGATGGGAGTTGGTAGTGAACCACGTCAGGCTGTCCGGAGTGCATTTCCGAGGTTACACTTCGGATGTTTCATCCGGCACAGGTCGAATGGGTCATTCGCAAAGTAGTCGTTCCACCTTATCGGACTCTGTTTCCTGGACGTTTCAGTGGTCTTTAGACTGACGTCTCCACATCGCGAGCAACGGAAATACAATCCCGTTCACTGCGTCAGCAGCTTATCGCAGACCCCTTAGCAGGGAAATACAGCTTGGCTAAAGGCTGATACGATCACCTCGACATGTGAGTGTAGGAGCATACTGGAGCACAGGCGAACGTGTTGCTGACATTGGGTGTAGAAAGAACACGAGGTCCATCAGATTCTGAATTCATCGGCAGCCAGTTAACGAGAGGGTGTGTAGATATAAAAATGCCTCTACTTTCGAGTCAATTCATCACTTAGTATTGATTCTTCCTCCTGGGCCATCTCAAATCAAGCACTCCTCGGTCTTGGTGCCATCATTATGTGCATAACAGGTAACCTCGGACAACACAACCACGTGGTCATTGATAGTGGTGACTTAAGTGGCACGCATCCCTCAAGCGTTGAAAGGTTCCTATCACTACTTCTCAATTGGGTCATTGTGGGCGTTATTAAACTTGGTACCGTTGACCTGTGCTTTGTTACTTAGACTGACCAATCTTTTTTTATGTATCAGAGCATCTAATACGGAAGTCGAACGACCAGATCATTGTTTTCTCTATGAACGGCTATTTCAAAGACAAAGATGTCTCAAAGGCTGCTATATATCTGCGCGATTGCTGGCCGTTCTTGAATGATGTGATGATACTACCGCAAACACCGCTAATAGTTATGTATCTATCCTCCAATTCACCTTACACTAAACTCTTTCCACCTCTCTACCTGAAAGGTCGAGAACTCGCCGTCTTTCTGTTATTGACGGTTTTGGAGTTTGCTCTCCTAGGTCTCACGAATTACGAACTGAAGATATGTTCGGAGCCAGCCCTGGGCAAGGCGTAAAACTGCACCGCAACAGCCCCGGCGTATGGTGAATGATCGCGCACTCTTCAGCCTTCTGACAATTTGTCTATAGTGTCATCTACGGATCAACCCCACGTACAACACGAACGAGACGATAAAACTATTTCTTCCTGACGATTCGGGACCGAGGCAAATCGAAAGGGAGGATTGTATAGATACTACAGAGGACGAGTGTAGCTCGTTTCTCTACGATAAGCGTTTGTGAGGAACTGGTTGAAGGGTGTATTTCTGGTTTGGGATTGAAACAGCTCGCTTGACTTGAGTATACCATTCAACATCGGTGATTGTGGATTGATATTACTGAATCCTATATTCTAACACTTTAGATAACGTTTGATCATTTACCTAAATTGGACGGAGTGCTCAAAACAAACTACATTTGCTGTTAAGGACAGTGCTGAGCATTTGGCGAAATGAAGGATAGAGAAACGCTCGTTTCTAGCTGTGATTGCGCACGTATAAATAGCATTGAGTTCTTGCTTTGCGGATTAGGGAAACAAGCGCTATAATGAGCAGGGGTGTGCACCTGTGGTTTCCTACCCCGTGCGACAGAGAAGCTTCTATCGTCTTCTCATGTTGCGTTAGTACGACTAGGGCGATGTCTCTCTTACATGACCTGCTTGCTTCACCAGTTTATCCATACTTAGTGGTGGACCACGCCACTACATTCGTTCATAAAACAACCTTTCCACCGCCCTCTATTTGCACGACCGTTAGCTTGTTCTCAACGGGCACGCGTCGAATCTTACATACTTATATCTGTGCTATTGAAGCGAGAATATACTTTTTGTGGCTGTCGCTTTATGTGGATGAGCTTTACTCCGACTCGAACGAGCTCGCAATAGACTTGTTGTGAGGCAAGTACGATTGCACTCCACGTGACCAGTAACGGTACATGGTGTGGAACCTCAAGGTGGTTCTACTCGGTAAGAACTGGGTTGGGATCTATAGCTGGTATGAGTCAACGGGCAAGGTCTGGTTATGCACAGGTAGGGTCCCCGGCTGTGGGTGTTCTGGGTACACGCGAGCAGCGGTGTCCGATTTGAGGAGAGTCATCAGCAGATTGCTTAACAGGTGGGTATCAACGGCTGGGTCGACCCCAAAGCGGACATATTAAGCCTGGTGTATAGCTGGCTCTCGAACGAGCAGAATGGACGATGGGCGATGGTGGTGAATAACGCAGACAGTGACGACGTTGTGTTCGGACCTCACAGTGGCAACACCGATAGACCAAGGTTACAAGGGTCAGTGCACACAACGGGATAGACTATGATGAATAGTGTAGTGAGCTTGTATGATAGAAATTGATTACGACGTAACTATGAAATGTCAGTTCGTGTCTGACCTACGTGGTATATATACTATGTAGCGAATATGCTTTGCTTAGTGTTGCCCCGTATGCTTAGTGTGCTTAGTACTGATCACGGCTGATTAAGGTAATCACACTGATCACTTTTAATCACGTGACTTCTCTGCGTTGATCTTTACGTATGAAGCATCCGCCTAACCTTCCTATATCTATTGTCGTGGCTGCAGGTCGGTCGTGGTTCGTGACACCAGGTTGGAGTTCCCCGATCATGAGAAAAGGAAGTTAAGCAGCACTAAGGAGGTATGTTTGATTAAGTGCGATCGAGCGCTAATAAGGTAGTTGGCGAGCAGTGTTCAGATACGATCTGCAGTACATTAGCTAAGTATAGGAATTTACCCTTGAAATGCTCAGAGACGCCGGGATACTGGTGCACAGGAAATGCCCGAACGCTTAAGCGAGCTGGGCGTATACTATACTATGAACGGTATATACATCCTTCGCCGCTGATTCGGCATATACTATATACGTTTTCTTGGTTCTGTGTCTACGATACATAATATCAGCTCAGGTCTTTGCTTGAGCCTACCTTGCCTTTCTTCCGAGCAAACTATGCGATGGTGACGTAAGGAGCCCACAACAGCCATGGTCTAGAACCTATAGCGGCAGCAAGCAACGGTAGCGGAAATGAAAATCCGATTCACATGGTTGAATAATTGTGTTTTCCGATACATTCGCCATCTCCCGACTTGGCTTATGGTTATATGAGCGCGCTTCCGGTATGGTATCTGACGAGCTGCAAGCCGTCATTCGGAGTCTACACAGCCCAGCGCTGCTTTTATCGCAATCTCGAATGATACTTGCGGTCAACGATGCTGTATGTAGGCTCACCGGCGAACTTTCGCACGAGTCCTTGATCGACCGCAATGTTCAGGAACTGGGGTTTGAGCTAGCCTCAGACGGCCAATTTTGCCACCAGGACTGGGACTCCCTGTTTCAAGCATGTGTGTCTGATCAAGCAAAGCCCGTGATATCGCGAGAGAGCAAATATGGAAGCAGCAACGACAAGCCGTGTGAGTCTCGGGCCAAAGACTTCTGGGATGACGAAGACCGAAGGGAGGCGGCAATTTCGGATGTCGTAGTTACAGAGTTGAGGTCAAAGTCTGTGCCAGTGCGAGCTCGCATGATTATGCGGCCCTTGCAACTCGAAGACGGTTCCTTCTACGTTGTCGTTTTCCAACGACCATCAGCGCGTACACAATTTGATGACGACGGGCACGCCCGAAAAGATACTAATGCGGGTGAAGCCGACCTTCAGCTATCTCGGAGTGATCTTAAGGAACGAGAGGCGCAGGTGCATAACCTCGTAAGCACTAATATACCATACTTCACAGCAATCTTCGATTCTGAGGGTAAAGCGGTACACTTATCACTGTCATGGCAACGTGTCACGGATATGAAACAAAAAGACAGTCTAGGCACCGGATGGTTTCAGGCGATTCATCCAGACGACAGACAGTCCATGAGGAACGCTTTCGATAAAATGGTGAAGGTTGGTGACAACTCGTGGACTTGGGAAGCTAGATATCGCAATAAACACGGTACTTACAAGTGGTTTCTAGTTCGTCTAGAGCCTGCTAAGGACGACACCGGCAGCATCAAATACTGGTATGGGTCTATGATGGACGTGGATGCATTGTTAACCTCGAGGCAAGCATCCGAGAACCGCAGAAAGTCTATTATGGCACTTGTGTCAAAGACCAATGTTTGTTTGTGGGGCCTCAATACAGACCGCAGTCTCCTGCTTCAGGAAGGCTCGCTGCACTGGGACCCTATGGCGGCATTGGACATTCGCTCGAGAAGGTCAAGCATAGCGGACCCGGACGCGTCGACCTCCTCGGACCGTGTTTTCGACTCTATCCAAGACATTCTCGATGGCAGAACGAATATTCAGATCTTAGAGCACAAGGAGCAAGACCGATGGTATCGATCTACCCTGATTGCTGACCTCCAAGGCCATATACCACATCAAACCACAAGCCAGATTGTACAGGCAGTGCTAGGTCTGACATTTGACATAACAGACGTTAGAGCTCGGACTGAGCTCGAAGTGCAGAACGAGATTCTCGTCCAAAAAGAACGTGCAGCGAAGGAAGCTAGTGAGCTCAAAAGCAGATTTGTGGCCAACGTAAGAGCGCTATGTCGGATTGTGCAGACCAGTGAATACTAACGATGATAGATCTCGCACGAGTTGAGGACGCCTATTGCTGGAATCATTGGCATGAACGATCTGCTTATAGAATCCTTGGTCAATCAGGAACAACGCTATTTCTCCAACAGCATACGCTCGTCCGCAGCACAGCTTCTGACCGTGGTCAATGATGTTCTCGATCTGAGCAAGATTGAAGCTGGACGCCTGGAGATTGAAGCATTGCCATTCCGGGTTTGTAGGCTTGTTGAGAACATACAAAGCATCATGACCATCCAGGCAGAGCGTAAAGGACTCGAGTTCGTATGCAGAAATGTTGATATCCCACAGGCAGCTGTGGTCATTGGTGACCCTAATCGACTGCAGCAAGTATTCTTGAATTTACTGAGCAACAGTATCAAATTCACGCAGACCGGCAGGGTAACGTTAGATGCGTCTCTGGTACCATCGACTAAGGCCGCCAAAGAAATCATCTCACAGTCTTCGGTCCACATCAATCCAACTTCTCAATCCTCGAAGTCCTCAGACGATGAAGCTCAGATGATCCAAGTCCATTTCGTTGTGGAAGATACTGGTTGCGGAATGACCGATGCCACAATCGAAAAGATATTCGAAGCGTTTTCGCAAGCCGATTCCTCAACCGCTAGGCAGTATGGTGGTACTGGTCTTGGATTAACAATCACTCGTCAACTTGTGGAATTGATGAATGGCTCAATCACATTCTCATCCACACCAGATGTCGGCACTCGGGCTGTGGTCACAATGAGCTTCAAAGAGGCCAGCCAAGAAGATGAAGAAATCGATTTAGACGTTCTGGATCAATCGCATGCACTGGCAACGGATGCCAAACACATCACCAAAGCTTACACTTCCTTGGATGACACCAAGAGACTACCAACGCGTCAGACATCTGCTAGGAGAGGAAGTCAGGATCAAGGTCATGCCCTGTCCACAGTGTCCATGACCGAGCGCAACAAGAAACTCATCCTGATCGTTGAGGACAATGCAGTAAATCTGAAGATAGCAACAGTCATGACTGAGAGACTAGGATTCCAGGTCATCACCGCCTCAAACGGAGAAGAAGCTCTCAACCTGTTGGCTGAACGTGTGGGATCCCTGCTACCTTGCCCGGACATCATTCTCATGGACTGCATGATGCCTATAATGGACGGGTACGAAGCTACTCGAAGACTCAGGCAGGATATTTCACGTTTCCCTGCTAGTTCTAGAGGGACGCCCATCATTGCTCTGACTGCGAGCGCCCACAAGGGCGATATGGAGAGATGCTTGGAAGCAGGCATGAACGATTACTTAATCAAGCCGGTCAACAAGAAGAAGTTGGAGCAAGCTCTAGTCCAATGGACATTGAAAGCACAGCAGAGATTGGCTCCGATCGGGGAGCTACAGGATAGTCGTGCAGAAACCTGATTCGATGGACGTTCACGGAACAGTTAGAACGAATCGGCTTTGATCGTGAAGACTTCGCCTGTTGTGATCTCTGTCCTCTCACATATCTAGCGACTGCACAGGAGTAGTCCAAAGCCAGAGTAAGTGAGGAGCTGTATTTTCTCGGGTTGCGCAGGAAGGCTGCACAAGGCTGCACAAGGCTGCATGGTCAACTTCTCCATGCCACCTTCCTCAGGCCAACCCCAATGATCAATTCATCCACAGCAACATGTACGACTTCTCAGCCTTCCGAGTGGGGGGATCCTGTAGCAGGTAGTGAAGTATGGCTGTATACAGGCGAAGCTGTCGGATGTGGTAGCTTTCTGCTTGTTTGTCCTCTGTAATACTTTTTTTTCTTCTACTTAAAGCAGCAAAGTCATCCATCAACTCGAGATCCGTTGCCAGGCACTAACCAATATTTTCAAGAGATCAGCCTTCATAGCAAAACTTATTAGCTGGGTGCCGTCAGCCGTCGCGACACTCGCCTCGCGCGTGATCGTACACTGAATGGCGAAAAAACGTACACGGCCCTCAAGGCACTCCTCGGCAGCTATACCGCTACTGCGCCCCTAAAGAGCCTTAAGCCCAGCAAACGACAAGTGCCGAAGCAGGACGTCAGCTGACAGGTCAAGGAGGAGAAAGCGCGGCACGAGGGACATTGCCGGCGCCGGCCGTGCTACAAGCCCTCTTCCAAGCGGTTCATACGGTCATATATGAGGCTCAAGGTATGGCTTACGACCATTGAGAGCTGCTAAACACACCCTAAGCCCTGTATCACAGTATAGTGTGCAGCGCCACGACGACTTGCACTCACAGTTCTGGTACCACTGCTCTCTCGCAGGCTGTTGTCGCTGCGCTCGCTCCACGTACCAGAGCGTTTGTTCCGCATTGGTCACACAGACGCAGCGAGCATGTAAATTCCTTCGTGATGCACACCTCCTTGCCAAGCACTTGTTGAAGGCACGGGTTGTAGACCTATATTCCGCCTTTAAGCAGGGTTTGTAGTGCTACAGTAAGTTGCGGTCGATGTGCTCATGATAGCACTATCCATACGACTAGGATAAGCTATGTCGACATTCGGTTCTTTGAGTCGTGTATGAGTCGTGTAAAAGAAGTGTTTATTAGCCTATCGTACCTCGCGTCGAGCGAATTACTGTCAAGCACCTTTGCACATGATCGTGTACTATGGAAGGTATTCATTCCTATATTTCGAGTTTTTTGTAGTACTTTTTCATCAAAATCTTGATTTCTTCGTAGGACTGTTCTATCCCCGCACGCGACTTGACAGCCAACCTGTTAAGCTTTTCCCGCTCATTAATTACACTGCTATTATCAAGTCGTCCACTATATTGCTGGATTTATTTGCACCCATTCCTTGTTGTAGAAAAGCCTAGTGTAGTAGAAGACCCTTTAAGAAAACCACCTAAGTTGAACTCCCTCGTATCCCTCACATCCACACTCTCCCACCCACCGCTCCGCCTCACCACCCCATCAAGCCGTCCATCAAGATTACAACCCCCCATCGTCAAAGGCCACACCCACCCCCAAACCCACACATAGCCCATCGTCACCCAGTCGCTCTCATTCGCCACATGCTCAAAGAACAAAAACTCCCCACCGGGCTTCAACAGCGCTGGAATTGTCGACACGATCTGCGGCAATTGCGCCTGCGGCGCCGAACACAGCGATTTAATCGTGATGATCGTGTCGAAGACGCCCTCGGCGGTGCCGGCGCTGCTGGGCACGAAGCCGGCTTTGTGGAGGACAGGGATTAGACTACCCGGTTCAGCACCGGCGGTGAGTATGGCGTAGCGTCCGTTTGATGCGTCGAGGCCCACGGCGGCGGCGTTGGAAAGCGTGCAGGGCGGCCTTGGGCTCGGCGGCGATCATGCGCTGGATCTGGCCTGATTGGACAGGGCTGTGGAAGTGGCGCATTTGGTCGCCGGTGCCGGGGCCTAGTTCGAGGACGGAGCCGTGGGTGCGGGAGGCGAGGTGCGAGATGTAGGGTGTTTGTTCGGGGGAGAGGGCCATTTGGGGGCCGAGGGTGTTCCAGAGGGTGGCGAACCAGGTTGAGCGGAAGGTTTTGGGCCGGAGGATTAGGAGGGGGCTTGAGATGAGTGTTGCGAGGAGGGCGAGGAGGGAGGCGAGGAGGGCGAGGAGGGAGGCGAGGAGGAGGCGGAGGGGGGCGAGGGCGTCGAGGAGGCGGGGGGTAAGGGTGGTGGACATTCTGCTGGGGTCGGCGGTATGGAGAGCTTAGAGCGGTGTGCTATGTTGGATTTTGCTCACTTCTGGAATTGGTAATTGCCAGGGCGTTGTAAAGGGGCGGCTTATTTGTTTGACCGCGTCAGGACGTGGAAGTGTACGACAACTAGCGAACGAAGTTTATGGAGATCGTGAACCAGCAACGACGATAGGTGTCAATAGTAACGATAGTATTTGTGGAGAGTATCATTCACAGTAAAAATATTATGGGTTTGGAGCAATGTGATGACTATGAATATCTTGTAGTGCTTGTTGAGATGAATAGCTGACGGGTAGCTTCCCCGCACGCTTTTACCATGGCTGGGCTGGAGTAACAGCCACTCCAACAGGAACCTTCGCTGTCGTGAGGAGTGGGTGCATTGTCTCACATCTTTGGTGGTGATGCTAGTGACATCGACTGCTATCCATGTACAAGAGTATTTACAGCGTGTTCACGAGTGTGGTTCGAATTACAGTCACGAGCGTTCTAGATCTTGAGGTCGTGCGAAAGGTGGGGCGAAGAAACGTGCCTGGTGGTAGCCGCCTGAAGTTACAATTAGTAACCTTGCAGGCGTGGCCCCACTATGTATCGTGCCTAGAAAAGTCGAACTTGATCCCTAAGGCAGCCAAGATAGCTGTCGGCTTTCGCGCGTTTCGAAGCAGTGTTCATGAACTCATCCCATCCTGAAACGCAAGGTCAAAAGGATAAGAGACTATTCAGATTCATGCTAGTTTGATCATTGTCAGCGTGGTGTCTGATTCTCTAAGTACATAGCTGTCCTCCACAGCGTACTCGTCACAAAACCTTTTGAACATCTTATTAGATCTGTTGTCCAGAAGAGATATCCTGGCTCCCGAAGATCGCCCACCAAGCAACGAGGAGATTCTAGGTCATGAGATCGAGGGATACCCGCCTGCTCTGGTCGATGTTGGCAGGGCTGAAGAGTCCCCTAAGACTTGGCCAACGCGGCAATGGAAGCTAATGTCCCATCCCTGGGAGATTTATCCCTTATGGCTTACTCTGAGCAATGAATTGCCTCATTACGTGACAGATGGACGCCGAATAGACGACGATCTGCCAGAAGCTGATCCCGTGAGAGATCACGGTGTCTATGTCGTCACCTCGAGACATCCCTACGATGCTGATTTTGCGTCACCAGACGAGATGCTGCCGGAGGAATCGAAGTGGAAAATTTGACCATCTGGGTACTTGCCGGTCAGCCCCATCAACAGGTTCGCTGGTATGGACATGGAAGATCTGGTGATGGTGCTGCCTGCCAGGCTGGATTTCGTCCGTGTGGAATACCCAAGTCGGTGACATCGATCGCTCCTACTGTTCACTGACGACACGTCAGTGACGCCACCATCGTCTCTTGAGTCCGTTTCATTCGAGGACTCCATTGCTGATTCGGAAGAGCTTTGAGAAGGTGTATTTGAATCTGTCGTATCCTTCTGTCCCGAAGACATCTTTCGTTCTCTTACATGTCTGAACCACTCGTTCTGTGATACCTCCAAGAAGCACGCCGCGTCCAGATCCATGCCTTCTCGAATCAGGTCAGCTGCCCTCGAGAAAGCTTGTCTGACAGCGATGGAAGCTTCGGCGGCCGACTGAACGTCGTTCACTGACACAATTGCAGGTAAGCTATCGAAGCCTACGTCAATATCTGTACCTTCAGAGCCATGGGACAGTGGTGGCGGCGCGATTGAAGTTGGTGGAGTAGCTGTTGATCCTGCTGGCGGATCACTTGAATTTACCAGTGTTTTTGTTGGGGACATTGTTGTTTCCGTTGTGACCGATAGTGTAGAATTCATACGTGATGTGTTCTGATATGGCTCAGGCTGCTGCATCAATCGCGTCGAGGACGGCTTGGGAGGCTCTGAATAAGCACTTTCAACACTGGCCTGACCTTTGGTTCTCTTGGACCAATCTGAAAGACTAGCCTTTCCTTTGATGATATGGCCCAGTCCTTCCAACAGTCTCTCGGCTCGGCCATGATCCTCTTTCATCCTCGACCATTCTAGATGCTGCACGACGGTATCGGTCAGTTCCTGCAAGATTGAGACGTCTCTCGGTCCAGCTTAACGTACGGAAGAATCGAAAACGAGCATAGATCCATTTACGTAACGAGTATCTGATTTAAGAGGGACCTCGAAGTAGTATCGTAGAACGGGTGGCAAAGCTTTAAGCACTGGAGAATTGCGCGTTACTCGCTCTGCCAGAAGGCCAGGTATCACGACGTAGTCCCTGCCTGCAGCACTTTCCGGTGATTCAAGCTCCAGAGTGCTCACTCCGTTGAAAGCGTCTATGGCTTTGGGACAAATCCCGTGGTAACGCGCCACGGACTATGCGCCGAGCACCAGTCCATCGCCAGGTTCATGGTCGTGGTCACTGGAAAGCGAGATAGTGCGTGTGGCCTTTGCAAGGATATGTTGGAATTTATCATCGACAATGCTGATTAGACTTCGGTCGTATCGTGTTCGATACGCTGCAAGTTGAGCCAAATCGTTAAAGCCGCCATCGGTCGATAAGCGAGCTGGAAGAAGCTCGAAAACGATCGCTTGGAAGTAGTCTCCGCTAAGTGGTGAACCTGCTTGCTCCAAGGCTGTCTCTGAAAGGGGCAATGGCGATGTTGCGCAATAATACTTTGAGAGTTCGCGCGAGCCGAAGTCGTTCCTGCAGGCCTTGGGCCTTTTGCCGCCGAGCCATGACGAATCGGATTTGGCCAGGTTATGGCTCAAGCCGCAGCAGCCAGATCGCGACTTTGTTGAAAGCTTGTGGCGCTGAGATCATCGATTAGACCTGCCAGAAGTCCATCAAAGTGACAGAGGAAAATGTACAATTGCCATGATCAAGGACGCCGAAAGCGCAAGTTCGATTTGTGGGAGTGGCGTTGAGAGAGGTCTGGGCGGCTCTCTCGACCGATGCCGAATCCGAGCGCTGTTTAGTCGATCAGGCACACGGGAGTCCGGCAGCCTCATCCGTTTCGAGTCATGGGCACTTCTACTGGAAGCGATAGTCAATTCTTGGAGAGACGGCATAGATTGCGCTGAATCTGGGTGGGGGGACACCTTAGAGACTCAATACTCTTACTCGTTTCAGGAGATCAAGCCAGGCATATAGAAGGCCATTTCCTTCGATGCCCAGCGTTCTTACAGTGGCGGTTAATTGTGAAGCTGGAGCAGAAAGTATCTCCAGCATGAGCCGCAAGAGTAGCCACAACAAGGCACTAGTTAGACTTTGCATGGTGCAACAGGGATCTGTAATACGATTCGGCACTCTGAGCCTGTAGCGTGGTTTGCGTGGCCGTGCCTTGCAAAACTTGAGAATGAATGAACGCAGTACAATGGACAAGCTGGGCACTCCGTACCACTCGGACCAAGCCGTGAGAGCACAGCGCCGAAACGGATTGGCTGCTCAGGAATTGACATCGCGTTCGAGACGCAGCTATGCAGCATACTGGCACGATGGCATGGATCAATCATTCGCGCGAGCATGAGCAGCTATCGGGTGGTGCACATATCGGACGAACGATGACACAATCAGGACCTCCGCACCAAGCAGCACATTCTCGCGCAATCACTACCACTCACGCGACTTTCATGGTCATTTGGTGCTTTATCTGCCAATACCTAGACCCGAATCGCCATGACAAGCTTCCCAGGCGTCAGTCATCCCAAGCCTGCGTGAAAATGGCCAAAGCCACCGTCGCTGTCAGCCTCTTCAACATGTACTCTGTTCTCGGTTTCAGTGATCTTCCACGATCTCAAGAACCACGTACTGCTCGCTGCCAGAAGATACATAACCCGATAAATCTTTGGGACGTCCGATATCTTGACGCTGCTATAAGATTAAGTCAGGTCGGATTTGGGAATGCTGTCGGTGTAATAGGTGAGATAAAAAAATTATTCCGAACGCTGTCGGGAGCCTTTTGACGGTGCAGAGGCAATGTGACGATTCAAAGAGAAGGTGATGGAGAACCAGAATATCATTGAAATACCTGGTAGGTACCTAGGTATCTATTGCCGCCAATTTCATCAGTACGGTAGTATAAGCCCACCGCTGTTGATTAGCTCAACAAGAAATATGCATCCTGTGGTTTTCATTACCACGGCCACCCTCTCCAGACGAGACGATATCTGGCGAAGTAAGAAGTCCTAAACATACCCACCTGAAGTCGAAACTCATGGTACGGATTGTGTTCCGGAGGCGACACAGGATTCAGCCCCAGACTGTCTGGTCGTACCACTATGTGGACACGAACGATGCCTTTGGCCACTTCGCCCCCAAGCCTTATAGCAACGCAGGGGACGTCTCCCATACGCAATTTTTACCATCCTGCTGGGGTAGGCACTTCACTTGTTGTAAACACTGCTTCGAACAGCTCACTGGGTGTTACGCACTCCAACCGTGTCCAAGAGTATCGAGCATATATCAGTTCGAGGGCTTGTGTTTCGGTTTGCTCGTCAGCCTTCCCAATGTGTTCATTAATTGATCCACCAGAAGCGATGGCCACAACCACCATGGTGCAAAACGTCCGGACCGGATTGGATGTCCGACGATGTCACTATCACGTCACTCCCCACACTGCTTCACAAATCGCAAATTTGATGATAGCGATCGTTAGTCCTACGAGCCTTAGATCATGTCGTTTTATTGCCCGATTTTCACGCCCAGAATTGAGCCTCCATATCCCTATCAATTTCCAGTTAACTTCTTCTTGTATCTCATTGCGTCTGATCAGCCAAACGACAAGCTGAGTGCAGTGTATTTGTCTGAGAGTGGTTCTCCACAAGTACACCGCCTGTATTTCGACCTCAACTTTCCATACGAATCTTTTCATTTGGGAATGTCAGGAACGCTCGTACCTCGAATCCCTCCAGTTGACACGGACATGGACTTCCGACACATGAACACAAAACCGAGCAAGATCTCTACAGCCTGCAATGCCTGTAAACAACGGAAAACGAAGGTGATTTCAACATAATCGATTGGATCGGGGGAAGGTTATCCTAACGAATGTAGTGCTCAGGATCAACACCTTGCGATGCTTGTTCAATCCGTGGCACCAGGTGCGAGATCGACGCCAGTTTAGATCAGCGTAGGAAAGTTACCAACCAGCGAAACATTAACGATCTGAACGATGCACAAAACAACCTCGAAAGACACAGATAACTGCTTGGTGGAATGATCGCCATTTTGCGTGTTGGTGCTCCTGACACAATTTCCGACTTACTAGATATGATCCGGTCTGGCGTTGATCTATCACTGCTTGCGGCACATGCCCGAAACGCGCGCCTATCTGATCCTGCCATCGAAGAGTCGTTCGCCACTATTGAGTTCATAATTGACGGCCCGAAGGAGCTTCCATCTCCCACAGCTTTACTTACACATGTCCCATCTCGATCGCCTGCAGACTCTTTTTCATCCGTGCCTATCAGTAGAGAGGATATTGTGCCTGACAGCGTCAGCAGCATGACTGGCCCCAGCAGCATGAACGGCATCAACAGCATGAGTGGTGTCAACAGTGTGTATGATGGCGTTAGCGGTGTGGATAGTATCAACGGTACGGATGGCATGAATGAAGTCAATCGCTTTGACAGTTTCGACAGGTTCTACACCTTCAACGGGCTCGACGGCTGATGACCTTGCAACGATGGTCATTGCAATTTTAGAGCTGTGCAAAACTGCCTAGATGTATTTCTTGTCCTGGCGCCGCAATGCTGATTTGAGGACTTTGCAAAGCTCTGGAGTTGTGAATCAGTTATCGAGTATATGCTGCCCGCCTTACAGGGACAGACCTGAGGTACGCCTCACGTTCCTGAGGATGGCTTTCCATCCCTGATCTTTGGGATGATCGTAGCGTGGACTTCGGAAGTGTCGGCTGACCCGCCCGATAAATCTCGAGGCCCCACCAAAACACAACTATTGTCTTGTGCCCTAACTTTGAGGTAATCTTTGATATAGAGTTATCTCGGTAAGACTTAGGAGTGCGAGGATCATACGAGTATCAAGTAGAAGATCTAAAACGTGATGGCGGAAGAATGGCAGAGATACTGGAGAGGTGGACCATTCCACACCGGACTTTTCGCCACACGAGGATGCACGTTAAACTTCCGACGACGCAAGTTACAGTACAGTACATGATTCCTTCGTATTTGCGTACAGTGAAAACAAGCCGACAATGAAGCTATTGACTCAAATGTATACCGCTGTAAATCGTGATGACACGCATGCAAATGTGTACAGTGACTTGGTAGGCAGAATGTCTAACCGCCGTATATGGTGGGAAGTTCAGCCACAATTGGGACGGCACCACGCAGCCAAGTTGTGGCTCGATCAGTAGTGGGTGGCCTTTGTCTACGCAAGCCGTACTATAACATTACGAGAATATTAGTGATGTCAGACGTTAGAGGCGGTATTGCTTGGCTCCAAGGATCTCCACTTCAATTCGTAGACCAACGTCTGACCTCAGTAGAAGCGCTCTAGAGGTGACGCAGCTTCCACCAAGTCGCCTTTGATGGCCTCGGATGACATAGTATGTCTCTAGCATCGCCTCAAGCACCACTCAGTAGCCTCTGCTATATATTCTGACCTCCTTCGCTGCTGCTGCGTACGCCGATGTTCTTGACCATGGAAAGAGATACATGATGACGATGCGGTATTCCAGGCCTTAGCGCTCGTAATTCTTGACACCGAATCGGTCAAGCAGAGATAGTGCACTTGAACAAGCACGGTTAGAGTTAGACCTAATGGCTCACTGGATTATTGCTCACTGATTTGGTCTGTAAGCACGGATAGGCGCCCAGTTCTGTAGTAGTTGCACCACCTGCTCGTAACCTCTCTCTGATGCTGCTTGAAGTGCATTGCCGTAGAGCCCTCCTTGAGCATTCACATCCGCACCGGCATCGAGCACTTGAATGCTAAGGGGTCGTCGCGCTCCAACGATGATCAGAAGAATCTGGCGGGCAAACTTTCTTTGTCTCTCTTTAATCTTGCACAGGATCCGGTCGTAGGCGCCTTCGACCGATATCGGTAGGGACACCACCTGTACATCGTCGGGATGGATACTTTCTCGACATACTTCGCGCACTTCTTCTATCGCAAGATGCAGCCACAAATACGTGCGATGTTGCATGTCTAAGAGTTGTCGTTGAATCCTTTTACGAACGCTAGGATTTAAAGAGAACTCACGGGCTAAGTCTTGTACCCGCTGTTCAATGACCAGATTAATCTCCTGGTGGATGTGGTCGTTTTCATCCTCACCACGAAGTCGGATGTGAGGCCATCTCGAAGTGGCTTGTTCGAACCATCTCTGCACATTGTCGTATGGTCGGCTCGTCACTAGCACTTTCAGAGCACCAGTGGAGCGATCGTTGTGTGTACTCTGATGTAGGTCACACAACAGTTGAATCAGCTTACATCGATCCGCATCCTCACACTCATCAAGGGCATCCATGATGCAGATGATGGGACGAGCGTCGCGATCCGTAGCCGATGCCTGAAGAATGCGCCACATCTCTTGAGTCTCTTCTCGCAGCTTGTCCCCGTTCTTTTCCCACGCCGACTTATTGTTCTCGGGAGTGAAAGCTGCAGTCCGGGCGCGGTCAAACAGCAGAGTAAAGTGTCGTTTGCCTACCGTGTTAGCACCACCACGAAACAATTGTTCTACTTGGTCGCGATAGGCAGTCTTTAACCGACCGAACACACCGACATCGCACGGCTGAAGCTTGTGTGAGGTATGGAAAGGCAGACGACAGAGGATGATGTTGTTTTCGTGGCAGAAGGTCAGCACCTCTAGGGATTCGTGTGTAGCCAATCCATCGTTGATTTATTCGTAAATAAGAATACGTTCTTCCTCATTATAATCAATATGTGTTCGAACACGATAGTTCTCTTCGAACTCATGTTTGAGCTCCTTGGAGAGCTCGAATATCGAGGGGGAGACGGGTTTCAAGACGAAGGGTCGGTTCTCACAGCTGAATGCACGTGTTACCATAAGCTCTGCTGACTTTCGAGGATTGGGGATGAATTTTGAGACTCACTGCGCGAGGTAGACATCTAGCTCCGATTTCTTGGGATGGACTTGGAGTACTTTGTCCCGCACATACACACGACCAGAACGGCCAACTAGTGTTGAGGACATCCTTGTGAAGTTAGGTTTCCAAACACGAGTCGAGAGCATGGCTATGGAACAGCCCTGACTGAAAAGTCAAAGAAGATGTCGATCCCAATCACCGAAAGGGCCTCCAAGGAGGCTCATGGGCTGTCTGCACGGTCTACGTCGAACCGTATTGATTACTCATGGCGGTTCTGCATGCGCCGGTCCCTGCTGGACAAAACTTTATACTCTTGTTTGATAGGTGGCGCAATCTCCACTATTGCGCTGCTAAAGGTAGATTCACATAGCTCCATTGGAAAGGTCATCTTGCTTCGTTCCTGCCTGACTCGGCGAGGCGATTTCTTGCATGCTGAGATGGCCCTCCACAGCTCCCAAAATGCATGCACCCAGCATACACACGTTGTACAGCATCTCATTTGTCAACCGTCTGCGCCTGCACAGTGCGCATGCGAATGCAGAAGTATCCCTCATTCGTGCTACCATTTAGTTCGGCAAGATTGCATCTCTGCGCCATGCATGGGCTGCGCGGCGCTGGCACCTATGACGGTTCACCGTACTCAATAATCGTGCAATCGCTATGTGTCTTCATGCACTTCCGCCTGTCAGTCCTACTCGTGTCCATGAGCCTGATGGTTGCTCACAAGCCGAATCACGATGGCATAACAACGAGACGCACTGCTCCGCTCGCTGCTTTGGTAGGTCATCTAGGGATGCCGTCTTAGTCAGTAGGTAACGGCAATCAGGTTGCAGACTTCTCACGAATACTCCGATTCAAGGATCTTCTGTTAAGATGAGGTTTTTCACCTGCACAAGGCCGTTGTTTGTTCTCGATCCAAGTACTTTGCCGTTGCTTGTAAGTGGGGAAAGGTGAGTTAAACCTGTTGCCTCGAACACGAATTGACGTCCCTATAGAATAGTAACCCGAAGGACGAAGTCGAGCTGACGGACGACGACTCAAAGCTGGTTGGTCTGATGGTGGATTATTTATACCAGCTCAACTACGACGACCTGTTACCGAGTAAACCGCCTACCGAGCTGAACCAAGAGACATCTGCACAACCTGAATCTGCGGTAGCACATCACGTCCAGTGTCACGAAGACCTTGGCCATGGAGCACCCATCGACGAGCTCGTTCTCGAGCCAGAAATCGCTGCGGCGTCGGAGATCCACATGTACGAAGAAGATGTGTGATCTTTTGGAACAGGCAAGAAAAGCAAGAAGGACAAGAAGAAGAAGAAAGGACAACTTTCAGAACCCCGCCTCAGAGATCACGATCAAGACGTGAGCACAGCACGACTCGTGGTGAACACACTCATGTACGCACTGGCTGATAAATATGAGATAGACGACTTGAAAGCTCAGGCGAAACAGAAGTTCGAGGAAGCGGTGGTCCAGGACTGGGACAGTCAAGCATTCGCGTACGCAGCTGAGCTGGTCTTCAGTACCACCCCGAACTCTGATCGAGGTCTGCGCACGGTTGTGACCAAGACAATCAACATACATCGTGAATTAGTCAACTACGAAGAGGTGCAACGACTTCTTGATTCTGGAAACGGGATGGCTTGGGCACTCATACAGGTTCTTCTAGGTGATCATATCGATGACTGACAATTGCTTGACCTCAGGCTGGTGACCAGACTGCTTCGCGTCGTGTTGCGATAAGACCCGCGTACATGAGCTTTGGTATGGCCACAATGTCTGTCTGTTCTCCGCAACGCAGCTGGCTGATTCTTATGATGCATGACTTGGAAGTGTATCTGCAACACACAGGACGTCGTCTTAGTGGCGGGTATGTGTATATCGTATCCTCATAAGCAGAGCGGCTGTCGTTCTCTGACCTAGCGGGCTCCTGTTTTTAGGATGTCTCTACGATCAGACGAGCACGAGAATATACTTAACGATGGATATACCGTTGAGAGATGTATTCATAGCTTGAAAGAGGAATACAACGACATTGCTGCCTGCGATTATCTTCAACTTCCAAAAGCTTTCGGTGCACCAAACGCATATACGGCAACTGTGAGGACTTTCGAAGATCTGCAAGGAGTACTTTCTGAACACAGCTTGGGTGAAGGTAAAGGGCTTCGCATGGTGGAAATCTTTGTAGACAAGCAGTCTCACAGCTCCAAATCTCTGTTTCCTTACTTGCCAGATTCTTTGTATCTATAGAAAATGCAAGCTCAATGTTACAACTTCACTTGTTCATTGTTGTAGCTTCGTTCGTGCAACGTGAAAGACCCTCAGACCCGTCAGCACCAGTGCTCGTTGCACGGTCAATGAGTAAGCAGAAATATTAGCTCGATACAAAATCAGATACCATCTGAATCAATACATCCTACGGAGCAGATGACCCTGCTTCGCAACAGCCTTCCCCCTTTGCTTCGACCAACCAGGCCTACAGCCTTGTCAAGCCTCCGCGCTGCGGGAAAACCCCATCACAACTTTGTGGGGAAGCACAAGCTTTGCCCCAAGCGCCGGCGGTACTATATAGTTGCTGTTTTCAAAGGTTGTTAAGCACACTACCGATCCCAGCTGGAAGATTGATCTTCGGAATTGTTCTCGTAGAAAAGAGCGCACAAGTGCGTGTTTTAGTATCGTGGGAATCAGTCAGTTTAGCGGCGGCGCAGCACCAGATTTTCAAAGATGCCAAAAGGGATGAAGATGCTCGACTACTTATGTCGCGGTCGCGAGATAACTTGCTGCTATGTAGTTCGACAGGCATAATGGATTTAGCTGTGCTACAGTCCGTGCAGTCTTTGGACCTTAAGTACCTCGAAAATATCCTCGAGCCCGACAACGACAGCCCCGAACTTCTGTACCAGCTGTACCATACGTACGTTGAACAAGCAAAACTCTCGCTGTATCATATCCTAACTGCCAGTTAAGAGCACTACCCCTACAAGGTCGACAGAACCTCACGGGTGTGGATGACTTTGAACCAGTTAAGATGTGCCGCTGTGAAATTCTTGTAGATCCGTGTAGAGGCACAAGAATTCATGACTCGTAAGCATGGTCCGACTGCTACATGATGTTGTCATTCTTTGTCTGCTTAATGATTGGAAATGCGACTGTCTGGAGCAGAAGAACTTAATACATTCTAAATCGGCTCGTCAAGCTCTGTGTACTTTGGCGACAGCCCCATGATGTTGATTCGCTTGGTAGTCGCGGTAACAAAACAAATACGTGTGAAGTACCAGCAAACGAGAGTGAAGTCAAAACCCCATTAGAGCTGGCTATCGCTTCTGCAAGAGTTTCTTGATTTCATCGCTCTGCGTTTTGAGCTGTTTACTCTGTTCCGCAAGCATGCTCATAAGCTGTTTTTGATGCTCGTCATGAATCTTTCTCTGCTCCTCGGAGTTCTTGCGCTGCTCTTCTAGCTGAGTGAGCAAGGCAGCCTCCCTCTCTTTTGCCTCGGTGCGCTGTTGCTCGAGCTGAAGAGTCAGTCTAGCCTCACGCTCTTTGACGTCTTGTCGTTGTGACTCGATTTCTCGCTGTAAGCCTTGAATCACGTTCCGCAGTTCTGCATTAGACACCCGGCCCTGGTGACCTTTCCGAGTGCCTTCTTCTTGCGAGTCGACCCCGCTTGCTTCGTCCTGCGAGCTTTGCACGCTGATGTCGTCCACGTTTGAGACCAGGTCTGACGAGGTGGGCACAGGGTCAGGGAGGGTATCGATCACCTCTTTCAGTCGATCGAGGAATGGCAGTGCAAACAGTTCACACACATTCACCGTGAACTGGTAACACTGCCATCGCTTCTCGCCCTGGTTGTCGCCGAAGTTGACCTTAGGCAGAGCTTGCATGTAGTAGGTCGGCTCCTCATGGTCAATCTCCACGTAGTGCACATACAGTCGAGCTGTCTGGTCATCATGGGACATGGAGAACCCTAAAGCGCGTCGATGGAGGTCTGGGAGTCGACTCGCTCGACGATAGAGGTCGACTATGCCGCGCATGTGGATGGTCATGCTGTGCGCATTGGGTCGATCCGCCAGGTCCAGTCCTTGTCGACCACATTTAACCTCGCCGGTAAAGAAGGGAAAGAACATCTCTTCACGGGCCGTGTAGAGTGACTTGGCGGTGGGCTCGATGTTGAGTTTGCGCCGCTGGATTTCGGTGAAATTCCACCATCGAAAGCCGATGGTGTGGTCCGGCTGTGGTCGTGGTCCAAAGAAGGGAATGGCTTTCACCCACAAGTCGTTGTGACCTTCGATCAAGCCTGCAAACTCAGCGCGTCCAGCGATGCACATGTTTTCGACCGAGGGCATCACCCGCGAGTGCAGATCAGTCGTGATGCGCGCCTCAGACCGGTTGCGTAGGTTCGCGTGAAACTTGACGAAGTGGTCGTCGTCAAACAAGAGGTCGGGCGGGAGCGTCTGGATGTGGGTGTGCAGGGTGGCACAGAATGCTTCATCTTCTTCGGACAGCCCATGATCTGAGGCGCGCATGAAGCTGCCTTTCGTCTCCAACACCACAGGATAGTTCACATCCTTATAGACCGAATATTTCTTCTCTTTGGACAGCGCCGTGTCTGTGCTCCGACCCGACGACGACAATCGGCGTGCCAGGACATCCGATGGTCGTGGTCTCTTCGATGTCGGTGGATTCATGTCGTACGGATCAACCTCGTGCTCCCAGTGGGTCAATGGCTCAAACTCTTCTTGACTGGCAGGTAACTCTTGAAAGTATTTGTCAAGCTCAGGTGTGGCGGAATCGATCTGGCCGACGACCGATGGAGAGAGGCGAGGTTGTTTAGGAGGATGTGACGAGGGAAGGAAGTCAGCTTCGTGCTTGCGCTTGCGCTTACACTTTGAGACTGGAGAGTTGGCTGTGGGCGACGACCCCGATTGCTAACAGAATGGTCAGCATGACTGTCCATACATCCATGCAGTGACCAAATACTGACCTGTGGTGACGGTAATACCTGTGTCGACGACGGAGAGGGTAGTTGTGTGATATGCTCTGACTGAAGGGCAGGTGTGTTGTTGGCAGACACCGACGACGAGCTGGTTGCACGACCAGACACCCAACGCCGCTTCTTATGCGGTGATGGATCTGAATCGTGGTCTGACTTGCGTCTTTTTCCTGTACATTCTTCAGTCTCAGTCTCCATCATAGCGATGTGCGTACTCACGCGAATGGCAGTGTATAGGATCTAGATGTTGGTGTTGTTGTTGATGTTGGTTTTGGTGTGTACCGTGCAGGTGATCGAGCGCAGGGTAGACAGTGCTCGTGTTGAAGTCCGGCATTGGCTCGAAAGGCGACACAATCTGGCTGGAAGCGAGTGCATATATAGTGAGTTGTATGTGTGTCCGCGAACTGAAATGGTAGTCAGTCACACCAATGACGGTAGAAGTGAAGGAGTTCAGAAATGCATTCGATGTTAAGCGCAAGCGATTGCGTCCCTTAGTGTGCGGAGTATCCAAGATAGGCAGCTAGCTTACCCAAGTGAATTCGTGACCAATGACGACGCGCTCGAGATGCACTATCAAGATCCACATTGACATGGTTGGCATGGGACCAACCTGGTCTATGTATTGGCCGAACTTATTGTGTATCTTGAGTGGCACCAGAATGATTTCTGTTTGACAACGATCACTCAGACGAGTTGACACTGAGCAGGAGAGCTATTGAGCACGTCGAATACAGCAGAGCCAATTCAAGCTCTGAGTCCGCGAGACCTAGAGACTGTGCATATCACTGCAAGTCTCGACAATCCGGTTTGGGACATTAACAAAGTCTGGAGTCGCGGCTCTGACGATCAAAGAGTAGATTGGGGTTGAATGTCACGTCAGAGAACGACTTCCTCTTCTCGACTGCTCGCAGACTAAAGATGCCAGTACCTCCTTCTCACGAGATGTGTGCTATATCAAGCTGACACGAGGAGCGCCATGGTGCGTAAGAGCAGGGAACGTACTCCACCTCAACACAGCCGGCTGGCAGTGTTCTACAAGCTCTATACCCCATCGCGTTAAAATATGGGTTACTGGTGATAAGAGACTGTCATCTGTGCACCACTCGAGCACACCATTCTTTCGGGCATGTAAGACGTTGGCACGAACTGTCTTGGACAGCGTTTACAGATACCTGGGTCCATTGGTTTGTCCACAACAATGGGGGTGTTGACCTGGAGTAATATGGCTAGTCTAAGCCATTTCCACCACGGTTTGCGTACAGAGACAGCTGACAATATCACCCAGGTTTTAGAATTTGGGGCATGATCCAAATCATCACGGTCAGTTGAGCCGACACCAAGCTAGAGGACAGAAGAACAACTCATTCAGCACGGATACAGCGACGAGAATTATCAGACTATGAACAGAGACATGTTCAAATCGACTCTCAGGAGCAAATGGAACTATTGCCGACATCCACATTCTTGCCCCTACAGATCGTGGTCAAACACTTTCTTTATCTGCGATATGAAGCTATGCAACCTGAGACTCCATACAGCGGTCTTTAGATGACTTGGACAACTGCTAGGCTCTCTTGAGCTCGTTTGTGCCATCGGAGATCTGTTTTCTCCCAATCACGCCTGCTTTCCAATGTACTTCATCGTGCTTAGGCACAGTTGTGGAGGTCTACAGTAGAGGGACAACACCTTGCCTCTTGACGATGTGAATGCTTAAATGTGGGTTGATAGTACAGCGCATCCAGGCAGAACATTACCCTTTTCTGAGAATCAAAGGCATCATCTCCGTTATCCTAAGCAGCGTCAACGACAGTATTGATCCTACTTCGGAGCCTGCCTGCACACATAGCTAGTACACAATCGGGATGCTCGCTGACTCCTTCCACTTTGGGCTCAGGTTATTTATTCGACGGCATTGACCTGACATCCGGCGTATTCACACACGCACAGCGCTTCCCATGATGTTTGCGATGGCGCTACGGAGGTATATTGGACCTCAAAATGGTTGTCTACTGGTCCGTGGATTCCCGTATGGTCTTGGTGCAGATGCTCGCGCTCTTCTTTGCCATTCACGAAGCACAGAAATAAGTCCTAAACAGCGCTAGAATCCGTCGCGTCAGCCTCTAGAGTTGCAGCCAGAGATATACAAGTGGCTCCGAGCGTGGATTGTTATCAACGCGAAACAACGTACAACGCTAGCTCTAGAGACTTCTAGGGCCACGTCTTCGACGCGATTATAAGCTACGATCTGGCAAGTAAGAAGTTTGTAGCAGCTACCACACTGGTTAAGCTGACGCGATGCAGATAACGTGATTAAAAACACACAGTCAGACAAGTGACGAGCAGAGTCGGTTTTGCAAACAAGAGAAGGTACCACTGGCGAATCTAGCCACCTGTCGTAAGTTAATGTATAACAGATGCCATAAGCCCTACGAGGTTGACCGAGCCGATAGCTTGACTGCGCTAGAGCATGAGCAATACAGTACCACAAAGCCTAGTACGGCTTACATGAACCACCACTGCAGCTAGACCCCTTAAGTTGATGGTCTACCTTAATACGATCTCACTTTACTGACGATGTGCTGTAGCTTTTGCCCACAGGGAGTAAGCTCAGTCTGTCTGCAGCGATCCAAGACTACCTTGTTGTTTGGCACAGCGACGAGCTCATGCGAAGCATAAACTCTCATCTCTGCTAGACACCAACCACAGTCAGCAATTTCACACCGTAGACTTGGTCTCACTTACTCTCCTCAGCGCCATGGCATGGCTCAACAATAGCGGCACTGTGGTATGTCAGACCAACCAGTGATAGATCATGTGCGAGTGTACATTTCAGTATAGCTGTATATCTGAGAGTAAGCTTTGTCTACACACTGGCGAGCGGGAGATTTGATAGCTCTCGGCGAATTTAACCAGTACTGTCGCCAATGGTCATCGGTCCATAAACAGATCAACTGCCTGAAGCATGTGGGCTGTGCTTGAATATAGCTATTAAGATCGCTTCGTATGGCGTCATCCCAGCACAGCTACCACAGCAGAGAATTGTAGGCACACCACCTCCTCATCCTCGCCTGACGCGTGCGGAGGTAAAGTGATAGGTATGCCTGACCCACTACCGAATGAGACATGCTGCAGGATTTACAACACTAGTCGAACCAGTCATAAACAACAAAAAGTTGGATCTTCCCGTGGTAAGACCGACCCCAACACCTGATTGGGTTTAACATGACTGGAACAAGGCAGAAAAGAAGGACTGCACCTGCTCTAGAGTGATGGTCCAGCAGGCGAGGTGCATACAGCATCCACGCCGGTTGACCAGCTTAACCGCATCGCATACTCCAGTCACCAGTCTACTTAACAGCCACTCGCACCTTTGACTGACTGACTGACGGACTGATATTTATAATGCCGATCAGCAAACCACCATCACACAAAATCATTGGCGCCGGCCTATCTGCCCTTCTCAGTATTAGCAGGTGACCCCTGTCTTGTTCCGCAACATATAAGATAAGGTGTGATTTGCAATTTAGTGCTCAGGAAGTGAATGTCTAGCAGTGTGGACGTATAAAAGTAATATCGCACAGTCTAAACATCAGACAGACACTGTCCCTTCTGCAGTGACCAAGAATGCTTGAGATGCTTACAATTAGAAGGCTTATAGTGTAGAGATATTAGATCAGTGAAATAAGAAGATCATAGCTCTAGTCGTGGTACAGTACTACACAGAGTAGACTAAATAAATGGTCGTAGCGGTTAAAACAAAGAGCAAGTAGGTGTGGTGTGAGTGGATGAGACGCCTGTTTCGCGTAGAGCAAGGTGCGCCACAGATATGGCCGTGCGATTCGGCTCACCCTACTCACACCCACAACTCACCCCCAGCTCACCCTCGGCTTACCTGCAGGGTGAGTTAAAGCGGCAGCAGCTCACCCACTAAGACGGAACGAGAAATTAAGAAGCGAGAATCTGTACTCTTATCTACCGGTATTAATAACGTATAATAGCTATACCAATTTAACAGTAAAATTGAGTGGAGTACGTCGTTACCCTAGTGCGTCGTTACGGTGTTGCGAACTTAGGAGCAGGCCTGATAGCGTAACTGCCCCCGTACCAATTCCGGGCGGTTGCTAGAAGTGGTTTACATGGAAAGTACCTCCTTCTTGCTCTTGCACGTGATCATACGCCGTAGGAGACAGCGGTTCTCCGGCATCTGCCACGCAAAACTTCTGCAATGTACTGCGAATCAACAAATGTGATATTACGCTAGTCTTACTAGTACTTTGCATGTAGTCAACCGTTCTATGTAACTTAACCTCAGATAGTTTTCAATACCAATACTGGCTTGATTTTACGCAAATTGGCCGAAAGAGCGACGTAGGCGAGATGCATGCTGCACAACCACCACCACCACCAAAAGAAACGGACGTTTTGACTAGAGTTACTGTACGTATGTACTGCAGCTACTCTCGAGTCTCAAGCTCCGGCAACCTATTTACGGTTGGTTGAGCATGACTTCTGAGATGTAAGTAAGTGTAATTGTGTTCTTGACGAGCGCGACTTACAGTTACACGCAGCTAGAACGTGCTGAAATACAATGAAGTGCGCCAAAGCCGGCCAACATCTGGGTCTTTGTAAACCCACCAGCAGCAGAGGCACAGTAACCAAATATCACGAAAATGTGATTGCATGCTTCAATGACCCTCGCTTGTCCTAACCATGCTTGCCGCCGTCAATCTACTCCCTTGAGTGAGTCACCTTTTGAGAACGTCCTAGTGCATAGGCGCAAAGCGTTCATCTTCGAACTTGGCATCACAATCTGCTATCCGGCGTCGCTTCTTCTCCGTATAAAGTGCTAGATAATTATCACGCAAGTTCCCTGGCATCGCATCCCCAAAAGGCCTCCTAGCGAGTTCATTCAGATTTTCCTGTCAGCGCGGTCAATGGCAGCACAATACATGCTTAAAAGTGGTCAGTGCATTTGCCCCGAAAAACCATCAACATGCACTCCAATCAGGCGACTAACAAACACGGTTTTGGAGCAGCAAGTTTCAGGCACAATTTTGCACTAGCCGTATCATGCAGCCAATGATGGAGCATCATGCAACTCCCATCATGATCGCATGTCACGTTCTCGCTGGCGCCCTATTCTCTATTCACTTCACACCAATATAAGCCGCCAGCAAATCTAACAACTGCTGATGAACTCTCGAATCCGCCCATACCGTAGGATACTGCTCCTTCACCTCCTTCTCCGCCAACAATGCCATCTCTTTATACGTCTTCGCCCCCCTAACCCTCGGCTCCAACCTCTGAATCATTAACCAATTACACGACACATCCGCCAACAGTGCACTGTCCGCATTTTCCTTCATCGTCGCCGTAGCCACCGGCACCGTACTGGTCGGCGGAATTATCCTATTCACATACGTCACGCGATGGAACAATCGCCACGCCTTCGTCCTCGCATTTCCAGTCTGCATCTTCAACGAACTGTCCAGCTCCCGCATGACAGCAGCGTCAGGTATCGTGGTATCCTGCAACCAAAGCGGATTGACAACCTGCTTAAAGAATGCATCGGTTCCTTCTACGCTGGGTTCAAGCCAGAAACTCATCCATCGGTACGTATCGACGGCACCGTCTCGCTTGACCATCTTGCCTCCAACTTCTTTTGTACGGATATTGATCGGTTGAGGAAGCTCTGCGATCAGTTCGAAGCCATCTTCAGTTTGTTGGTCTTTGGTTTGCATAACATTGACGTATGAGCTGGACAATGCATCGACGTTGACGCTGCTGAGGAAACATCCTACACTCATCTCCATTTCCAGGGTGGCACCAATGCCTGCACGAATGCTGTTGTTGCCGCCGACTTCGTGCTGGACAAAGTCCATCGTTGAGTGAGTTTCTTGAAATGTTCCGCCATCAGAGGTCCAGACGTAGGAGTTGCAGATGTTGCGATGAGCTCGACTAGGAAGCGATTTGCGGCTTTTGTCGGCGATGGAGTATCGCTCATGTTCACCTGCGAGCTTTTCCTCTGCACGACGGATCTTTTCTTTGAGGGCATATGCTTCTGCTGGTTTGAAGTACGATGCATCTTTTGGTGCCTGTGCCATCGGAGGATAGTCCGGATCTCGATCGAGGCCATGTAAGCCGTTGAGACATCCTTGTTTGGTATAATGTGGGTCGATCTCAAATGCAATCAAATTGCAATCCTTGGGGATATCAGGGTTTGGTCTCATCTGGTATGCGATCAGAGGAGATACTGGTCCTCGCATTTTAAGTCGTAATGCAAACACGTCGGCAACCTCACTTTCGACAAGCGCCAAACCAGTGTTTGGAAGTTCATATGCCTTTCTGTTCTCGTTCCACGGCCCAAAAACTTCCATCTTCATATCGAGGTTTGTATGCTTTTTCATCGTGACGAAATTGTTCTTGAATTCAGCGTTTGAGATATCAAGAGACGTTTTTGGGCCGGCTTTGATCCTGCCAGAGGACACCTCAGTTTGAACGCCAACACCTGCACTGACATCCCATTTTCCTCCAATACCTGAAGTCATGTTCATGGAAAAGTCTGTCGCAGTTTCTTTGCGTAGGCCATAAGAGTATTGCACGCTGCTCGAGTTGGAGAACTTGATCGAGCTTGTTGGGGCGTGTTTCTCGTCGATGTAATTTTCCAGTGGGAGTGGTGGAGCACCTTCGATGTAGCCGATGAGCGTTGGGGATGTTTGGACCTGACTGACCCATTGCACACTTACAGCACCAATCTTGAAACCTGTGTCGAGTCGCCAGCGGTTGTTGGTATCTATGTATGAATATGCACGTTTATAGCTTCCTTCAAGACTGCTGTTGGCATCAGTGGACATTGTCCCGTACTCGGTAGCGGAGGGTGAAGAAAACGTATCGGCACCTCTATCGTCTGTTTCCATGTTGCCGTGGACATGTCGGACACAGATGGCATCACGACCGACGTATGCTTGTGAAACGACCTTGTTGATCGGAGCCTCGTGTAGAGGGGTGAGATGCCAGCAGTTCATTGAATTGTCGAGCAAGATCTCAGCTCCAGTTGTATCATTATCAAGCTCATCGACCTGTTCGACGTCGAACGGTAGATACACAGCAAGCTCAGGTGGTATTTCCGAAATTTTAGCGTACATCGCGTCACATATGTTCTGTCTCGTCCGAGGGGTCTCCCAGATCCGAAGCTCGTCAAACTACGTATACATTAGCAAGAGTTCATCTGAAAGACTGAAAAAGGGTTCGTGATTTAAGAGATCCAGCAGTGGATAGGGACATGCAAGATAGACCCCACACTGTACTTACCTCGCCTTGAAAGCCATTTGTCATATACTGGAAGCGGAAGTGCTGCCCAGTACCATGGAGTGTATTGCCTAGCGTCAGTTGATGTGGCCCTGCTGGAGTGCTCAACGCCCTAGGGTTATCAGCATGACTGAGCGGCTTGAGCATTCCGTTCAAGTATACCACCATCTGGTGGTCAGGCGCAAAAGGGGATATTGTCCATTGTGGATTGCCTCTGAGTTTGCCATCATTATTAGAGGCTTCATCATAGACAGCTGTGGTGTCATTTCTCGAGAACGACCAGTTGGCGATCAGTTTGTGATCTGTGTCACTCAAGTTGACAAGTTCGCTCACGGTACTTGGCACCTTGATTTTGGTGGAGTAGAATCGCACAGGCCCAATAATGCCATGAAGACCGTTTCCAGTCCATGGGGCACCTCCGAGGTAGAGATTTGCTTCATTAGTAGCTACGCTACCGCAAGCTTGTGCTGCTGAGTCAGCGGCCAGCAGAGACTTGTTGGAATTTTCTGCGTCCTCGAGCTCTTTAACAGTATGCGGTAGAATCTCAAATTTTTTGGAATCATCTGCTCTCCATGCAACCATGGTAACACATTGAGCTTGTCGAGGTTTCCCAGATGTCCGCTGGATAGTCTCGAGTTTGCGAGATATCAAGATTTTGTAAGTATGGCCGATATTCAATTTAGATGCATCGTCAGCTGGCGACTGAACAGTCCGTCGCTTCGGCTTGGCGTCTCCTGATGAACCCTCGTCTTCAGCCCAGAACACGAGCAGAAGCCTTTGATCATGTGTTATTTCCACTTGGATGGGCGTGGCGTCGCTCCCAGATGACGCTTTCGTGAAGAGAATTTGTTGCTGACCAACTGCTTCCTTGAGCTGTATCGTGAAAGCGAGAGAAAAATCCTGTACATTGAATTGCGATGCGTTTCCAAAGTCAATGTGGGAAGTTCCGGACAAGCCCAATGCCAATACGTTGCGTAGTGAACAGGCCAAATGCAGCCACTGACCTTTTTTCAGAATCTCGTCCTTGATTGAAAAGACGATTCCATTGGCGTTCGCAGCCAAGTCGTACCTTCCATCTTGGCTATTCGACCATGCTGGGATCATGAGCACGAAAGTCTGTTGTTCCGCAGTAGCACCTTCGGAGCGTGCTCTTCTCTCAGAAGTATAGGCAACGAGCACACTTTCGGTAACTTCATTGACTTTGAGCCAGGTCTCGAAAGTGAGGCCAGCACTTGCTGTTGAGGCCACACCTTCTGACAGCATAGAATAGACATTGTTGTTCTTGAGTTGCAATGCACTCGTTGGTGGTGGAGAGGCAATGGAGGGACTCTGCTTGTATACTGGAACTGAGAAATTGGTGCCAGGCTGTACGTACATATCCTGCTCATTCACTACCTTGCTGTTGGCACGCGAAGAAGGAATCATCGAGACGATGGCTGAGCCGGATGTTAAATTAGCCGAAAGCTGACCCCAGCGGAATACCATGGTGTCGTGGTCATATGGAAAAGACATGACCTCAGAATCAACATCGGGTGCCTCGTCCTTGGCACCATCTTGACTTATGACTGCCACAATTAGTTCTGTCGCTTTTGCTTGAGCACTCCGCAGAACTAGAGAGAGATATCCCTCAATCTCGATGCAACTTGCTGCCTCTATGTTGTCACTCAAAGGTGTCGCTAACACTACTTTGAAATTGGACTCAGTACTGTTCTCGGCTTTGACCTATATACTATCAGAATTATTGATTTCGTTATTGTAGATTGCCCAAAGATGAGTGGCATTGAAGGTTACCAACTTCAGTCAAAACTTCTGCCAATTCGCCAACCTTAGTCTTGGTGTTTGAGATGCGACCACTCAGCAAATCTGCCAAACGATTGATATTTGAAGGCACGTCTAAGACAACGTCAGCTGTCTTACCATCGAGATTATGCTTACGGTACACTGTTTTGTGATCGAACCGAGGCGATAGTACTCACTTTCCCAGGTTTCTTCCACCAACCCTCTCGAAGTTTTTGCAGATATCGTCAAATTCACAGCAACTGTCTTAGGCGCTATCAAAGATTGCTCGACATGTATGTTGACATTATCGGCTTGACGAAGCTTGCATGCCACCTGAACGTTTGAGTGTGGAAAGAAAGATTGCAAACTTGTCGTTTTAATCGCGCGAGAAATATCGTAGATCAATGCAGAGAACTTTCCTTTGTTCGAATGGGAGACAGAATTGTCCGAGTCGGATCGACTTTGGTAGAATATAGTGACGGTCCCTGTCGCAGAATCCCACACCTGAGGGGCTTGAATGCCACATCGCGCAGCCTTGATGTTCAGGTAGCCGCCGAACAAGTCCATCCCCAGGTTATCAGACCAAATGAGAGGGATGGGAGCATATTTCTTCTTTTCTCCTGTTACCACGACATCTGGACATTCAATAATTGCAGGCCAATCAGCAAGCGTTCCATTCGACATGACACCGAAATCAAGCGTAGCTAATGCTGTCCCGGGATCCGAAGCCTTCTTAGCAACGAAGCATAGTAAGACCCTCGCTTCACGCTTCATTGGATGTTTGTTCTTAGACCTTGCTTCTTCAGGCTTGTGATCACTTTTCTGTAACGTTTCTGCCGCAATACCCGTCGATTTCTGAGTTGCGGATGGCTCTGTGCTTGCAGTCTCTGATTGGGTGACTGTAACTTGCTCAAAGTACACGGCTGCATGAAGACCTCCAGCAACATCAATACCTTTGAGCCTAATGACACGTTGCGATAGTCCTGAAGCTTCTAGTAAGGGAGCCGCGGCCATGGACCAAATTATGTCCGCACTTTCGGGATTTGACTTGCCCGTGATTCTTGTGTGATGCGCGTTCTGTGAGCAGTTCAAGATATCCGAGCCCTTGCCTTCATCCAAATGCCAACAAGCTTCGAGATATGGCTCGTTGCCGCAGGTTCTTGTGTACATTTGAGACTTGACAGTTGCTGGCTTCAATGGAAGCGACCAGAGGCGTACTTCGTCGACATTCCCTTCAAACCGTGGCTTAGTCGGATCCAGCTGTGATATGAGTGTCTCGAGATAGCCCGGTCTCAAGGTGGGACCAAGGTCAACAGTCGATGCTGCGGAGCTCCCGCCGTTGACGATCAAAGTAAGCTTCGAAGGACTACCACTCGCGAATGTAATCGCAACGTGGTGCCAGGCACCAGTTTCGAGAGCTTCGGATTGTGCTAGGGCTTGATCTGCACCATCGATGTAGACAAATATTTGGTTCTTGTCGTTTATAGAAACATTGATGAACTTTTGCTGCTTAACAACATCTTTCCCAATGACCTCCGTCTGTTTCTGTCCTGGTGCCAAAGAAAACAGCTCACGTTTACTGCCTGCTGGAAGCTGTACTGCATCGCTGGCTTTGTCTGACTCACCAGCATCACTTTTGCCTTTAGTGGATAATGGCCTTATCCATGCTTCCAGAGTATACCCTTCAGAGAATGGTAATGCAGACAGATCGATGGGCTTGTCCAGTTTCAGCTCTGGAGCTCGTGTCAGTTGACATTAGGAAACAAGTTTGCGATCGACTTACCATTCTCGTACTCTTGTTTGTCGGCTGTCTCTGATCCGACACTTTTCTGGGCAGCCTGATTATGATGCGCGAGAAACAAAAGACTGCACTGCGAGCTCACAGGAGCTGGTACCACCACCGTTTTGACATTTTCACACAAACGGCCATCGTCTGTCGTTGCTGAACATGCTCCGGGAGTGGTAGAAAAAGTTTCTTCGTGCTCCTCATTGTCGCAGGTATAGTAGATCTGTCCGTGCACATCAAAAAGACCATCAATGGCAACATCGGTCGTGAAGCAGACAATATCTTGAACCTTGACTGAGTATGCAAATATCATCCATTTGAAAACGCCATTGGTCATGGTTGGTGTTTGTAAGACCGAGAATCTGCCATCTTGCATGTCTTTAACGAATATCAAGCTGAAAGTTGGTTCGTAGAAAGGGATATCGTCGATATCCCTTACAGCTAAAGTATCCTTTTCATTGAGAGGGAATCGTTTTTGCCGACTTCTGCGATATCTGACCTCGAGAGTACGCAACAGGGAGGTCCCCACAAGTGTGAAACGATCACATAGCAGATTACTGTCGATTGGGGGCTTTACTATGGTTGAAGTGGTCACGAACCTGTTTAGATAGCTGTCGCTAGCTGCGCGACTCTGTCGGAAAAGATAAACGTATTTGCCATCTGATGTGACCTCGAAATGGCTTGTGTCAGGATTCATCAAACATAGTGATGTCGAACGATAAGGATCAGCTCTTGTGGTCTCGACGGTCTTGAGAGGACGATCTGAACGATCGAAGGCTTGTAGAACATAGACAGGAACGGCTTCCTCTCCTACGGCCCTCAATTCTGATGAAAATTCCAAGACCTTTGGGTTTTCGAGCCAGCGTTGAGAGTCGAGAATATCTCCAGCATCTTTGTCCTTACCAGATTTTGATGAATTCGTGTCTGGTGCTGTTGTGTCGAGAACAGAGTAATCGAAAGACAAGCTTGTCTTGTCACTTGATCTTCGCAAGGCAAATGCTATAGTTAACCCAGCATGAGTCAGTATACGAGTTGAGATGTAGCTACCTTCAGCTGGGCTGGTGTAATGCCGTTCATTTGAATTGGGAAAATCCGACATGATGAGAATGTGTCGCCTCCTAATATGGGACTGCTACGATTCTGTTTGCTGGTCTGTCAAGCGTACATGGGGATGGTCTCAAGCCTGTACCATCTTGGTGAGCGCTCTGAAGGAGTGCTGGACCAGCATGTGGTTGACGTTTGTGCGGAGCCTGCCTTGTTACCGTCGGATACGTGTATCTTAGCAGTGGGAAACATTAGGCTTTCAGTTGATCGTGAGTGGAATTGCATTGTTCAGCCACATGCGATAGCTCGAAGGTTACTTGACATGTTTCCAATGATATAGGCAAGGATGTAGCGCTCGTGCTCAAATTTACCGGCTGAAAAGCTTAGATCAGCATTGTGACTTCTGGGTGTGCAGGATCAAAAGCTTACACAGCTGTGTTGAGGTCCTGATATCCCACCCAGCAAGCACTGCTCATTCAATCGAGTACCTGCATTAGTCTGGCAGGCCAGCCAAGTCCATCGTATTCGGCCGCGTCTTTGTACCGGAAAGGAAAGCGTAACGTGAAGGATTGAATTTGGCTAAGCTAAGCTCCACACTCCACACCCTGAGCTCAATCTACAAATGCTTGTCCGGCAAAGTCTTCTATTCATGATAACAATTTCAAGGCAGCATACCTAAGTACTCTAGTCTGTTGTTGGTGCCAGCAAATCTTGTGCCTTGTCTTACCCTTTGACATGAACGCCGAATGTGTGGCTACTGATGCAAACGCGACTGTTTATTCGACTTGATATCATCATTCTCGGCACTCTACAGTGTACATTTGGCATTGAGCTTCACATGCCGGACCATGGCTCATACCGTGAGCAAGGCACCGCTGTTCTGCTGCCTACCAGGCGAAGCAAAGATCGCGGATGGAATTGATGAGAAGCTTGGTGATGTCGACAAAGCAAAGCCATGGTATCCTTCCGCCAAGATCAGAGTCAAGTTCATCGAACCAACGATAGACGACGAGGTCTGCGAGATGGTGGTAAATGCCTCCAAAGAATGGACGAAACAGTTAACAGACAAGAAATTCCCCAGCTTCGATTGGGTTTCCAAGGAGTCAGAGGCTGACATTCGCATATCGTTTGACCCGAGTATACCAAGCTGGAGCGCGATTGGCACACAAGCCCAAAAGTACGACAAGTCTAAAGCTACCATGAACATTTGTCTAGGAGGTTGGGGCTCGAAGATTGTTTGGACCCGGCAGCAAGTTGCGAGAGTAACAGCACATATGTTCGGCCATGCTCTTGGTTTGTATGTGATGGTCTTCCCCGACATCTGTATCTTGCTGACCTGTGCTTCTTTACGTGAAAAGACCTCACGCCAAGCTACCTTCAGCCTGGTCCAGTCAATGGGATCTAGCACAAGTGGAGAAGGATTGCGGCAAACCCCTAGCGACAATCATAGGGAAGGCGCAAGGTCTCCCCGATCTCTCCAACGACAAATCAATCATGTTATTTGATCGACCATCTGCTTGGTCCATTCTCAAGCTCGACGAGCTGAAGGGGGGCTCTGTCATCGATGATCAAAGTCTGTTGTATCTGAAAGACATGCATGGACACCCACCACCGGATCCATATCAACTGTTGTTACCCGTTTTCACGCCAAAGAAGGTCCAGCCTCAGGATACCTGGACTACTTTTACTGCACAAAAACGCGTTCAAGCCCCAGTTACGGCACAAGCAAATGTCACGTTGGCATTGCGCAGATTGTCACTAGAGAGCATGAGAATCAAGACGCCTGGCCAGAACGATAAGCATAGACTCAGAGCAAGGGCGGTTCGGAGTAGCCATTGGGCAGGAACCTACGATATCGATTTTGAAGCCTGGGATAACAGTATCATGAAGAAGGATTCGACGTGCGACATTTTATCGTTTGAATCAGCAGACAATAGAGTTCAAACAGGTGCCTTAAGCAAAGACTATCAGGATACGAAGACAGACATAGCCTTGGAGAGGACCGTTAAAGAGAACGTTGTATTTAAGACACCGTTCAGGAACACTCCAAAGGTTGTTGCTTTCATCCATATGTTTGATGTCTTGAACGATGACCAGACAGGCACAGCTATATGTGTTCAAATAGACAAACCCAGTACAAAAGGCTTTGAGATAACTTACGGCGCAGTGTCATTCGGTAAGAAGAACCCCTAGCTAGCCAGCACCAACTCGATCAAGACTAACGAACAATAGCGAACCACGGAGGAAAAGTTGTCGCCTTGGGTGTCAACTGGCTCGCACACGAGGCAGACGACTATTCTATCAGCTCGGGAACACTCGGACTAGAGCAAGCGAGTGGAAGTTATTCCAAAAGCCAAGCTTTCGCACCACAATTCGACGTAAAGCCACGTTATCTGTTTGGAGGCTTCAGCGCTATTTACACTTGCGAACGTGAGAAGATGGATATTTCGTGTGACTTTGTCAACCATGACGCGAAGCAATTCCAGCTTGTTGTCGATGCGGGTAAGACAAATCCCAGATCCAACGACTGGGAGGTCTCGTGGGTGGCTATTAGGTGACTATTTACTCACACGCTAAGATCTGTTATGGCAATCCCTGCAACATGAGTATATTCCCATCAGAGCATTCCTTTTCCCTTGACGACACAATTGTGTGTGCTTGAAACGCAACAGATTTTCTGGCACCATCACAACGGGCGGTCGCCACGCCTGGGAGTGTCTTTACCTGTGATTCGAAGAAGCCAGCTTGGCACTGGTCCATCAAGTTTTTGATACGGTTCTGCAAAATTTGTTTTCCTGGCTTTCGTCCTTCACGCTTAATCTTGCATCGTGATCGCAGCGTAAACTTTCAAGCTACCATAACTCTAGCAAGGACTCTATCGGCTCTACACTCTATTTTCCCCATTCGTATTATTCAGATCGAGCTTGCGGTACCGAGGAAGATGACCTGGAAGATTTGGGGTTCCGCAGACAACTCGGACGCAGCCAAGACATGGTTAGCTACCTCTGGCTGTGTCTTGCAGAACTCCACCATCAACAGCTGCATTTCGAATCCTTCCCGTAGCAGGTACACCGCTGTGCATTGTTGGAAGTCTTGAGTGACAAGATATCAGCCACAAGGGTTCAGCTGGGGGACAAACTTAACTTTACTTCAACAAAGCTCTGCTAGCACTAGCACGATGTGAGCTAGAGAAGCTGTACGTGATGAATTGTACTGTGCAGACCTGAAGAAGCACTGTGTTCGTTACCAGCTGCGCACTCAACTTCCGCCGAAGTCGATCAGAGCGCCGTGCAGTTTAATTTAGAGACATGCGTGTGATGCGTGAAGAGTACAGCAACTCACTACATAGCGAGTAGGTACACAGTCATAGTCTTACCTGCTAATACGAGCTCAGTCGTCCAACATCTGCATTAACATATGCCTACACGAATCTTGGACCCTTAAATTTCAAAACGGGCTTACCTGACGTAGCAGAAACAGTGCAAAGCTCCTAGAAGTCATCTGTCGTCCATTATGGGGTCGGGAGATGGGACCGCGAAACCGACTCCTATCAAACCTACCACCATCCGTGTCAGAACGAGACTAAGACCCACCAAGCCTGTCGCAAAGAATAAGCCTGAAGCCGAAGCTGGACAACATGCCACACCGGAAGTCGTGCAGAAAGCGAGACAAGATTGGCAGCAGCGAGGAACCGTCAGTCGCCGGGTGGCGCGAAGCAAGTTCAATGCGAAGAGGCTAAAGCAAGAAGAGGATGATATTGCTAGATGGCACGAGTTCTTTGAAGCTGATCCCGATGACGATGGCAACCTGAAGAATGATGAACCACATCCTTCAGATAGCCATCCTCCAAAGAATCCTCTTCATATTCCTGAAATCAAGCGCATACCCAAAGCCGAGGAGCAAGATCTAGAATTCTTCAACGAGCTGCCAGAAGATAAATCACCAAAATCGCAGACTAAAGATGACATCGAATTTATGGATCTGTTGAACGAGCAGTGCAAGATTGTTGCAGGTGAGGGAGATTGGAGGAAACCAATAGCGCTTCCCAAGCGACCACGCAAGGTCAACGCAAAAGACTTTTTTGATCCAGCGGATGACTTTATGGCTTACATGCGAGCCATTCGCAGGAACGGAATTTGTCTCGATCCTGATCACGCGATGGCTGTCAGAAAGGCTACCAAGGCGATTCTTGCTCAGAGCAACTGGGAAAAGACCGCGGCGACAGTGACCAATGTTCTATTCGCTGCTGCAGGTATTGCATTGATTGTGGTTTCGAAAGGAAGTGCTCTCGGTCTCTTGGCAGTGCCTTATGTTATTCCTACGATAGTCGTGCCGGCCGTCAAAGTGGCTAAAGGGCTAGTCAACGTTGCTATCAGCGCGAGAAATCGTTACAAAAAGGATGATCTCAAAAGGCACATGCAGGACTTGGCAACGATCGAAGCGAGTGTCGGAGTGCGAGTCAAGAGTGAGCAGGACAAGCTTGAGTACCAAAAATTCAGAGCAATTGCTGCAGAACGCATGGGCGAAATGGAAAAGGCTTGGCACGAGAAGTTTACTGACCCGATCAACAAGGTTGTTGATTCGGTCGAGAAGGCTCTCTCGCCTGTCACGAAATTAAAAAAACTTGTCGAGGAGAAGGACAAGCATAAAATTATTGAGAAAGGCGGAATGGCTGCTGAGGGTATCAGTTTGATACGGGATATGAAGGACTTGATTGTGAGCGCCATTGATATTGGGACTTAAAGCGATGCAGCGACTTTGTAGATGGCGTTTTACGTAGCTGTACCTGTATTGAAAATGACTGGCATGTGCCAATCATTCACCTAGAGCCTGGCAAGGTACAAGAGCTGTGGCTGTATGTTCATCAGCCTGCACGCCTCGCATATGCCACATATATGTTGTCAAATGCAAAGCAGAAGATTTTTAATCAACGCTTTCACTGCCACCAAACGTGTTTTCATTGAGTGAATGCCAAGCTTTGTGGATTGCTTCTCATAGCTACCGCCGCCATTGGTACACCATTGGGTCTGACTGATGGGACTGGACCAGCCAGATCGACCACACTGGCGAATTCTATGTATGTCCCAGATCCTGGTCAGCTTAGGGTAGCCACAGCCGCACATAAGGGACTTGGATATCCAAGGACCTGTAACATCCTTTGCCCCGATGAACCTGATCGTGGCAATGTGACAATACGTTACGAAGGACTAAGGGCTCATGGTCGCAATAATGATTGGATTCGGATACCAACAACCTCTGGTCGATTGCTAGACAACTACCAAAGTAGTCTGAATGAACATTAACCCTTAGTGACTGGACCATGGGACATGGATTTTCGCGCTCAGGCCGTTGTCACGAATTCATACTATTACAATAGTCAGTCTTGGATCAATCCGAGTTACTAAAGTGCTACCTCCTAGCCTCTAGATGACAAGTTGGAGACTGTAGAGGGTCTAATAGCAGACTTCAAGAATGGCGGCGTGGGATTCCGTAACCACTCAATGCCCACAGGTCTACAACTTGACGCAGCCTTGGAAGTGGATATTCCCTAGGAAGTTAATCGTGGTCGAGTGACTACTCGCTCCACGAGCTATCGGCAACTTCTTACATCTGAATAGGAGAACTAGTATAGTTAGCTATCTACTTAAATCTTGTTAAGTGGTTCCGAATCGGTCCTATCTTAAAACTAACTGTTCCCTTCGTCGATTGCTTCCCGTCGAAAAGACTAGGACAGAGGCTCAGAATTCCGCAATTATGACTTCAAACCCATCTTTAGAAGAAGGTCGCTAAAACTCTGTCTATACGATACCTCTGGTAGACAGACCATATATGCGGTCGTCTTTCTAGCAGATGCCGGGCATATACTGTTGGCGAAATGATACCAGTCATGCCTTTTCCGTGTACAATGATCGTGGCCAGGGAACGACGACTGGCTGTCGAAGGCTCGGCTCAGGTAGCCAGATACCATCAACCCAGTCTCGCACCTGCACTCGAGACACTGCGCCGTGTCTGTGGTCACCTCGATCTACCTGCAGAGACACGAACTTATCCAAAAACCGGCGTCGAGGTTGAATGATTACACTGTCAGCGCGCTCGAACGATGTAAGGATGGTCGACCCTACCGCAAGGCTTTACTGAGACACAAAAATGACAGATGCTCTATGTTTGTCAGTAAGCCGGGCCAGGAGCAGAGATTTCCCTTCTATCACGGCGTGCACGATGCTCTTCACCGTACCGTCAGATATCTCCATCAACCTGGGCGTGTTCAAGAAGCGTGGCAGCTTGCCCACACGACAATCTTCGAAACAAATTCGCAATTCAGTAGTGTTGAGGTCACTCAGACATGTGATGATGCGATCGAGAACGAAATGTTCATCGTTCCTTCTTAATGAGTTAGTATTAGTAAGATGAACCATTCGGTAGCATTTTTAAACATACCTTATGCTGCTGACACCTGTCGTACACAGCTGCACCTCCGATAATCGATAGTGCTTCATCGAAGTGAGCTACCTCTTGCTGGTAGTGGTTTAAATCCCTGAAAGCAGTGTGCCTTGACCGAATCCAGCACCGTACCCATGCGACATTGGGAGTTGTATCTCTAAGTTTTTACCGTTCAGGATGAACAGCGCGAGAATGGCTATCAGGCTGTAAATGCTAGCAGCTGCGAGAGCGGCAACGTCCGATCGTGAAGCGTATCTATAATAAGTTCGCAACACCGTAACGACGTACTAGGGTAACGACGCACTCCACTCAATTTTGCTGTCAAATTGGTATAGCTATTATACGTTGTTAATGCTGCGAAATCTATCTGCTAGGGCTATAAATAGATCTAAGGGGATGTTATCTATCTCTATAGGTAGCTGACGATTGCCTACGCCCTATGGGTAAGGCTAGAATGTTATCGCTGGTGTAATAGGGGCTCTAGCAGCTCGTTCGATATCTTATAGGCTAACAAATAATAGATTTAAGTTAACAGCGTACTTTTTCTTCTACTTCTTCTTAAAGGTATCTAGCTGCTTTATAAGGGCTAAGATCTTGCGCTAAGTAGCTGCTATATCAGTAGAGTGACTGTTAATAGCCTTACGGGTCTTAGTAAAGAGAGTATATACTGTTCGATCGATAGTAACGCGACGAGAGATAATGTTAACTACCTGTAATAAAAGAGCGCGGTTATAGGGTATAATAATAACGTCTAAGTTAATAATCGTAGGCGGAGGAGTAACGGCTCGCTTATTATATAACTTCTTAACTGTACTAGATATAAATCTTAACCCTAGGCCCTTTAACGGATTAAATAGCTATATACCAGCTGTAGAAAAGCTAGTAGCGTAGTTAATAAGTGTTATAGCCCTTATATAGGCCTCCTAGTAGTGTAATAAGAACTACGCCTTCTTTAATACAGCTATATTATCTATAAGCGGGTTAGCACTTATTATAGTACGAAACTTACGCTTAAGCGACGAGAATACCGCTAGATCGAGAGGTTAGAAGATATAACTGGTATAGGGGATTAAATAGTAGTACTAGACCTTATTAAGGTATATAGCTTATATAAAGTCGATTAAAATATAAGATTTATAACTATCTAATATAAGTAGGCGTCACTCGCCCTTAGCTAACTCTTTAGTGGTTTAAGGTATAAAAATCTTATATAACTAGTATATACTAATCTCGTTTATCGTAAAGGCATTACTGCTCGAAGTATAGGCCTAATCTAGGGTCTAAGTAGGTATAAACTACTAATTTTATACGTGCTTAGCCTTAAATATAACTAACGGGGTGAGTATACGACCTTAAGGATTAATATACTTAATTATAGTAACCTACTCCCTCTCTCTTGCTGTCTAGATAAATATTAAGTCTATATCTACGCTACCTATAACTCGTTGATTAGATATAATACTAAATACGTTACTAATCTTATCGACATTCTAGGTATACTGTCTCTTGATGTGTTTACGTTGTATAATAAGAGAGAGGTAATTATATTAGGTCTAGATAGCGCTCTTTATAAGGTCTTACGATCGTTATATATCGAGGGCGACTTTACGCTTAGTATAAACCTAAGGGTTACGACGCTTAAAGTTTACGATCTAACTCTCATTAACGACTACTAGGCTATTATTAGTCTATAAGATTAACGAGGCTATAGAACGCAGTTAAGCGTGCGTAGATACCTAAGCGTAGGCTTTAAGGTTAATAGACTATCTAACGAGTATTATCTCTTATATAGGGGATAAGATTTACTTATAGGTATAACCTTACTAGCGAGTTAGCCTACTATTAAGCCTTTAGTGTACTAAGGCTTCCGCGACGTTGTACGCGCGCGTAGCTGCTTAAATTAACGTAAATTCACCTTAACGGTAAGCTGCGATAGTAGTATCGATAGTAGGCTTAGATTTACGCGTCATATTGGCTAAATAGTGGTGTGGTAAAGTGATAAAGAGAGAGGATGAAAAGTGGTGGAGTGCATCGTTACCCTAGTGCGTCGTTACGGTGTTGCGAACTTAGTTGGCTATGATCGCTAAGGTGTCTGATGGTACAGACGTAGACCGGCGGTAAAGATCCGTTAAAATACGGGTCGACACCACGAAATATTAGCCCGTATTATTGATCTGGTCTCTATATGCACGCACCTCTTTGTAATTCCTTGCTCTTTAGAGGGCGACTGATATTGCTAGCGACTCCTTTTCGATTGAAAGACGTTAAGATTCTTACAGGCAATACAGAAAAGAGTCATGAATTGGTGAAATCACTCAGCATCAATGACTAAATCATCCACATCTTAATTCACAACGTCGAGTCGCTTGACTCCGAGTCCCAGAGGCACAAGAAGATGTATTACCCGAGAAGTATAACTCGGACCCGCCTAAGCTCAATGGTGGTACAACACGCCTATACTCCGTAGCAGAAGATGGTCTTTAGGACGCCTGGAGCTCGACTGATTTCCGAATCATTGCTGATTCGAATACTTTTTCCAAACTCCTCTTCGCACTTGAAGACTGTGTACATCCGCCCAAGAATGCACAGGCTCTGTCGCCAACGACGCCAGTCCCGGCATAATAAACACAAATCGTACCGAAAGCACCAGCACAATCTGCGTCGGTCTGACAGATGGTCGGATCAGGAGAGGTGTTGTATGAATATCCACCACTACACACCGGACGTCCGTCTTGGATGCTTATAAAACAAGCACAGCCCTCGCCTCCATCGGCACAGTTCTGGACTTGCGCGGCAGAACACGCCAAAGGACATGATGTTGTTACAGTCTTTGTCGTCGTGGTCGTGGTACCTGGTAGCAGGGATGTGGTCTAAAGAAGAAAAAGAAGAAGAGTCTTGTCAGCAAGGATTGTACGATCTGGATTCGTCACATTGTGGATGAGAACACGGATATGGTGGGTCTGGCTTACTGTACTGGTCTTTGGTTTGACAAAAGCGATGCACGCTTCCTTAATGACATCACATGCAAAAGTATTGACTTGGGAGGGTAAACCTTTGATACTGCATCGAGCCGATGTGAGAGTGACGGTGGAGGATTTAGCGGTAGTTGCAGATGAGGTTGAAGTGATTCTTGGGGTTGTTGTAGCAGAAGTTGGCTTCGAGGTTGTGGACGAGCTGAGTCGTGTTGTAGTTGTGGTTGTAGATGATGGTTGAGGGGATCTCTTCTGATTTGCAGAGTTACTGCAGCTAGTCACTGTGGTTGTTGAGATGATTGCAGTTTCAGTTTGTGTTACAGTTAAGGTCACGTCCTTGATCGGTACAACACTTGAGCAAAGGGCAGAAGCTTTCAAGGCAATGAGAACAGCTTTGCAAATATCAACATCACCACGAGGATGCAGATCTGGAATGTGCATGGTCCAAGCGGAGATGGAAAAGAGCGCTGTTGTCGTGAACACAGCCCAAGGTAGCAACATGTTTGCGGTTCAAAAGCAAATTTACGAACAGTATTTGCAAGTCGAGAACCGCAGGGAGTAGCTGCGTGATATTATAGCACTCACAGGTGGTTGCGCTGCGTCTTTCCAGCTCAGTATGTCTCAGCCATAACCTGACAGTTCGAGTGTCTGGAGAAGACCATGAAAGGCTTCTCGACTTTGTTCAGCTTGAACACAAAACGCCATGAGCAGTCCAGGCTGTTGAAGCTGCAGAAGACTAACCACTTCCTGCTTCGAAGCCAAGAAATGAGCTTGACTCGTGGGTCTTGATTTATAAATTGACGAATTGTGTTGGTGCAATGTCGAAAGCTTAGATCAATATAGATAAGCTTGTGAGTCCACCTTTGCTCTTGTCTAAGATGACTGGTGGCGCTAAGTTGTGATGTAAGGATAAGATTTGGTCTCGAACTTGAGTTGCTAGAAACCCGTAGAGTTCCTGTACGGCGCTAACTACCTAGAGTTTAGTGTGGAGAAATTATCCCAGCTCCCAGTCTGGATCCTGACAGGGAAATACAGGCATAATCAAACAAAAGATCTTGTACTCTAAGGACCTGCGGGAATGCTTTCCTTGGATAACAGGAGATTCAGGCTGATTCATCACAAATATGCCGTACATCACCGTCAAAGATGGCACTGAGATCTATTACAAGGACTGGGGAAACAAATCTGGCCAGATAGTCACCTTTAGCCATGGATGGCCACTAAGCTCCGATGATTGGGAGAACCAGATGTTCTTCCTTGCCAACAAAGGCTATCGTGTGATCGCTCATGACCGTCGCGGTCATGGGCGCTCATCTCAACCCTGGGAAGGTAATGACATGAACACATACACTGACGACCTCAATGCTCTATTTGAACATCTTGACCTTCAGAAAGTCATGATGGTTGGCCACTCTACTGGTGGGTGCGAAGTTGCGAGATTCATAGGCCGGCACGGCACTAAGAGGGTGTCAAAAGCTGTGCTTGTTTCTGCGACCGCTCCAGGGCTACTCAAGACAAAGGACAACCCAAATGGCGTCGAAATGGATGTCTTTGACTCCTTCCGAAGCTCCATTGTTGAGGATCGAGCTCAATTTTTCATTGACGTCCCATCTGGACCGTTCTTTGGCTTTAACAGGGATGGTGCGAATGTCAGTCAAGGACTTATCTGGAGCTGGTATAAGCAGGGAATGGCCACCAGTTTCAAGGGCGCGTATGACTGCGTCAAAGCCTTTTCAGAGACAGACACATGTGAGGACATTAAGAATGCAGATATTCCAATCCTGGTGAGGTCTCTTCTGTAAAGCTCTTGACTTCGATGCTAGGCTGCTAACTGGTTGCAGGTTTTGCATGGCACGGACGACCAAGTAGTGCCTATCGAAGCGACGGGCCATCGTTCAGCGAAGATGGCGAAGAACGGAACACTTAAGGAGTTTCCGGGTGCTCCACATGCACTGCCGACGATCTGCGTTGACGAGGTCAATCAGGCCTTGCTGGAATTCCTGCAATCGTAAGAAGGTCACAGCGATTAACAAGACTTGAGCTTCGAAATCTGAGGGAATTATCTGCACTTCAGAACTGGACCTTGTTCGTAGCCATGGCGTCGACCTTTTCTGATAAGGCCATGATTCGCAAAATAGTGGACCGTTTAGTATGTCCTCAAGGTCAACTCTAGTTCTTACCGCACCTTGATGACTGACTTTCCGAGTCCTCCTTTGCCATCATAGACGAAGCCAGCTACCTTTCTTACGCTATCGAGATTCTTCATGTCTGCTGTAGATCCAATGACCGGTCTTAGTAGTCCCTCTTCGACGTAGTTGGTGATCTCGCCCAGATCCTCGCCGTCTGGCTCCAGGAACATGTACTGATACTCCACTCCCCATCTTCTTGCTCGCAACTTGCTCACTATGTCCAAGAGGTTCAGGCTCAGGTATTCCAGCCACGGCATCTGAGGGTTATCAGGCCGTCGCATGATTGACGAGCCTTGCAGCTGCGTGCCAGAAGGTAATGTCGAGATCGAGACGATGGAGCTAGTTGAAGGTGTCATGAGAGAGAGAAATCGCATAGCTTCTCCGGTAGTGTCAAAGACGAAGTCGACGCTTCCACGTGGGATGACAGTGGTAGGCTCTTCCTTGGTGTAATCGATTACTGATGATCTGTTAATATGACGGCGCTATGAGTGAGAAGTATCGAGGTGACAAACTTTGATCGACTACACCCGGGCCCAGCAACTCGGGCACCTTAGGTATCTTTGCTGTGGACACTGTAGTGATGACCTTGCCGGCGTGGAGAACGTTTTTCGCTAGTTGACACGCGAGCGAGCCTGTGCCACTTACTGAATCGCAATGAATCAAGCCATCTCACCACAAAGAATGGATAGGGTTGAGCAACTCACATCCAGCAGGCACAAATACTGTCTTGCCCTCCAATGAGCCCCTGTATTTTCGCGAGGCCTGTAAAGCAGTTACCGCAGCCAATGGTAACGATGCTGCCTCTTCGAAATTCAGCATCTTCGGTTTGGATGCGATGTAGCTTTCAGGACATGTGGCGTACTCAGCCCATGAACCTAGCGTGCGAGTAAATATGTATTGGCCGCAATCACAAGGCAGAGGACTCACCACGATGGCTCTCTGGTAGTCTCACATAAACCTCATCACCAACCTTGAATTTCTTCACATCGTCCCCAACCTCCTTTACCACACCAGCGCAGTCGTAGCCTACCATGTACGGAAACCTTGGCACTGTCGTTCAGCAAATATGTCGTGAGGGGTAGTAGCAAAGCCATACTCATCCTTCAATACTCGCTTGAATACTCCAGATGCTTTCTTTACATCGACAGGGTTGACACTCGCAGCATGAACTTCAATGCATACGTCTGTTGGTTCTGTGATAGCTGGTACCGGCAGGTCACTCAACTCGTAATTCGAGGGAACTGTAAAGCTCGGAGCAGTGACGCAAAGCATATCGTTCAAAGAGTGCTAGGTATGGTTGTGTCTGCCTCTAGAGAACAAAACATCTAGCAACAGCCATTCAGCAATCAGACGTAGACTGTCCATGCATCAGATGAAGTCCTCTTAATAGTCGAGTATATTTCAGGTAGCTCCCCAGAGAAATCGGTACGGAACAACATTCGCTCCGTCGGTATACCTAAAAGAACACAATGGATGTCCATCAGTTAGTCTTTGTAATTGACGAGTCTCGCATCTCTTGATGACATAGAATAGCCTCCGACTTTTTAGAAGTTTCTTTCACAATCTTTCAATTTCCTACCGAGGTGGTTTTCCTCCCAATGCTACACAAGTTTTCATCATAACGAGTGCTAGCGTTTGCCGTAGCTATTAACGCGCCAGGCACCACACTTGCTCTACGGTAGAGAAAGTGACCCGCGAATTTGCGAGATTCTCTAGAGCTTCGCATCTGGTACACCACGAAGATGATTTGAGCACTTACGTACTGCGAAGGACGCGTCGCGAAGCTCCATGCTGTCTCGAGATGGACTAAGCTCGCAGTCTATCGAATTAAGCAAGATTCATGGAGTAGGCATCGATCACAAGCTTGTTCAATCCCATCAGTGGACTGATTCTATCTCAGAAATCCTATCTTGGGAAGATGTATTCCTAGTGCACAATTCGCCATGGCTATCATAGAACATATACCTTCTCCTCAGTCGCATTCTCTTGCGCTTTGTCCTTAAGCCTCTGGTTCTGCTTCTTCAAAACTGACCTCATCACAAAACAGCAAGCAATATCAACCACGATAAAGCCTGAAATCACTGCGAACGCCAATGGATACCTTGGCATGTCCCGCCCCCGGAACAAGAAAGGGCTCCATAGACCACCCAGACCACCGAGCACATTCACTATAGCAATACCACAAGCCTTCTTCTCAGGAGTTTCTTGAATGACGCCTGGCACCCAAGACCATAATAGTGCTGTTCCAGCCACATGGCCAGCCAGGTAGAGGTAACTGCTGACATAGCGTGCTACTGGATTCAAGGATGCGGCACTGGTGATTGTGCCTATCAGCGCAAATACGAGAGGCACAGCGAGGTGGAAAGTCCGCTCTGAGTAACGATCGGAAGTGTAGGCGAAAAACAAGGCTAAGATAGCTGCTAATAGAGCTGGTGGAGAGCCAATAATCAGGGACAGTGTCTTCATGTCGATGGAAGAGTTTGGGAAGAGCTGCTTAGTGATGGCTAAAGTGATTGGTGTGAGGTAGATGTAAAGACCCTCAAGTGATTTGCGAGCCATGAGCATCATAACCTGCAGTCGCGTCAGTACATCTGTAAAGGTGGACGGCTGTCCAGATGAGAATGAAAGCAGCAAGCCAGATGCGGAAGAAAAGAACAACTTACGAAGATCCAGGTTCTCTTATCCTTCAGTGCATCAACCAGTCCAGTTGCAAGCTTCTTCCGTTCGACTTCCCTTTCGTTCACTCGATCCTCTTTGATTCGACGTTGTGCAACTACTTGCTCCTGCTCGGTCAACCACCACCTTCTCCTCTTCGAACCAGGATAATCAGGCAAGAGACAGAATCCAGCAATAGCAGGCGCGAACCCGCAGACTCCATACAATAAATACAGCCATCTCCATCCTGCCCATCCATTCTTTCCTCCCAGAGCTTGCAAAATACCACCACTGAGGGGGGATATGAAGGTCAAGGTGAGGATGATGGCGCCTAATATGAAAGAGTTCCGCAATGCGAGTTCACGTCTAGTGTACCAGCTGCTCATAACGTGTACCGCACCGACGAAGAAAGGTGCTTCTGCGATACCGAGAAATACTCGAACGAGAGTATAGGATGGATAGTCGTGGATGATCGCGTGGCATGCTGAGACCAAAGACCACGCGAGGCAGCAGAAGGACAGGTACACAGAGGGTCGGACACGAGTGATAAGCAGGTTTGAGGGAAGCTGAAAGAGGAGAGTGCCTAGATTGAAGAGACCGATGCCGATGTTGAACTGAGTTTGCGTGATGTGAATATCGTGCTTGAGGTTGTCAATCAGAGCTACGCTGTATAGGAGATCAGTATGGGTGTGTCAAAGGTACTGGCCACAGCTTAAGACAAAGAAATGCAGGAGAAGGAGGAGGAATCGAATTCTAGCCAAATGTCTCCCAGCGGCGACGACACATTTGAATTCAAACGGAGCTGTTCTCACTCACCTGATTCCAGACTTGTCCACGATCGAAAATGCACACATCACAATCAACACTGGCAACAAGCATATATCCAGCTTGCGTACCAACTTCTTCTCGACTTGTGCTCTCTCTCGTGCATCATCGTTGCTGTCTTCCGATGTGTCAGTTCCTGGACATGGTGGGACAGCTGTAACGTCCACGCACAGCGGTGTTGAGGAGGAGAACGAAGAGTTGATTGGCTGATTCGAGGCCGAGGAAGCATGAGACGGCTTATGCTGCTGTACTGATGTCGTGGCCTCATCTTTCTCGTTGAAAGCGTTGCCGATCGCCATCTTGGGCTGTCAAGGACAGGAGGAAAATTGGATGTGAAGAAGTGGCAGCAGAGCGAGAAATTGAATCGAACCGACACGACACAATGAAGCTCAGTATCGACCAACGCAGTGATGACAGAATAGGGCAGTACTTAAGCATTGAGACAGGTCCGCTTCCACAGGCACAAATCGCTCGAGGGAGATACGTATGCATCCATGATAGTATAGCATTGCAAATCGACGATTCATTATGAGCACCTTCGGAGCCCACCTCAATTGGCATTCTCGAATTATCCTGTGCCAAGGCACCTATGTCGTTGAGCTTCCTGATGCACGAATTAGCAGACATAGCCTGGTCTTGAGCAACACCGACAGCTTGGATCTGGTGGAGACGAAACTGTCCTCCAATGGGAGAATCATTCCGAAATAAGTCAAAATGTGCTCGATGAGGTAGTAAATGGAGACTGAATAAGCTTGATGGGCTTGAAGGATAGGTACGACGATTCATGCCTGATATGGTGCAGAATAAAGACTGTAGGAGTGGTAGAAAATCAACCATCCACTCTGCCAGCGTCGACATCAAACTGCTTCACATTAATGTATCAGATACAGTACGTGATAACCCATGAGACCTCAGCTCTCACAATGCAGCCCGATTGATAACGTCAGAGCCTACTTATCCTTGCTAAACACACCCTTAATCTTGTCCTTCAAACCTCCTTCGCTACTACCTCCGTGTCCATGTCCCTCCGATCCCTTCCCCGGAATGATTCCCATACCCTGCTCACTCGTCGGCCGTCCACTCCCCATCCCATACTCATTATGTCCATCATCAGCCTGTCCACCCATCACTCCCGTTCCACCAGCGGTCTTCCCCATGCCTTCCTCACCACCACCAAGACCAGGCGCCTGGTCACGTCTCTCGTTCCCAAGGCCGAATTGATTGTCGCCTGTATCGGATGGCTGAGCGCCGCGTCCGGTGCCGAGATTCTCTGTATTGCCGCGCTCGGAGGCGGAGAGGGTTGTTGAGAGTTTGTCTTGGGCTTGGGACCCACCAGCGCCGAGGCCGTAATCATTGCGCTCGTCGGCGACGCCTTGGGAGCGGCCGGCGCCCATGTTGGATTCGAAATTGCGATCCATGGTGTTTTGTTGTCTTGGCTAGGTCTGATCTTAGAGATTGAACTTGTTGTTTGTTGCTGTCGGCTGGTTGTCCTTGTCGGTAAGACTATGGATTGTTCTGTTCCGGAAGTTTTTCAAAGTATGAATCCTAGAGATATATGACGAGGTGAAGACCACGAAGTCACTATATACTCCTTCTCCTCTATGAACATCCAGTAGACGAGGAATGGTTAGCAATGACATCAGTCAAGTGAGCTACACCACGAGCACATTCCGTTCGCCCCGTGGGGTCGTCGATCGACCTTCGCGGACATGTGGGGGTGTGGCTGCCCTCGTCATTGGGACAGACTTCTGTACTACTGCGAGTTTATGTCAAACGCTCCGCGTAGCAGGGAATTAAAAAATGAATGTGAAAAAGAAGTACTGTATTCTACTATGACGGAGAAGAAGAAGAGGAGACTCTGGTTGCCCTGGAGAAGACGTAGCCGAGGATCACGATTATGTGCCGTCATATCGACGTGAGCAGTGTTGAAACCGGTAATTTTGCACTTTCAATCGTACAGGAGCACAAGAATGAAAATACAGCTGCCCCCCATATTTTCATAGTCAACTAGGACTAGTGTTGTGAAAAGAGAACAATTTTGATCGCTTTAACATAACCCATTGTTGTTACATCTTGCGGTCCCTGAGCCTCAGTTCATTCCAGACAGATCTCGGTGGTATCGTACTATTGACGAGAACCGCATCTTCTGCTATCCTCTTCAGTTTCTGATCATATACTCGAATACTCTCTTAATGCCTCAACGACCTCTCTGCTTAAACCCCTGCCTCCAACGACAACCGCTCCAGTTTTATCCAGCCATATGTCCAGGCATCTGCTTACACATAACCTCCGACCGCAGCCAGCGTCGTCGACGTCGACGGGTATGCGGACGAGGTATGTGGTAGGGTTGTGGCAACTAGTGCAATGGTTTGTAGTACTTGTCTTCCTCAATGTTGGGCTCGTGGCTGGAGTCGCACGGCTGCTGTGCTCGATGGCCATGGTTGTATAATGTTAGATATATGTATTTCTTGTACAGGATTTTTGTATAGAATCGTTGAAGGACATCTGCCCACGAGGCAGGGCGTAAGGCCTTATAGCCTCTCAAAGGCATATTGAAGTATAAGCCCATTGTGTCAGCCATCCATGGTGGACACAATACAACGCAAATGTCTGAGACTGGCTCTTGTGTTTCGTATGAGGATTCAGCTGGAAGATTAAGATATAAGGGGTAGTGTTATTGTGTAGTTGAGACGACAAATAGATTGTGATCCGAAGTCTTAGACCTATTCTCAGCTGTTCCTGGGAAGGATGTCAGCTATGTCTCGGATCGCGTAAACCTGGATCATGACATTTGTTGCTCCTAACAAGTCAGTCATAGAACGGTGGCGCTCGAAGCAATAACAACGAGCACATGGGAAAGAACTCTGGGCAAGTTGGACAAGCCAGTAATCGACATTGCTTGTCTTGAAATTCTGAAATTGCCATTGTCTATGGCATGAGCCAGGGTTTGAAACAGCACTTTCGCTGTAAACCTGCTTCGAATCGTAACATCGTGGTATGCAGCGCCGCGCACTAGGCTACTCCGGCTCAGATTCTTCAGCATATCAGTTTGCCTTTGTCATTGATCCCGATCGAGCATATCGGATTCTCGTGTAAAGTGCGATCGCGTCCCTCAATGTGCAGGCCGCTGTATCAATCTTCGAGCAGTTCCTTCACGTATTTCGCATCTTCGTTATGACCACACTCTTACATCACGACACCAGCATTGGAAGCAATACGTGGCCAAAGCTCAGCAGCCTCCTTTGCGACAGGACCAGTGATGGCTGAACCCTTCATCTCACCCTTGGGATTGACGATGACACCAGCATTATCCTCGAAGTACAGGTAAATACCGTCTGGTCGGCGCCATGGCTTTGATTGTCTGACAACGACTGCGGGCATGACTGGCGAGGTATTAGCGAACTTTTCTTTTGCACAACCTTTCCATCCTTCTTCTCTAGTGTAGTAGGTAGTTTGTGTACGTACCCTTCTTCCTTAACTCTGGCTTTCCCTTCTTGACTGTGGCCATGACCATATCACCTGCACCGGCAGCTGGCAGTCTGTTCAAACGAGCACCAATACCTTTGACGGAGATAATGTACAGGTTTCGTGCACCTGAGTTGTCTGCGCAGGACATAACGGCACCACTACAGAACGCAAAATTAGCCTTTAGTCCTTTGCCGAATATTGTTTGTTTATGTTTCCAGGTTGGCAATCCCGATTTCGATAGACGATCTGGACCCATCTTCGTGATCGGTCGAAATATCCCATGCATGTACTCGGTCCATTGCTCTTTCGCAGCTTGAAAATCTCCTCCCTTGACTTCGAACTCGAAAGGGATTCGGCACTTGTATAAGAAAGGAAATTCGGGGCTGTACGTACACAGGCAGACCGAGAGTCATTCTCAGCTTGTTACCAGAGGTACCACGACTATGAATTCAACCATTAGCCTTGCTCTTGACAATTCGTTCTTCCTGCCACGACATTCATCGCATCTGCACGGTTTAGGGACTCGGAAGCGCATACCCTCTCTTGGACGACATCTTGACGGTTGTTGTGTATGAATTGACTGAACAAAAATCGTGGTAAACGAGCGCAGGTTGAGGTTCTTTGATGTGGGTTCCTCCTCATCGGCGAAAAGTGTGCCAAGATTTTTCGCATCTAATGTGCTCTCTGCTAACCGTAGAAGTGTACAAACGTTGCAAACAGCTTGGCACGATTGACTAGCAGTTGCTGGCAAAATGAAGAGCAAGTGGAAACAGTGTTCGAGCATCAGAAAGCATGAGCCTGCATACAAGACCAAATCTGAGATGATTCTAATATCCTCGAAAGGAACGAACCTTCGCGGTGCTACAAATGCCGGTAGATGATAATCCTTTATGTCCTTCTCCGAACCATGCGCCAATGTCCACTCGTATGGCAAGTCCACCCCGAAGTCGAGTAAGACCACATATGCTGCAGGACGACCATACTGCCTGACCGCTGCGAAAACCCGCATCCTTTCAACCCAGTCACAACCTCACATAGAACCATGGCTCATCTTTGTCCCCGAAACTCCACGTTACTCGTGCCAGCGGAAACACTTCCACTTGTTCTATGGTCCATTGTTTGCAGCTTCTGTACGCGCTTCACCTTCAGCGTTCAACTCCTCGCGCTCCATACGACCTTCTTCTTGAGCTGCAACAGCCGCATTGTCAGCCATAATCTCCTTCTTGATCTTGATAGCTTCATCTGCACTTTCAGGAGCAATACCTATGCTTGATGCTGCTTCTCCTGCAACCCCATCGGCGACTTCAACTTTGGTTGAGTCTGCTACAGTTGCATTGTCAATGTCACCCATGGTCACATCTCCTTCTGCTATTTCCTCAGCTGCATCTTCCTCGACAGCATAGTTACCACCATTTGGACTATCCACACTCATGTTATCTGCAACGTCCGGCACCGGACTTGGCGCTTGTGGTGTGCCTAGCCCACTATCTGCAGCAGAGTCCACAGTATCCATGAGATCTCTGTGGTCGATGATCTGCCTCCTTTTCCTAGTCCCGTTCTGCCGTCTGACACCATTCTGCTGTGCCATGTCCTCATCTTCACTGTCACTCAATTCACCATCTTTCTCTATCGCCTTGTCGAATCGCCTTTGTGTCATACGTCGGTCCGGGTTGTTGTCTTCGTCCTCGTCGTCGAGTGCTGCTTCATCCTCGTCATTCATTGCTAACGAAGGAGGCACGTCTTGCATTTGTACGGATGGAGTATGTTGTGTTCGTTTCAAGTTCTCGAGCACTGTTTTCAAGATCTTATCCAGGTACTCCCTTGAGTTTGCATTATCCATGTTTGATGGCCGTACATCTAGCTCGTAGTCTGGAGCATAGTATTCGTAGTAGTCATTGTATGGTAAGTTGGCGCTCATGTCCTCGCCAACTAGACATCCAGTTTCGAATGCCCATGTTCTTGCCACATTGCGCATCGTGTAGCCACCACCACCAAGGATCAAAGTCGGTAAGTTGTAAGATTTCACAAAGTTGACGCAGTTGGCATGGCCACGCATACTGAGATTGAAGCAACCAAGTCTGTCGCCAGACAGTGAATCACCGCCACATTGCAACACGACTGCTGAAGGTCTGTAGAAGTCCATAATGGCCTTTATGACAGGCTCAAAAATATGCTTGTAGGAATAATCGTCGATGCCATCCCGCAATGGAAAGTTGACCGCGTAGTACTTGCCTTGAGCGACACCAGTATCTCTCAGCTCACCGGTACCTGGAAAGTATTCACCATACTTGTGGAAGGATGCAGTCATTACTCGATCAGTTGTGTAGAAAGCCTCTTCCACGCCATCTCCGTGATGCACGTCAATGTCGATGTAAAGCACCCTTTGATGGAATCTCAACAGCTCTATTATACCCAAGACGATGTCGTTGACGTAGCAAAATCCAGATGCCTCGCTTTTCTTTGCATGATGTAGACCTCCAGCCCAATTGATTGCGATGTCCGCCTTCTGCCGGTTCAATCTTGCTGCGCCTTCCATACTGCCGCCTGCACTTATACCACAGAACTCGAACAGTCCGTCGAAGACTGGACAGTCGTCACCCACATTGTACTTCTGCTGTTCTTTCTGAAAGCTCTCCATGTTATCTGGTGTAACCTTGGCCAGGAACTCAATGTACTCGTCTGTGTGAAATTGAGTCATTTCGTACTTGGAAGCTGGCTTAGCGCGGTAGATCTCCATCTTCTTGTATAAGCCATAGTTCATAACTAGTGAGTGCGCAAGCCTTATACGATGTGGTTTCATGGGGTGACCAGATACATAGGCGTAGTTGCCCACGTCACTGTCGTAGAAGTAGGCCACTCGTTTCTTCTGGCTTTCCGGCCGCGCCTCATCGATGGGCGCAAAAGCTGTTGAGCCCATGCTGACGTTTGAGATCGTGGTCAACCTTGAATACTTGTATCCTCAGTTCAATGTGCTCGATATGGGGGGTTCGAGGGTGTAGGACGAGTCGACTCAGATTGTGTAATCGGCCAAGATGTAGAGAAAGCAAGAATGCGAGCGAAGGGAGACTAAATGTAGTAAAAGCAGTTTCGGTGCCAGGAGTCGAGGACCTGAGAAATATGCTCAGACACGAGGACATGCTCTTCGGCTTCACAAGTCGCGCAGGTCACTCAAAGGTTCGTCCTCCGCACGGGTTCGCGTTAAACGAGGCTGCAAATTGGAGACGCCTGATCAGCCTCGTTACAGACTGTTAGCTCTCACTAGCGTGACTTTTTAGCCAGATACTAGCGTGAATTTGCCCGCAGGTACCAAAAGAGTTGCGTATTTCCGTGTGGAAGGAAATGGCAGTGACCACACGACTGGCTGCACTTGCCTTCAAGCATTGCTGCCGTTTACACTCAATTTCTAGATCAATCCTCTCGTCGTTGCTTCTCAGTCTGTTTGTGAACTACATCCGAAGCAGACATTCAGTCACAGTCGCAAGCACGAACCTCGACAGCCTCTCCGTCTCAATCAACACAAACTCCTTTGGCTTGTTAGTTCTTGAAACTGAAAGTGAAGGGTCAACCCACAGCGGCGGCACGACTGATCTGCTCACCCGAGCACCAAAGACAGCAACAACCTCTTCGTACACCATTTAATCATGGATCGCCTTAACCGCATGCTCGCCGCCGCCCAGGGCATGGGCATGAATCAAGGCCCTCCAGGCGCAGATGCTCCGAACCTTGTCGATAACAGCGAAACGGTTTACATATCATCTCTCGCCTTACTCAAAATGTTACGGCACGGCCGTGCAGGTGTTCCTATGGAAGTCATGGGTTTGATGCTGGGTGAATTCGTGGATGATTTCACAGTAAGAGTAGTGGATGTCTTTGCTATGCCACAATCTGGAACGTCAGTCAGCGTCGAATCGGTAGATCCTGTCTTCCAAACCAAGATGATGGACATGCTGCGACAGACTGGAAGACAAGAGACGGTCGTGGGCTGGTACCATTCGCATCCAGGTTTCGGGTGTTGGTTGTCGAGCGTGGATATCAATACACAACAGAGTTTCGAGCAGCTTACACCTAGAGCTGTGGCTGTCGTCGTTGATCCGATTCAGAGTGTAAAAGGAAAAGTTGTCATTGATGCATTCCGACTCATCAATCCACAGACTCTCATGATGGGACAAGAACCACGACAAACCACATCGAATTTGGCATATCTAAACAAGCCAAGCATCCAGGCACTTATTCATGGGCTCAACAGGCACTACTACAGTATCGGAATACAATACCGGAAGACAGGATTAGAAGAGAACATGCTTATGAATCTGCACAAGGAGGTCTGGACTGAAGGCCTGGAACTTCCTGGCAGCTTTGCAACAGAAAGAAAGAAGACCGAAGATGGCCTGCAAAGATTGGTAGATCTGGCAGATGGCTACGAGAAGAGGGTACGAGAAGAAAATGAACTCACCAAAGAGCAGCTCAAGACGAGATACGTCGGCAAAGTCGATCCGAAGAAACACATCGAGGACGTTGGCCAACAGCTCATCGAAGACAACATCGTCGCAGTATCCAGGCAGATGATCGATAAGGAAGCGAGCGTAGCCAGGAAAGCCGAGCAGCCTAACGGTCACGGGGCTGCGAACGGTAGCATGGAGATAGATGAAGACTAGAGACCTCTGCCCAACCACTTCCGGGTCATGGGACCGTCACACGTAGATCTATTACAGAAGGCGAAGAGGATGAAGGCTATATACCACCAGTACGAGGCATGGGTCTTAGAAATGGAAGCGGGCGGAGAATTCTTCCCGTGCGCTGAAGCCCAGGAAGCAGGCCAGCAAGACCTGGACTTTCCCATTACTGCGATTCTATCCGATCTCTTATCATGGAGGAGGGTATGGCGGGCGTACTGACCATAGACCCTGACGCCTGTGCACTCCAAGTACGAACGATTGATGGTTTCCAATACAACAGGACGTGTTCAAGCAAAGGGGTCTATTGTGGGTAATCCTTGTACACGCAGTCTGATCGTGCATGTGGCAAACACCACAGTACAGGCTCAAAGCTAGTAATATCAAATCTGTCCTACCACTCTTACAATTTCCTCGTCTACAATCTTTGCAACTCGATCTTCAAACATCACATTCTCGACAACCCTCCTGCTAACCTCTGGCTTGTCATACAAATGTGCCCAACCAGCTTTCCCACCCCATCTCAGCTCCCTTTCTGCCTCCTTGACTTCCTCCCTCAATTTCCTCACTAACGGTCCATTGACATCCACTCCCGAGTTGCCATCTAACTCTACATAACCACACTGCGGCATTGTCTCAAGGATATCTCCCAGTAACTCCCCACAGAAATCCGTGTAATAGTTCTCACTGATCCTGTGCATCTTGAACGCTGGATGTGAAGGGTCAAATTCGACGAAGACGCGCAATGTTCGTAGACTTGTGAGTTTCTTGAGTACACGAGAGAGACGGGGCGTAACGCGCCATGATTTGGGTGGGTTGGTCCAGGAGGGGCCGAGTGTGAGGAGGAGATTCGTAACGGATGGGTGGTAGTGCGATGGAAGATCGAGGATTGTTGGTGGTGATTCGAAGAGTTGGAGCGGGAAGAGAGGGAAACGCGTGTGGGAGTAGAGGATGTGGCTGGCTTCGAGGTGAAGTTGTTTGGAGACGAGGAGAGGCGAAACACGTGAGCCGGAGCTGGAGCCGTCGTGGTCAGGGAGGGAGAAGAGGAGGGTGTGGTAGATTCTATTGCGAAGCTCGGAGGGGAGGTCGAGGAAGCGGAAGGGTTGGCTGGGGACGTCGTGTTTTGTGTTCGAGATGTGGTTGAGGTTGAGGTGGGAGAGTGCTTGTTCGATGGTCTTGCCGGACTGGTCTGGGAGTAGAGCTGTTAACTCTGCGTCTTCAGTCTCGTAGCGCTGTTTCTTCTTCTTGTAGCCTGGCTGTCTGTCTTCAGGAACTGGAAATGCTTCTACCATGTTTCCCGCCCATTTTGGCTTGCGACGGATAGGCATGAGCTTGGCTTAAGTAGTAGGTAGCGCGAATGGCACTGAATTCAGACCGAAGGGGAAGCAGTATAGGTATGGTCGTATATCAATATGTTTGGTATCTCCGTGGACAGCTCGCCTTCCTGGAAATCACTTCTTCGCGGGATTCACGTATTTGGATGTGGCGGTGGGTAGACACAACTTGAACGGCGGCTTTCGTTCCTGGGGAACAAGGACAATGGTTTAGGGTGACTGAGAGCTATTCAACTAGGTATGCTAATATAAAGGTAGATATATAAGAAGGGAAGAACCTGTTGGGGAAGGAGATTCTAGATTGTCATTATCGCGAGAAGTATGATGTCTCGTCCTTACGGGGCCTCCAAATCACAGGTGATTCCTTTTTGGTGCTCTTTGGGAGAACGATGTGTCTGGTCTGCCCAGCTAATACAGCCGATCGAACATGAATGACTGTGAACGAACAGCCAAATTATTGCCTGGGGTATTCAACTTTCTATTTGTGGAAGAGAAAAGAAAGATTGGAAACTGCGGTGGAAAAGCTCATATGACGGAACGAGCAGTCGAGGAAATGTTTGTCGTGTTTGCCTTGGTCTCTGGAAAGCCTCCTGCAACATTTTTTGGAGACTGGTGGTGCTCAGGTCACGCTCGCGACAGCACTATCATCTGGAGCGGCAGCATCATCTGTTCTTGCTCTTACTTATCACTGGTATGACTGACAGATCATGCTAAGACGTGCTGTCCTTCCTCTCGTGAGGCCCCATTCACTCAAATCAGCATCACGCCTGACGATAGCGCAATGTCAAACACGGGGCATACGCTCTGATAGAGCTCGCCTGCATCAGCCAGGAGACTTCAAATTACCGTCGCAATCACAATACAGCCAGAAACAATACCCACCACAACGGCCGGTGCCGAGACAGGCTGCAGAAGATATTCAGACAAACTCGCCCGTCCACGACTCATCGGTCAGGCATACTGCTCAGCCAACACCTCCACCACAGCCTCAAGAGCCTAGAACACAGACACATCGCAACACAGAATCAGTCGCGCGAGAGCAGTCAACCGAGCCGTTACCGTCAGAGCCACTTCCAGACCTGCGGCAGGGTATCCCATCAGACTACGACCCCGATGCGAAACCAAACACGCCCTTACCTGACCTGACCCAGGGTATCCCATCCACAATAGACGCAGAACTTTCGAGGTCGCAAAGGCAAGGCCAATCGTCGACAGACTCCCTCAACATTACTGCAGATGGGTCCAACCCTCAATCTACAGATCCTAGTCAAAGAGGCGGCGACGGCCTCCCCCGAAGCTCCTATGTTTCTTCTAGCGATCGAAGACGTTCAGCCTTGACGAAGTACTTCTATGCTTTCCTGGCTTCGAGCGCTGTAATATACGCCTTATACATGGGCCGAGATTGGTCAGAAGAGGAGGCAGAGCAACACAAAGATGTCGCCAATGGCTATACTCCAGGTCTCATGTATGCTCGTGCCATGGCAAGATGGGGTTCAACTATGAGCTACTACAAAGATCCTGTGACCAAGAAACTCCTCCCCGACGCTCAAGTCATGGACCCCAACATGCCTCCCTATACCCTTGTACTGGGTCTCGAAGATGTGCTTGTCCACTCAGAGTGGAGTCGTGAACACGGCTGGCGCATTGCGAAAAGGCCTGGCCTGGATTACTTCGTCAAGTATCTGAGCCCATATTACGAGCTAGTTATCTTCAGTGCTCAGCCCTCCTTCACTGTCGACCAGATTCATCGAAAGATCGATCCCTACCAGATGGTGTACCCTTTGTTCCGAGAAATGACCGTTTATGAAGATGGCGGTTATGTCAAAGATCTGTCCTACCTGAATCGAGATCTGAGCAAGGTCATTGTCGTTGACTCAGACCCTCACCATGTTAAGAAACAGCCGGAGAACGCCATTGTCCTTCCTAAGTGGAATGGCGACCCCAACGACACTACCCTCATCGACCTCATTCCCTTCCTAGAAAATGTCGCCGCACTAGAGTACAAAGATACCAGAGAAGTGATCAAGTCCTTTGATGGCAAATACATCCCTGTCGAGTTTGATCGTCGTCAGAAGTTGCTTCGTGAGAAATGGGAAGCACAGCAAGCGGAGAAGAGAAAACACAGGAAGGCTGGAGGGTTTGGCCTTGGCTCAATCTTTGGTGGCAAGCCAAGAAACGCAACTGGCATGCAGAGCATACACGACGCAGAAGCTGAGGGCAAGCACTATACCGACATAATCAGAGAAAGAGGACAGGAAATGTATTTACGACTGTCACAACATCTTGAAAAGGAAGGACCAAAGATTCTTGCTGAGCGAGAAGCAGCGGAGAAGAAGATGCAAGAAGAGATGATGCAGAACATGAAGTCTGGCATGTTTGGCTGGTTCGGCAGCTCCCAGCCCAGCGACAAGAAATGAGCTATCTGAGTCACATCCGAAATCTCCTCTCTAGCTAAATCTGGCTAATAATTTGGAGCCTGGTAGATTGTAAGTGTATGCATTTCGAGTATTGTATAGGTAGAGTACGTATCACCCTTAGTACATTATGCACCAAGGTGTGCCTTTTACAGTATATATGTGTGATCAGTTTCATTTGACCTCAGACAATCTGAATTGTAAAATACCAAAATCATCACCATGCTGGTTTGGTTGACAAGGTTGTCCCTACCTGCGTATGGTTTCGTAACGGCTACCAGTGTCCAGCTAGGATGGAAACGCCTCACCATGCTGTCCATCTCCTTGACCTTGCTTATATCTTCTTCGAACTACCAGTAATCCACTGGGATACGACGTGTGATATCAGCCCAAAGAGCTCATTCTACTTGCCCTCTAAAGCTGCACACGAGTTTGAGGAGGAATACTTCGCACGTAGATATAGTACATTTATGTCTCCCCGAAAGAAAATAACCTTCCTGAGCAGCGGAAATACTGTAAAGATAGAAACAACGGGGCAAAACTATCTCGTTAGACAGTCTGTTCGTGGTTAGCTGGCCCGGAATAAGCAATCACGAACGAGACTAGCAATTGCTAAGTGGCACTTGAGATCAGCTAATGCTGCGACGTTTGAGTAAAGCTCCAGGCGTCGCCCTTCTAGGACAAGCCTCAACTTTCGCGGCCGCTCGCCTCGCCAAGCACGGATCTGCGCCAACCTCACCTTGTCGCGACGTGAACTCATCGGTATCAGCGCCAACTGAACAGGATAGCTGAAGAGCTTGCGACGTTGACACCATCTACAAACACGTCAGAGATCTTCAAAAGTCCAGCAAGCGTTCGCAACGGAAGTTCTATTGGAGTCTTCGACCAGGATCTCCAAGCAGTGAAAGACGCAACCTTTTACAGTACTAATTAGATCCACATCTTACGTGTCACACTTTATCACTTGATCTTCAACACATGGTAGCTGATAACAAAACTCAGAGCACCATACGAGCACATATGACCGCTGCTTAAAGCACTTGCGAAGTGGGCCACTGGCTCGGTCTGACCTGGCGATGTGCTCAATTAGCCTTTCAAAGTCTGACTTTATGGTAAAGACGTAGCGCGTCTGGACAGTAAGAAATGAATGGACCCCACAATCCCCTGCAGCGATTCCTGAACGACCACGAGCCGATATCACCACACTCGCTCGACTCACCTCCCTGGGGTGCTAGTACCACAATCTCTAGTAATCTTGACGAGAGAGTACTACGGGGACCGCTGATTGAGCCAAAAGCATCGGATCGATCTGCATTTCTGTTCCATCAACTTCCCGAAGAAGTTATTCAGAGGTGTGTATAGACTGCCACTAGACCCTTTTGCCTCTACACGTACGACGAACCCGAATCTGAACCCACAGGCTGACCTGCTGCAGAATATTATGGGCCGTCGATTCAAATGGCTTTGCATCCTTGTGCCTACTCAATCCAACGTGGTATAGAAAGTCACAACACCTGGAGCTCTATGCACACCATCTGTCACGATGTCCGTCATATGCACTCTCAAACAATGTAATTACTGGCCCTTTCCGCAAAAACGACTTGTATCGGCTCAAAACCAAATTCGCTGCTGAAGTTCGGCGAAACCTCTTCGCCGCCTATCTAAGACCTAGAGAGACCATCATCAATCTTATCTCCGTCAGTGCTAACAGCTCTGCGGCCTTTCCCGGCGGTGAAGCTTTTCGGTTCGAGTTCTCGCCTAATGGACAAACTGTCCTTGCCCTCAGCTCTTCTAGAATATATGTCCTTGATGCTGCATCCGACACTATTGAGATTCAGAGAGAATTGAAGACTGTCAGACGACCTCTTTCTGCTTCCGTTACCGACGATGGCTCGTTGCTCGCAGTCTTATCCTCGAAGTATCAGGCAAATATCTATGGATTAACATCAGGTAATCCAGTCAAGCATTTGCAGGTCATTGTGCTCGATAATCCACCTCGAACAATCGCTCTTGCGCATGAAGGTACTGTCTTAGCTGCTGCATGGACTGGTGGAATTGAAGTGTTCTCACTAGCTCACAATGCACTATCCACCGATCGAAGAGCTGTACGAAGCGAAGCTGTTGACTCACTAGCATTCTCTGGTGACGGTTCCATGATCGTTGGGACTTCGCATGACCTCGAAGAGCCCAATGCTGTTGTGATCACAGCGCCATTCTACTCCGAAAATGATCCGAATATCACACCTCGGGAAATCCACAGCCGAATGTGGACGACGCAGATCCTATTTCCGCAGATCAGCAGCACTGTCAGCCATGTTGCTTTATTGCCAGGTCACACCGAAGGCGACACAAATTGGGTGTTTGCCTACGATCATCCATTAATGACATATCGTGCAGTACGCACGGATGACACAAGAAGTGGTGTGGTTTACTTTCTTAGTCCACCGACCGAGGAACGCTTTGAGTTTCCTCAACCCTGCGTTGCACCATCCGCTACCGCATGTGGCACTCTTGCGGCAGCTGGATTCCATGAGCACGGATTGTTCCTGTATGGAGTCCCTGAGCGTCTAGATGTCAGTCCGGATATGGGTTCTGTCGTTGACAAGAATGAAGAGCGTGTGCGTCGCCTTGCTGCTCTCACATCTGCCACGGGGCATATCGAACCTCTAATGGCATATTCACCGTCGGTCTCGGGCAGCAGTCAGATGATCGATATGGACGAGGAAGGTCTTACTGGCAAGGTAGACTGGCGTCAGAGTCTCTTTGTCAAGTCCAAAGCTGTTCGCACAATCGAGGGTTTCACATGTTTGCGGTGGGTAGAGAACTCCGAAGAAAACCCTTGCGAATTTTCTGGAAAGCGGCTGGTCGTCACGGCGCCTGCTGGGATGAACAAGTTCGCAGACGATCTTGGTGAGGAGAACATGCCAGTCGATGGATCGCGGATCTGTCTTCTGGACTTCGATTACTCACCTTCGACTAGGGAGAGCCGCGAATATACAATTGAGGTAGGCGACAACGAACCAGAGCTTCTCACAGAACAGCTTGGAAATATCGAGGTCGAAGTTGCAATGGAACGACGACGTACTGTACGTGCTCGTGGCAGGAATGGTGGATTGGCTGCAAGAACGAGTTTAACCAGATCTCAGACAGCTGCTTCGCCACCTAATCAATCTCATATTGACGAAGTGATGCGCCGGCAGATAGTTACCCATCCATCACCCGGCGAAGAGATAGTCAGCCCACTCTCAAGATCGTCAGGGTTATCAAGGTCGCAGACTGCTGCAGGGTTTCAGCATGCTCGGTTCCCACCTCGTCCTCCACTAGGCTCTTCTTTTACAGATAGCTCTGTACCAGGATCCAGACCGCACCATCGGGCATCTGTCGACAGTTGGGAAACTCCACCACCTCCGTATGGCCATGATAGCCTAGCTGTGCCATCGTTTGGACAGCGACCACATACGGCGTCCCAAGCTTCCAGTCACTCGGCCACTCTAAATGGAAACCTTGCACAACTAGGCACTTTCCAGCCGAGAGCTCTGCCACAACAACACTTGGGTACTGTACAAACCCAAGCTTTACAGCTAGGTCGATCGACACAATATGCGAGACAGAGCACCTCCATGGATGGAACAATGTTAAGTGAACATGGTCCCAGTCAGAGCATGGGTCAATATGGCCCGGCAGCGCGGAGTCCCCGACCGGACAACATACCCGAAGAAACAGTAGAACACGATCCAAATTATCGATACCCGCAAGCAAACCGTCAGAGTCATGTTTCACCAATCAGCGCTCCTGATGTCCCACCTCCGGGCTCTTACTTCGAAGAAGCTGTGCAAGCACATGGAACACATCCACGTGAAGAGGGCTTGACACTTCGTTCGACTTTGACCCACCCTATCTCTCCACCTACGCCAGATCGTCAATCGTGGATGCCAGATCAGCCCCAAGGACAATCGCCAAGGTTACCGACTCCAACAAGTGCTGGCCGAAGTGAGAACAGAATCAGCTTGACTGGTGCAAATTTACAGAATCGTCTCAATCATCCTGTTCCGCCTGTGCCCGTCAACGAGTCGCCAGCAAGTCGTCATGAGACCAGGAGCAGTCCACCACAGCATCATCTTCAACAATTCTCGCAATCTCAAACAACGTCCCAGCAATACCAATATCAACATGATTCTAACCGACCGAGCTACAATACCGGAACAACACCACAATCCCTCCACACATATACCCATCCAATTGCACCAAGCATTCCGACTGCTGAACAGATGGCACGTCTGAGCCGTCACCAGTCCTCTCTCCCTTCTCCGTTACAACCAGGCCACAGACCAGGTGGCAGTTCAGCGACTCATGACTTCGCATGTTCACCGTCTCCCACACCTCGTGCCGCCTGGGGCGCAGCCGGTGTTCCAGGCACTGTGTCCTTCACTCGCGCTCTCGCAATGCCCAACGGTGTTTCTCGAAGCAGTTCTCGAGGGAGCAATAGGTCTATTGGAGCAAGCCGAAGCACGCCTAACTTATTTACCCCGAGCATGGGTCTAGGTCACAGTCCAAGGCCAAGTTATCCACGATTGGATACGATCAATAGTATTGGGAGCGCTGGTCTTGGAGCCAGACTTGAGTATGAAAGAAGTCGTAGCGCGATCGGATACCATAATGAGTTTGGAAGGAGTGCCACAGATCCGAATGTGGTGCTCGAGCAGCCTATGATGGAGCGGAGAGTAGGGAAGAAGGGCAAGAAAGAGAAAAGTGGACGAAAGTGTATTGTCATGTAATGCGAATTAGGAAACTAAATGAGCCCTATGCCGGACCACGACTGTGATCGAACGATATCAAACCCTTTCGTCCAATCTACAAGGAGTTATTTCAGTTGAGAATGGCCAAGCTATATATAGCAGAACTGTTGAACCAATCTTTGATATGGGTCTGCACACACTAGGCAACAATGAACGCCATCTAGCCCTCGAACTATCGCTAGAGAGGCCAGACTTGTTGACCGTTCTGTGCTCACTTTAATATTCCACCAGGCACATTTGTATGCGAACGTCTTGTGCCTCGGTCCTTCTTGTGCCTTCTACACGTCGATGCGGCATACCTGAACGTCCACTAGCATATAATTCCACAGTGGCTAACTTTGATCGGTTACCTTTAGATGAGCCCAGTGTCGTACACATGGTGCAATGGCGGATACGAAAAGGTCTCATCGATGGAAAAAGACACAGCTTGTCGATATATGGGCGGTATCGAATGGGAGATTGCACAGAATAAGACCGGATACGTACGCCGAACGAATGCGATGCATATGCTTTTCTTGTCTCAAAGCCCTGTTTAGGGGCGTCAATACACTAACAAATAGATCCCAGTTCGAATGGTCCGAAGAGAACCCCTCCAAAGCTGATGTAGAAGCGCTAATGTCATTGGCGTATATCGATAAGGTCACGCCGTGGACGATGTGAGATTCTTGAAGCACGGCGCGTGCGTCCAGCACGCCAATTGCACCATAAGGCTCTGGCAGACTGAGAGAAGTGAGCTCGCATCTCGTGTATTGACAGAGACTTGGGCGGCAGGGATGCATGCTCTTATTTGCCTTTTGTCTTGGACTCGTCGTTCGGCAAGGAAACCTTCGGAGTCTATCATGTGCTCTATTCGTTCCTTAGCTGTTCGGCAAATACGAGATCATCAATTTAGAGCTACAGCTGTTTGAATCACTGAAGGGCTAAAAATCGCGGTCCTACTCAGAAGAAACTAATCTTATGCCTGAAAATCACATACGCCAGGTGGTGATGTAGTCGTGGACCCAGTGGTCCTTGCCTGTTCGTGATAAGTGGCTCAAGGCAGTAGTGAGGATATATAACAAAGACAGGTACGCTATACATTTTGGGCGAATGCGTCCCTCCTCTTTGTTCTTGTCCACGAATTACTGATGGAGGCCAGCTTTGTACTTGAATCAACCACCTGATCATGCTCAGCCAGGCTATAGCTCTCGATCGTCTGTGCAACTAACAAGCTTGTCACTTTCCTCTCTCTGTCCTCTCCGATCTTCCGTGAATTGCATTTGACGGCTTGCCAGCCATGCAATACACACTCCAAACCACGCTTGCCTGGGCGGCTACGCTCCTTCTCTGCCAATCAGCAGTTGCAACAGAAACCACTCCCAAGAACATTGTTCCTCTCCTGCCTACCGACCTGAATGCAAAGTTCATTTGCGCATTTCGCAAGTACAGAATGGGTCAATTCACCTGCGTGGGTCTACTCTATTGTGGCGAGATGCCTTAACTGATCCGGACTTGTGTATAGATAAACGAACATTTCTTCGTTTTCTGCATGCGTGGCGGGGAGATAGCACAACGAGTCCCGGAGGGAACATGGTGTAACAGATTTGATACAGGACCACCACGAATCGAGCGTGGAGCACCAGCTGAGCCGATAAGTTATGTAAGTTGACTCTTGCTGATGTCTATAATTGCCCAGGCATCTTTTCCAATACAGGGTACCTGGAATGGTGCTGACGAGCTGTGCGCGCATTAGTATTATTGGCCAACAGCGGAAGTTCCCGAATCGCTAGTGGCTATATATATGCTCACGGCGTATCATGGTTCAGACGCTACGAAAGGCCTGAATGCAACGTCGAGCGTTACCACTGCGTCGGCATCTTCGAGCTCGATGTCGATATCTGGCTAGACGATGGACCACTACCGAATGATCCTCATTTCGTTATGCAGCTTTTATGACTTGTGCTGGAGTGGTAGGAAACATCTAAAGGGGAGATCTAAGACCAAGATCAACACATCTGCGTAGACCTTATGAGCGGAGTTTAGAGATGAGAGAGAAGGAATCGGAAGTTGAGTTTTATAGACATATGTAGGTTTAATCGTTAATGTACTTCTGACTAAGACAATTCGTGGTCGCTCATGGAGCTTGCCGTCGATCGATAGTTTCGGAGTCTGAAAACGTACGCCGAGATATGTGACCTTGATCTATTTTTCAACAAGAGGCAGCTGACCTTCTTTGCCATGCCTTGTGTAACAGCTCTTTCAGATTTGCAGTCTCCACGTCGGGACATAACTCATTCAACGTCTTCCCACACACCATGCCACCACTGTCCTCCTCTCCACATAGAACAGCATACATCTGTGCCACCATCTCACCTCTGAATGCAGCCAAATCAAACTCGCCCTTTCCTATCTTCACTCTGAAAGTCTGTCTGTGTTCCTCAGCCATATTCCGACACTCCTCGGCAGTAACATACACCTTTTCAACCTCCACTGCCGGCTCAAGACGTTCCAACACATCCACAACATTCTCAAATGTCCCAGTCCAACCCGCAATTCCAATCTGCCCAGTCATCACACCTCTTGGCAAATCTAAGCTCGCAGCCACAAAGTTCGCAATATCTCTGAGACTCGTCATGGTCACACGTGCCGGCTCGCCTGTCTCAACACACGGAATGACAAGTTTCCGATTCCTGATATCGATGAATTCAAGCATCAAGTCGTCCTCAAGACCTGCTTGGAGTTCAAGATCACCGTATCCCTGCACGAAGTATTCCAGAAACCCGCCGTTCTGAATGGTGCCGCACTCGACTACAAAAACCATCGTTTTGTTGTGCGGCGAGCATGCGTTTCTGTCCAAGTTGGTGAAGCTGGGTTTTGTGTTTCAGCATTGAGACGTGGGTGTGTGAGGCTGGAGCAAGGGACCAGTCTGACATTATGAACCTTTGGACTTGGGCGGATTGACAAGCTGAGAGGAGCTTGCTGTGGTAGGTAATGGTTTTATTTGGATCGAGAGGTTTGAGGACGCTGATTAGGATGTTGATATTGTGGGTTGTGAAGGCATTGATAGGCGAAGGGATTGACGTGTAGACTACGTGCTTTATTGGAGCTCCATGTTTAGTGTCGTTGTCAGCTTGCTGTAAATTGGATGTGGTATCCTGCTCTGATCGTTTTTTCGCTCGAGAAAAGATGATACTTGATGCTTTTTTGTAGCTAGAATAGCCTCTGTAATGAGGCGGCCCAGTGTCGACGATGTGCCTCCTGCGATCGTGACGTTGACCATAGCAGTGGTGGTTTAGTGACGGCTTGGGAATCCTTTCTGTCGATGTGCCTGCCTGCAGCCGTTTCGCTGGTGAAATGCACGACATATATGCTTGCAGTGGCTTGTAAGCAGTTTCCGTACCATCATGCTTCTGGCAGAGCCCTGCTGATCCGGATAGCGAATACGGTTGCCATATCGTGAAATGATCGCCAAGCACATCAGGGTGATGCCATACGAATTTGATATGACAAAATCATATTCAGTCGTTTCTAATCCACAAGCTCCCAGACTGTTCGAGTTGTCCCCCAGTTGGGTGACCACGATCTGCGTGACACCTCAAACCGAAACTGTTGCCACAAGCTCGATGCCACCCATTCAATTGTCCCAGTTTCTCAATATTCGTACTATAGAAAACAGCAATTCCCCTCAATCATATGCTGCTGATTATGCAAGAAAGATTATTGTGTCACTCCGGTCCTTTGACAGAACGTCGGACTCAGCCTTCCATAGTCTGTCTTTACCTTTTGTAATTTCGTTTCCCACTGCTCCCTTTCGGCCGAGGGCACTGCATTCAGGATCTCCTGAATTGACCGTGCCACGAACTTTGGGTTGATCCTCTTGTACAGCTCCACCTTATGTGCAGAACCGTCCTTCGCCATCTCTCCATTCATGGTGCCTACATCCGTGAAACCATGCCCGTAGTCATGCTCAGGCCCATGATAGAAACGGTCACGCCACACCTCGAGATCACCAGGAATACCGAACAGTTTGTCAGTCTCCGCATAGTCCCAGACATACACAAAATTGTCAAACCCACTCCACACAATGGCGTTAATACACAGACTGCATGGCTCATGAGTCGATAAGAACAGACAGTCTTTGGGGTTGGGACGTGTTTCTAAAGGTAGATTGAAGAACTGGCTAACAGTCCAGGTTTCGCCATGATTCAGCGGAGACACGGATTCGTGATTTGTGCCGGCAAGGATTAGTGAGAGGTCGGACTTGAGGAGGATGGCGGCACCGAAGAGTTTCGTGCCTTTTTCATTCATGGCAGGCACTGAGAGAGGTGTGATGTCGTCGGTGATGCAATCGAGCAGAGCCCGCAAGAGAATGGCTGGAGGATGCAGTTTTATTGGATCAGTCATCTTGTGTAGATAGTACTTGGCTGATGCTTCTTGCGTCCTGGAAAGGTGTTCTCCGTTAGTCCTCTGTGGGTCTGGAAGGAAGGGTCGTGTGAAATTTGGTGTATATGTTCTGCCCCTGGCAGATGATTCCAGCACACTTTGAGGTCAGGACAATCTTGTGAAGTGACCAGAAGCCATATAACCCGGTACGATGATATCGAGGTGCGGGTGCTTGAGATAATCCCTTACCCTCTGGACGTCAAAGCTCCACAGCTCTTCGATAATGCACCAAGGACGATCTAGCAGTGTATCGCTGGAACCCGTCGACGGATTCGAAGATAAGGGTTGGTAGGTAAACACGGAGGTCGCCAGGTTCCTAAGTCTTGGCATGGAGGCGCGGACAGTTCTCGTCAAACAATAGTCATCCCCAGGACTAATTCTGTTACCACTTCGCTGATTGCTGAAACTTGATACAAAATTCCATCCGCAGATCGGCGTATGATTATCTCTGTCACGACAGAGAATCGATACAATCGCGATGGAACGATTGTGCAAGATGTGCACAAAGCTATCGATGAGAAAACACCTGTTGGCTCTCTCATACTGTCACCCGAGATGCGATAACAGATCTACGACTATACTATCTCTGTATAATATCTAGCACCATATAGATACAGCGATCTTATGTGCCGCAACTAAGCACAAAGTCAACAGAAAGTGCTTGTCAAAAGGAACGCAATGCAACGATTTTGTTGCAAAAACCGACCACTTCATCGCCGAGACTTGGGCACAAATTTCAGGTCTTGTATGTGCAGTTGTATTTGCTAGTGGAACCAGCAGCCTGAGCATCTAGCACTCCTAGTACTGGCATTTCTCCTTCACTCTTTGACCTGTGTCTTCATAAGTGCAAAGCATAGCGATGTGGGCCTGGACTGTTTTTCCAGCATTGCAAATCATGTTTCCAACACTGAATGAGCATCAACGACTCTGTAACATGTATCGTATCTTCCCTCCATACATATATGCTCATACTCAAATCAAGCACAAGAAGGACGACCGAGAGCGCGAGAGACAAGGGCATGATGGGGTGCACCCTCAGCCCAGTCCGACTGCAAAAAATTAAGAACATCGCAGATCCGAACAAACGAATCGTAGAAGACCCAGACACTACTACCAAGCTCCATTACCATATGGTCTCTCGAAAATTCCGCTAGCGCCTCAGAGAACGTGGCAAGGCGGTGTAAAATCGTTCTGCATAGGAAGACGTACTCTGCAACCTCGAAACCGTGTAGTTGGAGAGTTTTGGCCAGCCAAGCGGATTCTGTGTCATAGTCTTTGTCGGCTGCTGAACCTCTAGAGCTGAGTGAATAGCAGGCAGCCTTGTATGCTGATAGATTGCAGGACAGCTCACCACATAGCAGCGTAATAATGGCGGCTCTTGATATCGAATTTCTGATATGACGTTCATCGATTTGGTGAGGGGATGTAGCATCAAGGATGGGATCGTGTATATCCTGCAGTCTACCTATTGTCGATTGTGATGCTGTCACCTCTAGCCGGCGCGAAAGTGGCAGGCATATCTCGTCGGCCCACAAGTATCTGGCACCAGAACGTGCTTGCTGATGCAGATATCGCAAGAGTATGGGAGAAACCTTGATTGGAACAGAGTTGATTCGCATAACACTTTGGTGGTCTATCTCGTGGACGTGAGACAACTCCGCATCGGTAATGGTGAAGATCATCCTGACAGGCTCTTGGAATTCCCATGTAACACGAAAGTCCAAGTTATCCGAGATGCCCTTTGTACTATCGACCAATATGGGCACGGTTGACCACGTTTCATACGAATTTCGTGCTGTTTTCAGTGGGGCAAGGATGGTACGCTGAACTTCAATTGATGAACAAGTCTCCATTGTCGAAGACGATACACCATCCGATGCCAACAGCTGTTGCAGGCGGTTCTTCAGCAGTAGATCCTGCACGACTACATCGTCTATTGGTAACGGAAAAGAGCAACCTGGATAGTTGATGAAGCCTCTGCGAAAATATGGCTTTTGGAGAGATCGTTGCACGAGACGCAATTCGTCCGTAGAGAAGTCCTGTAGGATTGCCACTGGGATACTCTCGAGCAAAGAGTAATAAGAAACTTTGGAGAACAAGAGACGTGCTGCAATAACCTCGTCATACGTGGAATTGATCTCCTTCAATATCGCATGATCACTCCAATACTCCCAAGCATACTCTCTAAGACGATATCTTTGGTTTCGTTTTTCCAAGGTGTTATTGGCCATGAGATAGCGGATACAGATCAAAGATAGTTGTTTATGAGAATCCCCTGGTTCGATTAAAAAGTGTGGCACACTTGAGCGTCTGATGTTGTTCCCAGTAAGAAATTCTTGTACAGAAAAGTGACCGAGTAACACAGTGTGCTGCCCTTTAGGCAATTCTTCCAGTATACCGGACCTAGGCCAGGGATCGAGAAGTATCATGCTTGGTAGAAGACAAAAGATGTCCATGAGTCCGAGTGACTCATAGTGATCATGAGGCCGATCTGTCTTTGTTGAGAAGTTCACAAGATCTTGCAGTTCTTCTGCTTTCAATGGCCTTCTAGCTAGAATCAAACACTTGAGGGTCATCAAAGCATGTGAACGATCTTCTTGGGGAATACTCTGCAGGATCTTTGTATACGTCTCGTCCAAGCTTGCTGGCAGGTCATGCAGCAAATTCTGCACTTTTCGACTGGTGATTCCACGCATGAATTTGATGCGGTCCAGCTGTAAGACAGTCCACTGAAACCTGTTAAGTATTAGCTGGAAGAGTCCACTTGCCTGCCAATCGATGCTTTTCGCCTCGACACACCGAAGCATGCAGATCAGACACAAAACAACAACAGCTAGATAGAGATACTCTTACATAATGTTGTCACGTCGACACAAGCGCTTGCGAATCATTTCTTTCGTGTTGGAGGGAAGTCGTTTGAGGTCCGGATATCTGCAAAGCTCTTGTTCGACATAAATTTTTATGTCCCCAGAGATCTTATAGTGGTCAGCAGGTAAGGATATCCAACCTTCAGACTCCTCGAAGTAGCCCAAGATGTCTGCCTCGCTACGGCTAGTGAGGAAGATATGCAGTTGAGGCTGACGCAGAGCGACAAGCTGCTGAGTTAGTTGCACAACTTCCGCTCGTTGAGGACCATATCCGACCTCATCCAAGCCATCTAGCACAAGGTACAGGGGCTCTTTCAGATCTATGGCTGTTAGTAGAGCCTATCCCTCCTGAGATAGGACATCTCACTCATCAGAAACTCCACAAAAATATTGCTCAGTTCTGCAGTAATGGATGGACCACAATCGGACTGAGACGAGTACCGCTTATAAAGTTCTAGCAAAGACTGCGGAATGCCTGAGCTCTGGTACAATTGAGACAATAGTGCTCTGATCATTGACTGATGATTTTGACGACCGGGGTCATTCGCCGAGAAAAAGAAAAATAATGTGGTGCTTCGCGAATTGAGCTTGCTCAACTTTTCGAGCACTGCAAAGCTAAGCACTCGTCAGGAACTTGCCACGTTCGGGACATTGGAGCTTGTTTGCCAACCTGATCACAGTCTTGCCACAGCCGACTATCATGCCGTTAGCATTGGAAAGCAACTTACTGGTGGTACACCTTACCTGGCCCGTGTAAATGAAGTGCAGATGATGGTGAGTGAATCCAGTCTCTGAACGTTGTGCCTTTCAAGAACCACTCATTTGTGCCCCGACTTCGAAGAAATGACTCTGGCGCACTGCGTGGAGGTGGCTTAAGCCACTCTAACACTTACTCTGGTCACAACCTGTATATCGTAGATTTTCACAGAATCATACCTCGTGCGGGTAGCGGCTTGTCATATTCGGGTTGAGGCAACTGCATGGTGCCATAGTTGTTCCCCTGAATCACGAAACCACCACGGACATCCGTTCTGGGGTAATTATGGCTGTCGCCATCTCTAATCACAGGGTGTGACGGGTATACATCGCCAAGATGTGCCCGTGCTTCGCCGCTGATAGTTATAGACTCGTAGCGATAACTATTGTCTTGGGAATCAGACATTGTCACGAAGGACAGAGTCGGTTTCCCTTTTACGTTCAAAATTGTCGGTGACAACGTATAGCTGTATGCTCGGACTAAAGCATTCGATTATGCTGCGCAGGTCCGCTACTTTGCAAGGTGCAATGCAAGCAGCTCATATGAGTTTGATCGCTGATGGCATGTTGTAGACAGATCCGGTTGTGGGAAAGACGTTGTGAAAAGTATCTAGATTCTAAGGCTGAGACTGCCACATTCGACCGGCCAAATTGAGGTGCGGCATTGATAGGCTGCGGATTGCATGCTGCAAATAGAGCAGCATGCACCGTGAAGCCGGCTGAATGACAGTGCAGCGAGCAATGTTATGACGATCCCAATTTGCCAATATTAATGACGGCAACACTTGCCCTGCCACATAGCCTACTAAGAATGTTCTATTGGAAAACATGGATTGTCTACCAATTGGCATCCTATTTCATCCATAGTCTTCCACCACCTGTTTCATATAAATGGCTCAACTTTATGTCCTCCCACTGCCAGCCTTCTCTGCCGCCCGGCTTTGCAGCACTCCAAACAGCTAGACAGTACGACTTCTGCCTGATCGCAAGACCACCATTCACAACCATTACCATGCCATGGTAGTCCTTGCGCGACCCTTTTCCGTTGCAAAGCTCGGCGGCGTAGGCACAAATCCCTTCGTGAGCTATTGCTACACTTTCAGTAGGCAGGAGATCGCTGCCCAAGGGAGGTAAATGACCACCAGCAAAAAGCTTCACTGCCATGCGGCAGATCAGACCTGTAGGGGCAGTAAAGATGTTGTCGTAGTATGCCGCGATGTTGTTCGGGCTTGAAGACGTTGTGTCGTGACTGAGCGAGGTGGAGAATCGAGTGCTTCGAAGCTTGTAGAGAAGCTGGACACCCTCTTTGCTTGGGTTGATTGGTTGTTCTAGCACAATGCGGGAAAGGAGCAGAACGATGGTGATGATTGTGGTGACAATAGACGGGAGACAGTAGCCAGGCTCGATATCATTGACATCTTTAGGCCTCGTTAATATGCGACCGCATTGACCAGCAGTTTCTTCATGATAAGAGATGCATGGACATTGATCAGCCAGGAGACGCAACTGCTCGAGGTGCAGCTTCGCGGCCTCCTGTGGAGTAAGCTTGAGCTGTCTTTCCATCCTCGCTGCACCACGCTGCAGACCATAAAGGCGGGAGGTGAGCGTCTCAATCAATAGTACGGCACTGACATATGGCGCATGACTCGCTAGAGACGCGTGAGGGCCTTGTTTCACACTGATTGATGAGTTGTCCTTGGCATCCTCGATAGCTCTAAAGGCGCTTCCGATGGCTGTGTACATGACTTTGGAGTGTTCATGTTCCAAGACGTGAAAATCATGCCCGAAAACTTGAGGAAGAAGTGTTCGCCAGGTCACACGGCCACCGAAAGGTATAAAATTTATCTGTCGCGAGAGTGAGGAAAGATTGGCAGTTGTGACCTCTTTTGCCAATTGCGGCATCGTACTGTGGTCGAGGATAAGTTCTGGCTTTTCTGTGTATATGAGGTGAAGCCTGGCACCACTCTCCAGCCCGTACAGGTGGTTTCCATCCTTGGACGCGAGTCTTACCGCTAGGCCGAAGAATAGCTCGCTGAGTGCTGCAATCCAACCGACTGCCCCTCCACCACGGAGTGTCAAAGACTCGCGCTTACCGCATGTTAACTCTGACAGAGCAAGGAGAGCTGCTGCCATAGATTCTGGCGGAACAAGACAACGGTCTGCGGAGAATTTGCTGCCAGAGGCGACACTGTACGGGTCGAGTAGTATGAAGTTCTCCACCACGAGGCCAAAATCGTCGTTGGCAAGTATGCCGTTGCAGAAATGAAGCAGGTCGAGTCACTGATAGATATGAGGAGTATTCTGATCTCGTGGTAGGGCTTGCTTGGACATATGGTAAAAGACCTCAGCCGCATAGGTCTCATGGAAACACTCTGCAAGTGTGATTATGATTGTGAGATGTTCGTAACCATATTGATGTACTCTTGGATTGCGAATAACATGATCCATCAACCATGCAAATGAGAGCTTCGAATCTGCAGCATCGATACAAGGCAGGTCATTCAGAGCTTTGTTTAGGCGACGCTGGCCATTGACCGAGACTTTGAAGTCTTTACATATCTGTGTTGCTACCTGGATTGCATATGGATTTGTTCTTGCGCCGGCGAAGGCACTCAGGTTGTCGTAGTAAAAGTCCTTGTGATTGTCCTGTCCAGTTGATTGTGCCATCCTGCATCACTTATGTCGCGGCTCGATCGAGCACGTCATCTCATTTGACGACGACGAAATGACCATTGAAGACTCCAGGTGTAGTGTATATTTTTGAGATTTTTCCATCCGCTACTGGTATACAACCTAGGTAAGGCGCCATTATGTAGAAACAGGGATTTCGCGTGTGACGATGTCTGACCATGCTCATGAGACATAAACCTTACCCCACATCGCGATAACTCAGACGACATGCTTCCCCAGACTCGGAGAACAATGGAGCATGGCTGACCGCGCGGGAAGTCAATCAGATCAGCTACGTGGCTCAAATAAGACAAATCTGCTGACATAGTAGCATGATATGCAGTAAAAAATCACAGCACTTACAACGGATTTGCTAGCTAGCAAAGTACACCTCACAAGGCGAAGGAGAGCTTGCCGATGATGTTTTTCCTCAACAGCAGTGCCGCTTGACCTGCCTCTCGCCAGCTGTCAGCAAGCCCCTCGTTCTCCGCCTGTCTCGTCAACCACAACACCGCGTCCAGCTTGCACCATGAGCAGCGTGAATGAAGAATTTCAATTTCAAGACCGACGTCGCTAAGCTGCTTTGTAAGACGCTGAATTCTCCTCCTTCAATTGCGATGAGGATGTGGAGATAGGAAACCTTGATCGATTGAGAGCGAGTCAATAGGTGAGCTGATTATGCTGGTAATGAACCTGGGATTCAGTTATTGAGCTTGCTGTATAGTTTGACCAAAAGTAGTTGTTTCTAAACGAGTGTCAAACACCAACCCACCACATAGCCTCGACCATCGAAAACATGGAGCTCCTAAATCTACCAGCAGAGCTACTGGACATAATCTTTGGATATGTATACGAGCCCTGGCATCTGGAGATCAAGCTACGCGACGACACTGAGACAGATGCCTATTATGAAGAGCCTTGGATTCTTGGTGTTCCTCATCTGCCATACCTGACTCCCCTACTGACTTGTGCGACATTCCTCCGTCTCGCATCACCACGCATCATCGGCTCGTTTACCGGTCCCATCGATGCTCATGAAGCACCGCTGATGGATGAGCTGCCAAAGAGGTGGCAGTGTCTTACACCCTGCGTTACGACTTTCTACCTGAGCCACGCCCAACCGAGTGGTAGATATCCACAAAACTGCCGGTTCATTCGCAGTCTCCCTCACCTAAAGGTGGTAGAATCTTTCGAAAACAGTGCCGACTCACATATAGTCCAGCGAGGTTCTCCAGGCGTTCTACACCTAAACGATATCTCCGACACATACTTTCTGGAACACGCTGGGGGATGGCTTGGTTTACCACTGGATCTTGCCGCTCGCAAGGAAATGCGAGTGTTCGTGCATAAGTTCTACTCGTGGCAGAATCTTCGTGAGCCAATCGAGCAGTTCGCCGATAGGTCGTCGGCCGTCAACGGTCCACGTTTTGAACCGTTGATGGTGAAGCAAACGACTATACCGGGGGCGAAAGGACGTCGCCCACAGATCGCGCATGCGCTCTATTCGTCCCGAGATGCTTCATATCTGAGACAGGAACATGCTGACGTTGCGTATGGCCTCGATGGTGATGGTATCACACATGTCGAAGCAAGAATACCGATCGGACTTCTGCTGAGGGGGACAGATATTCGTCGGCAGATCGCAGTCAGCAGGCATATAATTAATCAAGCCGCTTTGGCTGAGGAGAATGCGTATAGTGACAAACCACGGCAGCGTACTTGGTCCATGGACGGCACCTTTGGCACCACTGGGTCCAGCGACCCAGAGCATATAGCACGAATGGCTCAATGGAGACAATATCTTTGGACAGTGCGACTTGCTTCCTCTGACGGCAATTATGTCAATCGTCCTGTAAATCAGGGATGAAAGGTATTTTTTATCTTATTTTTTGTAGTAGGCCCAAGGACATTATGCAGTATACTCATAGCCAGATCGAGTTTTGTTTCACTGCCTCTAACCATTGCGCATACACAAATGCAACGACCTCCTCGTGTAATTCTCTTTTCAACGGAAACTTAATTCCAGATGATAGTCCGTGAGACGTCAAAAAACAAGAGACCTCACCACATCTCCCTCCGTCGTGGACAAGCACCCAAGAAGCAAGCGACAAAAATGTTTCAGCCAGGAATCGAACCTGGAACCTTCTGTGTAATATAGCGACCACGTAGGCGTCTTGTTAGACAGAAATCATAACCGCTAGACCACTGAAACGATACCGCTGGCGTTTCATTGAAACATGTGAAATTGAAGTGGAGATCCTAGGAAACTTGCTTATGTAGCAATGTAGAAACTCGGGCCACGGAGGTGACGGAGCATGGCTGGGAAGAGATTTTGGAGGACAGAAAAAGGAGACACGTGATGCGGAATAGTTGGGGAAATGTTCTTGAATGGTCATCGTTGGAGCGAGGAATTAGGGGGCTCTTAGGCACTCATAAGTTGAGGTCTAATTACAGCACGAGAACGACTATCGATGTTCTGTATCATGCACAAGTTATCAGCACACACCTTCGAGTAAGGACGTCCCACGGTACAGCTCCCCAAGAAAGAGATCTCTAGTACCAACAGCATCAACGCTGAGGCAATCGTGCCTGGCAATCAATACCAGTCAAGAGAGCAGCGACAAATATGCGTCAGCCTGAATCAACCAGCGAATAGGTGTCAACGATAATCTGGCTGCCCCTAGCGAACACGAATATGATGCTTGTTGCAGGGTATTGAGTAGGAGACCTATTTCTCGCGAGCTAGGACGATTGCGACATATGTTGCCTACCTTGATAAAATTGCATGGAGGGCACTTGGGGGTCTGTCTTGGTGATCCAAAGTGGAAGATGAGAGTAAAGCGCGATCCCGATGTGCTTCTGACGTGCATGCTGTCCTCATTCTCAAGTGGTGCACAGGTCTCGTGGCTTCCTCACATACGCATCGCAATATTACAGACAGCTGAAAGATAGGAAACACAGTCAATTCAGGTTAAATGTGCATTCTAATCACGAGGGCACGACCGTACCTCAGCCGTGATCTCAATTACGCCACAACGCCCGCTAATCGGGTATTCATGCAGTCTAAACAGTAATACAAGTCGTGTACCCTGTTGGCAAGTACACTCATTCATTGATCTCAAATTGAGATCTCACCGTCATCTTCTGCATCGTCCTTAGCAGGCACGTAATCACCCTCATCGTCCACTAGATCCTTGAGATCAGCAGGAGCCACGTTCCCATAAACTCCCTTCTTGATATCCCTCAAGATCTTCTCAAAGTAGTGCTTGAGTGATCTCAAACCGCGCAAATAACCTCGGTCGACATCACCAGGATGATGAGGAGGAGTCTTGATATCGTCAGGTAGTTTGTCTTCGCTTGTGACACAATTTGCAAAGTCAACAAGCTTGATCTCAATGGGAGGTGGCCAGATCTTGTCTTCTTTCTTCTTCTTGGCCATCAAATCGACACCATTTTTCTGTGCTTCCAGGAACTCTCGAGACAGTTCGGGCTCGGCATCGTAATATATGAGCAGACTACTGGCGTAGAACCGATAGCCTGGAAGTCGTCGAACCATGTTCTCTAACTTGCCAAGCTTATGCAAAATGGTTGGAATATGTCGAGCGACACTGTCGTAGCTGATACCGTCATAGAGGAACCGAACCAAAGTTGTCCGAAATGGTCTTCCTACCTCAAGAGCACGACCAAAATACTTGTCTTCGTGCTTACCTTCTTGAGTTGCCTTGTTCCAAGTTTGCATACCGCAGACTCTGACGCCCAGTTGTCGAGACGTGGTACCAGCACACTTCTCGCGTTGAGACGTGAGTTTCTTCTCCGAGGCATCGACACCATACTGGCGTGTGCCCATCTTCAGGTCAAGGACACAAGGTTTGCCCATTCCTGATGTGAGATCCTCAAGAAGAATATAGAGGGCATTGCGTTGACCGGGCTGTGCACACTGTGCTTCCTTCGGATTGACTGGAATCTGGTGCTCTGCGATGGTGTCACGTGTGTCGGTTTCTTCACCATTCGCGTTGTTCTTGACCGTCAACTTTGTGCTGACACTGTCTTGGCCTTCCACAACAACATCGTGTTCGTTGCTTGTGCTAGTAGCAGAGGACTTCAATGTGGAAGGCTGCTCTTGTGTCGTGATGTTGTCTTCGTCCATAGCGAAAACCTCAGGCTCGCGCATAGCACTGAGAGCGTCGTCTTCGAAGTACTCAAGGTCGACTTTTTCACCTCCGTTAACAGACTTGCGTCTTCTTCGCAGACCCATACCAGAATGTCTTCTTCGAGGAGCCATTCGAGCATTGGAAGTAGGTTCTGTATCAGCACTGTTGTGAGTATGAATTCTACTCAGGTCATGCTGATTAACATCTCCAACCGAAGAAGAATATGTCTGTCGAGGCTCGCTTAGTATGCCAAGAAGTTTGTTGTCAGGTTCCACCACAGCTGACTGAATAGCAAGATCTGATCTAGACAGGTGAGTGGTAGGGAAAGCTGATTGTTGCAAACTTTGATCTTTCTTGATGTCGCCGCTTCTGAAGGTATCGAGTGACAGGTTCGACCGTCTTCTTTCCTCTGGGTCCTTTCGCAGAGGATAGGAGTTCGAGTTGGGGTGGGGAGCATGTGCAGGAGCATGCCGATTGTGCCGATTGACATGGTTGATCTGAGGAACTCCACCGAAAACTTCTTTGAGCACCTTATGCTTCAAAGAGTCGTTGAGAGAAGAGATACCCCACGGATGACTGGTAGTATGTCCTAGGCTAGGACGTGTAGGACTAGTTGTACCGTTGAGAGAACGCTCGGCATTGCCACCAAGGGAGGAAGTACCGTTTGAGCCTCGGATGCGGAAGTGGTTCGGATCGGCGCTCTTTGGTCGTTCAGGTAAACCAAAGTATTCAGAGGCAAGAAGATGTCGATTCTGGTCAAGGAAGACCTGTGCCGCGTCATCAATCTTCTGGGAATGACTAACAATTCGAGGCTGGGGGCTTCCACTGGCCTGGGCATCCTTATCTTTGTTCTTAGCGGGCAAGTCGCCAGATTTGTCGACAGGCTGAGTGATGTCATTTGATACAAGCTCTTCACCGTCATCCTTACCAGCAATTTCTTCCTCTTTCGGCTTTTTCTGGAAGGTGACATTGAGCACCCCGATATACTTTGGCAGGAACTTCAGCATGTCTGGATGTGATTGCTCAATGCGCTCATAAAACTCGTTTTCACGGTTATTGAGCTGCTTGCAAATCGCTCGTCTTGAGAATCGAAACATGGTAGAATGGCCACCAACTTGATGTTTGTAAGGTTTGAGTGTGACAGCCGTTTTTGGCTTGGCGACTGACCCGACTCTAGCTTTAGGATCCTTTATCTGACTGGAAATTGTTGGACGAGCAACTGGTGTGGAGGCTGCCTCTTCAGACTGAGTTGCATCTGCAAGCTCATCGCTGGATGCAGAGTCTGACAGGGCTGACAGGATACCAGTAGGTCTACCATTGACTGCTCGAACTCGTGGTGTCTGTTCGTCTCCATCATCCTCTTCTGAACGGCCAATTTCCTCAGCAGGCGATTCGAAAGTGCCATGAAACACAGTCTTCTCAAAATCTGACTCAACTGAGATATCAATTCGTTGTCCCTCAGACTCAAGGTATGCATTTTCGGTAAGCTGTGTTGATTGAGCAGTAGACGGATCTAAAGTACCATGTCGATATTGCGGGGTGGCAACATGGTGGTGGTCCTCTTCATCAGGCTCATAAGCAGCTCTACCTTCATGTGGAAAGTACAAGGCGTCGACTATCCGCTCGCCTTCCTCATCGTGTGAGTCTGTCAACTGTGCAATGTCGAAAACGGTACCTGCATGATCGATGCCTGGGACACCTGGGGTGGAGGCTTTATGACGAAGAGTGTCTGGCCGTCCTTGACTTCCGGCCCTTGTATCATCGTAGTGAGCTGACAGTAGGGAGGATGGTTGTGGAGTTTGTTCGTTATCGAGAGGAAACTGAGAAGGGTCTATATCGTCTTCGGAGGGCGTATCTGCTAGATCCAGTGACTTCGTGGTGAAGCCCACTGTGCTGTCTGTTCTAGAGGATCGTTTCGAGAAATAGTCGTTGCCAGGAGTGCATTTTGATAATTGAGAAATGGGACTCTCAACAGATTCTGTATCGTATTTGTTGTCAATTTCCTGGCTGTGGTCGGCCTTCCTCGCTAAGTCGTTGCGAAAGTCGAACAAGCCCATCATATGACTGGCTTTCCGACTACGCACATGGCCACTGCTTTCGGGCTTCTTGACTGTGGCTTCGATGCTCTTGTCCATGTGAGTTCGGCCTCTACTAACGCTTCGCTCAGGTCTCTTATTCTCTTGCACAGCTTGTCTCATTGCACCACTTCGTTCTTGAGGGAGGGCGTTGGGTTCATCGTTGCCTGTGAACGCAGATTTTTGTAGTTTGTTTGCGTAATCGGCGGCGAAAATAGATCCTTCATCTTGCTCGCTTCCGTTGGAAAGCTTCATGGCTCTCGTTGGAACACTAATATGAAACTTCTGCGCCCACGTATGGCCTGTAGACTGTATTCTGCGAATTCCACCAGTACTACCACTACTTCCTGGACGTGGAGAAAGAGGAGGAGGTCGTTGAAGTTGATATTGACGTGCGGCAGCAGGATTTGTGGGGCTTTCGTGTCCAGCGGAAAATACTGGCAGTGGAAGTTGGGTTGTGCCTTCCCTTAGATTTTTGACACTCTTTCCGCCGGGAATTTCTGTGCGATTGCCTGCTATACTAGCAGCTTCCCACGATACTGGTCGCGCTTGCAATATTTCACTCCGACGGCCACCCTCAACGACTTGCCTCGACTCAACAGCTCGCTCTACTCTGTCACCCTCATCCTGTTCATGGTTTAGACCCTCTTTTTCTATGGTAGTGGAAGACACAATCGATGTTGTGGCTCGTGGTAGCCCATGCGATGCTCTCGAATCATTGTGCGATTGCCCCTCCCATCCTGCCTGTGTATGTGGTGACGGGGTCAACTCTTTAACTTTCAAGGTTCTATTGTGCGGACTCTGTTCACATTCTGAAACTTGGGATGCCACAACGGGAGATTCATGCTGCACGTTATTAGCCCGCTTCCCAAAGCGCAAGCTCTGCGCGGGTATCGATCCGGAAGCCCAAGTCATTCAACGGTCTGGTACATGCTCAGCGGAAGCCAGGGTACGTTGGGGCGTGATCAAGCCAAACGACCGGATTGGTGAGTTTTCTCGCAGGAAACGATCGTCCTACCAAGCCAGAAGCAACCTCTGCCCACTAGTCAATGGCGGTCAGTCAATCGCTTCAGCACTTGGTCTCCAAATTCCACGCGTCCGTCCACTCTCCTCCAGCTGTTGAGAATGTACCTGACCAGAGCCAAACTCAAGATGAGAATGTGTGAAGAATGTAAGAGCCAACGGCAACGGCACATCAACCCCATGCGTATCTCTTGTGGAGAGCAAGCAAGCCAGCCACTATGATGGCAGAGTCTGGGCGTTGAACGTCACTGTCCAACAGCCATGGATCCAGCTTTCGAAGCTTGACCCATTTTCGGCATGGTGCTCACCAAATGCCGGTACTCCAATAGGCTTTGTCTTCAAATTCCGGGAGGACAATCCCAGAGTTCCACTACTTTGTCTCGAACCGTTTTCTACTCGAGAAAGCTCCTCAAGTACCTGGCAGTTCAATTGCAGAAATTTGCTGACCACTCAAACTTCACGTAACTGCCCTCGTTGTACTTCCTTTGGGTACGACCATGATCCGAGGGTCTGTTTGATGACCATATGGCGACGTGGTCAATGCTGGAGGATTTGACTTCAACTATGCTGAGCGACTACATGTGCCTGGCCAATCTTTGCGCCATCGTCAGGCACGTGCTGCTGTCGATTGAAGTCATTGCCTTGCAAGGTAGGACGACGACATCCTTTGTGATCATCAGGGGTGATGCAAGGTCTTTGTGACATCCCATCTCGAGAGCAGAAGCGATGCACACAATGCCATCCACAATGCCACGTGCGGCCACGAAGCTGCGCAGCACCGCCTGCTTGCGTTCTTTATCGCTCGTCCGAATCTGAATCTAAAGCATCCTTAAAGGAGACGGTCCTACCAGAAACGCACCAGACCGCGAATCAACAGCACTACTAATGGCCAACGGAGGCGTCTCATTTTGATGGTGTCGTCAACACGAGCTCTCCTACAGGCACGATGAATACTGGTGCCGATACATCTAGTCGAGAGACCTGATGCTGCTCGCAAGGCCAACTCGACCTCGCAAGTACTTTCAACCTTTCAGCACACCAATCGCATTGGTCAGACAGTGTATGTAGCACACAAGGAATAATTCCAGACAAATTCTGGCAGGTGGACTCACCAGCTGGCAGCATCCTGATGACAGTGATGTTTCAAATTGAAGTCAGACCTTCGATGTTGGTCCCATTCAAGACCAAGCGAACTTGCAGACATACTGCTCCATGTGTTGGCTGCTGTGAGTTCTTTCAGGAAATGTTTCATCTGCCTAACGACGCGACTTGTGATAGAACGTTCCTGATGGTCGATGTCTTGCGGCGAACAGGAATGAGTTCATCACAACACGTCACCTGTCAACATACCAGCGGACGAATCCAAGGAATACGGTCCGATCCTCATAGCGGGTGCTGTACTTCGTATGGCGTCTGCATTACTGCCACTGAACTTCTCTGAGGCTCGCATAACTGCCTCGAAAGCGTTGCAAGGTACCTCGATCTTGAAGTCCAATAATGCCGTCCGTTAACGAAAGCCGTTTTGAATTAAGCTTCGTATGGTGAGCGCTTTTGCAGAAGAATTGCAGGGTATTTTCGCCAATTGCTGAGTGGTGTGACGATGAGTGTGCAATATCCTGTTACCAGGTTAACATCATACCTCAGTGGGAGGCGAGACTGCGCTTGCGTCTGAAGCCAGCTCGGCTTCCATGCATCATCATATACAGTATGCTAGTGCTACTGAGTGTTGACACGCGGAGAGCGTCTCACGCTCAGGTATGTCACGCCATCCTATCCTGGAACCGCTGTGGGAGACAGACTATCGCAGACTCGTGAGACTCAAAGCAATAGTGCTTGCTTGATGCCACCATCATAGTCAACCAGTCGCTCGACCTTGTCTGCCGACCGTACTAGACAACGCGAATGAGGTATTCTACTTCAAAGAGAGATCGTCTCTGGTGCCGCAGGTCTGATTCATGACCATTGTCGAGAAAAGAGACTGAGAGTGAAGAAGTTCTTGCGCGACTGTTCTTGTCCTCGATCTTTCTGTCCAGCATCCTCGTTTATCGTCAGAGCAGTTTCGTCGATTCTGGTGCTCGAGACATCTTCCTTCCAGTATTGGTAGTGCACTGTCTCTTTATGAGTGTTCCTTCAGTTCGCAATACTGCAGGATCGCATGTACCGTCTCTTGATGATCTATCGTTGTCGATCAACAGAGCCTGCCCGTCCGATCACATCGCCGTCGCACAAAACATAGCGCTGCCGCCTCGGTCTCCCTTGGTCAGCTGAATGCGTGGTTGTCGTCGTCGTCGTCGTCGTTCAGCTGTGCAGTAAAGTCTGATCAGCTCCAACTTGGAATCGACTTCTAGCTTCTGCGTCGAGGTCGCCTGTACTGTTCTCGTTAGTACTGCCAAGTTGGTGCTGTGAACAATGTCAAACGCACTTACTGTCAAGGAGCTCAATTGCTCGCCAGAGAAGTTGACCTTTGCCAAACCTGACAGTCTACTGTCGCTGTCATACCAGCGGAGTCGAGCCTCCCGTCAGGACGTGTTGTAATAGTCTAAGGTGTCATTCCAGTCGTATCAGCTGTTCGGCAGTCTTCTGTAATCTTGTCGTTCGAAATCAGTCTCGTAAAGTCTACTGAGAGTCGCCGACCCCACTGCTGCCGGGTTACTTGCGCAAGTTCCATCAGTCCTGGGCAGGATAAGGGGATCGTCCAAGTGGTCAAGCTGAAAAGTCAATATTGCTGGATAAAGCTGGTCACCGCCCACGTTATCTTCTCTTGATCTACACAGCTCTTTCTAGCCTTGGAATTACAGACATGCTGTCGGTTGGTGGGAAAGGTAAGAGGTGTTGGTCTACCATCACCCGTTCCGGAAGACGTTATGGTGGTGATGCCTTCTCTTTCATGCTCATCAACGCTCGGTGCTTCAGTCTGCGGGTTGTTGGCGTATGCTACGGTCTCGAAGATTCTTGCATCGGATCAAGTCTCGATGAATCAACACAAATGGCGTTGCAACTTGCAAGTTCACTTGGTGCGAGGTGGACGATCAAAACAGACTTCTCAAACACTCCCTCTTGCCTCGTTTAGATCTCTTACAAGCAGACGAAGAGCAAGCTGTGCACAAGACGTTATTGCATGCTGCAGCTCGTGTTTCACTGTTTGCATTAGGGAGGCGGTTTGCACCTGAGGCTGCACTCTGATATGATGCTCCACTGTCACTATCAAGCCGCACAACAAATTTCAGTTCTTAAATCCCACGGATCAATTCCTTTCTGCAACTCTTCCTCTCATCTCTCTCTACCTAACTCTACCTCAACTCAACCACTCCCTCCAAAGCACTAGAAAGCCCAGGAAGGCTACGTTCGACTCTTCCTCTCTTTAGCAACTCAAACTTCATACAAATCTGCAAGTAAATAGCCCTTAACTCAATCGCCGCGAACCTTACTAATCATTCAAAGCTATTAAAATGCCTTCCAACTTGTCTGCCGAGCAGATGGAGGAGCTGAGGGTGAAGTGGGTGCACCTGGCGAAAGTCAAGCACCCACTCACCATCAGCTTCTCCATCGAGCACAATGGTGGGAGACGGGGCGGCTGGACGGAGGAGCAAGTCCAGATGTGCATGGACTACTTTCGGCCGACCAAAAAGCGGTTCAAGGAGTTGTCAGAGGAGGTAGCAAAGGCCAAACAAGAGGCAGACAAGAAGTAGATGAGGGCAAGGCCATTCAACCTGCTCTCAGAGCAGAACTGTCAACAAACCAAGCCAGAACGATGTGGAAGCACAACTCTACAGTGCTAAGTGCCTACTACAAGGGCAAATCAAGCTCTCTTCTCAAGCTTTATTCAGTGCTGCTGTTCCTGTGCTACTCTTACTGCTGTTGCTGCACCGCCTACTAGAGAAGAAGGTCTTTCCTTGGCCCACCACTGTCCCTCCAGTGCACACCATTCATAAGCAAGGTCCACCCAGCCTGCTGGCTCCTGCCTGCCCCCCCGCTGCCCTTCTCATTCCTGTTGCCAAGTCCTTCCACAGGCCACGATTGGCTGCTAGCGTGGAGTTTGTGATTGTTGTGCTGGTGGAGCTCTTGCTGCCTCGTGTACTTAAGTTCGAAATTTTCCTTCACCCGTTCTGAAACTCTTCTTCCTTCATATCACCCTTCTTCTATAATATTACTTGCATCAGCCCCTGCGCAGCGAGTTGGCAGAAAGAAGATTGCAGAGCATAACCCCTACCAGAGATGGTCCGAAGTTGGATCGCTTAGTGAGGACTCACAGGGTCACTCACTAGCATCCTCCTTGTGAGTATCAACTCAACCTCAGATCTTCCTCTTACTGAACTAACTGTGACACAGCGAGCCTCTCTGGGAAGGGTTGTTCACCCAATTCAAAAGTTTATGCTTCATCCTTATTCAAATTACGACATACTTATCTTTTTGTCGATTTGACAAAATATATGGCCGAGTGGATGGGCCAGTGTGAGTTCCAGAGTCTTGTTTGTTCTACTTAGTATGTATGCTAACACACTTCCAGGCCCAGAGATGGGAACCTGGATGTCCGCCATCAATCCAGCATCCAGGTTCCTGTCGCCCCTTGGGTAAACACCCATTCGCCGGCGAGCAATGCCGCCATTGTACTATTGTGGCGGACCTCCTTGGCCCCATCCAAGGGGGGTCAAGTTGGAACGCAGAAACCGTTCGTCTATACCACCCAGCACCGACGAACAGCGCTCCATTCGGTGTTGTCACGACCGTACCACCACCCAAGACTCAGCGAGCCGGTGGTGTCTATTCTCTGCCTGATAGTGGTCGAAAGGCCACTACGCTCAGCCAGGTAAAGCACGATTCCTCTTCTTCATCATCTTGGCACATCAGTGAGCACACACAGCCTATGCGTCATCCTTCAATGCTTGAATATTGCTGACGAGTTCTATTACAGGTCTTTTTGCACCTCGCGAGGGCCAGGCCCACCGAGGGCGAATGCAGCGGCAGCAGTCCACGTTCGATCGAGGCACTTTGTTCGCACAGAACAAGTCATCAACCACGAAGCAAGCACAGTGGTGATGCTGGATGTAACATCCTTCGGTCGATACGACTCCATGTACCTCCGCATCGACTTCAACAACAAATGCAATGTCGAATACACATTTGTCAACTTCACTCGTCCTATCGATGTTATCGCCTTCGCGAAGGCCCGATTCGGAAAGAGATAGAATCTCTTCCATTCAGACAAGGTCTGTGCAATATCTTACGCCAGTGAGTACAACACGACCATGTCTTCACGTCTTTCCACTGACATGTCATATAGCCGTTAGAGACAGGGATTGTTTGATCGCAGAGTTTCGGACCCTCCAGCAGCATAACGTTGTTGACCTCGATGGTGGATCTATAACGTTTCAAAGATTATAATGGGGATGGGAGGAGTGGGAGTGGGGGCGCGAGTGAGGAGTTTAATGTGGTGTTATAATAAACCGGGACATTGACGGTTGTTGTGGTGTGGTATGGTGAGGGTTTTTATGATATTATAAAGGGGATGTGGTGTTGGGCGGTGTGGTGTGTGGTTTGGTGTCGTTTATTTAAACATTAAAACTTAAACCTACACATAAACATAAACAATTAAGCATGCTGCCACACAGTCATGAAAATGTCTTGATTGTATTGACTTTGTGCAACGTAGACTTGGTGCGCAATCTCTGCAATACTGCTGAATTATAGCATGCCTAATGACCTTCGAATTCTCCCAATCTGCAGCTGAGTTCTTCCACGCCTCATGCTTCGTCTGCCATGATCTCGGAACCTGACGCGCCTGTTGCGGTCTGGACAGCTAGACTCGATCTACGCTGTTCCTTCTATCTATTTCAGCCGGAACAACCATACACTCACAGCGCAGTTTGGCTAAGCTGTACCTCAACCAAGCTTGACCCTCCTCGATGCCAACACATCTGCAGCACTATCGCTCTGTCAAGGACCACCCTCCTCCTTTGCCACCATTGCTCCTGCTCTGAGGGATCTGCCCAGCCACCTTTCTTACTCCCTCGCAGACGAGAACCAGGAAACTGCAGTTCATTCGATATCTTGAAGTAGAAGGCATAGGAAACTGTCATTCCACTTACAGCAGCTAAAGGCATTGAACACCGAAGTACTGGCGCTGAACAGTAAGCTACCGAACAATGCACGCTTCCGAATCCCTTAGTTTCATCTTGGGAGCCGGCGAATGGAATGCTGACAAAGGTCCAGAGACTTCAACGGTGATCGATCTATTCACCAAGGATCCTGGATCGATATTCTAGGAAAGCTGAGTACTCACAGAATCCGATCTAAGATTTGAGTCGAGCTCAACGATGCGAACAGCCAGTCCGAAGAGTGGTTGCACGGAGGAATCAGTCTGCAGGATAATTGCGGCGTTCTGCAACGACACGAGGTTGACAAGAATCGATAGCTCTGTATCTGCTGCCTATGGAAGAGAAGGATTGCAGGGGTGAGGATTACTGACCTGGTATATGGTGAATGAGCATGAATGTCGAGCTGCGATATAGCTAATACCTGACAGAGCAAGCTGAGAGTTGAAATACCACACCCCATGTCCATCTCTGCAGTCTCCGTCACAATTCAAGGGTGTGCTTCCACAGTAGCATCCGCACGAATGCTCGAGCATGAGCATCTGCTCCCTTCTACTTGCCTTTAGAGCTTCGGTCCAATAGCCCGAGTCCATTTCATTGGCACGGGAATCAGTCGAACGATCGTGTGCTTCGATCCTTCTCCGATTCCTTCTCGAATACCTTGATATCTTCACAGGCCAGAGGACAAGGAAATGGGAGATCTAGATACAGGCTTCTCTGAGCTTTGGACCGAAGATATATCAGGCATGTGCTATTCGCGGGATCAGAGAGTCCTTTGGGATAAGAAACAAGTAGCTGTAATAAGCAGCGACTTGGCTGGCATGTATTGGGTCGGGGTTGTGTGGGCGATGAAATGCTGAAAAGCGTAGAGGTTGTGTCGACGAAAGAGACAGGTGGAAGTGAGGAACTTGGGTGCGAAGCAAGCTGTAGCCTGTGCTGCAATACAATCGCGTGGGCGTGGCCGGATATAAGTGAGGCTGAGTAGGCTTTGCTTGAACAACAATTCTATTCATGGTTACGAGTTGTCTTTCGACAACCAATCTCATCAGACAAGCCTTCAGCTCTTTCAAGATCCACAATCAATCCTGCAAATTCCGCAGCTTCGCTTCTTCCACACTCCTATTCCAGTCCAAAAATCCATACAAGTATGTAAACTCAATCGCAGCCACTATGCCAAGCGCGATAGCAACACCTGACCACAATCCCCAGATACCCCATTTCAGTCCAAAGGCAGTACCGAAACTGACAGGCATGGCGATGACATAGTAGCAAAATAGTTGCACATATCCACCAAATTCTTGCCGTCCGAGCCCACGAAGAATACCATTGCAAGACGCTGCGAGAGCGTCGAAGAGTTGGAAGGCGGCGCAGAGAGGAAGAATCTTGGAGACAATATCGATGACGTCGGAGTCGGACGTGAAAAGCCATGGTATCTTGTCTCGCAGAACGGAGAGAAGTGTGACGTTGAGAATACCGACCACTGTCGCGGCGACGAACGTGACTCTTGTGCTCACTCGTGCGGCTTCTGGTAGAGTGGCACCAATCAGATTAGCAACGCGTGTTGAGCCAGCGATGGAGAGTGGGAAGGGGATCTGGTAAGTTATGCTCGTGAGAGTTGCAAGAACTGATTGTGCGGCAAGAGTTGTGGTTCCAAAAAGTGATGCGGCGAAGGTCAATACCTCGAAGGCGATCATCTCAGCTTCGACCATTACCACACCTGGCAAGGCGAGCTTGATCATGGGTCCCCAGTTCGAGAAGGCCTTGCGGGTAAAGCCGTTCCAGCAAGACATGCCAGATTTGCTAAAGAAACGGACATAGAGGAAGAGGCCTATTGGCAACAGGTTGTCGGTGATGGCCACGGCTAGAGGTGCGCCTGCAAAGCCCAGATTCAGGTGCCAGACGAAAAGCCAGTTCATAAAGGCATTGAACGGAGCACAAAACAAGAGGACGTAGAGCGAGGCACTAAAGAGACCTTGGGCTTGAACATAACGTTTCCCAGCCTCGAAAGTAGCATAGCCTGGTGCACCCGCGAGAACAATCTTCAAATACAAACCTGCGAGGTGTGCCACCTCCTTCTCAGGCACAATAAGCTGAAGAATCCTGTCAGCGAGCAACCAGATAATGCCAATAGGGATTGTGAGTAACCACAAGAAATAGGTCATCCTTTGCATTTGGAGGCCGACAAGCTTTTTACGCCCAGATCCATAAGCTTGAGCGCAAAGAGTGTCGAGACTCGTTGCTAGGCCTTGATATATAGCATAACCAGTAATATTGGCAGTCATTGATGCCAGACTGACCGCACCGAGTTCAGCAGTCCCAATATGACCAACAGTGAAAATGCTGGCTACAGTCAAGCTATACTGCAGAATGAACGTGACCATAAGAGGCAATGCATAGCGTGCCAGGACTTTTGCCTCGCGTTGCCATGTCGTTTGTATCCGTCCAGCTTCAATTGCTTCATTCCACGTTTTCGATATCTTAGCCGGATCATCTGCAGCACCACCATAAGGTCGCGACGGATCTGTGGCCCCTCCTGGTAAGAGTGCGGAGGTCTCGGTAGGTGCGCTTGTTCTCCGTGGTATACCCAAGAATTTGCTTCGTGTATCGCGCTCGGGATGTTTCGGTGGAATCAATCTGTTGTCTCGCAAGAGACTTGTTTCCTCTTCCAAGGCTCTTTGTCTTTCTTCCTTTGTGAGCTTGTCTGGATTGCCGCGAGAGTAGAAAATGGACCTATTGCCTGCGCCTGTGAAACTCGGACGGCGATAAGATACTGCGAAGCCATGGCTGGGAGCAGTTGCAGATGGCCGTAATGTCTCAGTGTCAGAGTCCTCGTCGGTCTCAGTCTCGAGGCCCTCATCGTCAGAGGCTTCTTGCAAATCTCGAGCCAGCGACTCTTCAGCAAGAGAGCTTGCATTTGGGAGGGATCGAGCGAATGTTTGGCGGATATTGCGGCCGGACGCTTCAATAGCTCGAGGAGGGGTAGGCATGGTCACAGTACAAGATTCTCAACTTCAACGAGACAATGGAAACCAAAGGCAGAAGTATGACAGAGCGACATAACAGTCCTTACGCAACTGATTTCGCTAATGCGTCGACACGATTGGGAGTATGGCTAGCAGATAAGATGGAGGATTAAAAGTGAAGCTACAGGCTCACCTTTCAGATATGAATCGTTACAGCTGGACAGCCGTGCAGATCTGGCTAGAGATATACAGCCATCACAAGCGGAAGTTGACTTTTACTACACACCTGCGCTGCGCTTGAGGAATCGCTCATCTCCAAGGTTTTTGAGCTCTATCAAAGCTCAAAACAGAAGCCACAGCCGAGACAGTGAGTCTCGGAACACCTGCCCCTAAGAAATAAAGTGCATCTTTTTACTTGCTCACCATTGCCGGTCAGTCTTCAATACTAATGAATAGACAAATTAATATTATTGTTTCTTGGTCTTACATGTAGCCACAGTCCCAGATTAACCTGCATTGTCCTGAACCTGCCTCTCTGTCATTGAGGGTTTGAGTCGCACTGCCAGAGCATCTCTGTTGTGGGCTTGTGTAACAGGACGTCCAATCGCTGGTTTCGTGTCGCAGTGTCAGAGACAATCATGGCAGGTCCTTCTCGTGAGGAGGTGCAGGTCAACAATGAGGAAGGCTACCATTTCTTCTACAATCCCTTCAATAAAGCCATAACCATCCATGCGTAAGCATCAGAACAGTATTTGAGGTCGTTCATGAAATTGAAACGTTGCTAGATCTGATGTGCCGCACAACGCACTGAAGCTATTCTTTACACGACCCTTATACGCACCACTATTATTTCCTAATGACACATCCGACGCTCGAGACCATGCAGCAAACGAACGAACATTCTTATCATATCTAAGGCTCGCAGTCTACCTTGCCGTTGTCTCTGTCGCAGTATTTATCAATTTCCACCTAAAACACACCCCTTCCAGTATCGAAGTACGGATATCACGCCCTCTTGGATTCGTTTTCTGGTTGCTGGCGGTAGCCTGCTTAGGTGCTGGTTTCGCAAACTACATCAAAACTGTGGCCAAGTATGCACGCAGAGCTGCCTTGGTGCAGAGTGGCATGAAGACGCAAATCGTGTTTGGAGTGGTGTCCTGTGCTATCATAGCTGCTTGTGGTGTTCTCATTGCTGCTGACGCTCAAAAGACACAGATACACGGCAAATCACTGGCTGGAATCAGTCGTTCACACGGTGGGGATGTCGTGGTACCAACTATAAATCATGTAGGTGGTGGTAGGAATGCTGTTACATTTTCACCACAGAACGAGCTTTTGAAGTTCCTGGGTGAGGCAGCGGGTAGAGGACTGATAGGCAATTCCTGACACCTGCTAAATCAAACCATTTCTCCAGACGAATTACAGTGTCGTCCATCGTGATGAGGCCGTTGACTTGTTTCTATTGTGCTTTCCAAGAACCATCGACCTGCAATATCAGCAGTAGTGGCTTACAGTTTGGCCAGCATGATTGTCGTCCAGCTGGCCACTCTTTGTGCCTGTAACGAGAAACACGAAGTATCGCCGCTTCGTGTGACTTCATCACACTTTACCACGGCAATATCGCCGAATGTAAAAACGTTACAGATCTGCAGCTCCGGGCCGGATCCACCTCGAAAATTGTCTTCCCACCAGTTCAGGTACAGGAGCGTCGCACAATCGATCGTAACTGCCTTGCATTGCTATAACTTCTCAGCTTCACCCGACCTATAGTCCTTCCTTTGAAGCGTCCAGAGACTCAAGATGTCCAGCACGCAGACCATTACCGCTGAAAATGTCACAACTCTTTTCCCAGAGGTTCACACTCGTCTGATCGGCGCCGACCTTCCTCCTAACACAACCAACAGCACTACCATCGATGCACAGGATGCCGACCTCTCGGGCTATGATACAGAACAAATCAGGCTCATGGACGAGGTCTGTATAGTGCTAGACTACAACGACAACGCCATCGGCACAGCCTCGAAGAAAGACTGCCATCTTATGACCAACATCAACAAGGGTCTCCTACACCGAGCCTTTAGCACCTTCCTCTTCCACCCAGAAAGCAAGAAGCTACTTTTGCAGCAACGCGCCACTGAGAAAATCACATTCCCGGATATGTGGACGAACACATGCTGTTCACATCCTCTAGCACACCCTAGCGAGACTGGCCTGGGAGACCTGATCAGCAATGTCGAAGGTGCCAAAAGAGCCGCGATAAGGAAACTCGACCATGAACTTGGTATACCGCCCAAATACGTTCCGATCGAAGGCTTCGAGTATCTAACCAGAATACACTATCTGGCACCTTCGGACGGAAAGTGGGGTGAGCACGAGATTGACTACATTCTGTTTGTGGAGGCAGACCCGGAGCTAAATGTCAATAAGAACGAGGTCAAGGATGTGAGGTGGGTCAGCAGAGATGAGTTGAAGCAGATGTTCAAGGATGCTGAGACAGGAACTGGAAAGGACAAGAACTTGAAGTATACTCCTTGGTTCAAGCTGATATGCGAGAGCATGCTGTATCAGTGGTGGGAGTCTTTAGAAAAAGGTGAATTGTCGAAGATTACTGCCGAGGAGACGATTAGGCGCATGTGAAGTATTGACGAAGCATTGAAGAAGTGTTCACGTTTACTCGTTCTGTTGCAAGTATTTTTCGACCAAAAGCCAGAATTGGGTCAAGCAGGAATGTTTACACCTGCTTTTCGACAGAAGAGCTGAAGTGATCTCTACTGTAGGCGAACAATAAATATTAATCGTGGCAGAAGCACAGGCATCGGCAGTATCCAAGTGGACTCCATTGCAAGGTGAACTGCATGAGATGAAACGCGAGTAGCACTGTTGCTTTGACGGTGAACGAAGGGACTAGAGCAGGTGCGAGCGAGGTTGCACGATGATGCATGGTATTTACCAGAATACTTTACTCGCCAAGGTCTCACTTTCGTGGCTGCTTTTGTGCGATTCGACATTCAGATCAGCTTCCACCTCCGACGCGTCTCGACGTGTGAAGCAGTGCAATTGAGCAGCCTGCTCTTTCCATTCCAATTCTGTCCTTCTTGGTCCGCTTCGCTCAGGATCGAGACGCTACACAAAAGTCCGCCATAGTTCAGAAATTATGTCAAGAACGAAAACAAGAGGGGACCCAAGCCATACTGAAGGTAATTAGTTGGCTACCACCACATCACTAAAAAAGTTCTGCCTACACGACAGGTTTCTTCTGGATGGTGGACCATTGACAGCGTTCTCGCCCGAGTTTGAGAGCGACATCAACGAGCATTACGCTGCAGGTGGTATTGACGACTTCACATCACCTAAGTGGGCTGATTTCCACATGTCATTGAGCATGAATCTCTATTCTGGTCGACCGACACACTTTTGTGTAAACTCTAGTCCCTACACAGAGCTCCAAGCAACACGATTCGAGTCTCAGGCAATCGGCAGGTCGTCGTTGCATCTCTTCCACCTGACATCCTTACACGCCCCTCGAGATGCTATGCAATCATCAAGGCTCGTCATCCTTCCGCAAACATACACAATTACAACGGCGAGGCTGGCGCAGTTGCTTCCTCTTGGAGTATCTAACAACCGACGACCCGACGCACACTCGTTGCCGCGTCTTTAATGCCAGATGTTATGCGAGTATCACGACCACCAACAACCCCAATAAATGCTGCTTCTAGGGCAACGACTGAAGTTGAGGAAACGCAAGTGTCGGAATCGAACGATGAAAACGATCGCAAGTGCACAACATTGCCAAAAAAGATTGTCACTCTTTGCATTCACGCAATTCCCTACATGCAATCATAGCAACTCAACAGAAGGAGAACGCCGATCCTAATCGAGACCTCGCTGTCGGCAGCGGTAGTGCCAGAGAATTAAAGTTTCGCAGCTCTACTCCTCTAGCAACTCGTGAATCTCCGATTTTCACTAACATAAACCGTCCTCGAAAACGACGACGTACGAGCAGTATACATCTCAATCATCCATTTCAAGTAGATTCCCATCAGGAGCCTGCCGCGCGACTTGACACTTACACAAATGGCAGCTGTATCCTTGAGGATGGCAATCCTAGCATTGAGGCTGTAGATCGAGAAAGTATTAGCTTGCGAGAGCCCAAATACAACTTCGTCCAGTCAACAGGCCAGCAAGGCTCACAATCGCTACAGTCTCAAGTGTCCGAAAGTTACCCAAAATTTCATCAAAGCGCTATCACAATGCGAAACACATTGTACACGCCTAGTACACCGACCATAGTCGACCTAGCTGTATCAGACACAGAACGCCTACAGGTGGATTACAGCCGTGTAAGTCTCGACTCCATCGAGTACGACAAACTCAAGCAGAGCTGCCTCTCAACGGATTGCAACTCTGCCACGGCGCTTTTTGAGGAGGCCTGTTTTGCTAGGACCGTTGATCTTGAGACACGAATGCTTGGAGTCATGGTCAATGACAACGAAATTGATTCACTTTCACGAGACAACGAACGCCATCTTCGGGAAAGATTGTTGGAGCGCTTTAGACGTGTGTTAGAATCTTCACTTGGGCCTGTCACTGTGAAGGTCCAAAAAAATTCTTTGACATCTGGCACAACTAGGCTGGTTTGTCGTCAGCCCCAATCATTCTAATGGTGCTTGGCCGGGTTCCTGGTGCTGGTCGGTTTGAAGCCGAACCATTTCGTGTATATGGTGACGAAGATCGCGCGTGTTTTTATTTCGGAAAATGCTTAGATCATTTATGGGCGTTTACCAGTGCTGGCAGCCTAGCAGATGTTCTAAGAAGAGTTCATGTCGCTGGTGGTTAAACACAACGGTCGACACTCACTTTACTTTAGGTCCAGCGTGTTTGCTGTATACTAAATACATGGTATTTGTAGTATTCACTTACTGTCATCACTTCCCGCGCCATCAATACTTATGGTGAATACACGTTTGTAATGGGTGAGCCGTCCTTTGGTTTGTGGTAAGAATTCTCAGTTGACTGTTTCTGAGGCTGAAGCTGTTTCGAGCCGACCTCTGATATCATTTCGGCCGAAAAGTGTTAGAACGTCAGTATTCTGTCGTGATTCTGCGACAATTGTGCCGCTTCAGCTCAAGATGAGTGGTTAGAAGCAGTTTCCGGAGTTCTGCCGAGGTTCAGGCATGAATTTTGTTCTCATTGCACTTTCTATATTTGCAGATCGACGAAGCTCTACAGACATTGCAAAGAATATAAGATGGCGAGACCGACTATGATTTCTCGAGCTTTTTATAAGCCTGAGCTCGACTCGTATCGGCTGGGCTACTGCCACGATGAAACTCACCACTTTATTGACACCACCATGGTGTCGATGGTCCGACAACCCACCTAAATTTACACTGGGTCATAATATACTCTATGCTTTCGCTGGTGGCTTCTTCTCTGCCAACCTGTACTATAGCCATCCTATCCTGGCTGTGATGGCAAGGGATTTCAGTACAGATCAGACTGGAGTTGCCAACATCCCGACGCTGGCTCAAGCTGGCGATGCTGCCGGATTGCTTCTCGTCTTGCCACTAGCCGACTTCTTTCCCCGACGACGTTTCGTGCTGGCATTGTTGTCCTTCACAATTGTGTTCTGGTATGTATTCAAATCCTGTGAAGAAAAAGCTTGGTGGCTAATGAAAATAGGCTGGGATTATGCATCACCAACAATCTGACGATCTTCCAAGTACTTACGTTCTTCTCGGCTGTCACCACTGGTGTTATTCAGATTTTCCTGGTCCTCGTCGCCGAACTTTCACCACCAGAGAAGCGCGCCTTCAACATCAGCATCGTCGCAGCTGGTCCAACATTCGGTATCCTGCTAGCTCGTATTCTGGCAGGAATCGTGGCGAACTACACCTCCTGGAGGAACATCTATTGGCTGTCCTTGGCTCTCCAATGTACCATGTACGCGTTTTTGTGGCTGCTGATGCCTGACTACCCTGCCACGAACCTTATCTCCGCGAGAGACCTTGTCAAGCGATATCCGAAACTGCTGTGGTCGATCGTGATGCTCTTCCCACATCACCCAGTGCTCGTGCAAGCCGGCATACTCAGTCTGCTTACCTTTTTCACAGTTGCTTCGTATTGGACAACTTTGACGTTCCTGCTTTCCGAATCTCCTTACCATTATTCAACTATTGCCATCGGCTTATTTGGTCTGATTGGCGCAGTCACTATGGTCCTGGGTCCTGTCTATGGCAAGTACATCATACAACCTGTCGGTGTGCCTTTGATTTCCGCAGCTATTGGGAAGGTAGTCTCGCTCGCCGGCATTGTCATTGGCACATTTGTCGGTACGCATCACGTCGCTGGACCAGCTATTCAAGCACTACTGCTTGACGCTGGCTTGATGATCCTGCAAGTCAGCAGTCGTATGGAGATTCACGACTGCGAGCCCCAAGCGAGGAATCGTGTCAACACTGCATTCACGACCTGTCTCTACCTGGGCATGTTGATGGGAACAAAGGCCGGCAATGAGGTCTATGCAAGACACGGTGGTTGGCTAGCTAGTGGCGGTTTAAGCATTGGCGTGATGGCATTTAGTTTCGTTGTCATTCTGGCGAAAGGTCCGTATGAGAAAGGATGGTTTGGCTGGAGTGGTGGTTGGAGGAAACAGACGACGAACACGGTGAAGGATGCTGAGTCAGCAGATCAAAATAGCATCGAACAGGAAAAGAAGCAAGAGGCGAGGTCGAGTATTCATGAAGAAGCTGGTTATGGCATTACAGCCATTGAGGTGGGTAGTCCAGAGTCGTCTAGAGGAGCTGGGGAGCCAGCAACGATGTCTGGGAAAGAGGGCGGCCTCAAATAGAGCTAGGCTTTTCAAAGGTTATCGAAATCTTGACGATGGTGTCTTGATCATACCCGTACACAGTAAACCGAAGGACTGCAAGAACCAAGTAGATCTGCTTGATGCACTGTCTACACCGCAATTGATCTGTGAGCTCAGGCTTATGCCTCATGCCAGTCTTTAAATTTCTTCTTCCACCTCTTTGTTATTGTCTCAAATCAAGGTAGTAGGTGTCATGCTCAAACCATTTCTTCTGCCAGCTGATACTGCAGAGTGGTAATCGCTAGCAGTTTTTCTTATCATGTCTGAGCGTCGATATTTACGAAGTATACTACTGTGATTGTAAAACTACGTGAGACAGCTGTCATTGATGAACAGTCGGTGGTGAGTTTTTTATGGATGGGACTGTGGCTCTAATCAGATGATATGCACTCCGTAAAGGCAGCGTGTTTTTGTCACGGTAGGTCACGGTATTAACGCAATTCGATCATCTTCAGTTGAGATCTGATGCCTCACGCGAAAGACATGCGCCGTGTCCCTATCCACTGCTGATCCAGTAGAGCTTACTCGGTATTAATTGTCATAGAATCGCGTGTTTCAGATTGTCTGGCTAGACATTGCCAAATACGTCGCAGTGAAGGCCTGATGTGCACCAGGCATGGAGACTCAAGCATGGCAACTGAAAGGAGACCCTAAACTTTTCGGCTAAAAAACACGACTTGGTGCTTAATTCTATGCGCTAATCGTAATCGAGGTTGCACTGGCTGATATGGTAGAAAGTCTATTTCTAGGTATGCATTCTCAACAGAAGCTGATTCGTTTGCTATGAGTACTTGTATGAGTGTGCTGCGGGACCGATGCGCGGCCGAGTGCTGCAACATGCAGAGTGCGGCTCATCGTGCTGAATTGTTGACGAGAGACGGCACGTAGTTGTATTGTAGAGTAAGAGACATGCCATTCAGCAAGCCGTGCCTGCCGAGTTTTGTTCTTTGGATCGAACCTTGTGTAGCTGCACCTTTCTGGATGTGGACGATCATCAACAACGTGGGCTTCGCTTGAGGCTAAAAGGCATGCAATGTGAGCCCAGTGATGAATTGTCTATGGTCGAAGGAGCCACAGGAGTCTCTTGCTCTTTGTTCTGGCAGTCAGGTGACCGTAGATACTCTACTGATAAGAACCACGGTGGAGAGGTACTCGAGTCACTCAGTGAATGCAGAGCACGAGCAAACCGAGTACCTACAAAGCGTGCTAAGGTCGTCCTCGAAAGAGTTGGCATGGCTTTCGAACTTTCGACTTCTAGGAAGACCCCATACGCCAGGTCCGCGCCCACTACTGCAAGAGCCTCGAGAGGACTCCAGATGGTGGTTCCCACCGCGATTCTTCAGAGCATTAGCGCGGCTTAGGTGACGGAGCTTGCACCACTTCTGTCGCACTTGGGTTGACCCTTTGCACTAAGCGTGCTTTGGCTACTCGATACGAAATGGCGCTCCATAGACGGGATAATGTCGTACAAGATCTGCAGTGCGTGATGTTCAGTTCATGCGCGACCGGGAGACGAGACGTTCCCTTGGCTACTATTATGTGACGAACGCTTTCGAATCAATCTCAAGATCGCGACCGACATGATGCGCGTTTAGCATATTCGGTTGCAATTAGTTTAACAATGGCCTCGTCACGTAAAAAAGGTGAATTTGCCTTAGCACGAACTTAATACTGCCACTTGTTTGTGGTAACCACTTGAGCGTCGGAGATGACATTGCCGCGACTTCTTATCAAAACTTGCTCCCAAAACTTGGATCAATATCTGGTAGTCGGTTTTGTGACTTCGCAAATCCTCGCCTTATTTGCAGGTCTTCTGTGAAAGGCCCGATGCGCGATGTGGTTCGCTTCAGGGGCTTGCGGATCCGTCATACCAGTTACGGTTTCCCTCGCGGGAGATTTTGCGGCTCTTTCGGAATGTTCATTTCATCGATGCGTGCTTGCAGCATGATTTTCGTCATGGTGCCGAAAGCTGCACTGATCCAGTGGTATAGCCAAGGTGTTGAGAGGAGCCGTGCTGCTCATCACGGTTGCTGCTAAAGACTTGGGATATTTGCTTGTTCTTCAGGTTAACAAGTATTGCCGCGATTGTGCTTGGCAGTGGTAATAGTTCGGACTCTCGCCTTGAAGTTTTCTGCAGGTATCCGAACTTCATGGTAAGTTGAGTAAGGAGTGTCGTCTGGACAGCTTCGCCCAATGGTCAGAAGTTGCAGTTCGTGACGACAGGTATCACCACGAGATTTGGAAGACACATGGCTGATAACATAGAGCTAGATAAGGACCTTGGCAAAAGCCATTATCTTTGGAGGAAGTAAAGGTGTTGATAATACAGATTTGGTCGTTCTTTCAGTGCAGTGTCCCGGACGGATGGACTCCAATAAGTGTAGACAAATACAACATGAACCGGCTTCCGTACCAAAGAGAAAGAGAAGCGTTCGTAGGCCACCATACCCTCGTCAGTTCGTATGTTTGTTCAACGAGCACTAGGCATGACGGTCGTCTGCCAATTTACTTCCTTCTTTATCATCATGCGCCGACTCTCGTTACTTCCGATACTTCTTGTTTCTGCGTCGTTAACGCTATTTTTCCTCACCAGACTTCCAATATCCCTTGAGGATTTAGGTCGCAGACGTGGTGGAACAGCGCTTTCTTGGTCTTCCTTTTCTCTCGCCGTGTCATCTGTAGATTGCAGCTGGGACATCTGGAAAGACGCATTGACGGTGTTGTTGCCGACACGGCTGCGCGAGTGGCTGCCGTATCCATAGTCGCTCTCTCCTGGTGCCAGGCCACCGAAATGGGTGTTTAGATTCTTCAGGAAGTTCTGAAAACTGGGTATGGTAGCAGAAATGATCGACCAATTGAGCTCGGATTGTGTCCAACAAATGAAATCAGCTTCGAGCAGGAATGGGTTTGTAGAGAATCCGGCTGCGTCGAATGAACGTAGTCGGAAAGCTATTGCAATAATACCGCTGGTAGCTGTTAACAAAAACTTCTCTCAATATATTCTCAACACTTACATCAGGCGGAAGCCGAACACACCAACAACAACGACCTTTTGCTCTAACGACGTTTGTAGACCCCAGACGAGATATACTGCCATGGATACAATTAAAAGCTCTGAGATTATGTCCAGGGCACATATAACCTGCCATCTGCGGAGCTAAGGGAATTGCATTAGTATATATGTCGGACGACAATGGAAACACGTCACACTTACCACACCAGTGCCACAGTCACGTCCGATTACAGTCCAAGGTGAACTCAAATCGCATTGCAGCGCCAGAGCCAAGAAGGACCCAACAGTCCATAGAACATGTAGTCCAATAACGACATCATATGCCAACTTGTGATGTTTTGCTCTCGAGATTCTTCGAAGGAAGAAGACCACCGACACTTTGGACAATCCCAGCGCTAGGATGAAGAAGAGGTTGCTTGCATAGTACAACGACTGCACTTTTGCTTGGGCTTCCTCTGTTATCAGGTCGATCGAATTTCCTAGCCCATTCGAGCATGCACCGAGTAATATTGCCGACTGTATTACCATCAGAGCACTCGATCCTCCCAGAGTATAATCGTCCAGTCCGAATTTTGGTGCAATCCATTTCCTAACACCGAATCTGATGAGACCGAAGAAAAGACTGCAAGACATGCCAACGGCTGTTGCTATTATGATCCATGCTGCGTGCTGGTCTGGGGTGACCACGGCGAACGGTGCATGTTGCCCTTCGGGCACAATAGGGCCATAGGTTTCGTTCGACGCAGTGCTCATCTTGAGAATATTTGTTCTCAAGGTTCGAGCATAGGTGTCGAAGTGTTAGCGCGAGTAAGGAATGAAATGAAACGAATGTGCGGAGACAAGAGGTCGATCGCTCGTTCTTAGACAGCAGGGGCCCGATGTGCTTATAGAATGAAACCCTTTTTACAGACTCGCTGTAATCGCCCTGTGTAGATCCTCTCCTAGTGCGTTTCCGTGTGCATACCACTACCGTTGCGCAGAGATTGAGAGGCTTCACGTTCGAAGCCAGGAACAGGAGGCCATGATGTCCCCTGCGTGAGCACCCACAAATTCGGGAGGGTCCAAGAAAACACTATCACGTTAAGGCAAAGTATATTCGCGAGCAAAATGCCCCGCAGCCGGCTTCGAGCGAACTCAAAGTTTATTGCCCGAGGTTCATGCTGAAGAAGCGCAATCTCCGACCACGATCAGGGAAGTTCTTGACTGATCATCGGTCCAAGAGCCAGCAAGAAGAAAGGTCAATCCTGGCTAGCGTGCCAACAAGTGCTAAAAAGCTCTAGGTTCAGTGGAGGATTTTGATGCCATGGATCAGCCAACGCCACTGCAAGAATGAGCTTTCAATTGGCGACTCGCCCGAGTCAAGCATTCGATCGCATGATATCCACCTTCGGCCTGTGCACTCGTAGCCACGATCCAGAGTACCCAGGCAAAGCCTAAGGGGTTCCACGTCGTGCAACGTGGTGGCTTCCAGCTATCGCCAATTTTCCTCCGAGTAAGACCTTCATATTCTCTTCATCACACTCCTTCTGGTACTTGTGTTTCTACCACTAACATTCGTTAAGGCAGTAGACATCGTTGTCGCCATGGCCGCTTATCTTCACAAAGAGCCTGCGGGCGTTGAGCTCAAGGAAGTTGATGGCCATAGCTCCCCAGATACCTCGAAGGTGTTCGACAATGAGGTTAGCAATGTGCCAGAGAAGTACAGAGGTACGAATGCCGACGCTCGAGACATGAGTGTTTTGGGCAAGAAGCAGGTGTTGCGCGTATGTTATCTTTCGTGCATGGCACAGCAGTTTACTAATCCTTTCACAGCGAAACTTCGGCTTCGTGACTATGCTTGGCTTTGCGTCCACTTGCATAGCCAGTTGGGAAGGTGTTCTTTCGTGAGTCTTGTTCGTGTCCAGTTGGGGCAATCGACTAACTGAGCCAGGTATTTTGGTTTCATTCTGGTCAACGGTGGAACAGGCTTGTTATTCTGGGGTTCTATCATCTGTGCACTTGGCCAGTCACTCGTCTATGCAAGCATAGCTGAGATGGCTTCAATGTCTCCAACAGCTGGAGGCCAGTACCACTGTATGAGTACCCGCCTTCACCATATTGCTTGCGCTAATCTCTGTTAGGGGTATCGGAACTAGCACCTCGTCGTCACCAGAAGCTGCTCAGCTATTACGCCGGCTGGCTCACCGGTCTAGGCTGGCAGGTATACCTTGCTTCTGTGGCCTTTTTGGTCGGCACTATCATCCAGGGTCTGATTGCTTTGAACGTGCCCACCTACGTCTGGCAAAATTGGCACGGTACTCTGCTGGCCATTGCCGTGGCTGTATTTTCGATCGCCTTTAACACAGTGCTGGCGTCGCGACTACCACTTACTGAAGGTCTGATTCTGATTCTTCACATCACTGGCTTCTTCGCTATCATCATCACTCTCTGGGTTATGGGACCTCGCGGCGAGCCTCGTGAGGTCATCCTCACATTCACCAACAACGGAGGTTGGGCCACCACTGGACTTTCGTCAATGGTTGGCTTGCTTGCACCTATTGCTGTTCTCGTCGGCTATGATTGTTCAGCTCATATGGCTGAGGAGATCAAGGACGCAGCCACCACATTACCCAACGCTATCATGGCTTCAGTAGCTCTCAACGCCACGCTTGCCTTCATCATGAGTGTTACGCTCATCTTCACAGTCGGCGATATCGAGAGTGTCTTATCCGGAGTCACCGGCTACCCATTTATTCAGATCTTTTTCAACGCGACGCAGAGCTATGCTGCCACAAACGTCTTAACAGCGATTGTCATCATCATGTTGACGGGTTGCTGTATCTCTGAGCTTGCTGCCGCATCACGTCAAGTCTGGTCATTTGCCCGAGATCAAGGTCTGCCTGGCTGGTCCTGGCTTTCGCAGGTGTCACCTGGTTGGAATATTCCACTGCCAGCTGTCATCGTCTCCTTGGTGATCACGGCACTTCTCGCCTGTATCAACATCGGTTCTTCTGTCGCTTTGAATGCCATTACATCTCTTGGCGCACTTGCAACACTGTTCTCCTACTATCTTACAATCAGCTGCATCGTCTGGCGAAGACTCACTGGTCCACCGCTGCCGCATCGAAAATGGTCACTGGGCAGCTGGGGTCTTACCGTCAATGTTGCAGCTTTACTTTTCCTTACACCTCTGATATTCTTCATCACTTGGCCTTTGGTGACGCCAGTTACGGCAAGTACAATGAATTGGTCCAGCGTCATGTTGATCGGAGTCTTCATTATTTCGACCATTTATTATTTCGTGAAAGGCAGGAAGGAGTACGAAGGTCCAGTCGTATGGATGAACCGGAACGACGAATAAGTAGGTGCTTTTTGTCCATATTTTTGTGTTATAGAGCAGGCAGTTTCTTTTACACCTGGCACAGCAGCCAATCCTCTTTAGTCCATCCGACCGTTGGCTGCTTCTAGCCCTAATTTCTGTGTCTCTCATCTTCTTGAGCCTCACCTCACTTGGACTTCTTCTCTTCGAGTACTGCGCATGGTGAGGTCGTGGCACAGCAAATCAGACCCGTTGCACAAGACGACATGCTTCGGAGTCATGTATATTGCCGTTGCATAGCCGTGGTGGCGACCTCGAGGGTCCAGTGCGGGACATGGAGCAGTGGCAGCCAGGGGTGAAGAAATCTAACTTTATAAAGCCACCCGTTGGCTAACATTGGGCTGACAGATCCACTCCTGCAGGTCACAGTCTCCTGGAAAGGAGACAACGATACCTCGTTACTTCCAGATGTCATCCAGCTCGTGGTTCGCAGCTTCGTTAGATGCAGTAGTCACTTGCTATGCATGTTTGTTCAAGCATAACCAGAGACTTCGAATGCTCTTTGAGATCTATATGTTCCCTAAATGATTTTCCAACGAGCCTTACTTGTATCACTTGCTAGCTCTTTTTCTAGCGAGATGGCAGAAGTACAGGTAAAATACGTATTTTATGCCTTTCATCTTGTGCGAATAGTTTCACTCTTACGGTATTCAAGGTGTGTCCTTGACTGTTGCAGGTTTGCTCCAGCTGATTATCGACTGGGAGATGCGAGAGAGTTCAGTTGTAAGGACGTTTTTGTAAGAGGCAGAGACGGACAAACTTACAAACTACTGAAATTGCAAGTTTGATCGTGTCAACCATGCATGGCTCCTGCTCTTTGTCTGTGCTGGCCAATCTACAGTATCGCGCGTGACCAGACCCTCCGCTTTGTATTAGGTAATGCATCTATCAACCGGCAACTTTGTTGCGCTTGGTCGCTGTCGCTAAGCCGCTTGGCGTTTAAAGACTTTGACTTCACAAGCTCAGTCTTGCGTCCAGCGCTGCCTACTGAACGAAGTTCATCTGATCTCGCGACGAGCATCGAGGATATCTCAGCGAGAAGATGTTTCACAAGTAGCGGACTCGTTCTTTCTCTGTTCTATCATCTATACCTCCGTTACGTCGGGATTCGTCCCAAGCTCAGATGTTTAGAGTCGTCATCTGTCGCAGTATCCTCATACAAAGTTCGAGAACCTTCCACGTTGATACAGGCACTTCCAGTGATGGGACAGGCGTCTCAAGTGGTGGGCCAAATGCTGCACGAAGCTAGTCAGCGACTCATTATCCTTACTCCAGGTCAACGTGCTCATTGAGTTTGAAAAGTATTCTCGGATAACGAACCGTGGAGTGTGGCCTCGTCTAGTTCAGAGAGTTGACGCCAAGGACCTGCTCGCTCTTCCGAAGCTCTCTTCTAGGCAAAGTCCAGTATTGAACAAAATGCGTTGGTAAGGACTTGAACAGGGTGCGTAGCTACAATGCCGCAGCACGTCTCCTCTTTGATATATGCGTGTGGGTTCAACGTGCAATGTCGCGAGTCAGGGCAGCTTTGACATACCGCATAGAGCAGTATCATGAGTCTCTTCGTCTCTGCACAAAATGAATACGATATCAATGCATCAAACAGAGACAGAGATACGGAACAGCACCATTGGCCAATGGATCCCCACGAGTACATCCTCTGCTGAAAAGAAACCAAGCTGTTTCACCGGCCACTTTTGGCTACATCCCGTCTTCACTCTACCGGCCAATTTGCGCACTGCCTGCATCACAAAAACCGTTATCGGTGTTGACGACCTCACTCATCTGCTCATTCGCTCCCGGCTTGTCCCCGCTCGCAACGTCCAATAATGAAGCATCACGCTCTTGATAGTCGTTGCAACAAACGCTGATATCCATGTTAATAACACGACATGTGACGTTGCATCTGCCCATGCGTGTAAATATTGCATGAATTCCCTTGCCATTTATGATTGAAAACTACAGGGAGACGATAAGAGAGAATGGTGGTATATACTGCAATGAGCTGCGCGTGGAAGGCAGCGTGTGCCCATCAATCTTCGTCTTGCATTCACGGACGACTGATCAACGACTGATCGTATACGAAGAAGCCATCCTGCTCCTTTCATCCCCTGCAAGCTCTATCTTCCACCCGAGAGACGGCAAAATCGGGCGATATGCACGACTCATCAAGTTCACACTCCTCCGATGGTATGAACTCAAAAGATGTCAAAGTTCTTACCACTCCTGCAACAAACCGCTCAGACATCAAGGTGGCCGAAGATGGGCTCATACTCGAAGATCCTGCGACAGGCGAGGTGCGCAAAGTATCTGCAAGCTTCGCCATTGACAAAGAGGCGGAGAGCCGACTCGTATGAAAATTCGACATCAGGATCCTGCCGACCCTGGCTGTCATGTACCTATGCAATGCCCTCGACAAAGGTAATCTGGGCAATGCAAAGACAGCTGGTCTAGAGAAGACCCTGAAGCTTCGTGGAAATCAGTACAACCTCGTACGTTCAAACGTGACCTCTGTCAAGAAGTTACCGAGCTGATGGCTACTCCAGATCCTGTCAATCTTCTTCATCCCATACGTTTTGACTGCACCTTTTCTGGCAATGGCAGGCAAGAAGTGGGGTCCGAGTAGAGTCCTACCAGCCATGATGATGACCTTCGGTCTAATGACCCTGCTGACAGTCGCTGCATTCAATTTTGCTGGCCTCATGTGTTTACGCTGGGTGCTTGGTATGGCCGAGTCAGCCTTCTTCCCTTTAGTTATCTACTACCAGACCACCTTCTACAGACGAGGCGAGCTTGCTCGTCGGCTTGCCATCTTTTATGCAGCCCCGAATATAGCAAATGCCTTCTCCGGGCTACTTTCGTTCGGAGTGTTTCAGATCGAAGGAACGAGCCTAGCGAGTTGGAGATATCTTTTCATAATAGAAGGTGAGTCGAGATTTTCGCGAATGTTGCCGCTTAAAGGCGTACTGATATGATATAGGTGGAGCAACAATGATATTGGCAGTGTTCGCCCACTGGTATCTGCCATATGATGCACAGAGCGCCAGGTTCCTCACCGGGGAAGAGAAGAAGCTAGCATTTCTGCGAATTCAACTGGACTCATCCTCGGTAGTGGGTGAGAAGCTGAATTTGAGAGAGGCAGGGAGGGTCTTTCTTGAGCCTACGAGCTGGGTCATCCTGGGTAAGCCTTCCCAATGGCATCTCCCATCATTGCTAAGATTGCTCAGGCATTGAGATGTGCCTCGGCGTTCCTCTCCAATCAGTCTCTCTCTTCCTTCCTGTTATTGTCAAGGCTCTTGGTTACAATACAGTCAAAACCAATCTTTACACCATCGCACCCAATATCACGGGCGCTGTGATGCTTCTCATTCTCGCCTTCTCCTCCGACCTTACACGTCTCAGATTCCCCTTCGTCGCACTAGGTTTCGCATTCACAATGACTGGCATGATCATCTACGCCTGTGTCGATGTTGAGTCCCAGCTTCAGGTCGCATATTTCGCATGCTTCATGATGACATGGGGCACTAGTGCACCAAGCGTCATCCTCGACACGTGGTTCAACAACAACATCGCCAATGAGAATAAGAGGATCATGTTGACTAGTGTCGGCGTACCCGTTGCAAATCTTATGGGTGTGGTAAGCAGTAATATCTTCGTGCCGAAGGATGCGCCCAAGTACTTTCCGGCATTGATTACGACGGCTGCATTTGGTGGGATGGGATGTCTGCTAACGCTGTTGTTGGGGGCTTACATGATTCTGGACAACAAGAGAAGGGACAGGAAGGAGGGTAGGAAAGTAAGGGCGTTGGATATTCCGACCGAGATTATGAATGAGGGACCAGCTTCCGCGAGTTACAGGTGGTTCTTGTAAATGATGTGATACCAGGAGTTATACAGGGGAACGTACGAGCTCGACCATACCTAAGACTTTTCGAAACGGCTGCATGGCCTGCAGGAATACTTGGAAGCCACTACTTCGACAACGCACGACGAGGCATGTTCAGCTACAACCGCTGACAGAAGAAGCTACGCGATGTGGCAAGGTAAATGATGATTCTTTTCAAAGTTGACGTGTATTCACCATAACAGTAACCGTCATTCGCAATTATATCAAGACCAATGTTGAGATCCCAGTATAGGCTGCTTACGATAAAGGGCTCTGGCCTGCCATTTCCTGTTCCTTCGTTACTGCACGTTGTACCCTCTCCACGAGTGTCGTGAATGTCCGTTTCGGTTTCCAAGCACTCTCACCATCCATGGATCACGTCGGTAACCAATCCTCTCGACCAAGATGCACGATTGACTCCAACGCAGGAGACATACGGTAGCTAGCAAGGCTTGTTTGCTTGATATCGTTTACTCAGTGGCATCATCGTCCTTAGTATCCACGTGGCAATCTATTATTCACTGGTGCGCAGACCTCCCCATCCAGGTTTCTCTTCACCCCAACCGTACGCTTGGTATACATCATTGCTTCGTCCTTGATGAGACGACCGAGCGCGGCAAAATCGACCTTCTTCAACAATTTTCTGATCTTTGACGATGTCGAGGCAAGCTTGTATTCGATATTACCCATCCCAATCTGGTGGGCAGATGATAGGTGGCTGTTCCAAACCTAGGTTGTCCCGAATCCTGCCGAACCGTCTACAAACTGTTCGATTGAGTTCGTAGAAGTTAATACTCTGGCCGTCCTTGAGCTGTCTATTGCCACCTGTTTGCAGAGCGATCTGCGCGGACGAGTCTCGGAGAAACCAGAAGAACGGACCACTGAGACGATCTGAGCCATTTTGTAGAAGGCGATGTATGGCTCCCTTCGCTGGACCAAAAAGGAAAGCACAAGGAAGCATTTGGAACCGTCTAGTGGCTGGGGCAGGCAGCTGTGGTAGGAATATCCGTCTAAGAGATGCGGTCGTTGGAGCAAGGTTTCGAGGATTGGGCGCAGGAACCAATCCGTACGTCTTCTCGAATTCTGCTCCTTCAGGTATCAAAGAATCACTGAAACCTTCTCTTGTTACCTTCAACCAGAGCAGATAGAACTCCCAGCGTAGTAGCATGATGATAGGCTCGGGTAGGGTGACCGAGATGAGACGCTGCACAAACTTGAGGCTTTCGTTGGTCACAGTGCCCAAGCAGAACTCAGCAGTCGAACGTATGTAATCAAGGATCGCCACTGCGGTGAAGTGTAGCACGTGCATATCTTTGCAGATCTGCTGATGCGCTTCCTTCTTGATATCGGAAATCAAGTTAAGCTTATTGTAGGGCGCGTTTTCGGAAAGATCTTTCCATGTCTTGTACGTTCGCTCCTGCTGGTGTAATAATATACCTACCCAACCACATACATCAGTGAAATTGGCCATCGTCCTGTACAACTTCATGCCAGGATTCAGATGACGTCCAGTATGCAAGATACGGAAGTAGTTGGTCCTCAGCAAATTGCGGAACTTGCGACAAGTTAGCTTCAAGGCTCGAATATTTTGCGACGTCAACTCGACATGGCTCAGAATCGTGAAGAGTACCTCATTGGGCATGTGCATGATAGAGAGATCTCTGACTGGCTGTCGCGGTTTCGACATGTTACGTCCAAACGCAAACACGTATCCAGCAGGTAGCGGATCGTGTTGGGGTCCGTGTGTATCCGACATCGTCTTCGTGGTTTCCACGGTCATATCTATAGCTTGCAAATTGGTCACATCTTCTTTGTTCTTGCATGTCGTGCCCCGGACAGCTTCCTTCTCAGTATCTCTCGCAGACACGAGCGATAGTTTCGAGAAAGGAGTTAGCACTGTCGTCCAGCTCGTAGTATTGAATTTAGCAGCTCCGCATGAAGACTGGTCGCGATCATGAGGCACTATGCTAGCAAGATTCTGACATAAAGGCGTGTTCGATCTGGTCCTGAGATCCTCCCATACAGTCACCTTGAACCCGATGGCTTTCCCTTCGACTCTGAGGTTTTGGAAACGCCGTATGGCTCTGATGGTGACACCAGAGTCAGCAAAGGCTGCGGCGAAAACGCCAATGACTGAGCTGTGCGGATTTGGCAAGAGTGTCAACGTCTCTACCTCAAGACCCACAACTGTCTCAAGATAGAACTTGACCTGTACCTCGGTCGTGGTATTGGGCAGATCTCCTAGGCGAATCATCAGAGTCTTTGATTCGGGGATGAGTGAGTTTGTATTGTGCCCGTTGCCTGACGTGTTCGGCAGAGGTCCTCCAATATCGAATGGTAAGGAGCACCTTGAAGTGCCTAGTTCCCGAGGACGTTCTTTGGTCGTCATATCGTCCTTCAGAGTGCTGCGAGCGAGTTTGTTCGTGAACGAGGTCCTGACTGTAGTCATGGTTTGACAGCGTCGCGACTTCAATCAAAGTCGTTAAATGTACAGGTAGAGTTGACTGAGAAAAAGAAAGCTGGCAAAATTGGACGACAGGAAAACATTCACGCGCTGCAGGGTTTGAGAGAAGTGACAAGAAGTGATGCAGAGTGATAGGCGCGATATTGACTGATTGCACTGACATTTCATAGACATCCACACATCTCGCGCGACAAACAGGTACAATGCGCAACAGTTCCGAAAACGTAGACTGACGTAGACTGCGATACTGTCTCCTCAAACAACTGAGTGAGCACTTTAGCACTTTCCTGGAAACAGCAGTTAAATGTGTTGTGCATGAAAGCACTTTGAGAGTGCTAGTCTTTACAAGAACAACAGAGCTTTCTTGCTTGAACAATCCTCGATTTCGATAACATTAAAGAGGTCAGGCCGACCATATTTCCGTGAGCAACAGCGATGAGTGTCGAGTCTCTAATGGATAGTGGAACAGTAGAGTTTCGCTGTGATGTTAATTTGTGCCACGAGATCAGCAACTTCATCCGAATATATTGGACGATTCCCTGGTGTAGTGAGTGCATCAGGCACAGCCCAGGTCTGCGACAATTGTCCTCTCAAGTAAGTGATTAATCTGTCAACGCGCTCTACAGACGAGTCGTCGTCAGTCATCAGTATGTCCTGCGCCTTTGATAAGGTTTGCTGAGTCGAGTTTGTGGCAGCAGCAGGTGTACGACCACTCTTTGGCCGAACTGGAATCGAGAATCACATTGCCGAAAGGATTGTTCGAGTAGCTGGTTGTATGTTTCTGTTTGTGGTTTGCTGTGTGTCGATTGCGTGATTCCTCCAGGACAAATACAAGGCTGGGCATGAAAGTGCTCTGGTTCCCAGCGGCACAACGGATAATAGCATTGATCTTGCACAATAGAACAAACGTTGGTCCGTAAGTGTAAAGCCTTTGTTCCCAGGAATGAGGCTTTGACTGGTAGGGGTCTGCTGCTTTGTCCGTATTGTGCTGAAGCTGATGTGAGTGCCTGGCTTTGTGTCGCAGGCAATGATCGAGTATATGATATAGATACGAATGGCCAGAACCTCAATATTCGTGACCATTGAAAGAATAGACAAACCACAACCATGGCAAACTTTGAAAATGTCGCAACACCATCAACGGATTTTTCCGAGAGCCTTTCCAGACTCACCGAGACACTCGGTGGTGTATCACCCCAAGAGCCAAGCAATAGTCACACTGCCGGGCCATCCCCACCCCCACCTCAATCAAGCAATCCAAACACCAGCCTGCAACGCTGGTTATTCAAGCCGGAACCTAAGATTGTCCAGGAGACGGCCATCGAGTATGATAGAAATGCAGCAGACGGTGCCCAAAGTGCAGGATATCTAAATCAAGGAATACACCAGACAGCACTCGACCACTTTGGGCAGCAGATAATTGTGCCTTGTCCGATGGTCGTCCAAGATGCATTCCGAGGCGAGCTTCCTCTCAGCATCTACCTTCATATCAAGTCGCGGGTAGTTTATGACAGGCAGCCGTTACTCAATGTACTGGATGAGCTGCGAATACGACGTGGCGTCGAAACAAGATGGCTGGCGTCGGTTCAACTGGGCTTCGACCTTTTCGCAGAAGCTGCTAATCATCATGGATTGGATCCGAGTTGGGCAGATGCAGACATGCCATCTCGATCCGCGGCTGAAGTAGAAGAGCGCAAGTTGGTGCATACAGTCAGGTATCATGTTTGGGAGGCGTTCTGCTGGCGCGGTGCTAACTGGGACCAGGTCAAGATACAGCGAGAAGAGTACCTGGCGACTTATGGCGATGGTTGGACAGGAGATGACAAACTTGAAGAGAAGTTCATACCCTGGGCGGAGTGTCCTGAGTTTCAATACATTTCGCACACTCAACCATTCTATGTCGACATCGATACGATAGAGGTTGACCTAGTCAGCAGATTGAGTCAATTCTAGTAGGGAGATGATGCCGAGATGATTGACTGAAGTAGAGTGCTGGAAGATGGAGGACAAAATCTCCACCGAAGCATTCGGCAGCCACGAGTGAGATATGCTTAATGGCTGAAACAACTCAAGATACCATATCTTTGGCGACAACTGCAGCGCTTTTGTACTGCCAATACCATGTTATTGATTTCATCATAGACATATTGCTTTTTCCACTCTTTCTACTGTTCTGACTGTCTTAGCGTGCTCATGTCGGTTGAGTATTTTGCAACGTATGATAAGCAGACATCAACGCTCGAGGCACTGTCTGCTACTCGAAGAGAACAAGCTTGTCCAGTGCTAGGTTAAGACGTAGGCTTCGATAATCAAGTCGGAGCGATCACCTTCATCATATTGGACAAGGTACTGTCGCCAGCACGTTCCCGATCACTTCTTCGGGCGTCAATCCGTCTAACAGCTCCATCACGGCGGCGGAGTCGCTTCCGTACTGCATGCTTCTCTCCCTCGCAGGATCTGCAATCACAATTCGATGTAAATAGATCTTTCTGGCTGCAAGTGCTACCAGGCTCGGCGTCACGAAGTTGATGCTATGTAGAGGGCCAAGGTATTTCGCCAGGGCGAGGAAGTCGGTGCTTGCACGGGGTGTGATGCCACCGTCCACACCACGCTCGAGACGAATGAAAGTAACGATATCTTGGAGGTAGCGACGTATTTCAGGAGTGATGTCGCAGGCTTCACCTATTGCACGAATTTTATCGATGGCGATGGTAGCGATGCTTCTTGATGCTGTTCGACTGGTTTCCCAGGACGAGCGGAGTCTGGAAGGACTGGAATGGTCGTCGGACGCGGCTGATTGATCGAGCTCCTCCAGGTTGACGAATCCATGTTCAGGTAGGTGGTAGTGCGAGATGAAGATGCGGTCGTTCAGATGTGGCAGAAGTCGTATATGCTTTGTCGATGCTGCGATAACAGGAATGAACAGAAACTGTTTTGGCACAACGTGTACAGTAGTCCGAGATATCATTCTCCTATTGTTGATAAGCTCGATAGCCTGAACCTGTACGTATGGATCTGCGAAATTAAAGCCTTTGGCAATAATCACATTTTTGACGACACGATTGTCAAGACCTGCGTCGTATTGGTCATGACGACCAGGAGCTGCGCGAATGTCAACACTTGCAAGACGAGCGTGGGCGGATGCAGATTGCGTGTCATCCTCCGCAGGGAACTGTGGGCCTTTTGGTTCGAGGATAGCTTCACCGAACTGATCTACTGAGGTCAGACCTTCTGGGCCCAGGACGACATATGATAGACCGAAACGTTCGGATACGATTAGAGACAGTTCGCTCGCTAGATCATCGATGAGATCGTCGTCCGTGGTCATCAGACAATGACCTTGTGCGATCAAGCTCAGGAGCACTCCAAGCTCGAGATCAGACAATTCCTGGATATTATCCAGGAGTGTCTGGAAGTCCATTGCGAGCGCAACCACATCTCACTGATAGCAACTGTCTAGCATCGCGTTATGATGACCGACCTTGACGGTGATGTTGACCAGCATCAGGTGTTTCAAGGAAATTGATCAGTACTTCGCGTCGTGTTTGCTATTTTTCCTAGAGATTTGTGCCAAGGAATTGAGCTTAGCCTCTTCTCGAGGCAGAATTGTATATGGCTGTGCCTGTAAGTCATGCCTAAAGTTGCAATGCCAGGTGCCTATTTCATGGATTCGCGCCTAAAATCTAGGCAGCAAGGCACCCACGGATTTCGTCATGGCAGGAGCTCGAAGAACAACAGCGGCAACTTCCATTAATCGTCAGCTTCAGCTCACTACAACGATGGCAAGCAACAATCGTATGAGCTTTTCGCTTTAACATCGTCCATCGAGATTTGAGCACGTATCAGCAAGGAGAACAAATCCTCAACACCAGATGTCATGACCAGTACCAACCCCAGAGCCGGCTGGGAGAAAATCGGCACTGAATTCTACCGCAAGATATCTCTCTACACATCCATCTTCGACCCCGACCTCGATCTTTCAGAATATGTCGTCTCGGGTGCGCCCTTTTCTGGTGCTCTAGCACTCTACCGCGACACTACGAAAATCACGCGCTATCGTAGTAATGTCGCAAATAAATCCAGTATTGATGTTTACAGCTGTGCGGGTAAGCTGATTAGTAGGATTAACTGGGAAAAAGGCACGATCAAAGGACTGGGATGGAGTGAGGATGAGCGCTTACTGGTTGTCAGCGAAGATGGGACATTCCATGTCTATTCGGGCCTTCATGGGGACTTTGCACCTTTCAGCTTGGGTCATGGAGCGGAAGAGTATGGTGTGCATAGTGTACGATTCTGGAGCCATGGATTCGTGGCGCTATTGAAGAACAATGCTCTCGTTGCAGTCAGCTCGTTCGACGAGCCACGACCTAGAGCTCTCGCTGCCGTACCCGAGGGCGAGGTTCATGCCTGGAGCCTGATACCACCAGCCTACACCATGAGCCGATCTGTGGAAGTGCTGCTCGCCATGCAACAAACGATCTTCGTGGTCGACGTAAGCGAGACCGAGGATCGAGGCTTGACCGACGGCCCTTTTAAACATGTCAGCGTCTCACCCAATGGACGATTTGCAGCACTCTATACAGAAGATGGACGAGTCTGGGTCGTCGGAAGCGATTTTCAAAATAAATACAGTGAATACGACTCGAAAGCCAAGACAACCCCGAAACACATCTACTGGTGCGGGAACGACTCAGTCGTCCTAGCTTGGGAAGACGAGATACACATGGTCGGCCCCAACGGTGCAGCTGCGAAGTACTACTACGACGATATTGTGCATGTCCTGCCTGACATCGATGGCATCCGACTACTGACTTCCGAAACCTGCGAGTTCCTGCAGAAAGTGCCCGATGAGTCCGAAGAGGTATTCAAGCTGGGCGCGACATCACCTTCGCCAGTCTTGTATGATTCTATCGAATTGCTTGAGAAGAAATCACCCAAAGCGGATGAGAACATTCAGCGAATCAAGAGCAGTTTACCAGAGGCAGTGGAAACGTGTATTCGAGCAGCCGGGCAAGAGTTTGACCATGCATTACAAAAACAATTACTACGAGCAGCTTCCTTTGGCAAATCAGTCATCGAATTGTACAGCAGTGATGAGTTCGTGGAGATGTGTGAGACATTACGAGTGCTTAATGCCGTTAGAGATCACACAATCGGTTTACCACTGACACTGACGCAGTACAATCAGCTAAGACCAGACAGACTGATTGCGCGATTAATATACAGGAGAGAATATCTACTTGCGATAAAGCTGGCGGAGTTTTTGAGATTGCCCTTGAACAAGATCTACGTACACTGGGCGAGTCAGAAGGTCAAAGCAGCGAGTGGAGATGACGAGAGTATTCGAGACGTAGTGGTCGAACGTCTTAAGGGGAAGTCAGACATCTCTTTCGAAGCTATTGCTCGAGCAGCATACGATGAGGGCCGAGGCAATCTCGCAACGTCACTACTCAATCACGAGCCTCGAGCAGGCAAGCAAGTCCCGTTGCTACTCGCTATGGAAGAGGACGAAGTGGCGGTTGACAAAGCTGTTGAATCTGGTGATCCAGATCTCATTATGTTCGTGCTATTACACCTGAAGCAGAAGATGCCGATAGCAACCTTCTTCCGCTTGGTGGCTAGCAGAGCACAAGCCGCACAGCTTATTGAGCAATCGGCACATTCACAGGACAAGGAGCTGCTCAAGGATATGTATTACCAGGATGATCGACCAGTGGACGGCTCAGACCTACTGTTGGAAGAGGCAATGGACCAACCACAGACTCAAGCTGTGGTGGACAAGTTGAAATTGGCCAGTCGACTTCTGACCGATGCTAAGGACCCGAATGCTGTGATGCACACAAAGTCTTTGGCAGAAGCGACAGTATTGCTCAAGATGCAGGAATCGTTCGACAAGGACATTACCGATAACAGCGGAAGTTATGTTGGACTGAGTGTGAATGAGACAATGTTCCAACTGATAAGGTCCGGATATAGCAAACGAGCTGACAGGGTTCGGAGTGAATTCAAGGTTCCTGAGAAGACGTGGTGGTGGGTTCGTCTACGAGCTCTTGTAGCAGCACGGTTGTGGGGTGATGTCGAAGAAATTGGCAAGAACCGAAAGTCGCCAATTGGATGGGAGGTAAGTGGTCGACCTTTCCTGCTGAGAATATCGCTAACCACTCTTAGCCTTTCTACAATGAGGTTCTCTCTGCGGGCAATACTCGACTCGCCTCATCGTTCGTTCCCAAGTGCACTACATTGAAGCCAGCAGAGCGTGTAGAGATGTGGGTGAAGTGCGGTATGGTTAGTAAAGCTGGAGAAGAAGCACTGAAGGCAAAGGATATGAACACCCTTCAGCAGCTTCGAGACAAGGCGAGTGGACCTCAATTGACAGAAGTTGAACGGATGATCACACAATTGCGACCACGAAGGTAGAGCATCAATACGACATCAACAGCTTCAAGTGATCTCATCAACTGCTTCTTGTGGGTTCGCGTCGCTCGATTGGACCGCATCTGCTGAGACTGGAATTGCAGTGATTGGTTTTTCTGACGTTGCGACTAATGTGGCATCTGCGGCAGCTTCGTTCGTGGGCGCCGGTCCAGCCGCCGCTGTACCGTTTGTGTTTTCAGGTTTGGGGGCCGTACCAAATGTGCCAGGCTTCTTGGAACTCGCGAATAGGGTTGGGCCCATGGTCAGGCTCATACTCTGCCCGGTAGCAAACGTAGGTACCTGTACTCCAGCAATGACCTTGATCTCAGTCTCGCCGTGGAAGGGCTGGATATCGTCCTTGACTGCATCTTCTCCGTCGTCCAGCGTATCGAAACGGCCAGGCGCCTTGATGGCCTTTCGAACCTCTTCAGTACTCGTATCGTTGATGTCGTCCCATAGCGCTCGTCTTCCTTGCCGTCTCTTCAGTCTTGACGACGCATCTGCACGTTTTGACTCAAGTATATCGTGCACGGCTTCGGCCTTTTGTAGAACTTTTTCCTGCCGCTGCCGCTGAGCATGGGACAATTGCTTCTTCTTGGCCTTCTTGTGTATACCTGCTCCCTTGTATGCAGCTAGTATAGGGGTGGTTTCCGCAGCGCGCGGTGCTTCCTTCAGTGACTTGTCTGTATTAATGGATGGTGAAGTCGCTCGTCTGGCTGCTCTGGAACGTGGATTGGCTGGTGACATGCATTAGTAAGTCGACACTGATTACCGAGAACGCGACGTACTCAGTGGCTCCCTCTTCGGCTTTGCTACTTTAGCCATGACTTATAAGGAGGTTTGGCAAAGCGCAGAGAATGGCATATTGGTGTCAATGCACTTCAATCTGGGACTTTTTTTTTGGACGGTAGGTGCAGCCCCAAACTGAGGCCTTAGGCACTAAATGATGACGTCGGTCGTGACTGCCACGTGGAACATATACCCAGCCTTCTGCTCGTACTAGCAAGGCAGCGATGGTGATCTGTGAAGTCATGCTTCAATGTCTACCTCACCTGGCTATGACTATGGCACCACCCTAAAATCCGGACATGGCGCCTAGCAACAGATCGCCAAAACGACAGAAAACCTTACCAGCAGACGATCAACCACTATCAGCTATAGCAGTTCCTCTACCGCCATCACCAAGCACGTCTTCACCTAGTCCTGCTCGAGATGGCACAGGCACAAGCTCGTCGTCATCCTGGTATAGCAGAACATGGCCACGCAAATCAGCCCCAATAACACAAGTTGCAAGGGACACCATATCGTCCGCGAGTAACGCAGCTGCGGAAACTGCAACGATATTGAAGGACAAGGTCAGGCCTGTCCGTACTGTATCGAGGAAGTCTTCACTTGCTTTGATCTTGAGTAAACCGACCTCAAGCAAAGCTTTACCTGTTCAAGCCATGGCAACGAAAGATCATGCTGTACCGGAAGCAATGCAGCCATTGAAGGAAGAGCCTGCTTCGAAGCCAGCTACCAACCCAGAAGTAAAGGTTGTGCCGGAGCCTCGCACGAAATTCAAGGGAAAGCAAGAGACAGCGGCTGAAACAAGCTCATCTTTGTACAAGAACAAAGACATACCACCAACTAGCGATACGAAAATGCCAGCTACAGAGTCTACAACGATTGCGTCCGTCTCGTGGATAGGATGGCTTGCTGGTGGTAACGATACTCAAATAGAACCTTCACAAACGGCCAGCCTACAGAACGACCAAGAAATAGTTCAGTCGAACCCTTTTAACGCGTCGAGCCTAAAGGTCAAGCCTCAAACAGAAGAGGCTTCGCAGCCGCAGTCAGACAGTATACAATCCGCACAACCTGGGCCATCTGGGCTCGATAAGAATCAGGTACAGTCTAGCACATCCGCGCAAAGGCGGAGCTGGCTCCCATTGTGGAACAATGCCTCTGCTGCACAATCTGCGCCAAATATTGCTTCGCCTCTCAAAGACGTTAAGGCGCAACCACTACCGGATACGACACCCAGTCTAGCTACAGCTGTGGTTCAGGGACCGGAACCTGCGGAGTCGAGCAGCGCCACAACCACTACAGAATCCTCAATCCCACCTCCTCAACCTAGTAACGCAGGCAAATCATCTGCATGGGTCTTTTGGTCGCGGGACAAAGGCGCAGAAATTCAATCTTTGAAGGATGCACCACGCGAAGGCGAGCTCGCTGTGGCAAATACGGAATCAGAGAACAAGCCTAGACGAACTTCCATTGATATGCAGAAACCAGCGAAGCGCACTTCGTTAGGTTCGAGTAGTTCAAAGGAGAATTCGACTCTTCAGAAGGATAAGAAAGTCAGGCCAAACACGAAGACTTCGTCCGATCTGAAACAGACTGATTCTGGAGCAGTCGTGCAGACTACCAAAGCCGAGAATAAGGAAGCGTCAGCTACTGCAATAGCCCCAGCGGACGCCGAGACATCTAAGCCTGCGACAGTTGTGCCTGCAAAAAGGATATACGAGCACTTACTGCTACCGTCCTTGTATGATACATTGAAATTACCCGAAGACCCCTCGCTACTCGAACGACTAACACGTTTGTTCTATACCTCAGATGAGCCTGAGCTCAAACACCTGAACCTCGTCAAAGATCCTCCAAGGGTTAAAAATGCCTTGGCCATCGGAGTTCATGGCTATTTTCCGGCACCACTGATTCAATCCGTCCTTGGTCGTCCAACCGGCACGTCTATCAAGTTCGCCGACATGGCGGCCAAATCGATCAAGCGCTACACGAAAGCTAAGGGGTATGAATGCAACATCAAGACTGCAGCACTCGAAGGAGAAGGCAAGATTCTGGAGAGACTTGACCTGCTGTGGAAGCTCTTGCTCAATTGGATTGAGGAGATTCGCAAGTCAGACTTTGTCATGGTCTCTTGCCACAGTCAGGGTGTGCCCGTTGCAGTCATGCTTGTCGCGAAGCTGATACACTTTGGCTGCATCAGTAGTAATGCTCGTGTCGGCATCTGTGCCATGGCCGGTGTCAACATGGGCCCTTTCGCAGAATTCAAGTCGCGTTGGATAAGTGGCTCTGCTGGTGAACTTTTCGAATTTGCTGATCCCAGCAGCAAAGTGTCCACTGACTACTTGGCTGCTCTTGACGAAGTTCTCAAATTTGGGGCCAGGTTAACTCTGACGGGTAGCATTGATGATCAACTGGTATCAATGGAGTCGTCCATGTTCGCACCTGTGTCACACCCACACATCTTCCGTGCGGTGTCAATCGACTCCCGCCTGCATGCGCCAAGCTTCATCTCTCATCTCGTCGCCCTGGCCCTCAAGTTACGCAATGTCGGTATCCAGGACCATGGTCTGATTAAAGAGTTGTCTGCACCACTTGCTGGCAGCCTTTACACTGGTGAAGGGCACTCGCGCATCTATGAAGACGATGCCATTTACGATCTTGCTGTTACTTTTGCACTGAACACGACCAGCATACCGGGTGTGCATATCACGAAGCGCAATATAGATTCTTCTGGGAGCAACCCGTACATACTACCATTTGCAATGAGAGGTATATTAGAGGAAGACTTTGTAAAATCTGATCTACAACAAGAGGCGTCCGAGTTACTCAAGGAATTTGACGACTGGAAGCCTCAAACCAAAGCACTCAAGGATGTCAAGTTTCGGCTTGAGGGTATACGTTCCAAGTTGTGAACTCTAGGCTCTTTACTGCACAGGCGGAGTATCATGCTATAAAATAGATTGCAATAGACAGAACTGGCCAGGTATTTAATGTTGTACCAAACACGTCATAGCAGGCAACGCAGCCACAAGAAACAACGATGGTGCAGTGAATACAGGACTGCTCCCGATTTGCAGGCATTTCCGGCATTTAACTCCGGCTACGTGCTGTGATTGGCCGGTTTGCGCCTTGAAGGAATAGGTCTAACCAGCAATCTTGTTGTCGACATATGGACCAGTCTTGAACAGGCCCCCCTGCTAGTGTCGGCACACTTTGTTCGTTTTCGACAGCAACATCGACTTCGGCAAGACGGGACACGATGGTGCAAGTCACAGAGCGATCATGTGAAGGGGAAGATCGCTGATACAACACTTGACTGTTGTTTCATGTGGATCCCAACTTCCCATTAGCGCCTCGCCGGTGTACATTTCCGACGTACTTGCGGGTTTTCCGCCGTCACCAATGTCTCACTTTCCGCTCCAGAAATGATGATTATCCTGTTCTGTCATTCAGATTACCTGTCTGAGTAATGTAAGACCAACATCATTGAAGGTACCGCGAGTGTATTCCCGAAGATGTAGGACGAGTTGAAGGCGACTTATCACTTCTGGATATGCGAGAAACTTAGGCGAGTCTATCACGGTCTAAATTTTCCCGACCTCGTCCTGAGGAACTCGACTTTGACATCGCGGGCAGTCATATCAACGGAATTCTTGGCGGAAGTCAGAAAACAAGTTGGAAGTGGCTTTGCGGACTACGACTCGATCACGATGAACACGTAAGTATCTACAGGTCCAACACAACACTATTCGGTACGCTTTCGAATTCCAGGAAGCTAGCCTCATCAGAAAACCGCCAAAACATCTATGGTATTTCATGAAGAGCGGAAGAAGGACCTGTTTAAAACTTTGCTTTTTGGCTTTCCTCAAGGAGCCTGGACTCGTCACAGCAGAAGGTGTGAGCATGCATTGTGCCTACGACATGAAGCATTGTATCTCGTTCCTAAGTGCCCGAAGCATACCAAATTCAAGACTGATCGATCGCATACACCCTGCTCCCGATCGTCGTGCATATCCTCATTACTGAGAAGCGAATCGGATCAACCAATGCGACTAGGGCGCGACACCTTTCACCTAGAAATGCTCGAGGACAAGTACAAATTTGACAGGATGCTTTATTTTTCTGATCCAGACTGCTTGTAGGTTGGCGCTTTGCTCATCGCCAAGATACCTCGATTGCTGTGACAAAGGTTGTTCTACTCGTGTAGCCTTGACTGTGGATTTTGTGTCTCGGTCATCAGCCTATGTCGACCAGCTAGCGTGGCATGCATCGAGTGAGCTAATAGACGATCAAGGACTCGCAACAGCTGAGATGTTGTCGATTACCTGCTTGTTTGTCTGCAAGTGTGTGCTTGCGTATGTGGTAACAAGCTCGACCTTCAGAGGCAGGTCCCACCTATCCAGACAGCAAGACTTTGTGGATCGCATGTAAGCCGAGGTGTGACTGTACAAATAGAGAGACATAGTCAGCCTGTTTCGGCTACCTAGTCAAATATTACAAGCTTCTAGCAGCTGAGACTCGTATACATGCTAATATCAGTATTGTCGGGGGAACACAGCTCTCAGGTAGTGACAGAGCCAGGTCACCCCGCAATAGCAGAACTATTGCGAGCCGCTCCATGCAAAGCCGAGCTTGATTGGCAGGAGTCGTCGGCAAACCTTGTGCGACGAGTAAATCACATCCCAGCAACGACTTCAACGATCGCTCTTTCTTCGTGCATGTTTGCCGACGATGAGATCGTAGGCATCGCGTTGAAGGGCTCAATATCGTGCCTATACTGCAACACCCAAGGCGTCAATCTTCTTCTAATGCTCTGACTGCGCGTCCTCATGGTTATGCTGTACCATATTGTGATCTACAGTATTTCGTCGAGACGTTAGGGAGTGTGCGAAAGCTTCCACGGTCAAGCTAGAAGCTTTACCGATATCAAGTGCTGTCTTGGCAAACGGTGTTTCTGTTTTAATCCTCCAAGCTGAGGCTACTTGGCGGAGGACTCAGAGCTGCCAATACTTACAAAAGTGCCCGGGCCTATAACAAATAAGATGCTGCGCCACCACCACTTCCATTTCCACGAGCTACTTTCATCGCAATGCTCACTACAGCCATTTGTCTTGTACCGCTACCGGCCTACTACGAACTCTCTTCTGGTGGTACAGCAGTGTTGCATGACCTGAGCTCATGTACCAGTTTCAGCTGTGTGTACAATAGATTTCGAAAAGCTGTTTAGGCTGTAACTCCAAAATGTCCAAAATTATCAATTGTTCGCTTCGAGAAATGTATATATCCATGAGCATGACCCGCTTCATCTCGCAATACCACATCACAACACTAGCTTCGACCAAACCAGCAAGCTCATTACAATCTCGGAAAGTCTAGCCCATTCGCACCACTTTACCAATAAGTTAAACCATGAAGGCCTTCACAACTTCCGCCTTGTTCGCAGCATCTGCTCTAGCAGCTCCTCTAGCAACTCTCCCAAACCCATTGTCAAAACGAGCCTGCCCTGGACCTGAAGCCACCATCCTGCTCATGAACCAGGACGCCCATACCTCTGCACAAGTCACCCTATGCACCGACAACCTAGCCGACGACGTCAACGCTATCTTCGCCTATACCGGCATCGATTCTCGCGACGGACACTTCTACGTGACATCAGCCCATCTCGTGAGCTACACCGACGGCTTACCTGCTTTCTGCTCGTTTCAGAACAATGATAACGGCGACCTATATGGACGCGTGATTCGCGAGGCGCCCGATCTCAACACCTGGGTGACAACTGGACAGCCGGGTCTGCTGGATTTGGGCAGAAGTCGAATCCAGTGCCATGTTGACAGGGAGGAGTATCTCAAGTGCTTGGGTATTGCGGGTGATCCTTACACTGAATGTGTCAATAAGGTCACTGCTGAGTTGGCTGCTGGTGGTAGCACAACGTCACCGCCACCATCAACTTGTAATTAAGGACAATTTGTTTGTCTTATCTCTCATGGCGCTGCATGGAAAAAGGAGGACATGGCATGGCGTCGAGTTTGTCGATCTTGCCTTTGCTTGCATTTGCTGGAGTTCAAATGGGTATGATTAGAATATCGAGGGCTGTTTGTACCGGATAGGGGCAAAATTTTTATCGACTCAAATTGGACGCAAAGCATTATAATAGATGTATACTCATCATATCGAAAGTTGAAATCTTACTGGTGGGAAACAAGATAACTATCGTCTCTTCCTTCTGGTTTTCCTAGACAAGTAGCACATACTGTATGTTCCGGCTGAAATTCGGGATTTGAGGTTCTATGTCTTCAGCAGGTATACGACACCGTCAAGCTTGTAAGTACAAATGAAGAAGCAGGTGATGTAGGCTGACTTCCACCAGACAACAAGCAAGATTAACTCATAGGTTGTATTGATGCTCGCAATCAACGCCTCTTGTTTCGTGTGGGCTGCATATGCCGCTTTCAACCTCTCAACGAAAATGTTTGGGCCAGCGTATTGATCTTCCGAACCATGCTACTCTGCATAGATGGATGTGCTGTTCGGGCGACGTGGATGTGTATGGTTGGCTGCGCCCTACACTGGCTCTTCACTGGGTCAACGATCTTGCCTGATGCAAGTGGCAGATCCATGCAAGACTATGCATGACTGGCGAATTCGAGGTCAATTGTGGTCACCGGTTAGCACGTGAGATGCCTTCGATCAGGGTACTGCACGGTATAGGTAGTTTTTTCTGCATCTGCATGTGTTGCGAGTAGCATCACACCTCTGTGATTGGGCAAACCTCTCCGTGACATATGTAAATGTGCATCTGGCGTGATTGATACGAAACAGCCTTGATAGGTAGGGAAGTCTTTAAGAAGGATTGAGCCAGGGAAACATCGTAAGTTGTCTGTCCTTCGAGTAGCACAACTTACCGCACGTATCCCCGAGCAGGCAATGGATGATCTCCTAAGACAAACTGAAGAGCTGACAATCAACCAGCCGCGACTGGTTAGCTATCATGAAGAGCGGATACTGGAAGTTCTCGATGGCCAACTCAACGACGCTCGATACGAGACATGGTCAGGCTGGGAGACCCTTATCCGACCGATGATCGAAGATTTCTGCCGACAATGGACTTTGCCAACCCGCGCCGTGGAAAATTTCATGGCACTGACGAAAGGCAATCCTCACTTTCCTGTGATATTACTTCGAAATCCAGTGAAGGACCACGACGCTGCCGGATTTGAGGATATGGTGAACAATTGTCCAACCCTTAGATGGCTTGAAGATGTCCTTCACGCACGAGGTCTTCTTTTGGATGACGTTGTTATATTGGACGTCTGTCCTCTGCTCAGCGACTTCTGGCTAGCCAGAAACAAGCACATTGCTGAAGAGGCTATTAGAGATGCATATCTCGTGACGGAGACGATCTTACTTCTTCTCAAACCAAAACTATTGATCTCATGCCAATGTGCCACGAAAGGGGTTGGAGATTTCGGACTCTATGCTTCCAGCTTTGTGGAAAGGCTCGGTTCAACCACCTCAAATGCAAAGCAAAAACTGGTTATGCCTTTTCGACATGAGGGTAATGAAATTTATATAGCCCAAGCATATCATCCTCGATATTTTCTTGGGCGAGAGTGCCTTGATGGTGACGAACGCGAAGATCTCCTCAAAGAGATCATTGGCCATTTCATGGCGCCCTTTGGAAAGTGGAAAGCGGATGTTGTTCGACTATTGCACATGGAAGCAGTAATCTTAAAACTGGCCAAGGTGATGAATGAGCAGAGAGTTATCATGAATCGGATGCTCAAGTTCATGTACAAACTCGAAGAAAGCTTTGCAAGCATGACCATCTCCAGGCCATCTTGATACAAGGTTGGACAAAGAAACGTAGCGTGACGAAGAGATTTAATGTTGAATATTGTCGTTGTGGTTGACAACTAATGCTGGACTTGCACTTGATAGTCTTTCAATGAACGACCCATACTACTCCTGTCAAGCGCCTCGCAATCACGAGTTGGTGTCTTTTTAGAATATTCCTTACGGTATCTCTTCTGTGAAATCAATTGTGTACAACAGGCCAACAAGTCAGGGGCAACGAGCACGTGCCTAAACCGTCGAGAGAGCCGTTGTTCTTATATGAAGACCTACCAAGAAGACTCGCTAAGGATGAGCAAATAAGGAGGTAGACATTTGTTTCGATGCCTGGTTGATGCTTGATCATTCATTGAATGAGCGGTAAGTAGACGAATTGTGCAGTCAGGCAAAGTCTTCTCTAAAGTGCAGGAAGTCGATGCTTTGGTCATGCCGTACGCATGTCGTACCGCCTCTCAAGCTTGCCCAGGGATATGGACCGTTTGTAGACGAACTGTACCTGCAGCTGGACCAAGAGCTAGTACTACAAAAAGGATTACGATCGCAACATGGACGCAGATCGAACGTGCAGTTATTGAGTGGAAGGACGATAACATCATCAACATTCTCCGCAAGACAAGCAAATGCCCTGAACAAATTCAGCAGGCAGCCTTGGGAGCCTCAATCCACAATGGTTATGCCGATGGCTCACGGTCATGAACTTCAAAAAAGTTGTTCCGTGTAGAGGGTCAGAGTCATATCAGAGGAACCGATCTCGAAATCCACTAGAGATGCAAATGCTCGCCAATAAGGCGATGGGGTATCATATGTAAAAAGGTATGCACTCGCCGGCAAACAGACGTCTACCACCCACTCTCATCCGAAAAGCACTCGCAGTTTCTCACATCAGAATGTGAACAGCTACTCCCAGGTCTTGCAAACAATGCTGTAATAGCTCCGACATGCACGCGAAATGCTTCAAATCATCCAGCCCCCATATGCTGCACGTAACGTCATTCGTCTTCTCATCCTCTCATCCATCGAAGTCAGCCTGAGGATCATCATTCGTGGAAACACTGCTTGAACGTCGGGCATACGACTTTCGTGGCCGACCTCGAGGTCTCTTCGTCGGTGTTGTGCCAGGTGTGGGGTTTAACTTTCGCTTACGGCCTCCGGGTGTCGCACTTGGTGCGGGCATCGAGACGTTCCCATCATACACTGGAGTATCTCTATTCGCGGTGCCGTCGCCAGTTGTTAACTCAACGTCGTCGTCTATACTCATGGCTGAAACGAAAGTTTTGCACAATTGCACGACTCCCAGATCGCTTTCCAAAGCTGATACGATCTCATTGCTCTTTGTCCAAAACCGATCTCCGGTGATGCCATGGACTTTGACTGGTGGTTTGGCTGTATCCTTGGCCTGCTTGGTGTTCATCATTGCTGTTCTCACGTCACGACTGACACCATATTGTCGAAGCAAGTGAGCTCGGGTTTCGATCATCAGGGCTAACGTGGCTGCAGCAGAGCCAAGCCGCTTCATCTCGACAATGAGAGCTGGATTTGTTGCCTTGTTCTCGACCACAGATGGTACAATACCAAGCTCGGTGTTGCCAGGGGTATGTTCATGGACAAGAAGGTCTTGGTGCTGCTCTTGCGCTGCCTCCACAAGCGCCGCTATCTCGACACTCTTGCCGTACGCCAATTCCAGTTGTAAGGCAACGTGCAACAACTCATCGAGTCTCTTGTAATCGAAAAAGGCGATGTTCTGCATTACAAATCTCGTGTACATGACGTGTTCAGGCGACGGCATACTCTTCTCAGCAGTTGAGGAGTCGATGATTGTTCGTGAAACCAATCCGCTCAAAAACTTTTTGATGTACTTGCTATTACTGGTCATGATGATATCGAAACAGGGTCCCAGTTTCGGTTTAAACCCTGCTGCACCGTTAGAAACCGCTCCAAAAGGACTGCTTTCGACCCCATATTGATATTCGAAAGCTTGAAAGATAGCCGACATGTATTCCCGCTCGCAATGCGACTCATGCTGCTCATGAAGTAGTTGCTGAGCACGATGTCCGATCGTTGCAATTTTCTGATCCTTACTCGTGCCAAATGCGACAAAGGCTCCCAGACAATGCTTAGGATGTATGAGGCCTTGATGCGAGATACTAGCAAGCGTCCTCGCAGCTGGCAAGATATTTTCAGAAGATGCGGATAACGAGATTCGTAAAACAGCATCGGTAACGTCTGGGGTAATGGTATTGATGGCACTGTCTTGCTCTTGAGAACGTACGTCGCCACCCATTTGCTTGAGGGCTTGCTCTTCTCCATCCTGAGTTTTCGAACTTTGTTCCTTGGCAGCTGCTCTAGTAGCAAAGAGCTCATCGAAGATGTTGAGCACAACAGCAATAAGTTTCTGGTTGTCATATGCTGAGCTATCGAATGAGAGCCGGAGGATATCGAACAAAGTCGTTTTGACTGGTGCCTTGTTTAGGTGTGCTGGATAAGCCTGACAAACTGCTCCAAGACTTTCCAATGCAGTCAGCCGCAGGTTCAGAGGAAGCTGCTCGGCCGTTAATGGCAGAATGGTCTTCACCATCAAGGCGGAGACCGAGGTAAACTTTTCCACTGGCATGAGCCCTCGGAAAGCAGTAGTGAACCGGTCCACCTCGGTGTGCTTGCCAAAAGCTCCAGCTATCTGGAGTAACTGGATGCGCGTTTCGACCTTCATCTCCGGTACGGCCAGCTTTTCCAACACTGATTTGCCGAATCTGACCAGGCGATCCGTATTTTGCAGAACCCCATCGATAGTGGTCAGACATTGCATGACCGCGTCCAACTCGAGCCGACGGCCTAGTTTCTGAACAGCCTGCATGAGCCGATCTTGTATTTCCCTTAGTAGATTCTTGTGCGTGTCGGATAGGTCAGGTAGAACAAGACGAAAGATGGTAACAGCAGATCTGAACATAAACAGATCGCCATCGCTGCCTTTCTGAAGGTCACTCAAATAGACTTGCAATTTGGACAATTGTAGAGGAGGCACCAGCTTTGGATCAGCTTCGGCCAAAGCGGTCAATACTAGTAGAGGAGCTCTAGTCTTTTCGGTTGCGATGATCTTTTCGAAGAGAGCATAGACCAGTCTCACAGCGAGTTGGCGATTGCTGGCGAAGCTCTTCTTCTCGTATCGCAGCATCATCAAAATCAATTTCTTGACCAAAGGAACGAAGGTCTCTGCTCCAGTAGTGACACAAGCCATGAGACCAGCTGCAAGATCGTCTACTGCAACGACCGCAGCTGCAGTCTGGTCACTCGACTGTACAAGATTTGCCGCTGGCCGGATCAAAATGTCTTCCAATATCTGTTCTGCTAGCGACACAATCGAGTCCTCGGGATCGTTGAGACGCTTGAGGATCACCTGCAGGATTCTGTTTTTGAGAGCAGGTCTCTGGTCCTGCAGATAGATGTCCTTTAAATGACCAAGTGCACGTTTCTGAACGCCGACTTTCTCATCTCCAGCACATTCTAGCAGACGCTCCATGCCTCGTTTCTCGAGTATTCCGCCACGTGAGATGATGAAACGAGCAATCAAAGACAATGCAGAATCCCGAACCATAGCCGAGTCGTCCGAGGCGCATTTGAAAACATCATCAGCCACAGATTGGTCTCGGTCCAGCAGAGAGGAATCACTCTCAAGAATAACCGAGATGCTCTTTAAGCTTCTGCTTTTGACTTGAGCTTGCTCGCTAGTGAGAGACGAAGACAGTGCTTTGACAATGTGGCTCAGGCGTTGACAGAAGGGTAAATTCAGGACGCACAACAGATATACCGCCTTTGCTGAGTTAGGGGAAACATCGTTCAAAGCATTGAACTCACCACTCATCGATAGCATATTTAGGACATAATCAACGACATCGCTTAGATCCAGCTGGACACTTGGGTTGTGAGTAGTTTGTGAGACTAAGAAGGCAAAATAGGCAGCGAACCAGCCGCGAGCGCTTTGTTGATGCAGCGTAATCTTGCCTGACATGCTCAGAAAGTGATCTGCTACCATGACGAATGGGCCACTCATGGCAAAAGCGGAATGCTGAAGACCGCCTTGTTGCTTGTGAGTCTCGCTGAGCCTGATGAGCTGCTGTGACACGCCGCTTCCAGCAGATTTCAAGCTAGTCACAACAGCAGGAAGCTTGTCTCGTAGCTTGGAAATGGCTGAGCCCATGACACCAAGAGACTCGAGAGCCATGTTCTTCGCCGAGGCAGTTTTAGCATTTTTAGCCATGTCCAGCATTATTGCGGCCAGGACATTTAGCAGGAACTCTGAAGATGGCCAGTCTGGCAAATCGACCACAGCGATCAGATCCTCGACCAGGAGGTCAAGGATATTTCGGTACGGCGAATCTCCGGTTTTTGTTGTCTTTGATGCTTTGTCTACCAGGAACTGAACAATGCCTTGAGCACTCTTCGATGCAGGTTGGAAAAGCTGGTTGACCTTGCGGTCGAGCCGAACAAACGATTCATTCTCGTCCATGGTGTCGTCCTCGTCATCTTCTGACACATGACCGTCATCGTTAACATCCTTGTCAGAGTCTGGCGGTGTAGATTTCTTCTGGTGGACTTTCTTGACCTTCTTCGACTTTTGCTTTGGCAGCTCCATTGCCGTGGTTTGCACGAGTTGCATGAAAAGGGCAGAGATGAGTTGAATGCTTTGGTTCTCGCCAGCTTTGAACGTCCTGGCACTTCTACTGGTGGACGGCGACTTATCTAGGGAGCTAAGGATCTCATCCAAGATAGCCTGCCGCTCGCGAGGGAAGCGGGCATAAATCTTTGATAGGGTAGCCATTGCTGTTTTTCGAAAGTTCTCGTAGACTTGTAGACCAAGGACTGAGTTCTTTTCATTTGACGCGTTCTGGACGAAGATGAGCTTTGCAGCCAGGAACTCAATGGCATTGACACTAGATTCTCCTCCCTTGACGTCAACGCAGGCTGTTCCTATCAATTCGAGCAGTCTTTTGGTTGTACTGAGCACTTGCTTGACAGAATCCACTGAAGACGATGCAGATTTCCAAAAGTTCGTATCTGTCGAATCTGGACGAGCTTCAATGATGGGAATGAGACAGCTTTCCAAGACATTCACAAGAGCATTTGATGTCCATCTCAGAACTTCAGTAGAAATCCATGACTCGTCCTGTGAATGGCCAAGCATGATATAGAGAGCGACAATGGCGCTGGAAAGACCGTTATCTGCTTGATGTAGCCTGGTTCTCCATTGACCTTGGTCATCCTCTGAGTTAAAGGAAGGACGCAGATTTAGAGTCTGGCATTTTTCGATGGCAGGTTCACAAATATCATGTAAACGTCTCATGGCATCGGCGGGCACATCGGTCAGCCTCCGCAGGTTCAATAGTTTCCTAAGGTCCTCCCGCAGACGGGCCAGTATCTGACTATTGAGTGTAAGACCACTTTCGGCTCCATTATCAAGATCTTCGAAGAAGGGAGTGCTCTTGAAATTGTAAGTATCACCTCCCGAACCATCAACTAAGTCTTGAGCTTCAAATACGTCGTTAAGTAAATCTTGAAATGATTGCAAAGCCTCGTCAGACAGTTGCTTTTGTGTCCTGGTGTTTTGTGGAGCGGTACCATCGTGGCTGACCTTTCGTCTCTTGGGTGAATCAGTAACTGTAACGTAATCCTCTCGCCGGAAAGAGTCAGGCGCCGGTACTTGCACGACCACTTTGTTGGGAGTTGGCTTCTTGACAGGTGTGCCATCCTGAGTGGGCTGCTGATCAGGCTTCAACTTTGGTTCAGTAGGAGTAGGCAGAGGACCGGGCATCTTTGCCCTTGGAGCAGACTTGTGGAGAGTGGTTTCATTGTCTTCGTCCGGAGTAGGATCTATCAGTGCTGTCAGTTTGAGGAGGACAGGTTTATTTCTGCAAACTTACATCTGTAATCCGGTTTGGTCATGTTGAGAACCGATCTGGCCAACGGGCTCAGGCCCAGATTCGAAACGGTTGACGTTGATCGATTAGAGGCAGCAGCTGGTGGAAGCCTGAAGTCACTGTGAAGTTCTTGGTCAGTTCTGTCGGTGACAATCTGGTCAGAAACTTACTATGGAGTGATGTCCGGTCGAGACAGAAGGTCAACCACTTTGTTCCTGATCGTAGCTTCCGTATTTGGCTGTTGGAAGAGCAAACGAGCTTGAGCCCGCTCCTGGGATGTTGCAACCCTGCCATTTTCAAGGACTCGTGCTGGCTGAGGAAAAGGTATCCTATCCGACAAGGGTATTACAGATTGCGCAAATGGAGTAAATTGCAAGGCTCTATCTGGCGACAATTGCCCTAGGCCACATGCTCCATTGGTCATGTCTGAGGATTGTCTTGCCGGAGCTGGAGGCACATTGACCTGGATTGAAGGTCTGCCCGCCATATCGGTGGTTGTCGCAAACCATATGTGGTCTGCCTTGAGATCAAGGATCGACCAGATGTTGCAGTCTTCATGGAAACAAGACTTGGTGAGACACAGTGGGCGAGCCTTACTGTTGATGCACGAGGAAGGCGCTGCCATGGCTTGCACTTTCTGCAAACATATCAGCAACACGTCAGGTTGACGTATACCTGCCGCTCTTTAGCATTGATGCCACCCAAACAGCAGCAACAATTTTTGACCTAACAGACGCGAGGCAGTCGCGGTCATATCTCGACCGCGTTATCGATAGTACCTGCAGCTGCGGGCGCAATTCCCTGCAGAAAAAAGGTTAGACGAGTCCTGAGCATTGAGCGATCATGCTTGGTGCCGCGTTATCACTATACAGTCGCGGTGTAAGCGGCAGCTTTATCTGGCAAGAATCACCACATCTTTTAGAAGTTCTCTTCGACAGCTGCTAATATTGATTTCTACCAATTTCCTCGAGTAGTTCCAGGTGTCAAACTACCAAGATGGTCGCGATAGGTAGTATGCTCTTTTGCGACCACTGCGGCTCTCTGATGCCGCGTACCACTGGAGCGACTTCCGACCAGATGATCAGATGCGAAGACTGCTCATTGTATACACAAGATACCTCTGACAAAGTGATTGTATCGACCTCCAAACCCAGCGCATTCCCATCAGCCCTTCGATCGAAACATACAGACGTTCAGAACGTCAATACAGAAGAGCTACAGGTCGAATCAATAGCAGATCAAGAATGCCCCCAATGCCATGCCGAAGAGATGTTCTACCATACCAAGCAGTTGCGAAGTGCGGATGAGGGCTCAACCGTCTTCTACAGATGCGGACAGTGTGGGTACAAGTTCAATACAAACAATTGAAGTGCAATGAGATGTATTGCTTAAGCAGAGGCAGTGACCTCGGGTATCGTAGCATACTCCATCTGACCTGTGCGCTCATACTCGGCCATGTCCAAAGCCACAACCACACTGTCTCGAACTACCTGCTCTGCGTCATTCAGAAACTGTTTCAGCATATTTTCGACTCCCGGCTCTTCGCCCAAACTTCCCAAGGCTTCAGCCGCCTCGTGTCGAACCATACTTTCCTCATTCTGATTGCTGAGCACTTGATGAAGAGATGGAATAGAAGCAGGATGTGATAGTTGACCAAACACGAACGCGATCTCGTGTCGGAACAGGGCTGACTTATCGGAGAACCCAGTAGCAAGTGCCTCAACTGCTGGCTTTGCTGTCGGAGCATCAGGTGGGGATGCGAGATCCCGAAGCGCAAACATGGCACGATATCTCTTGAAGAGTGGTAAGGAAGTGTCGAGGAGAGTCCACTGGAGAGATTGAATATTTGGTTGTGTTTCTGTAGTCTCCATTGGGGGCGCGGGATCTATTGAGGCAAAGTCAGACTGCTTGAGGACTTCCTTCTTGCCAGCCTCAGACAATTGCCAGGTGATGCGATCGACCGCAATATCACACGTTTCTCGTACCACATCAGGCTCATTTGGATCATCCCTCATCTTCTTCATGGTGTCCAAACTCCCTGCATCTCCTATTGCTGCAAGCGCCTCAGCTGATTCGTGCCGTACCATCGGATCTTCATTTTTATCATCCAATCTATCTCTTAGGAATGGCACCGCCTTCATACTCCTCGTTTGTCCCAAGCAGTAAGAAAGTTCATGTTTGAGTAGTGCCGAAGGTGTGGTAAATGCAGCTGCTATAGCTTCGATCGCTGCTTGTGCCTGTTCGTCGTCCCCTTGTGCAGCTAGATGTTTCAGTGAGAATAAGGCACGGAACCTGCTTGCTAGCGGAACTGTTTCTGAACCCAATGCTGTCCGGAGTGTATCGATCGTGGTGTTTTTCTGGCTTGAGCCTGACTTGCTCTCGAGGTTCGACATGGTTGCGTCCGACGCAGTGATGACAGCGATCAGTCGCAGCAGGGGAAACGCAGTTGATACAATACGCAGGCTGGGGCTGGCCTCGATTTTCTCAATTCGCGGCGCGTAGTAACTTTTTCCATTCGCGGGGCGATCACACTAGCCGGTTTGATCTTATCTGATCGCCAAGTGATTTAGCTCAATCTTTGTGCCTGAAGTCTCGTCTCTGCCTGAGCCTTTTGTCACTTCCAAGTTTCCTCTACCGTTTCTTCCACTCTCGTCGACTCGTCTGCATTCTTTTGCAGAATCTTCAGCTCATTCTGTATACACAACGCAGACTTGCACCGCAATCCCTTTTCTGCAGACCCCACACCCTCCACAATGACAGCCCTCATTCACGACCTTCCTTCCGCCTGGCATGTGGACCAAGCATGCATGTCCGAAGACGAACGCGTTGTCGTAATTCGCTTCGGCGATCCCTCCAAGCCCGAAACCTGGGAACAAGACGAGATGCTATACAAGATCGCCGACAAGATCCGTAATTTTGCTGTCATCTACACCTGCGACAACACCAAGATCAAAGACTTCAACCAGATGTATGAACTCTACGATGTATGTACGGTGATGTTCTTCTGGCGCAATAAACATATGATGTGTGATTTCGGGACGGGAAACAATAACAAGTTGAATTTCTTGATCAAGGATAAGCAAGATTTGATTGATGTGGTCGAGGTGATTTATCGAGGTGCGAAGAAGGGTAGGGGTCTGGTTGTCAGTCCAAAAGATTACTCGACGCATTACAAGTATTAGGTGATACCTTCAGGAGGCGACAGGAAAATCAGGTATCACAGGGAAAGGGTTGGTCTCCTCACATCTTTACATTTTAGGCAACGGCGTCATGATTTACGGCTGGAATACGAGGAGTTATGGGAAATTCAGGGTTGGTCTCACCATCGAAAACAATTACAATGAAGGTCCCTTGCTGACATCGACTTCTCAGTCACTGATTCGTCACGTATTAGTTGAAGTGAGTCTTTCTACTCCACTAACTGCCAGGAAACCATTACCCTCGACCTCTGCTGCTTATCACATTTGCCGTCATGTGCAAAAGGGATGCTTATCTTGCATACGACCGTTGCGTCCCCCACATGTTCTGTACATTGAGTAATATCGAGTTGGAGCCAGTAAGGCTGGCATACATCGCACAGCATGTGCTCTGCGTAGTCTTGTTGCTGTAGCATGTAGTACCGCTCAGATTGACAGTGAGTTCCCCAAGTGGTTGAGGCCTGCATTTTTATTCGTATCAGTTTTCACACGTTCGAAGTGGCCGCTTCGGGCTTCACCAACTTCATCAGTATTGTTTGAGCCAAACTTTCAGCTTTTCAATACTATTCACGAATCACGAACCACGATCCTAAGCAGTCACGAAGTGTCTATGAATTGCTCGTTCCATCTGAGCAAAACCCTATGCTCAGCCGTCCCCATCCATCAGCAGCGACATGAATGTCGATGAATTCAACAAACATGGATGCCGACGACTCTCTTCTCTCCAGTGAGAACAATGATACTGTCTCCGCATCGAGCTTCCCACAAACACAATTGCTGAACCTGAGGAACGACTCGTCTGTCAATGGTGGTGTCACGCCGCTGGAACAGGAAGTGCTTGACGAATATAGCCGGTTACTAGGGAACATGAATCAGGTGAGTGAAGTCTTGACAGCGGCGTTTGAATCTACTTCTTCGCCAATATGGAACGATGGACATTGGTTTCGACTCGGTACACACACGATGTCTGGAAGACCAAGGAAACAGCAACCAGCACATCAAGGCAGTGGTCGAATAGTCTCGACCCATGCTGCAATAGGATTTCATCCAGCCAAGCCGCCAATTCCTCTCAGCTGTGCCAGGAGATACCTCGATCCCTCCCTAAATACCATGTACTGACAAACTCTCCCCGCTATAGCTCACCAGCACACTCTCAGACTTGTCTTCCGGGCCAATCACGCTTGAAATCGCCGAATCACTACGACTCCTCGAGCGCAAAGTCGCCTCAGTCTACACATTAATGAAAGCTAGCGTGTATAGCATTGTCTTGCAGCAGGGACAGGTCGATGGAGATGCGACGCGATTAGAAGGAGAGGGAGAAACGACTGGGGGGATGACTACCTTGCCTATGCGATGAGCTGGGCACATGTATTGCATTGCCTCACAGTCTACCTAATCCGCCTGGCTGTCTATCTCTTTGCTCAAAATTGACAACGACTTGATATACCAAGGAAACCCTTCATCAAAATCGAATACCTGAACAGATAACGGTGGCGACACCACCAAGGAGAAAACAAAACGATCTATGAGGCTCCTTTCCTCTACATACACAGCACCGGGTAGCCCTCTCCGCCGCAACATCTGCTGCGTCCACAATGGTTTCGGTAGACGCTTGTGCATTGGTCAAATCACTATTAATTGAAATAGGCACTCGATCCGAATTCATAGACAGAGCAGGGAGCTGATCTGCTCAGACGAGATCCACGGGGAAGAGAAGGTTGTCGTGTAGACGTCGTACTCTATCATGAGGTGTGGTGGAGCAGACGAGAAGAACCGTTTTACCGTACATCTAGCCTTGAATCCGTGTCGGACCACATATTTTACGTACGACAGAGGGAATGATCGTTCTGTGAGCTAGATAGGGCTGTGTCGAGGAGGAATGTTGCTGACGAGAGCACTGTGACCCTGTATAGACGAAATTAAGAGATATGTATTTGATCTTGCGGGTACGCTGTAAACTACCCTTCCTCATAAGATCTATAGCTCATCCCCGACCGAATCTTATCAGGACTGCCAAGTGCCAGCTGTCCAACAGTTTCACTTCTCGAGGCATGTCCCACCCACCCTGGTAGTTGGTGAAGAACGGCCAAGTTATCAATATCTTTTGCAAGCCAGAGTGGCAATCGATTTTCCCCAACAGCTGCGCCAAAGCGTAACATCGTAAAGGCATCCAACGAGTTCGTCCATAGACCTGTCCAGCACGCATACACTACCAGGATGCTCAAACCGAGAAGTTGAGCAGCGAGCACGATGGAAACCACGATTATGCCCGTGTCTGATATTTTAGGCACCAGCGTATTAGTACCGTGATCGTAGGAGATTGTCATGTAGGATTGAGGGTATCGCGACGTCGAGTTCTGCCAGGTCAGGAGAATCTCGTTCGACAGGAAGGCGGCCTGGTTGAGGAGGATGGAAGTGCGTGGTCGTGCGGAAGTATCGCCATCTGCATCGACTTCGGTGAATAGGCGTAGCCAGGAGGAGATCTGCGAAGAAGCGTCCTGGGTACTGTTGATGCAGGGCAGTTGTGCCAGTTTGCCTAATGGTAATGTGTCTATGCATGTCGATTCAGCATTGTTTGTTTTTGTAAATGCCTCCGGATGAGATGTTCGTTGTGCGAGGAAGGAGTTATTGCCGAAGAGAGCCAATGCCGTGGTCAGTAGTGGTCCTTTGTTACGAACGAGCTCGAGGTTCTGTATTTCAGATGGTGGAGGTCCGACAGGCAAAGGTATTATAGGACCATCGTATAGCACTTCTTCTCGAGGGTTTGCTCCTTTCAGATTGCTGTAAGGCTAGTCAGCGAAGAAGCGAGTTACCGATATGCTGAGGCATACTAGATTGATGGATAATGGTAGCCACTGCCAGTAGATGTCAGTACTGATATTGGTATTGTCATGGAACTTGCTTACTCTTCCGCAACAGTTCCGCCTTCAGGCGGACATGACGCGCCGCAAAGCTCGATAGGATCGCGATCCAGAATGTCACTAAACTGCTGGTGGTTCGCATAGCTGGGAAGCTCGAAGTAACCAGCTGTAGTATTCACCGTTGCCTTGAAGCACTGACCATTGATTTTCAGAAAAAGCGACTCGCTAAAGTCTTGTCTCAGATGTGTAGCCTTCCAAGGCGAGGAGCGCTGATCACCAGGCATACAGACAGTCACATCCCATCCATCACTCGTTCCACTGTATTCGGCGTAGAAGCTGCCTGGATAGGTTCCGCAATCAGAAGGAAAGTCGGACTCGCCAATAGAGTCATAAGTAGCAGAGGTATTGATCCGAGGTATGAATTGCTGTAGCACACCAGTGGTGAAATTGTTCGGCAATTGGGCCAAGAAAGGATGCTGAAGGGCAGTAAGGTTTTGCCATGGATCTACTCCGTCGTAGCTGACGCGTCCGTGCGTATGTCGGTACTCCAGTGCTAAGAATTCGAGCGAAGCCGAGACACCACAAATCGACCCGTAGTCAGCAAGGGTGTCGGCCAGCGTAAGGACATCTTGCCCGGAAAGTGGTTCTGCACATGCTTCTACTGTCAGGTTGGTCCACAGATGTAATTGTAGGTCTGCACTGCTCACACTTTCTAGCATGCGTCGCAGAAGTGGCACAGAGTCGCTGTTCTGCGAAGATGTGTCGTTCCTGCCGAAGAGATCGAGTAGATCGTTTTGGTGGTGTATCCGGGACACCAGATTGGGGACTAAAATGGCTCTCTGTGTCAGGAAGATCTCTTGCAGAGGTGTCACTATTAATCCTGTTCACAGCAAAGTTAGTGGCGTTGCTTTGTCTGGTGAGCTTCGCACCTACCCAGCAGGTTCATGAAAATGGCGACAAGCAGAAAGGAGCTACCGATGCGCTTGAAATTTTGTGGTTTGATCGCCCGTAGAACCATAAAAGGACTCGCCCAGGCCTTGTCTGCCAATGCCATAGTCTGTCTCAAGCTTAGACTTGTACGACTGGAGCTTCTCTGGGTGAATGCAACCGCTGCTTCAGCACATACAGCAGAGGTGAGCGGAATAGACAAGACGGAGACAATGGATTGGATGACCCTCGTGGCTTGAAGCCAGCGTTGATTTCTCTGGTACAGTCCGGCCATGCTGGAATACAAGGAGGCTCGAGTGGTATCGGCAGTATACGTTGGTGCAACAATAGGGCGGAAGGACAATATGCAGGTGATTATCCAAGCAAAGAGTGCCAAGCAGATGTATACCAACACTGAGAAATAGTTATGGTAATATCGGGATGGATTCGCTGTGGTCTCGCTGGAAGACTCCTTGATCTGTGGAATACCCGAAGACCATTCTCGGGAGAGAAAAGGCTCGCTATCATTAAATGATAGCACGTTCTCCTCTGATGATGGCTTCTGGCGCCATCGTGCGCGATCCTCCATCTCCATGTTCAATGATCAAATGCTGGGGAATTAAGAGAAGGAGGTAGCACTGCGATAAGTACTTTTGTGTTGCTCGACCCGCATTACACCTAGCTCCAGCCATCATAGACAGGGTAATGTGTAGGTTCAAGGCGTCTCGTGCGGCGCAGCAGGTGAAGCGCCACCTATTAAACACATGATCATATCGATCAGCAACCACATCACTGCGCCCATAATTAGCACGTTGTAAGTTCAAGCTACTCGAGTAGTTATAAGCCTCTCGTGCTCAGAGCAAGGCAGGTTACGTAACAAACAGCAAGCACAGAAGCACTCATCGATATGATAGGGTGAGGCATGGTGCATCCTTGGACTAGCTTGCTGACCTTCACGACGTCCTTTCTCATTCCAAATCAGCGGCTAAATTCCGGCCACCTCTCACGTGTTTTCACACACCTGGTTGACAGCAGCTCCGACAGCAACTTGGATACAGGCAGTGGTTTAATTATCTTCACAACATGACAGAACTGGACAGTAGCAGTTCTTTTCCGACTACGATGTTTGTTCTCTCCTAGGAGCATGCGATGAGCCAACTACTCAGCACAGGCTTTATGCTTCACCCTCTAGTCCACTTGTACAGCCGCATTCACCTTCGCTCACGTGCAAACAGACGTGGCATAAGTCGACGATGTAAAGCTCTTCGTGAAATGTCATGTCTTACAAGCATGCCAAGAAGAAGTTGAGCAAGTCCGTACGGCAGACAATGAGCTTTGTGTCGTTTCCGGCTCCGGTATCTGTATCGCTTAGTCGCCCTTTGGTTTTTGGCAGATTCGTCCAGTACGCCGCCATAGTCCTTAACATGCGTAGTGCGATACTTGCTTCTGCTGGGGCCTCAATATTTGATATCGAGGCGAAAAAGCCAGATCTCCAAGGACCATGTACCGGCAACACAAATCGATGACTATGGTCAGTTGGCTGCTCGTTTTGGTCACCACTATCACCACAACCACATATGCAGCACAGATGTCTGGCGATCAATTCGCGCGCAAGCTCTGCTCAACTTATAATCGGCCGGGAAAACTCTTCTGCGCAAGTCCTCCTCCATGCCTGCGCCATATCCTCAAACATCCTCGTCTCTGCCCCTCATATCTGCTTTCACACAGGTCTAAATGCCATTGCAGATAGCCACAAACACCTTCACAACCTGTAGAGACGGCAAAAACGAAGTTGAACAGCCGGTGGCTGAGGGCTAGCAGTGTTGGGTTGAAGTAAGCGGGCCGAACAGCGTGAATGAGGTCAGGGCGACCTTTAGGAAGTCTATGCATGGAAGATATCCGCGGCCAGACATTAGTGATGTTTTATAGGTGTAGTGGGAGAATACGGAGCTGAAGTTGGGAAGAACGAGGACTGCTGTTCGTCAGGGTGCACAGCAGGTATATGACCGAATTGGAGTCGAAATTATCTCTTGTGTGGATCTAAGCGAACACGGCTTGGATGACGTGCAGCGCTCCTTGAGCATATCTGTGGTCGCGAAAGGATAAGAGACGTATAGCAAGATCAACCAGTATTAGTGGCAGCTGATCTTGCGACGGATTTCGATCGCCAGTTGTAGGAGTGCATGTTGAGCACATACTGGTACAATGGCTTCGATGTTTCTTCCACCGAGCTTCTTGCGAAATTCTCTTTCATTTGAATTGTATTGGTGCATTCCTTTTATACATTTCCAGCATAGTACACTTTTCTTACATCGACCAACTTCTTGCCTCTTCCTCTTGCAATGTCTTCAGGATCCTTCTGGCTCATCATAGCCTGAAAGGCGGCTTTCACAGTGTTCATCGGGTTTCTAGCCCGAGTGACTCGAGCAGAGAGATCGGTAATGCCGGCACATCGACACATTTCCCAGATGAGATGGGAGCAACGAAGGCCGAATCCTGAGCAAAAAATTAGCAGACCGTTTCAGCTCCTTCTCGTATACTCATACCTGGCGCGCGAGCGTAAAGTTCCAGTTCTGTAGCACCTTCCTTGCCCTTTACAGTCCCGAAAATCGTCCTTGCCTCATATCTCATTACTGGGACCATGTTTCGAATGGCTCTATATTGACTCTGTACCAGTGCCTCTGCTGCCTCTTCACTTTTCCCTTCGCCGATTCCCAGCAGACCGTTCTGGTTTCCGGCAATTGACAACCAATATTGTTTTTGAATCTTGCCTAACCTTGTCTGGTTAACGACACGGTGCGAGACAACAGACTTGACGCGCAGCCTAGCGAGTTCAGTCTGACTCATGCCCGTCATTTGCATTACTCGCAACAGACCAGGAGATACGACATCGCCGGACATGCCTTCCACTTCCGGCTCATCACTCATTGCCTTGCTCGACTCTTCCGACTTGGCCTTCTGGGTAGAGTCATTCTTATAAACCTGAGTCGTGTCAGGAGCGAGCGCACTCCTCGGCGCAAACTCTGCGCTTTCCTTGCCGACAGTGATACGGTTTGTATCCAGGAAATTCTGAAAGGCGTCTGCTGCGGCGTTTTCGTTCTCAGGCATGTTCTCCATAAACCCTAGTATATCCTCATCCAGTTCATCCTCCGTTTTTAGCCTGCTGTTATCGTCCAGGTTTGTCCAAGGAGCACGAACTGGCTTGTCAAGCACAGGATCCACCTCGGTTAAGTTTTCTAGGTAGTACATCTTCCAAGGGCCTACGTTCTTGCGCGTTGTGGCTTGGTATTGGGCATCGAATTTCAGGTTCGCTTGTGTAGCCTCGATGGCTGTTGCTTGCGCGGGAGTGTAGTTTTCTCGAATCTGCTGCTTCGTAAGAGGCTTGATGTTATTGAGTTCGTCAGGTAGTCCATCGTCAGGTAGGTCATCATCGGGCAGTCCATCGTCCTTGTTTGATTGTCGAACAGCAGACGAAGCATGTATCCTGCGGCTTATCGACACCCCTGGCCGTCTCGTCGCCTGCTTGAAGGTGCAGAAGACACATCGCATCGTACGTGCGACAGACATGGTGATAAAGGGATGGAGTCGTGAGTTGTGACCAAGCTTGATGAATGGTTGTGTGAAACTTCGAGTTAAAGGCAGGGAATGAATTACTGCTGCTACTCTATCGCGACTACAGAAACTAAGCCGTGGTTCTGCTCAGCTAAAAGTTGCCGCCCTTCTGCATTTCGAGGCAGGAGATCAAGGCAGCCTCTGATCGATGCCAGTCCCCATGCACTGGAACCTTGGCACGTGATCACCACATTCCAATTCAACATCCACCTTTTCTGAGTAGAAGAATTACCAGTTGTTGCACACGATGTGAAACATACCTCCGCCGGGCCTCATGCCCTTCACTTACTCTTCTATGGATACTCAGCGTCGAACTCGACCTTAGTCGATCGTCTTCGCTTGAGGTATTGTGAATTCTACATCCCTCAATGGAATTGTGGTCACAAACCCAGCCGTCACAATGAACAATACAATTCTAGTCGGTCACCATGATTCGAAGCGCAATGAGATCTTGTCCACTGCTCTTACGCAGCAGGCTCACAGCGCCAATGTGAGACACCGACTCGTTACATGTCTTGATAAGAACAGCTAATTGTGCCCAGTATGACATGCTGACATTTCCTATCACAACCCCTCACTTCCACTCAAGAGTGCTCTCGATCTTATCATCAGCATTCTTGAATGATTCGACTGCACATGAAGCTTTGCATTCTAGCAATGCAGTCCCGGTCTTCGTCGAGCCCCTTACTCCAGCTGACACTCAGCTGACCCCAGATGACTCAATCAGTTCCATCATCGGTGTAACAAGCACTTGGATAGACTTAGGGTCTCCGGATCCCATTATTGCAGATGTTTCCCGTCAAGTCCTGAAGCTGGAGTTAGCATATGCTGCTTTTTGTGGAGTTAGCTATGTCATTATTCCTGGCCCTCGACATGACGCTAGTTGTGATATTGCTGCTTATGCTCGAGCAATACTGGATGGGTTGAGTCAGGGTCCGTACATGACATTATATTTGTGGATGCAGACACACCCCGATCCTGTGTTGCAGAGAGAACAGGTTGGCGATCTGGCCACTTTTGCACGGCGTGGCTACGTTCCAGCAGCAGAGCAGAGCGAAACTAGCAAGGCCGCTTTCCAGACGTGGCAAGCCTGGGACGCTATCCGCTACATTTGCAAGTACTCGACTAGGTTGTGCGTAGGTGAGTGCATATTGAATACCATGACACGTCAATACCTGACCTGATTTTGTAGCACTATCCATCCCTGGAACTCTTCCTCCTCCTGCTGTCGTGTCTCGGTGGTATTCTGAGCCTATTCGCATATTGACCCTTGACGGTACCACGTTCGCCAAAAATGCAAAGGGTTACCCGGCATTATCGGTCAGTCATCAGGACATCACTTTCAAGCTATCGAAGCTCAAAACACAACCTTGGTTAATAATTTGTGATGCCACGCCACTCCCAGCGACGTCGACTACCCCAGGTAAAGCCACAGATGCAAACTATCCATCACTCAAGGCGGCACAAACCATGCCAGTAACAGCACACGGAGATCCACATCTGGATTACATACGACACTTGCAGAACAAGCAACGAAGCCTCACGCCGATGGATCAGTTCGGTGCTGGCTATCAGGACTATCTGCAAGCGCCCCTGCAACCACTGACGGTCAACCTCGAAAGTGTGACATATGAGGTATTCGAGAAGGATCCTATCAAGTACGAATGGTACGAACGAGCTGTAGCTCGAGCTTTGCATGATTGGATCGAGCACAGCAAACCGACTTCAAATCCTGATGGTCGCGTTGTTGTAGCGGTCGTCGGTGCCGGACGTGGTCCGCTTGTAAGCAGAGCACTGAAAGCGGCTGAAGATGTGGGAGTCGACATTGATATGTGGGCTCTGGAGAAGAACCCAAACGCTTTTGTCTTACTACAGCGACACAATGAAGACAAGTGGCATAACCAAGTCAGCTTGGTGAAGTCCGACATGAGGACGTGGCAAGGTCCCTCAACCAACAAGAGTCTAAGCTCGATACCCAAGACATACAACGTCGACCCAGATGAGCTCGAGCAGAACCATAGTGATTTGACAAAAGTCAATAGTCAGAGCTCAAGCATCCTCATGCCACAGATCAATCGCTACAAGATCGACATCCTGATATCGGAGCTTTTAGGCTCGTTTGCCGATAATGAGCTCTCACCAGAATGTCTTGATGGCGTTCAGCATCTTCTGAACCCGATACATGGCATTTCTATACCGTCTTCGTACACTGCCCACTTTACACCAGTTGCAGCGCCAAAGCTACACTCCGATATCTCTCTGTCAATGGTACATACGAATCCTTATGCTGCGGAAGTTCCCTACGTCGTGATGCTTGACCAGGTCGACTTCCTTAGTACAATGGCACCACAATCTCAGCAAGACAGCACGTTATTAAGCCCAACGAAAGCCAAATCTTTCGCCAGTCTCTTTTCGACTAGCTCAAGTACACGAAAAAGTTCCTCATCGGCGACGTCGAACCAGACACCCAAGACAAAGAGTGCTACTCCTCCACCTGCAACACCGGTCATTCACACAGCCTGGTCCTTCCACCATCCTAACCATCAAATCCATTCCTTGACTACCACACAAGTGCCCACCAATGCACATAATGCTCGCTATTGTCGTTTTGCCTTTCCAATCACCAATCCAGGCACATGTCACGGTCTAGCTGGCTATTTCGAGACCGTACTATACCCTGGTGTAGAGCTATCCACCAACCCTCTGACTATGGAGGACAAAAGTGCGGGCATGATCAGTTGGTTTCCAATCTATTTTCCTTTCAAGTCGCCAGTTTTCTTGGCTGAAGGAGCTGTTTGTGAAGTTAGTATGTGGCGGATGACAGATGACAGGAAGGTGTGGTACGAGTGGTGTATGGACGTTTTTATGGCAGTCGCAGATATGAAAATCAAAGTCGGATGTACAGAATTGCACAGCAGCGAAAAGGAAGCCTGCTTGATGTGAGTCGATACAGGTCACGATTGTACTTGTTAGCTGGAAATGATAATGTATCGAGACCATGAAATCTCCTTGTCTTCCGCCGAGATAGGAACGAACAATGACACTACCTGTTTCAAGAGTACGCGACCTTATCCTTCAGTATAGAAGACACAAAAAGGCAAATGTTTTGACCTTAAAAAATGACGATTCAGTCGCACCCAAGATGATTGGGTGGGGCTGTTATCCTATACGACAAACACACACTAAGAGAATTGGGGAAAACTATCACGAACCGACCAATATTATCGATTGGTTAGCTGGTCTCTACGATCACGTAAATTTCCTAAGTCTTTGTGAAACGGATGGCTTCAAGTTGTACGACGCTGAAACAGCACCTGTTGACACCAAGATTAAGACGTTCGACAAGGACTGGGGTACACGCACTCCGGAGCGACCTGGAGGGCTACGAAGAGAGTATATGTTGCAGCCAGCCGATTGAGTAACTTGAATATGCTATGTTGGAGCTGGTAAAGGGAACATACATGCACGCCAGCGCATCGATCGCTTTTGGTAGAGCAGTAGTGAGGAAATGACCATACGACGTTGTGGAAAAGGGGAGAACAACACGCATCGATGCCCGAGCGAGGCATAACGACGAAGAAGCGGAACTCCAGCGAAAGGTCGGGGAGAAGTTTGTGAGTGTTGGCAAATGTCCCCAAAAGCAAAGTTCTCTCAACTCAACTGACATGCTGCCAGGTTATAGTCCTGACTTCATTGTTGACTTCCTGAAAGAAAAGAAAAACAACAAGAAAACAACTCCGGTCGCGGACTCAGACTCAATACGCATCAGCGAGCCACAGCTTGTTCTGGAAATGGCATGACCGACCAAGGTTAGGGTGAGGATCGAGCACTTGTATCCTGAGACATTGGACTATAATGATCTGCACTGGGAATACGACACAACCGACGGTCGCTATCTTTTCATCAACGAGTACATCTCTCACGAACTCCAACAGGAGCTCTTCGATCACACGCAAAGACTCAAAGCACGTCGCGAAAAGCTGTTGGTCACAGATGGCTACACCAAGGATACGGTGTGTTCCTTGGAGACCAAGGACATCCACAAGGACTCATCTGCCAACGATATGTATCTTGTGAGACGAAAGAGTGCTAGAGAAGATCCTACTACAAGGCCGTGCGATGTCGACAAGCTCATTCTGCAGTACACAAACCTTGAGGAGTCTGAGCTACGTGAGTGCGTGGGTGGGTGGGAAAGACTTCGGCGGATCGAAGCCAATGGACGTTCACCTAGCAACATGGCAAGGGTGCTTCATGCCGACTTGCAAGTAAATTTTCTGGGCGATGTATTGTTCAACACTCAATTTAATCGAGACAGGGCGGTCGAACGCAGCAAGACAAAGAACCACTGTGCAATCTTGCTAATGTTTCCATTGCATGGATTACACTGTCCAATTACGCTACTTTGTACATGATAGTGCTCAATCAGGTGGTCATACAAACGAAGGTCAACTCCTTCTGAGCTCCACGGTCACCAATTTGCGCCGCCATCGTCGTCGAACCTCGCCAGCTCTTTATGACTGTGCTCGACGTCCTTCCGAGCCTTCATTCTCATGTAGAATATTGGACAGTCGCGACTTTGGCAGAGCACTTCTGTGTGCACGCTGCCCTGACAGCGTTGACATTGCGTCCACAATCGCCCAAAGCGGACTTCCGCCTCCCCAGCCTTACGTACTGTCTTCGAATACATTTCCACAGTTCGTGGCTTGCAATTCTCACAGACCGCACCATTGGCTTCGTGCTTACCGACAAGAGGCTTTTTGCAACCCATGCAGGTCATTGTTTTCTTGGTGAACTTCATCAACCCACCCATAGTAGGTGCGGCCACCACAACAGTACGAGTATGAGCACCAGCCAACAAGCTGTTGGCTTTCTTCTCTCCCAGGATAGGTTCGAAGATACGCCCCAGAGGGTTCGCAAGTTGGTTGTCCAGGTAATATTTCGTGTCAATCGGTATGTTATTCTCGAGTACATAGACAGGATCTTCCGACTTCTCATAGTTCTTGCTGTCGCCACGACCTTTAGTCATCACATATGCAATACGATCTCCAAGAGCGGCAGCCGAGCCACCACGCTTCTCCATGCGCTTGGCTAATTCAACGTGTGCTTGCTTCGAGTCGTATTCATGTTTCGTGTATTGTTTGGTGATCACTAGCATCGACAGGTCGACTTTGTTCTGTAGTAGCTGTGAGATCATTCTCTTGACATATGCCAAAGCACCATTGACGTTCCGATCGATCAGGATCTTGCGAAGCACAGTCTCGATGACAATCTGAACGAGACGACAATTGTCGCGACGCACGGTCTCGATACCTTTAGTGTCCATTTTGTCAAACTTGTCAGGGTTAGTCCAGTACAGACCAGCATAGCGTTTCTTGTTGATAAGAAGATAAGGGTAGTAGACCTTCTCGAACTCCAACTTGATAGGGTTGGTGAACTTGGAAGAAACATAGTTTGCAGCTTCTTCACCGAGCTTCATGACCTTTTTGAGATCCTTCTCGCCGAATTTCACCATGACAGAATCAGTGTCACCATAAATAACTTCTGCGTCGTGAGTATACCCGTTGGCGATTTTGTATTTGGCCTCCACTTCCGCTTTCGTTTTCTCAATCATTTGGCGACCATAAGATGTCGTGCTCGATGCGATGGCAAGGCAGGGTAATTTGCCGGTGGTAGCACCTGTAAGACCATACACGGAGTTAGCTGAAATTTTCAACGCCAATTGTCGACCGTTCAGCACAGCCTTCCTGAATGGATCGGTTTCTACAGCCATCTCTTTCTTTGCTCGCTTACGAGAACCAAGCAATTCTTCTAGAATTTCAGTGAGCAAACCTTTCCTGACGTTGGAAGTACAGAAGAGGTCGCCATTAGGTGTAACTATGTAGTCCTCGTCCTTCTTGAGTTTAAGCTTTTCGATCGTATTTTTGTTCAGTAGTGTGGTGTAACACAAATTGTGAGCCTGAATGATGGATGGATACAGTGAAGCGAAATCCAGAGTAGCAATCGGTACATCGTAGTAGCCCCGACTAGGCTCAATGACTGTCGCACCCTCATACGCCTCGTCAGGACTATCGTTTTTGAGGTTAGGCACAACGAGGTTCTTTTCCAAGGCTTTCCGGAACAGCTGACTGATGAATTTAATTTGTTGACCACGTGATAGCAGGAAGTTGAATGGAACACCTGTTACACGAGCCATTTCGGTGTAGTTGACTAAAGCCATCAGCTTGTCCAGAAGGCGGAGAGGAAGGTAAGCATCCTTCAAGCAGTAGACGGCTAGACGTCTTCTCGTGTCCGGATTGGCGTTCTGTAGCTCGGTGATCATACTATGATGAACGTCTTCTTTCTGTTCATTCAGGAAATGCGAACAGACAGCATTCAGGGTGTAACTTCGCAGGTGATAATCTCGTTGGATGAGTTGTAGCAAGTCCAGCTGAATCCTGCCGTTCGTGTTCGTGGCTTTGCTATCACGATTTCCCATCTGTTTACTTGAAAAGCTGGTTGCCGTGGCTGTAGATGCTACACTGTTGAGACGCGACCAGTAGGGAAACTTTGTGAGCTTGAGATGCTTCGCTCGATCGAGCAGATATGGAAAATCGAAGTTGGAAATGTTGTAGCCAATGATGACATCTGGGTCGACCTTCTCAAGGAATTCGCGCCATGCCATGAGCAGTTTTTCTTCGCTAGTGTGCTCATATACTTTCGTATTGACGATGTTGCTGCAAGTATCGAGGACGAAGACGTTCCTGATGAATGGTTTATCCTCTCCGTATATGTTGACAACGTTTGCGATCTGAATGACAGGATCGGTGTTGGGTTCTGGAAAAACACCTTTTCGTCCGGCACACTCAATGTCAAATGACAAGATACGCAGAGGTGCCATTTTAGCCCATTCTCCATCGTGACCCAGGGCAACCAAATCTCGGTAGTGACAATGTGCTTCGATCTGACAATTCGATTGTCGGTCGTATTGGGGGACTAGGTCATATTTGCCAGCTGGAACCTCAACCCAGCACATGCCTGTTACACTTGTATCAATCATAAACCTCAGAGTATACTGTATGTTGTCAAAAGTCAAGATACCACCATCAACACCTTTCCACAACCCCTTGTAGTTGGCATTGCCATGCTCAATAGTGGTACGTAACCTGTTGATGTATTTCGGGTTTGTTACCGTGATTTTGAGGTAGGGACTTTTCTGGTTGCCTTGAAAGCCGTATATGTTTTCTCTGAGCACCATTTGTACGGAGGAAATAGCCTGTTCATGCTGTGCAAGTTGTGTTTCGAGGTAGGCTTTATAGCCATCGATATCCTGTCGTTGAAAATTGATAGGGGCTGCGACGTAGAGGTAATGGAGAAAGCCGGAGACATGCAGGAGGATAGAGTTGCCAGTCTGGTAGACCTGGTCAGTACTGTTTTGAACATACTTGAGTCAAGACATACCTCTGAGATACCGAACATCTTCAGTGTCACCTTGCCGCCATACAGTGTGCCTTCCTCAATATCAATAGACTGGAATCTCAATATCTCCTTCTTGGGTTCAAACCCGACAAGTGGAGGTCTCTCCCACTGCTGATCTCTCTCTGCATTGTTCTTTTTCAAGCCTGAAATGTCCTGACTGAGCTTCTCCAGTACCTCTGTCTCGAAGTGGCTTGGTTGACTCGACTCCAGATTCTTGCCAAACGAAGTCTTGGGGCCTGCTTGAGATGAGCCAAAGGAGCCATTGAGCACATCGTCGTTCAGCTTTCGTTTCTTCGAAGACTGCGGCGACTTGAGAACGTTGGTATTGTTGCTGTCAGTCAGCGCTCGCTTCTGCGAAGAGACCACGCGTCCTGGCATGTCTGATGGTTGAGACAAATCGATGATGTTGCTGTAAAATCAACCTCAGTCCTGGCCATGATGATCGTGAGAAATGGGGAAGTCGCGTCCATTTCCTCCGACGTGTCAATGACGTGACGCGCCTTCCTCGACAAAACCACTCTAGGCCGAACATAGGTTAGTGGATGAGTAATGTGGGTTCTGGTTTCTTTCTCAAGTCTTTACAGCTCTTCTTCGAGGCATTTGACTTGGTGCGAGATGCTGTCCAGGCAGACATTCGACGCAGTCTTGCTCCGGAGGCGACCATGTATCCAAGTCCGAATAGTACGACAATGAGGTACAGAATTTGTACTATCTAGTTGAGGATTGGCACTATCAGCCATACTTCGTCTGCACCTGCCCCTCTCTATTTGCCAGGCCATCGTATTGCAAGCATGTCCTGCGGGATGATATGGCGACATATGTGTGAGTACTAGGTTTCAGACATACTGGGCGACTTAGGTGTTGCTTTTACGGAATGCAGTGCAGCGTCCGAGCTTGACCTTGAGCTTCCCTTGCCGCGCTGACGCTCAATATGTCAAGATGTGATACAACAATGTACCTTTGACCATGATTCGACCACTGACACGAACACTCGATTCTGGTCTTTATTCCAGTATGTCGCATGACGGCTCGACTCATGGCCTACTTCGTGCCGTTACCAGAAATACTCATGTCTTTGTGTCACGAGATCGCCGTTCCCGGCACTTCAACAACCTTTGCGATGAAGACACGACGTCTTCCACAATTGCAATATACTCCGCTTGATATTGTGGCACAGATGCCGGATACCATCATCGTTCTACGTTACTAGCTTCACTGCAATGACAACCAAAGGTCGCGGTGAAGAGGCCGCTCTTCCACCCGTACAACGACCTCCAATCTTGGCTTCAAGTGATGGTGTTGGCAACCGGCCTCGCGTGAGTCCACAACACACCGGAAAAGCTCTATACTAATCTGCTCAGGTCTCCCACCTCCTCCGCTTCGCCCGCTTGAATGCCGGTCAGAAACCGAGATTACTCGAAAATACTACTAGGGTTGCGACCAAAGGCGACTTTGCTGGTCGCCTGTCGTACAGAGATGCTGTCCTTCAAGTTCTGATGAATACGCCAATGTTTGTGAACTTCATCAGGGCTCATTACAGAAGATTCTTGGAAAGGAACAAGAAATGTCCTGTCATGAGGAATTGCCTGTCATGCTCTATAGCTTCGTTAGTCGGCTGGTACTGGGCAGAAATTCGCAGTGCAGAAGCAACTTCTGGCCTCAAAGATGCTGTGTCCAGATTATGGCATGCCTGTACCGCCACCTTTTGTGAGCCAAAGAAACACGATCCAACCTCGACCGTGCAGGATTTCTATACCGAGCCTTTCCTGCTTCACCTCCTTGCTGCAATGCAGCGACAATTGGAAGCCAGTCCAAGGCAAGTCCCTCGTGTTACCCTGGCTCTTTGCTAATTACTCTAGTGAATGGCACACCTTCCGCCAAATGTTCACTATCAATCAAGCACGAAGGTATAAGTGTTGTACCTGGACCACTACCCACCATCGTGGAGAAGCATTGTACCTTCCGATTGATGTTCAAAAGCCCACGAGGCTCGTACCATACACTGAAATTCTGGTTGGCATAAAGCGCGCTCTTGTCAGACAAGCACAAATCCTTGGCACTCGACGAGGCGACAGCACCGCGCCGCGTTGTGCCATATGCAACAAATTGCCAAACACGACTGAAATTCATATTTTGGATTTTCCTGAGGTTCTCATTCTCGTGCGCAATATGGATCCTGTGGAAGGTAAAGAAGACGTCATCATCCCCTACCAAGAGGAGCTGAGTCTGCACGATCTCACGGGTGTATCAGTCTCTGAACAGACCAAGCCACAGCTTGCAAGAGATTATGCTCTCGTGGCAGGAACAGCAGAAGTGCGTTACGCAGCAGGTATTTCGAAACATGTGGCATTTGTCAGAGGCGGGCCTGTTCAGCTGATAAAGAATTGGTTCATCATCGACGATGATCGGGACAGCGATGGTCCGAATGACCTGACTGAGAATGGGTTAACCGTCCTAAATCAATTGCAAAGCCAAGGAAATGTTACTAACAAGAACGTGTGGTACAATATCCTCCCGGAAATCTTTGTCTATGTTCGTACAGACGACGTTGGTGTGAAAGACCCCAATTACCAACAAGAATTCCTCAAGAATTTCGGTCTAGTTAGCCCAGTCGACACCGACGAGGCATACCGAGACAAACGCCTAGCAGGTCGTGGTGTAACAGATATCTTCACACAAACAATCGGCAGGGGACTCTTGAAATTTAAGGTACAACTAGCACCAGCTGATCCAGGTCCTGACGAAAGCGTGCCTTTTACACTTGAGATGGGCTACGAGCTGGATAAGAAGCAATGGAGCGTGAAAGAGAAAATTTATGGTAGACTCGAGCCACATGATGTCAACCAAGGTGTTCCCGAGGAAGCAGAGGAGACACCTATCGAGCGCCAGCCCTTCAAGCGCTACCAGAAACGCGGAGTAGGCCCTGCAACTCCCAGGGATACATTCTTTCCAGCTGGCGTGTCAAGCACCGCCTACATACAGCCAGGGTAAGTCCTACCCCTTCCATGCAACACCTATCATCATCTCACTAACCTAACACTTCATAGTAGCACCACTCAACCACGCAAAATCCCCACCTTCGCTGATAAAGCCTTCGCAACCACCGGCCAAGGCGCCTTCGACAGCGTCAACCAAAATCCCTTCACCTCCACCGATAACACGGAAGCCAGTGTAGACAGCATGGACGTCGACGAGAAACTCACCACTATCTGGGCTACGCGTCCGGAGATCAGACAAGCATTTGAGGAAGCTCAGCAAAAAGCGAAGCGCGAGGCGAACAGGGATTACGATCGAGATACCTGGGGAGCTAATCAAAATAACGGTAAACATGGTGGTGGTGGAAAGCATCATAAGCACGGTAAGCATCATGATAGAAAGGGAGTGTTTGGCAAGAACTTCAAGGGCGGTAACAATGGACATGGGCATGGCGGAAAGCATCATGGTGCATTCGGTGATGGCAATCACATGGGTAAAGGTGGAAACCGTGGTGGAGTCAGAGGAAGACGTGGTGGAAGGGGTCGTGGAAGAGGACGTGGGCAGTGAACAATATCGTTAAGGTAATGGGTGAAGGATAGAGTAGTGTATTTGAGCACGTTTTGATACATGGGTATTATGCGCTAAGCTCAGGAGAATCATGCAGTTCTGTCGATATGTGCATAATCCTCATCTCTGCGTCTGATGCATCTCAAGGGCGCTCCGATAACCCAACGCCGCACGATCTATACCAAGATCTGCTATATGATGCCGCTAACCCAAAACAACGTTACTGACAAAGTTGATGCTGATGAGCCCTCTCCTTTCAACAGGTAACATATTCACATGATCTATCATGACACCTATGCATACCTGAGTCTGAAAATACCCTACCTCGACTCGTCGTGTAGCAATGCTACAAAGATTCTTAGAGCTGAATCAGATCCACCTCTGAGAAATCTGGAGGCGCACCACTGTACACACACCGTCCTTTCGAGTCCAGACCCTGTCTCACATTACTGACCCAGATACTGCCACCATCACTATCAGCTCCATGACCGTTGATCATTCGAAATTTCCTTCCGTCTGCGTAGCCACCTTCACCTCTCCTCTCACGCTCTTCAGATGTCAGTTCCGGCTTGGCGAAGCGTCCTATGCGTCGGACTTCGTCGTCTGAAACCCCGAGCTCGTCTCGTGGAATCCAGATCACGGGTCGCCGGGCACGGAGAGCGCTGTGTTGAAATGCTCTTTGGACTAGAGCATCGCGCTGTTCTGGTGACAAGTCCTCGAGTTCGTCGTTAATGCCGGAGTAGAGTGCGTCGGAGAGTTCGGCGCGTGCTTTACGTTGCGCTTCGATGTCGTGCACGTCGCCAGCGATGGGATTGAAGTTGTTGATGGCGTCGAGAGCCTTTTTGGCTGGATCTGGGGTGCCTCTGCCATGTTTGCTCGACGTACTGCGATCGAGGTGTTTATGTGACGAATACGTGTGTTCCGCTGATTGTCGATGACGACTGCTTTGAGTGGATCTTCGCTCGCTCTCGGCTTGATTATAGTTCTGTCCGAAATGACTGCTTTTTCGATTGCGAGTGTTGCTCCTGTCTGCCCATGAGCTCTTTCGGCGTCTACTAAGGCCGCGCTGAATGGGGACGGGAAGTGCATCGACAGTTTTGGAAGCGAGATCTTTGGTGACCTTGAGTGATTTGTACGCTTTGCTATCAGAATCCAGATCCATAGTGATCTCGGGGTTTTGGATGGTGTATGGGGCCAACTCCGGTTCGTCATTGGTAGCAATTTGCTGAGGGTCGCGTGGGAGAGTCTCTCGGTTGCGATTGTGGGAATATGATGTGATACGTCTCATTTCGTATTCTTGCATCTGCCTGTCATCTTCGCGCTCATGACGCTCAGCGTCTTCAAGCTGGTCTTCAATATCCTCGTCTTCACGCTCTTGCTCCAACAACTTCTCGTGGGCTGAATTGTGATGGTTATGACGCAAACGCATCGCTCGAGCAAATTCCTCGTCGCGCCGCACAGCGTCGTCCTCCAGCGTGATAGGCAGATAACGGAACAGTGGGCTGAATGCTTGATTGAGGAGGATCTGATATCCTGCCGTCAGGATAACCATGACGATAGTGGCGATTGCTTGTCCCTCGCAAGCAACACTTCCATTTTCATCTCTGACCAGGAAAAACAGACCGATCAAAGCAATTTCCAGAACGTAGACACCCACAAAGGTGCAGTTGATGGCGTTAGGATACAGAAGCCCGCCAGTATCCAGAGTGAATCGTGTGACGTAGAGAGTATTGTAACGATAGACAAACCAGAAGAGAGAGAAGGTTATGATGTTGAATATGAGGATAAGAGGTGATATGACTGAATAGATGATGCCAATGCAAGCAAAATTGGTGTAGACAGGAAAGAATGTGCCCCATTGAATGCTCGACAGGTTTGTTTGCCTTTTGAACTTGGCTCGAGCTGTACTGTCGAGTATTGGAGCGAGGATAAACCAGACCACCAGCGATCCGATCTGCAGTAACGCTCCAGCACTCACTGACAGTGCTTGTAGCAGAATGTAGGAGAAGAAATAGTTGCTTGCTGTTGGAATCGTCTGACCGAGGAGATTAGGCACACTAGCTATCCCCTCAACACTAGTGAATGATCTGACAAGCTGTACTGCTGAACTACCAATAGTGACGATCAGGAACAGTTGCACAAATATGAAAAAGAAGTAATACTTTTGTACTGAAAGCTCGACCAGCATACCGGATTTGACTCCCTGAAATCTGCATAGTGCTCTGAGAATGACCGGCAGCAGAAAGGTGAGGAGTGCGAGGAGTATGATTGGAAGTACACCCTGAAGAAATGACCTGAACCATGTTGGCAGGTCCAAGATCCAGCGGAGCCAATGATATTGTTCGGCGAGTGTGGTCAACTGTGACACCGCGGACGTGAAGGCTATGGGTACAGCCCAGAGAATGATCATGCCAATAATGACGCCAACAACCACGGCAGTTCTGACATAATCCTGCCACCACGGAATCGACATGTTGTCCCATATAACGTCGTTAGGATCGATCTCGACCAGTCGCGGGTCCATTTGTTTGGGAAGGTGATGACTGAGTGACTGGCATGCCATATGAGCCGCGACTTGATGATTGAATTGGATGAAAGCAGAGTTCATCAGTGGAAAGCGCTCAGGATTTGCTTGGTCATCCTCAATTTCGACATTGAGTCTGGCAACCTCCTTCCGGCACCAATAGATTGTATCAACCTTTTGACCTATAAAAGGTATCGATGGCATCCACTGCAGCCGTAAAATGGGGAGTCTATGTGTGTCACGGTCCTTCTCTTCAATGTAGTTACGCCAGACTGCGTCCTGCTCATCCGTCTCGAGTTGCTGGTTGAAGGCTTTTGGGTATTCCACAGGCTCTTTGTCGTCACTATCAAGGCCTATCAGTCTCAAAATTCTCTGACCAAAGGTAGGCTTTGGTTGTGGCTTCCCTTGCGCCATCTTCTTCTCATCCGTGCTAGAGACGGGACTGACAGGGCTCGCCAGGTTAAGGGGGCGCCGGTCGTTGTCGTTGGGTTGGGCATCGCGAGGGGTGTTCATTGTGCCGTCGAGATCGAGTGGGGATTTCGGTGAGGTAGGATAGAGGTTAGACGTGGCTAGAGCTCGATTAGTGGTGATCTTAGCACCAACTTGGACGGAGTCATGTCGCGGTGCTGCGCTACGAGCAGTGGCATCGTGAGCCTTGGTGGCATGGTGTCTCTCGTTGTTATGTATAGTGCTGGATTGACTTGGATTTGAGCTGTGCTGGTGGTGGCCGCGGTTTTCGCTTGGTGGAACGAAGCCACTGGTGTTATCAATGACATGATTCACGTCTTTTCCCGCGTCGCGGACACCACCACGAAAGCGGCCGGTAATCTTTGTGAAGCCGTCTGCCACTGCCTGGATACCCTCACCAAGGATAGGTACAGGCAGGATGTTGTTCTTTTGTGGTTTGGCCAGGTCTTCATCTTCGGAACTCGAGCTTGATGCTGAGCCAGGTCGAGGCTCGTCTTCTCCGAGTGCTCCAGCTATCGTGTGCTTAACTTGATGCGGATCACCCGAGCTGACACCTGACTCGTTCTCAGCATTCTGACGACCCATCTCATCTTTGTCTGCAGCTTGCTTCTTCCTTTCCTCTTTCGTCAGTTTCGTACCAGCCTCTTTTGCGGCCTGTTTGATGTTTTCTTCGTTCTTCTTGAAACACTTCTTGATTAGATCGGTCTCGGCGGATTCGAGCTGCAGGGCGATTTGGTCACGCAGCTTCACCTTCTCACTAAGTTCGTCGTAATTACGGTTGATCCAGATGTTGCGGATGCCACCTGGGAAGACATCATACAGCCCATCAAGAGCCTCAACAGTACACCATTTTGATGGGATCGAGCTTACTAGCACTGTGGTGGCAGACGCCCGTAATCGGTGTTGAGGAGAAGTGATGTAGGCTTGTCGCATGCGAATATAGTTCCTCAGCTCGTCGTAGGAGACATAACAGATCCAAACGACGAAGAGGAATGCCATCAACCAGTGACCCCAGTAGCGGCGATTTTTCGCAGGCTGGACATTTCCCCAAGCTAGCTGGTTCAAGCCTGTAACATTTGCCTGGCCTTCGTGGTCAAGTGCCCACGTCTGGCCTCTACCTCCTACGTAATTCAATGGTATTAACACAGGCAGGAGGACAAAGGCGGCAGGAACGAAGATCTTGAGGAGTGTTCTAAGGTATCGGAGGAAAAAATAGGCATCGAGGCCACATTTCTGCACGAACTCGGAGTTGGAGGTCTTCAGCACAGACTTTGCCCATCTGAACCAGCCTGGATCTGCCGGTTCGGTTCTCTCTCGTGGAGGGACAAGGTAGGTTCGTGGCTGATAGATTCGTGCAAGGCGGTCTTTAATTAGGAGAAAGATGAAGAACTGGATCACGAAGGCAACGATACCCGTGACCAGCGATGCAGCAAACTGACCAGCACTTTGACTGGAGGTTTTTGCGACCTGTGTGTTGTTACTCAGGCCTGGAATATTCTGACGCGGTAAGAGGTAGACGTCGTAGGAAGTAAAGTGGTCCATCTCGGCTGCGGACGTTGCACGACCTGATTCTTTTTGCCTAAAATGCAGTATGTACGGGTATCATTCTGTCCAACTCTGTCAGGTGCGATCGCTCAGTCACGCTTCCGTTGGCTCGCTTGTTGCCTTGAGTGGCTCAGCTTCTTTGTTGCGGTGGTGTAATGCCCAACGAACTCTTTGCGTCCAGCGCGTAAATCCGCAATGGGGGAGGAAATACAATGTACTTGTACAAACGCTCAGAACGCCAAAAGCAAAGGACGAGAAGTGGTATGAACAAAGAGAAACGAGAAAGCGTTGTAGTCGTCGTGGCTTCCTGGACGTCGTCAACGAGCGCAAGCGCAGTTGGATGGCACGGTCTACCAAATTGGCTCATGGACTGTGCCATGCTCTGCCATATTTCTGATGGCTCTGTTGGATGGGATTGATTGGCCAGCCACGCACACTCCTGCGCTTGTGACGAGCCATACACGCGGTGCCAAGCTAAATCTGATGAGCCATGAGGTCATGCCTCAGGTTGAGTGCGCGCCCAAGCAAACATGATAAACGTTGGAAGCACGGCACTACGGAGGTGCAAGTAATCAACACGGCAGGCATTCTGCGCCAAAGTAGCAGTGCTCAACGGCATCCTCATGGCGACTGTAACTGAACTAATGCAACAGTAAAGACATTGGTAGCATGAAGCATGAACATAAGAGACGCTGCCACGTCCGAAGTCAATATCGGGTTCTCCCGAGCGTTTCTATCATAGTCAAGGGATCCGATATCGAATTTGATGTCAGAGCTGTGTTTACAGTGATTTTGACGCTGACCCGGGATCACAATTTTATTCATTTCTGCTAAAAGCAGTCTTACTTGCGGTTCACTGCCTCTTGAAATGCCCGAGATCCTTCTACAATTCCTGTGGTACAACCTACTTCTTCTACTCGCTGACGTTCTGTGGCTATACCACATACCAATTCCACGACTTCCTTCACACTGAGGCCAGACACGAAGCAGTTGTCGTCAATGGTGGCAAAAGGCACAGCAGCTCAAACCGGAATGGTGTGGACGAAAGCAGCCGGGGTGCAACGCAATCTGATGGAGGAGGCGCTATTTTGTCCAACTGTCTCCATTCGTCCTACACGCATTGGCTGTTCTCAGCTCACGATCGAGACTCTGTTTGCCACGAGATGCATTCCCTCCATCGATGTTCGAGAATCTGGATGCGCAGATCGCAAGGATAGAGATTGAAGTAAATAAAGATACAGCCAGCGATCTACTCGAACATGAAACACCAGGGTATACCATTCTCGCCAACAGCGCTGATTCACTCGATCGTGTCGTCGACGAGGTTGATGATGGTTCACTTCGTCATCAAGGTGTTCCCAGTAGCTGCAGACCCGATTGTTCATCGGAAACTTCCATGTCACGAGCAATACATGACCTTACCAACTATGAAACAGAAAGAATGTTTATACGAGTACTCTATGTTCTGCACAACTGTTCTGCAGGCATATTGCAAACGTGAAACATTGCGCTGCTTCAACAATGCGACCTTTTGCGAGGCATAATGTTTGTCTCCCGGCTTCCCAAGCTGGATGCAAATCTCAACCATCTGGGGAACTGGCGTCGGGCTCTGTCAGGGTAGGGACTGCTGTGGACACTGTGATTGGTGCGAGCAGGCGCCCTGTTGGTCTTCGTGACCACATTTTCAGGCCAGGTGCTTGTTTACCTGTGGAGCTGGTCCAGAAATTACTCGTGAGGACTTTGGCTGTGTGCAGCGGCTTTGCGCGAATTGCTCCTCCACGCTAGGACAAGTGGCCTTTGCCACTCGGCTGCTCCTGCACTGCAAGCATGCATCTTCGTGCGACAACCACACACAATTCTACGATTCGTGGCATGACCTACGGATTTGACGCCTTGACTGGCTGCAGACACTTTGATCATATTATCGTGGCTACTGGTGCCCAGTGCTTGCCTGGTTGCCAGATCCGTCTGGAAAAACTGGTTCCTGCGCCCTTGAGACTAGTCCCTAGCTGGAAGGCTAACGAAGCTAGTACATCATCGTCCCCACCGATTATCCGATCAGGGCCTGCCTTCTATTATTGCTCCTTCCTCTATTCGTACTCTACCTTTCCTGTTCGCAGCTGCCTTCCATTACCTGGTCAATTATCCCACCAATTCATTGCTCTCGTCCCTTGCTATTCAACAACGACGCATACTTGCCTGAAGACGCAAGTGGTCTCTATCCTACGACTCTATCACAAAAAAAAATCAGCTGACGTGTCCTTTGTTATCACTTGACTACTGTTCGTTCTCACCGCAATTTGCCTCCTTCAGCCGCCCTCGAACCCCGAAGCCTGCCAGTTCGACTCTATCCGCATCATCCTGCAACGTTTACCTTTGCTTCACTTCTACTGCAATCATGTCAACCTACTTCTATGCTTCTCATCAGCAGATGCAAAACTCGCATAACATGATGCAATCCTCCAGTCACCATGGTCGCACCCGTCGAAACCAGCGGATGTCTTCTGCACAGCCGAGCAGTCGGCAACACCGACAACAGCATCAACAACCAAAGCAGATCGAAAAGTCTATTGCCGTCGAAGCTCCAACGTTGACTACCTTCCGAGCTCGTTTCGAGGCTGGCAGATCTTTCGATCTGGATGACGATCTCGAGTTCTGCCCGAATCTTTTGACATGGGACGAGGTAAGTGGCCATGAGCTCACTTCTGTCCTACATTCTGACCTGTATCAGCGTCAATCCGTAACGTCCGGTTCATCCGACCGATCGTCGTTGTCAAGTGGCTCGCCGGATAGCTCGCCGCTTCAACATCAGATACAGCCTCACATGGTACCAACTCTGTCTTTACCAACTAGTTCCTACGTTTCACCACCTACAGCTTATGCCATGAACAACCTTCATCTGCATCAACCTTCCGCTATTCGGACACGAAAGGCCATTCCCATTGTTAATCCTGATACCCGAAGCCGCATGAGCCCACCATCATCTATCTCTCCAAGCATGATGCAACAAGGCCAGCGACCTCGCTGGTGAGTCCGCCAATGGTGATACTCGATACTACGTGACCAGGGTTCCCCTTGAAAGTCATTGTTGTGCATCTTGTTGTCAGTCAGTGGCTAGTGTTGTGATGTATGGTGAGCTCATGCCTTCGTCTCCTTCAAACCTAATTTCAATCTTCACGACTGTACATTTTTACACGACCTCATGCGATCGATTGGATGATAGCGATCAAGATAAGGCATAGCGATTTGATGATATTCACACATCATGATACAGATACCCAAGACTATGTGGATATTGTTGGGCGGCGACAAAAGACTGGAGTTTTATTTGTGTTCTTGGATGTGAGCGGCACAGCGATGAACTAAACCTGGACGACTTGATTTGTGCAAGGAGTTTCGAGCATTACCAGACCTATTTGACATGATGATGATATAGGTGTTTCTCTTTTTTCATATGTATTTTGGTGCCTGGTACGGTCACCATACGAGCAGTACAGGGTCGAGTTGGATTCGCATATCGTGGTTGGGCGTTGTTCTTTTGCAATGAAATATACCTGGTGGTCAAGTTATTTAGACGGGATTATATGATGATGGTGGATTCTGGACACGACACTAACGGATGATACTTCATCGAACGAGACATATTTGACTGGTCACATATAAAAAACGACCCAAGAGGGTCTATGGATCTACGTCGCTCACTCGCCAGACTCATTTGGTCTGTACGCTGTATTTTAGCAATAGATCTACGTCAACTTCGTTCGTTAACCGTTCTGTTCAATATCCGTAATACTGGTTGTTTTCAATTGTTCAAAGTTGTTTTCGCTTGCATCGCTATCCCTGGCGATTAGCTGAATCAGTCGTCTGCTTTATGAGAAACTGGCCACGCGGGCTGAGCAGTGTTCAAGCCTTGTGGAGTCGGAATGTCGAGAATTACCGTATTACTGGTCAAACCTGAGAGTCCACGTTGAGTTGCCGCATTGCAGTCACCATATTATAGATTTCCAACGTCGTGCTGTAACTCCACCAGATTCACGATGTCCCACTTTCGGTCCCTCAAACTGCCTTATTATTCGGTTTGTACAATCCTAGCTGCAACACCTTCGAGCCTTCTTGTACCTGCATGACATATTGTGCCAAGCGCAGAACTCGTCAGCTTTGGACTCTCCCTTCGAAGACTCGTACATAGAGTACATCTTGGCATAAGTCCCTCTTGTGTCAGGGCCAGCTGAAAGTCTCGTTGCATGTGTCTTTGGCTACACCTAATCTTGTTAGGATCATATTTTCTTCTTGACTCTTGACCACGACTTCGCTCAAGGACTATATCGCTGGGTCAATAGATAAGATGGCGCTGTCTTCCAGATACGCTCTTTTGATCCTACTGATCGCATTGGTGTTGTTCAGCACACATGCTCATGCCTTTGGCGCAGGAAGTAAGTCCAATTACATCTCAAAGTAGCTTGCTAGTCTGACTGTCTAGACATCGCCTCGATATCCAATATCGAGGGCAAGAACTGGCGACATGGTGATATCGAAGATCTACTGAAGCAGGTAACTTGTATCAAGCACCACAAATGGACTTCTATGATGATCAAGCGAGCCTACTTTGGGTATGTTGAACGCATTCTGGCAAAGGCTTCGCAATGCTGATGTTCACCAAAGCAATTGGCTACGAGATTACTCGCAAGCCATGGATACAGGTGCCTTAAAGAAGGCTCAGCCAGAAAGTATCAGGATCCTTGTATGGTTGCTATCCTTTTTAGGCTTTGGTTATGCTACCGCCGAGTTCGAGGTCACATCGGAAAGACTTGGCGTTTATAGGCCAGAGGAACACATTGAGTTCGTTCTCCCTTGAAGAGGTCAGAAGCCCTGCTGACGACTCGCAGCAACCCGAAGAATTACAACGACGACCAAGATGCGCGACCTTATGACGCTCGCCTACGTGCTCCTGTCAGACCAATCGAAATTCAGATCGACCATGAGACTGGAATGAAGAACTATATCGCGAATGGAAAAGGTGATTGGGCTACTAGTGCAGCATTTGTGAAATACAGCTTCACCCAAAGTATTCATCACGGTCGTCTGTACACTAGCGGTTCTGGTATGTTCTCAAAGGGGAAGGACGAAGACCTTGCAGAAGCACTTCGATTATTGGGCCAGGGTCTACATACACTCGAGGACTATGGCGCTCATACCAACTACGTCGAGTTAGCGCTCATTGAACTTGGCCATCGCAATGTCTTTCCGCACGTCGGCGCTAATACTCAGGTCAATGTCAGAGGCAAGCGCGTCTGGCCTCTCGTGACGGGCACATTTGGCATGGTCGACTTTTATCATTCGGTCATTGGTGAGGCCAAGGACCACTTCACTCAGAGTGAAGTCAGTGAGATGAACAACGCTATGGGTATGGCTGAACAAGCTGCTAGTTCGTCGAACCCTCTAGCAACATTGGTCAAGCTGCTTTCGAAGGTACCTGGTGCGGGAAGTCTTGGAGACGAAGCCACGAGATTGCATGCTGCATCTACAGCTGAAGCCCGAAGACAAAGACAAGGCGGTAGTCGAAGAGGGATCGATGATTTCGGTAGCTCAGGAGTTGATCATGACTCCAGCTCCTCACGAGGGTTGGATGATTACAGCAGTTCGAGAGCGGGGCCTGGAGATTTTCCGGGTGCAGGCCATTACGGAGCAGCATCTCACAGTGCTTACAACAGCTACAGTCAACCACTACAGCAGAACTACTATCAGAGTGGCTACAATGACTATGATCAAGGTTATGGACAGCAGCCTCCACCACAATGGGGTCAACCACCTCCTCAATGGAATCAACCACCACCTATGGCCAACCCGTATAATCAAGGTCCAATGTCGTGGCAGCCGCCGCCACAACCTCCACAGCACGATCCATACATGCAGGCACAATCGTGGACTCAACCTGCTCCACAACATGATCAATATAACGGCGGCTCGTCCTGGCAACAGTCGTCCAACCCGTCCTATCCTCCACAGCAGTCCCAGCCTCAAATTTTGCAGGCCGCCTCGTCCCAGCAGATCCAGAGGCCACCTCCAGGGCTCCCAGGTATGCCCGACTTCGACCCTGGCAAGACAATGAAACAGATCTACCCCATTCTCGTCTTCCGTGACAAAGTAGTCCGCACTATCAGCAGTATCATTGAGAAAATCCCGGGTCTCGAAGCTCTTGTCGATCGTATTGTCGAGACACTGACAGTCTTCATATTCAGCCTTCTCGCACCCTTCGTCCGACCTGTCCTCAACGCACTGCAAAAGACTCTACAAAGCAGTTCGGAGGGTGTAACAGAATGGAACAAGAAGCATCAATATGAGGTGTGGGATGATCCGAACTGCTCGGATCCTACACACAGTATGCTTTCGAAGGATCATTTTTCGAACATCCTCAACGAGCCGGCTGGAAGAGTGGCTGGTGAAATTCTGAAGTTCATCGCGCCTCGAGTGTTGTATGCATGGGAACATCCTGAAGTTCCTGTGGATAGGGTGATGCAGGATGTGGAGAGCATTTTCCACCATCCAGCTCTGAGAGACGAGAGAAGTAATGAGTGTCATAGGAACATGTTCAACGTGGTGAAGGAGTGGACAAGTCGAAGAGATCGAAATAAGATCGATGGTGTACTGAACGCGCAGGCTGTCAGAAAGGGAGACAATCATATTGCTGGGGTCGATGACCATGCAGGTCACGGAAGCTCTATGGGTGCGCATGGAGCGTCTTTCGGTCAAACAAGTGGTCATACAGGTGGTCATGCAAATGCAGCGCCTGGTGGATATGGTGCTTACTTACAACAAGCCGAGCATGTCGTGTCAGGATTCACTGGTGGTGGCAATCAACACTCTAGCGGTGGCAGCGGTCACGCCAGCTCTAACCAAGGCGGTCTTGGTGGAATTCTGTCACAAGCAGAGTCCTTCCTTGGCGGATCGTCCAACAAACCCGGCAGTCATGGTAGTAGCGCTGGTGCTGGTGGCTTCCTCCAGCAAGCAGAATCCTTCCTCGGTGGTTCATCCAGTCGACCGAGTGGACATCATGGTGGGAGCAGCGGCGGTTATGGTGGAGGAGGTCTCAACGACATGCTCGGCATGGCTTCAAAACTCCCTGGCGTCGGAAATTACGCCTCAAGCCTCAACCAATTCAACAAACTCAGTAGTGCGTTTGGCGGCCTTGGTGGAAAGCGCGACTTGCCGGGTGAGGAGCTCGATGAACAAGGACGCGTTCGTGGGCCAGCGCATCCGACACCCATCCCTGGAGATGACGGCGATTACGGCGACAGTGACAGATACGTCAATCTGGGCCTCAGTTCAGTTGGCGGTGCGAATGAATTCTACGAAAGCGCGTTGAGAAGTCGACATGCTGCACCGAGTCCTGGCTCATTGCCCGTACCTAGTGGATATGAGACTTACTCGCAGGGAGGAAGCTATGAAGCGTCATCGTATGGCCACGGACAGCTGAGTCAGTACGACACTACCAGCTATGGTGGTGAAGGACAATCGTATGCACAACAGAGTCGACGAGAGCACAATTACCAATCTGGCGGATATGGTGGTGGTGCTGGAGGATATTCCGCTGAGCAGACAGGCGGATACGGCAGTCAGCGCTTTGACGGAAGAGGGGCAGGAGATGAGTATTATCGTGGTTGAGGCATCGAATTGCGACGCGCATGATTTGCCTTGACTCTGGTACACGGTCTTTGTCAAAGATCAGTTGACTTTAAATTAGCCATACCATTTCCGAATCAGCTAAGAATGATCACCACTGTTAAGCTCGAAGCGTGCTGAACGTGTCAAAATTGGGTTTGACTACGTCATCGCTAGGGAACACGTCTAGCTTATGGGGATGTACCAGTACTCTTGCTTCTTTGCATAGGACTGCCCTCCGTGCATAGACTGTGAGCGAAATCTGCTCAATAGCAGTGGTGTCAAAGGTAATCCAGAAAGCAGCGCCGGAACGAAACTCAGTAAGTCGTATCAAGGTAACGTCGAAATCATGCCTCGATTGTCAGTAAACAATATCGAAGGGCGACTCTCAAAAATCCTTGATTCGAATGATTTTGCTGGACCTTCTTACTGCAGTATTAAGGATGCCAATCCCTACAACCCTGGAATATACATTCACGACTATGGATGGTTGAGGCAGCCAACGATATCACTGGTCTTCACCGATCCGGCAAGGACGATTGGATAACATTGCTCGAGGAACTCGGCAGTGTGACGTTGTCATCAAGCGAGTTCGAATGGCGCAATGAGTCTGCCTCAAACTATCCGAGTTCAATAAAGGACGCTGCATTGAAGCAACTGACCATAAGGCAGAAGTGTGAACTCGCTAACCACAGACCGGTTCTCAGCAAAACTGGATGGAATATGCCATCGCGCATGGAATCTGACTCCGGAACTAGCTTCGCGACGTTGCCAGTTACTCTGCCTTCCGATTGTGGTGAGACTTGCATCTCATCAACTACAGAGCAAGATGAACAGCACGCCACCACTATTCGTGAGGGGATATGTTCTCAGTCACCACAGTGATACGGTTACATGGCATGACTGCCAAGCTTGACCACGGTTCTGGCCTCTTTACAGCATTGGTCTATGATGTGATCTGGGCGGACACTGGGCCGAAAACCGACAATCACTGCAGGCATTCAGAGACTAGGGGAGATTCGCAGAGTGTTGAACGACTGGGAAACCGCGAAAGATCCGCAGAAAGTCCCTAAGTTTGTTATCACGCCAAAGCTCCTGAAGCACTATTCAGTTCTTGACCTTGCAAGTATGGCGCATAGAGATAGAGCTATGGTGCAGCTTCTCTTGGATGCTTGCGAGAAGTGTGATCGCCAACTATATCTCCTTAGTGTGCAAGCTTCAGTTGATTGCCGAACAGCCTTTGGTTACAATGGTAGGTTTGGCCTGGAGAAGCAAACCTGTTGGAGCGAGCAACAAAACGCAGTAGTGAAAATCATTGACCACAAGGGAAAGATCTTCGCTGATTTTGACGACTTTCCGGAGGTGGAAGGACTCGTCGGTCAGAAACGGTTTGAAAACAATGATCCTAATTCGGAGGAGGAAGATGAGGCCTACCTAACCAAGGATTGTAGGAGTAGCTCAATTCTCCTCATACCCAAACCCAAAGTCCAGGCTTTAAGGGCTAAGTGTGTTCACAGAACAAAGCGCTTGAGGAGGTTCTAGTAGGCAAGTGACACATCGAGGTTGCCCCAAAACCTACAGACGAGCATGTGGTGATGGAGGTCAAGCTCATGTTGCCAGACGAGCTGTCTTTGAGTGTGCCTCGAGCGACGAGATATATTTTAAGCTATGCTTGTGAAAACTTCAAAACTTTGGTTACGTATTGACGTCCTCTACAACGCATAGGAGACACCTAGAACAGTTGGTTCTGCCACCGCCGTACATGATGACAAAGTCACAAGTGTCTTGAAAGACTGACTGGGTTATCGGTAAGGCCTTGAAAGGTGGTCGCAGCTCCCTGGATTTGGTCCTTGGGTTAGTTCCAGAATTGGACAAAAACATGTTCTCTCGTTCCTTTCACGACGGATACACTGCGTCTGCCGACAACTTGACGGAGAATCCCGTCTACAGGTTGCGAGACACGGTCGATGAACGATATGCTTGTCCTGGGATCGTGTGTCAAAGACAATTGGAAGAGCTCTATACTGTATTAACAATCTATACTTTAGCTTTTCCAAGTCTTCGTCTCCTGTTTCTTGTCAGATCCATCGCAAGCACGGTCGACATCTGGTAGACGACCAAATTAATTCACAAACGGCTCTTATTACCACGATCTTCCTCGAACCTCTTACCTTGCTCGTCAAATCTGATCACCTTACCAGTCAGCAGAGCATCTTGCAAAGCCCTAGCAATTACCATAACCTTCATTCCACCTTCAAGCGGCAATGGCACGGGCTTGTCGTCCAGTATTGAATCGATGAATTCATTTGCCTCTGTCGCGAAAGCATATTCGAAACGCTGCCAATACTCCTCCTGGACTTGGTGACGAACGCCAATTTTGTCGGAGATAACCACATTGTTTACCCTTGGCACAACGTTCACACTGATCTTTCCAGCCGTACCTGTGATTTCTGTGCAGACATCATGACCTACTGCCTGAGTTCGCGAGCAATAGTAGTGAGCCATCTTACCGCCCCAGAATTCTACTACGCCAAGGGCATTGTCAACATCCCGAACCTCGGCGAGTTCTGGGTGATGCTGCAGACTCCCTACTCCCCAGCATGCTTTCGGGACCGGATCAGAAAGAAGCCACAGAGTCAGGTCTATGTCATGGATAGCACAGTCAACCATGATTCCACCATTCTTCTTTGCGTATCGCACGAAGAAGCCGGTGTTATCCAACAAATCCCCAGTTTGTGATCGCACCAAAAAAGGAGTCCCGACAACATTGTCCTTGACCTTGTTCGCGGCATCTCTGTAGCTGGCATCGAAGCGACGTGAGAATCCAGCCATGACTTTGAGATGTGGCTTTGCCTTTGCGGCGTCGATCACCTTTTGACACTGCTGAAGTTAGCATGACGAAGGACCTAATTTCAGGCCACCTACCTCATCAAGAGCTGTACTCAAAGGCTTCTCACACAGAACGTGCAGATCCTTCTCGACAGCTGCCAGAGTTTGCGAAGCGTGAACATCAGTGCTAGTACTAACCCAGACAGCTTGCAGACCTGGCATTGAGATCATAGTCTGGTAGTCATCGAAAACTTGAATGCCATAGGATTGATATTCCGCATTTGATTTCGCCCAAGCTATCTCCTTGGGATCGGTGGTGCAGACAGCGACGACTTTTGCATTTGAGACTCGATGAAGCAGTGTATGGACATGCCTCTTGCCCATCCTGCCAAGCCCAACAACAGCGATACTGATCTGCTGCCTGGACGACATATTGAGACCTCATTCGATGAGTATGTATCTGGCTGTCAACCTAATTCTGGTATGTATCAGACCTCATCTGTCTTCGAGACACGGCACATCCGGTGCATATTATATTGCTTAGATTACTCCAAGCCCATATAGACTTTTAGACATGCTGTTTCCATTGCTAGGCTTGACCCAGCACTTGCGCCGCCAATTCCTTCTTTTGCTCTCCCCGTACAATCATGGTGCATGCCCCAGGCACCAACTATGGCCTCAGGCACAAGGATTGTGGACATAATACGATTGTCCCCTGGCTCAAACGCCGATTCTGACGCCGCTAGTTTCTTCTTTCGTCGAATACCGGTGCTCAACTACTCCTTTCATAGAGCACGATGGACATAGATTTCCCGAAGCAGAATGCGGACGGCTTCACCTGGCCTGTCGATCCTCCGATGTTTTGCCTTGGTTTTTGCACCAATAATGACTTGTCCATTCCCCGAACCGATCTTGCGATGAATTTGAGAAGCAGGTTGGACGCGGTCCTTAGTATCAGGCCAGTGTCTGTCTCTTTCCCCAGACTTCCTGCGAATCCTGCTAAACGGGGCTCGCAGTAGGTTCCACCATCACCGATCTCCCCATGGGGTTGCTAATGGTTTGGAAGAGACTTTAGAATAATTGCCATGTGCTTGGATGGTGAAGTCGTTCTCCGTGCGCAATGTGTGGCAGACGGAGTCTGCTTCCGCATTCAAATAATCAAGAAACCACGGGTGCGTGTCTCGTGTCTTTGCTGGACATGATTCAGACAAAGATATAAAGTGCTCAAGAATCTTCGAACACAGATATTCACCCCAGCAAGCTCTGCAGTGCCGATCCAGCAACTACGAATACTCACCGATACACACTGCATCATATCATCGACATCTCAGCAACATGTCAGCCTATCAAGATAACGAGAAGTATGGTGAGGAGCGAGTCGAGTACACTGAGAAGTCTTCACGAAGAGCCAGTGTGGCAGAAGAAGTCCTCGATCTCAGTGGTATTGAGGCAACAGCTGCATCCAAGGCAGCATGGCTCATCTCTTTGACAATTTCACAAGCTGGCCTTCTTTTTGGCTATGATACTGGTATAGCTCACAGCACAACCCAAGCATAGAACCGGTGCTAATGACATCTAGGCTATATCTCTTCCGTGCTCGTCACTCTTGGAAGTGCGCTTGGCCACGAGCTTAGTCATTCGGAGGAGGAACTCGTTACCTCTCTCACTTCTGGCGGAGCGCTCGTTGGAGCAGTCTACGCTGGTCTCTCAGCAGACAAGTATGGTCGCAAAATGCCTATCTGGGTCGCATGCGTTCTCTTCCTGGTCGGAACCATCCTCCAAACCGCTGCATTCTCTGTGGCACAATTTGCAGTGGGCCGATTCATCGTTGGTTTAGGTGTTGGTTCTGCCTCTATGATCGCTCCGCTTTTCATTGGCGAGATCGCTCCGGCACGATATCGTGGACGTATGATCGCATTCAACAATCTGAGTGTCACTTTTGGTCAATTCATTGCCAGTTGTCTTGGAGCTGGTTTTCAGCACGCAGGACCACAAGGATGGCGTGCCACTGTTGGGATCGGCGCAATCCCAGCGATCACGCTTGCTGGACTCCTCTTCTTTGTCCCCGAATCTCCACGTCAACTTGTTGCACACGGCAAGGTAGAGCAAGCCGACAGAAGCTTGCAGAAAATTTACACGACTTCGACCGAACAACAGCGAGCTAATAAGATTAAATCGATCCAGGTATCTCTCGAAGAGACTAAGTCGGTCATGTCTGAAACCAGCTTGTGGCAGACTGCTGGCAAGATTTTCACAAATGCAGCAACCGCTCGAGCCGTTGGTACAGCTTGCATCGTCATGGCAGTCAGTCAACTCGGAGGTTTCAACACACTCATGTACTATGCCGCAACCCTCTTCGCAATTGCTGGATTCTCCAATGCCACCGCTGTCGCTATCACTGTGTCCGCTACGAATTTTGTCTTCAGCTTTGTCAATCTTGTCTTGGTCGACCGATTTGGCCGTCGCATCATCCTATGCGTCACAATCCTCGGCATGGCGATCTGTATGGCGGTTGCTGCAATCTCATTTCACTTCATTCCGATCTCACAAGCCGACCTCTCGATTTCTGGCGTGGCACCTACCTGGGCTGCACCTCTACTTCTGGTTGCGATTGTCTGCTACGTTGCGTTTTTCAGCTCCGGTGTCGCAACCATTGCGTGGATTGGCACGGAACTCATTCCACTCGAGGTCCGAGCTATTGGTACCATGTTCAATACTGTCACCTGCTGGTCTACGAACATCATTATCGCATCTACATTCTTGAGCATTATGAAAGGTGCTTCACCGACTGGTGCTTTCAGTCTTTATGGCAGTATCTGCTTCTTAGGCTGGCTGTTTGTCATCTTCTGCTACCCGGAGGTGAAGGGTATGCCGCTTGAGAGTATCCGAGAGGTCTTCCAGAATGGATTTGGTGTACGTTACAGCAAGCAATGGCAGAGAGAAAACAAGCACGTGCCAAAGGTTGTGACGCAGACTTTTGGACATTAGGAGGCATGATATTGGTTCAAGGAGTAGTCGCTACGGATGAATTACAGATATGTATATTTCGGAAGGATATTGGATGACAAACGGCCGCCTCGCTGGAAGAGACATCTCGCTATCAGAGGGTCGGTAGCTCATTTGAATAGGCATTCACGTTGACAGAGTTAGTGGTTACACGTTTTCTATCGATCAAATCATCCTGCTTCATCTTGCCTGGAGCCGGCACGACCAATGTTTGCTAATACCTTCGATCTAATCCTTATCGCTCGTTCTCTAAGCTACTAGTGTGCACAGGTAGCGTTTCTATACTCTACTAAGTTGAGGAAAAAAAAGGTGTGCCATGTATCATGTCTGCAGATGAATTTCTCTGCAGTCATTAGGCCGTTCCTGTTAAAAAACGTATCCCGTTTCCATCCCTATGAATCCCATTCAGTATTGCTGTGACCACCCGGTCTTCTTGGCACTTGGCCAATAACGGTTCGTGAATACCTTATTAGTAAACGACACTTCCTGCACCCGCATTGAGCACAGTGGCTACTCTATGTAGCGGCCGGTTTGATCTGGCTTGTTGATGCGTCTTGCTTCAACAGAGACTGGTCGCTCCGTCAAAACTGCAGGAATCAGTGCTTGTGCTCACTTAGCTTGCAGACAGCTTCCACTCAATCGTCGCTCTATACCGGCCCATTGAGCTTCGGCTACAACCTAAATCTTCGGGCTATTGTTCATCCTACGGGCGCCTTGCGCTACCACTTCGATATGGATCATGTCCACCACAGCCTTTGATCTTCGGCAAAGACTTCTGAATACTTGTTCCACAATCTCGAGCGGGGTAACCTTTCCCCTTCGACAATCTTCCTCGTCGATAGGTTTCAGCAATGTCGCGACTGTAGGAAGTTGATATTATGCGTATAAGGACAGGATGGTAGGTCGCCAGTAACAATATGCGCAGTTCACAGCTGAACGTATGGCAGCCAAGCTTGTAGGGACAGGCATATTAGATGTGAGATAAAGTGCACTTTCGCCACTTCCCACACCAACAGCATTGACAAGTTTTCTTGACAGGCGTTCGCAAGAATGCATCAGATAAGTGTCAGAAATGCCTTGAGAACGATCGAGCTTGCTTTCAAACAGCAAGACCGCGCTTTCGTTTAGTGACGTCGGTGAACTACAAGACTGGCGACGATAGAACCATCAAGCATGATTTAGTTCACGGCGCTTCGCAAAAATGGGTTGATATACCATCTGAAGGTGCATATAGCCGCGGACACGCATGAAGTTCATGCTTACCTGTTGTCAGTGGAATTCGTTGACCATGAACACGATGCTGCAGCAACATTAGCTAATCAGCAGACCCGTTCTCGTTCGAAACGCAACACGAACGAACAGAAGGCTACAGCAGAAACCGATTTCGACACGGTATATATGCCAGAGTCAGAGCAGGATCATGAAGATCAAATTTTAGACATCCTTTCTGGTGAAGATATTCACCAGGATCTCGAACTTACCACAACTCATGCAGACATCCACCAATTTTCACCACTACAAAATCACTCTGCCTGTGTCGGACAAGTATCACCATCGCAAGCCAGCAGACGAAGTAGGAACGACTTTCTCAAATCACCAAGCTTGATCTACAATGTCTCACCATCGCTGACGTTCAAGGCATCTTGGCCATGTGAAACTCAACACGAGGCTCGACTTTTCCACTACTATATCAAGGTCATGGCACCATGGGTAAGCACGACATAGAGCGGAGCTGACTCAATGTGACAGCTGATACTTCCTAGATCGACACAACCGATGCACTCGCACATTTTGGCAAAGAGGTCCCTCGCCGAGTGCCAAATTATCCAATCATCGGAAATGCTATATATGCACTTGCTTCGAGACATATGAGTATGATCTCCAACCTCGAGGACAACGAGTCACCATTGTATGCGGAAAAATGCCTCCAAGTACTGATTAAAAGTATGGACGATCCATTCGCTCATTGGGACGAGAATCTCTTAGCAACTGTGGTTATTCTGCGTTTACACGAAGAACTTTCTCATGGTGAGCACACTAGAATCTGAATTGTCCCTTTCTAAATCTTGCTGACTGGAAAGACGACGACGTTCGATGCCACCTTTTTGGCACACGCAAGATCCTCGATTCAGTCTCGGCCTTCGCAGCAGATGGTGGACTACGTGAAGCTGCAAGTTGGGTATCCTTGCGTCAGCACATCTATGTATCTCTCACTGAACAGCAGCCTCTAGACATAACCCTACAGAACTTCCGACATTCCTCCGTCTTTCTGATCGAGAGCAATCGCAACGAAGATTGGGCGAATCGAATGGTCTTCATTTTCGCCAGGATCTTGGACTATGCTTTTTCGCATGCACCAATTCCGACTCCAGATCGCTGGCATGAGCTTCGTGCAGAAGTTGAAAATTGGTGGAATACCAAACCTTGGGACTTTGCACCATTATGGAAGAACATGAGTCCAGCCTCAAGGGTGACAGTCACCACACCTGCCTCCGTTCCCGGCGTCGCTACCACTCCGCAAGATCCACCTCGTCGCAACGCGAATGTGTCAGCGTCCTCGGCAAACTATCCTATCAAACCTTGGCCGGAGCTAATCGTGGCGCATCGTGCTCAAGTCACAGCGTTACAATACTATCATCTTGCGCGTGTTGTGCTCGCAATATACGACCCAGCACTAACAAGGCTGGGTTTCGGATCGATACGAGCTCGCAAGTCATCCGAGCGAGAAGTCCTCGACGGTATGAGAAACATTGTGGGGTTGGCTGTAAGTAACGAAGATGTCAACAATGCCATATTCGAGGCCTCGCATGTTCTAAAAGCTTGTGGTGGCTATTTGAAGGACGAAGCGGAACAAAATGCAGCTATTGCCTTTTTGGAGAACGTCCAGCAAAGGATGGGTTGGACCACCGAGAAAACAATCGCCGAGCTGCGCAGTCAGTGGGCGGGTTATTGATATGAAATTATATCTTCTTTAATGCCAGATCTGGTGTGATAAGCAAATCCATTCGGCAAAAGTTTCCAGAATCTTAGTAGCAGGCAGATAGATCGAATCTAAGCCATGCACCACTCTCGGCTACCTGAATAATCTCCAAACTGCCCACCTCAATAAACATACTTAAAATGTCAGCCTGACGTTTCGAAGTACCGAGAAGGCATGATGACGCACCTTGAAGTAGGGGTTTTTCATTTCCGTCATATCCATGAAACCATTCTCATGAGCGACCTTCTTCTCATCTGCCGTCTCTGGAAACAATCTTCAATTGTTACGAAACCACAATAATACCCACAACCCAGAAATGCATACGATCTGCAAAGCGATACAGCAGAACATCATGGCAACACCAAGATCATACTGCGGAGCTTGTTTAGCCTTGGAAAAGAACGGACCGACAAAATTGCCCAAGCAGTAACTAATGAGCAGGATTGCATTGACCGAGATTTTCTTAGTGTTCCCGGCCGTGTTGGCGGTTGCGACAGACATGGATAATGTCCATCTTGTGGTGTAGGAGAACGAGATCCAGAGACAGACGAGTCGGCCGTGGGGCTTGTCGTACCTAACCACCTGCAGTCCTATCAAGCCGACAAGGAGCGGCACCGGGCATATCAGCATCGTTGCGGAACGAGCGTTTTGATATGAAGAGCACACATAGCTGACCTATGTGTCAGCGAGATGTCGAGAGGGCTGGTTCTGCAATAGCTTACCAAGCCAATGTGCATACAACCATCTGCACACCTCCAGAAGGCATCTGTATCAGGGTCGTATCTAACTTCGAGAAGCCAAGACCACGAATAATCAAGCCCTGGAACTAGGCCGATATCAGTGAAGCTGGCCAGACCCTTAACCATCAATACTCACAGTGGTCAAACCTCCATTGGGTGAATTGCTTGTCACAGCAAACAGGAAGAGAAGCCAAGTCTCTAAGTCCAGCATAGCCTCAACAAATTGTTCTTTCTTGAACTTACGGTCCTCAAAGCCAGTCCTATTGTCCTTGATGCGATCAATTTCTGCTATCCTCTCTGCATCGCTAATAAATCGAGCCGTCACTGGGAATTCTGACAATGCACACATTAGGAACAAGCGCTATGCTACAGTGATAGAGCCTCAGAAGACAAACATCTTGCTGACCTCATTGAGTAGCACGTTGACACATATTGTCCCGCTCCATGATCTCGAGCACCTAGAGCTGTTGTATGTGAGTCGTTGAGATGCGTGGTCAGTCACAAGAATTTTGCTTCGGTGCAACCCCTTTCAATCTCAGCTTGGTGCTCACAGAAGCAAGTCGGAGGCCACATCCTAATGTTTTCGACAGCGCGAGAATATCTGGAACTACACCGTCCTTCGCGAACGCGAGCATCTGTCCCGTGCGACCGACACCAGTTTGAGCCCCGTTCACGATAATCAGCATAGCTCGCTTCTTGCATCCATCAGCTAAACGCTTTAGATATCCTTCTGGAGGGTTAGCGATACCACCAGTAGAAAAAGTGGGCTTTAGTATTAAAGCCGCAAGAGATGCAACACTTCATCTGTCGATCATGGACCAAGCAAAATCCAGCTCTGTCTTTCAATCATAACTTCCATCGGCCTTCCAGAAAACTGACCGATAGGCGTATGGGATGGGAGAGCTAGCTAACCCGGCACAGTAGGTCCTCCGTTCTTTCGACCAGCAGAATACGTGGCAGAGCCAGAAGCTTGTGTCAACCCATGGTAACTAGTAAAGAATGCAACAATCTCAAACTTTTCAATGTACAGCTTGGCCATCTTGATTGCCGCCTCTGTGGTCCGAGCCGGTATCGAGGAAGAAAGACTTCTTCAATGGCGCTGGCAGCAATCGAGCAAGCCGTTCAGCTAGCTCAACTACTGGGTGGGCGACCATGTTGCTGAGTAGATGGTCGAGCTGCGCGACATAATGCTGCACCACCTCAACTTTTTCAGAGTGGGCTGACAGCGAGATCGTTTGTCCTGAAGTGAAATTCAGGATTGATCTGTCATTCTGATCGTACAGTCGTGTTCCTTTTGCTTTTGTGGTGATGCATGATGACGGCGGTACACCAGTATACATCGAATATTTGTGGACTTTGTCCCAGAATTGGGTATTCTCCGAGTACAGTGTTGTAACTGAGTGGAAAGAAAGACAAGCAATGAACAGATGGCTACTCTATCAGGAGTCGGCAGAACTACAGTTTCATACTATTTGAGCTGCTTCTTCAGAGCTGATCTCAATGCCCACGGGAACAAGAAGTTCCAGAAACTATGTCATGTCCTATTGCCCGCGGTGAACTGATCTCATCGCATGAAGGTTTCTCCACCTCGAAGTCTTCTATCGTACACCGAACACCTTCGTTTGAAAGTTTGCTCCTTCGCCTCTTTGTCAAACTAATTCAGAATGTGGCGAGGTCATATTCTAGCCGGACTTGCGTCATGGTCACCGACGCAGCTGTACTCTTGACCACGCCAATGTCATCTGATCTATGAGGACCAGATTCCAGATTATTTTTACCAGAACGTGTACATGAAAGGCGCGCAAGACTCTGTGCACAGCAAATAACCGAAGTTGTTGCATGGCTAAACATAGTCAATACTGGTATCTCCTACAAGCTGTCTCATCAGCAATCAATTTACGCCTGTGATTGCTGCATGGCTCTTGTGTGATTCAGGGTCTATCGGTTCAATTGTGGCATGAGCAAAGCCATGAATTGGAGAGTGACCCTCAGCTGCACTTCAGGATCATGAAGCTAGAGCCACTAACCTACAATATCTAAACGTACAGCTTGGGTCGCCGTCAAAGGTCTGCACGGGGCCAAGTCTTGCGAACTCGCGACTCAGAGTCCGACTCGAGAGTCAGCTCGCAAGTTCGCAAGATTGACGTGCCCGAATTGTGTGTGACAGCAGGAGCTGAATATTCAGAATGGACTTCATGGAGGCTATAGTCAACTGTCTGCACACGGCGATCCTCGAACAGACTCATCATACCGCGTCGCGCCCATCCTACGAGGTTGGGCATCATGTCTCTTCAAGATGTCCTGCATTCTGTCATGATGGCTGTCTACGAGCTTTTGAGGCATCTCGGTTGAGGGTGATGTTACGGATTCTCCCAAAAAACATCTACAGATCTGCAGACTTGTGATGACCCTAATGGGAGGGTCTTGTCAAGTCAAGTCCGGTTGCTTACCCTGGCCAGGTTATGCCCCTAATACTGAAGAATGTTCACGACCTTTGGGAGGCTCACTTCCTAATGACTTGTATACTCAACAACAATGAGTCTGGCAATGACATCCCAGATGTCATTCGAGCCATAGGATCTCGAAAGTCATCCCAGTCAAATTCAAGCAGCAAGCATTCCTGCCGCAAGCGATGTCGAAGCCCAAAGTCACGTTCAGCACGCAAAGTGAATCTGCAAGTGTAACCTGCACTTGCCCCTTTCTTGGAAGTGTACTTCATTGTTCTTTTCGTTTTATCCATTGTCCATTCAATGAACTGTCAGATAATGGTTGGTATAATGCTGTGTCACGGCGGAAGTGAAGACTTGCAGGTTGGGATATTGCGAAGACATCTACACTAAAGTATTGCAGAGTTGGCTCCGCGTCGAACGAACGCCAGATGCAGGCCCGCATGGTAAATATATTGAACACAACTACTGGTTCTTTCCAAATCTTTCTTGACCCACAAGCATCGAAAGACTTGAGCGACCACTCAATGAGTCCAAAGAGTTAGTCTAAATCAAAACTCAAACACTCTCCAATACCTTCAATTCTCGGACCAAAACCCCAAGTTAGAGGCAGACTAGGCTATAGCCAAGATGGACCTTCGCTCCCTTTTCGGCCTTGGACACTCTCCACACGGTCATCGACACAACCACTCGGGGCATAGCCATGGGGATCACTACGGACATGACCATGCTCACAATCACGGCGACCGACACAGCCACTCTCACGGCGGAGACTCTTGTGGACACGCTCATTCTCATGGCAGTCATTCTCACCACGGCCACTCTCATGGCGATCGTTCTCATGGGGGTCATTCTCACGACTGTCCTCACAGCCACGGCCATGGTCGAGCACAGTCATTTGGAGGCTTCACAGATCAGTCTCGAAACCATGACCATTCAGCTCAAAGCAGAGCCATGCCGCCCAGCTCCTACCGTTTTGGATCTGCAGGTCAATCAGACTTCCGTACGCCTCAAGAGCAATTCGAATCTCACGGCCACCATAGAACTCGAAGCCACGGAGGCCATACACACGCTCACGACCATGGGTCACCTTTCGATAGAGGAAACAGCTTTGCTCGAATTCCATCATTGGGCAAAAACAAGCACACTGAACACCGGCCGGATTGCCGACATGCCCAACCTCAGCAACAGCCTCAACCTCGCGGAGATGGTGAGCGCTATCGTTTCCCGTCCCGAGCTCAAGCATACGGCAACGGAGGGTTCGGCCAGGGACCTCGTGGTCTCGACGACCCAGGTGTCTACGACTTGCCGCCTCACCGACGACGACGAGTCATTGACCCGTACTTCATGTCCGGTGCTCTTCGCGACTAGAGAGGTGCCGTCGTGGCACGGTCATGGGAACAGTCTTGGGGAGAATGTATTGGTGAAGAGTCTCGAATTTTTGGGACGGCAACTTGAGTCTGAAAGAAGCGTTTCAAGGTTTGTCTTGGAGTTTGGATTAGCGTTTTGTTCTTGGGTCAAAAGTTGAGCAAAAAAGACGAGCTCGAAGGAAAACGGACAGATGAGAAGTGCAAACTGAATATGTCTGAGATTTGACAACTTTCACGGACCGACAATCCTGGGTAATAACAGGATACAGAAAAGTGCACCGAACCTCAGCAAGCTGTACCTTGTCGTGGTATTGAGGCTCGAGTTCTTCTCTGGAGAGAAGTTCCGCAAACACAGCATAATGAAAGCCATGTGCAAAAACATATTGTAGCATGTTTGAGAATGTTTTCTTTGCTCTTGTTTCCCTTAGTCTGATATTCTCTCCTTCTCGTTGATAACAGTAGCCCAGCCGAATTTTTCTTCTGTTGGTCCTAGACTAGAGGGTTTGCAATCTGTATTTTGCCAGCCAATGCGCTTATTGCCTAGCGTTCTATCGAGTTCGTCGCGAAGTCGTGTTGTCCCACGACACGAAGAAAAATTCAGCTCTGCCAGGAACAGGTCTGCAGTCTACAAGAGCATAGTAGACGATATCACAATAATATCCTACCAGCGAGAGTGCCCGGAAACGAATGCAACAATCTGGACAGTTGAAGCATGACTTCTATCTGGCAAGCAATCCAGACGCCATCGCTTCCAAATCCTCGAGCGTCTGAGGCTGTTCAACCACAGTTGCTGATCCCCTGTTTCGTTTCTTCTTATTCTTATCACCATTATCTCCTTCCTCCTCGCTATCGTTGTCCTTCTCGAACCACTTCTTCTTTCGCTTCTTCGGCCTCTCCTCTTCGACATCGAGTGCTTCTCCCGCATCCATCTCTTCCTCATCATATGGCGCCAATTGTACGCCCACATCCTCATCTTCACCTGTACCCTCATCCTCCTCCATAGCAGCCCTCCTTTCCCTCTCCTTTTTCTTCTCCTTCTTCTCCCTCTTTTTCGTCTTCGCGACCTCTTTATCGACCACGTCCGTACGTTGCTTCCTCTCCTTCTCCTCCTGCAAAAATCTTTCCTTCTCTTTTGCTGCATTCCCTTTCTTCACAAACTCGTCCTCCTTTTCGTAGTATACCTTCTCCTTTCCGTCTTCGTCTTCAGAATCAAACGTCAGATGTGTGCCATGTCCTTTGTACTTGAGGAGTGCTTTCTTGGATTTGAAGAGTTTCTCGCGTCGTTTGGAGTCCACTATTAAACCTGCTTCATCAAGGTTGGCGGAGAGTTGAATAGCGCGTTTGCGGACGGAGGTCGAGGCTGGTGTTATGCCGATGTCGCGGAGATTTGGTTCATCGCCGTCCTCGTCGCTTTGTTCTGAGCCAGTACTCTGCTCAGCTTCATCCTCGAGAGCTTGGTCGCCAGCGATGAAGCGACGTTTGACAGCGAGGAAGTCGTTGTCTTCATCTGCGTCTGCTGTGGCTGTCGCAGCTGCGTTGCTCGCGTCATCCTCATCGATCAGCTTGCCATAGTGCTCAGCAAGAACGTCCTGGTTGCGTCGCTCAAACATACGATCATATTTGGTTCGTACTGCTGGTTTCTCTTTGACCTTCTCAGCTTTGCCTTCATCCTCATCTACACTGTCACCATGGTCGAGCGCAGCAGCCAAAGCTCTCGGCATGTTCTTCCTCGTCTTGGTATCATCGCCCTTCAGAAACTTCACTCTAGGAGCTCCTGGAAGTCCTAAACTCGCAGCATACCCTTCGAGATCCAGCTCTTTGAGCTTGAACGTATCCTTATCCGGCATGACATAGACACTCCTGACATAGTTCACAAATGCTTTCTGACCGAGGTATTTCAGTTCCGGGTCCTTGAAGCACATATTCTGCATCTGAGTTCGTAGTGTATCCTGCATCTTCTTCTGCTTCACATTGATTCTTTCCAAGAACACTCTCTTTCGCTCTAGGGATGCGAGCATGCCTTCCTCCTCACTCGGGTCGAGAAAGAGTACCGAGTAGCCCTCGCGATCGAAGCGGGCAGTCCGTCCGACGCGATGGATATAGGTATCGGGGGATTCGGGCGCGTCAACCTGTACGACCCAGTCGACGGACGGAAAGTCGAGTCCTCGCGCTGCAACATCAGTGGAGAAGAGACATGCGTGCTGAGCACGGGAGAAACGAGTCGTGATATCGAGACGGGCTGTTTGCTTCTGATTTCCGTGTAGGTGGAGCAGAGGGATACCAGGCTGTAGATGACGAAAAGCTTCATACACGAATCGAACCTGCTTTCCGGAACTGAGGAAGACAAGGATCTTCTTCTTTGTATTTGTACGCAGAAAAGACCACAAGACATCCAGCTTTTCTGCCAGAGGAGTGACAATGTAGTTCTGTTGCAATTTTGAGGGCGTTGCGGTATTTGCAGACTCATGTACTGAGACAAACTCGGGCTCTTGTAGGCTCAATCGCACGAGGTCGTTGATCTTCTTTGTTTGTGTCGCCGAGAAGAGAAGGGTTTGCCGCTCTTTCGGCACATGATCGATGATTGCGTCGACTGCAGCCTGAAAACCCATGTCCATGATTCGGTCTGCCTCATCAAGGACCAGCATTTGTAGGTTGCCGATGTCGAAATCGGCCGTCTGGTCCATGTGCTGTAGTATGCGGCCAGGTGTGGCGACAAGGATATTCATGCGACCCAACCTCTCTCGCTCTTCCTGCAGACTCTTCCCACCAATGACCAAACCAGCAGAGAACACATGATTACGTCCAATCTTGCGCAGAACCTCAAATATCTGGATGGCCAGTTCTCTTGTTGGTGAGAGGATGAGTGCACCTAGACCATCGTACTCGGTCCATCGTCTGCGGTAGAGGTTCTCGAGGACAGGGACAAGAAAAGACAACGTTTTGCCGCTGCCTGTTTTTGCAGCACCGAGGATGTCGCGGCCTTTCAGAGCTGCTGGGATTGCACTAGCTTGAACAGTTGTCAGAGTCTTGAAGTGCGACGCTTCGAGTCCAGAGATGGTAGGCTGCGATAGAGGCAGCTCAGAGAAATCAGTTGGGGGTGTTGATGGTTTGACTTCGAGCTCGGTGACGCGTTGCGATAGTGCTTCGATACTTTCGACATCTCGCTTTCTTTTCAGTGACCGTGCATTGCTCGGCGCTTGCTTTTTTGGTCGGCGAGGCCCTATGCTGGACTTTTGTGCCATACCGGGCTAATTGAACATGGGAATTTTCACATCTTCAAGTTCGAAAGTTAGAACTTTTTGACGGAGATAAGTGCTTATCACTATCATAATTCCAATCCGAGTCTTTGGGAAGCTTAGCCGAACAGTAACTACTCACAACAGCATGACCAAATTGCTTCATCTGCCTTTTAAAAGTAAAATGCGCCATATTGCAGGTGCTCCAATTTCTTCGGTCAGATTCAGTCGTCAACGTGTGGACTGGACGCCTTTGGCACCAAGCTGACGTGTTCCAAATCTTATGGACATTGTGCGAAGCTGCCTTGCGCAGTACAGTACGAACTCTTCAGTGTAAACAGTCATCGATTCTTTCCCTCCAATTTCTCTCACGGAAGAGGAACTCAGGTATTAGATAGCCATTATGTAGACCAAGTCTTTGATCCGTGCCAAGGTAGTCCTGCGACACAGAGCTGCGATGACATGGGCTCGAACTTCAGGCAAGAGTAGTCTTGGCCTTGAGGCATCAATATAGCCGAGGCAATCACTTTACGATTCCACCCGAACTCTCTCTTTCTCCTAAATCTTATCTCGACACTACAGCAGTTGCTTTGAGAATAGGCAATAGAAGATCAGTGTTTGTGCACAAAGTGCGTCTCTATTTCTCTCTAGAGACCGAGCAGAATTGGTCCATCCCACTCATACCCGTACCTGCGCGACTGGACATGCCTATTGTCCAAAGCTAGGAGCCTAGACTTATCACAGCATAATCAAGCCCTCGTTCTACTCTTAAACACCACGCCCACAAACATGGCGAGTTCAACTTCACACCCGCCAGAATACCTGACGGACTCGGACTGGTCAAAGCGCCACCACGCGATATCATTGCGCAAACTCATGTGCCTGAAAACTGTTCCTGACAAGCCAGATACCTTCCTCTCAACATCGGCCGCATTTCCACCAACACCTGCACCACGCGCCTATGGTGGTCACGTCTTTGCGCAATCAGCCTGGGCTGCTGCACATACCGTTCCGTTCGGGCTGCATGTCAATAGTGTCACGGGTTACTTCCTCCTGATAGGTAATACTCATTATGCATTCGAATATCGAGTGCGCAGGGTCAGAGATGGAGGTGTGTATTGTTTGAGACAGGTGGAGGCATTCCAGAACAGCAAGGAGGGAGATTTTGGTAAGACGCCAGTCTTCATAGCGTTTGTAAGCTTCAAGCGTGATGAGAGAGGCAAGCATAGACCAGGTGCTAGGGGGCAGAGAAAGGACTTTCAGCATCAGGAACTGCTGCCCGGTTACTTGATGGAGGAGTACAGTCGAGTGTTAGGCAGGAAAGGACGGTTCGAAGAGTGGCCGTTGTGCCAAGGTATGGACGGTATATTTCCAGCTGGTGGTATGAGCCTTGAGAAGTGGAAGCAGAGGGGTAACGCCTACCCTGGACTGGAGATGAGAAAGGTCGATATGACTGGATACAATGTAAAGGCTGTTGCAGGGGCCATTGACGATAATGGTGAAGCGGCGAGGAAGTGGAGGCTGCTGATATTGTATCGTATCGTGCTCGACGAGGAGGAAGAAATGCAGCACGTGAAGGAGTTGGCGGCCGAAGGTAAGCAGAAAAAGACTGGTGCCGATGATGTATTGAATTTGCATGCTATTGGTCACTTGTACGCTTCCGATCGCAACAGTCTCTTCCTGGCGCAGCGTGCCCTGGGTTTTGAGAAGCAATTGGGCCAAGTCGGTTCGCTGTCACATACTGTCAACTTCCACACGCATGCATCGGCTTTGTCCATGGTAGACACAAAAGTTGGCCGAAGGAAAGAGTATGCGCAAGAGGCTTGGTGCAGTAATAGTGGTGCTGATCGAGTGTGTCATAACAGTAGACTTTGGGACGTCGAGACTGGTCAGATTCTGGCGAGTACGGTCCAGGACGGTATGATGAGGATGCCAGTTGACTGGAACGGGGAGATAATAGACGGAGATGCGATATTGAGAAAAGAAGCCAAGTTGTGAGGCCCGGAACTTAGAGCTTGGTGCAACTTTCGGGAACTTTTTTCAGAGTAGTTGCTAGCTCTAGTTCTGTCCGACTTCGCTGCTGTCAGAATCACACATATTTGTGGCAACAGCTGCTCGATCCGCCAGATTCCGCCTTCACTCTTTAAGAACGTACTTCAACCCACTTCACTTCACTTCACTTCACTTCACTTCACTTCACTTCACTTCACTTCACTTCACTTCACTTCACTTCACTTCACTTCAC